TTCAAATGCATTCTGGTTGCAATTAAAATGGAATGGACCTTTGTTTGGACTTTGAAAAAATCAAAAAAAGTTTTTTTTTTTTTACATTCACATAAATATGGGGGTATGATGATAGTTATTATTAATGATTATTATTGTTATTATATATAAATAATGTATATACTATTAGGGTTCTATGAGTCAATGCACAATGAGGAGGGTATTACTTGTTCACTCTTTCATCCGAATCAAAGCGTGAGTAGCCGTCAGAGGTTGTTCTGCTACTTGTTGCTATAGGCGACCTATGGAAACGGTGGCTTCCATACACACTATCATGGTCATCCTCGAGTCCCTCTATATCAATTCGATAATTGTCCCCCCGTCTTGACGATCTATCCTCATTCTCTATTCGGGGGGTCAAATGAGCAAACTCATTAAACCTGTACGGGTCTGGAAAGTCTGTACTCGAATCAGTGTGGATGATTGGCGGTGAGGCGATATAATCTTGAGTAAGTTTGGGACTTGCAGGGTCAGAGATGGTGAATCCTCTAGAGGCATGGTTTGAGAGATACTTGTTGAAGTGTGAATTAGGCTTCGTCGGTTCATCTTCCTTATTCTCCTGTCGACTGCGCTGACCACCGCTGGAGTGATGACCACTATCGAGGTTGTTCAAGGGGTAATGAATATAGTTCTTTGCATCGTTCCTATCACCCGAACCATTGTGGTATCCTGATCCGTCTTTGGAATCCATAGACGATCCTGTAGGCTGACGCATCGAGAGCGTGCAGAAACAGGCCGCGTAGAAGAACAGGAAAGAGAATCTGAAAATAACCAGCTCGGTGATATAGGCGGATCGACTTTTCATGTTTAGCCCCAAGAGAGAGACAATTCTTGAAAGGAGCATCAGGACAAAGAAAGAGACCATGGCCAGGTTAAGCACCGTGATCTTGATCAAGGCCGTTCGAGTGGTGTGCGAGACTGCAATGCCCTTCAGGGACTTGAAGAACATGATTGCAAAGTAAAAGATGAGAATGGCCTGGACTAGGATAACAGCCGGTGTGACGTAGGAGAAGCCTCGCTCGCCAATCATTCGGATCAAGGGAGCCGAGGGGATCAACCAACCGATGCCATCCAGGAAGGATGAGATCACGGGAACGAAAATGGTGACATAGGCAAAATAAGAAACGATCTTGTTTGCCTTTCTACGATCAATTCGGTAAACCAGTTTCCCCCACATGACCATTTGCAATCCCAAAGAGATGAAAGGGAACAGCAGTGAGAGATAATAGACAGCATTGCGCCAGGGAACAGTGACCTTGTAGGGTGCAAAGGCGATCGAGAGCGGTAGATAGAAACAACCAGGGAGGAGGATGGAGAATCGACGGGAATGCTGTTGATCCTGCTTGCCCTTGATGATATACGCAAGGACCCAGAGACCATAGATAAAGATCACACCGGTAATCACGTCCAGTCCTCGGATGACAATTTGGAACCCGACACTGTTCCACATCCTATTCCATGGACCAGGATCTTGTTCTACGGTGGCCAAGAGAGCATGATTGTTCTCAGCAACGAAGGACTCGAGTTGTAAAAAAGTGTCTGAGCCAATAAAGGAAATATTCAGGCGGACATCTTTGTTCCAATGCTTGGCATTAGCGAGCTGGATGAAGGGAGCACCAAAATCTTCAGTGCTTTTAGCGTCTCCATGCATGATAACAGCTCCAACCTCGGGCAGGGTCATTGATTGCAATTGAGCATTGAGCGAGCTAAGGTTATCGAAGATCTAGTGGGTAAAAAAAAAAAAAAAAAAAAAAAAGTTGCAGAGAGTTTAGTCAATGAGCTCAATCTTCAGAGCATGTAAACTTTGACAATTGGGGACGTGCCCCCAAGGAAGAAAAGGCGTTTTTTAAAAATACGAATCTAGCTAAAAAGGATCATTCGAAATACTGTCCAAACATTCTTCGGCCCATAAGCTAATTTTTTTTTTTTTCACGTCCAGGAGCCGTTCTGGTTTTGATTTTACATTAATATAAATGTCAATTTTTTTTTTTTTTTTTTTTTGTTGACCGCCATTTCACTGTCCGCCTCCAAATTGACCTTTATATATTTTAGCCGTTGGGTATACTTTTCTTTTTCAATCATCGTTCACTTTGAAGAAGAAGAAAAAAAAAAAAAAAAAAAATTGGATAATGTGAACCAAAAAAGAAAAGGAAAAAATAAATACCATGAATCTGGACCCGCCTATTGCTCAAACAGATTAGGTTATAAAAACCAAAAAAAAAAAAAAAAAAAAAAAAATGCAAGATTTCAATTCAAGATCTCTTTGTGTTCCATGCCTTTTCTGATTTGTGCAACGGTTTGTAGAACACAAACACAATCCCCCCCCTTTTTTTAATAATTGGTTACAAGGGTGGATGACATGAGAAATAGTACATGTATTACCGATCAAACAATGGCCAAATAAACACGTTGTAGTGCAAAGAAGATGATCAATCCCACGAGAAAAGGAAAAAGGGTGGAGAAGGAAACCACAATGGAGACTTACATCATCATAGGTTGCACAGTCTTCGAGCCAATCGTAACTTATGGCTATGATCGAGTCAACAACAGGATACTGTGGATCAACAGCTGCCAAGATGGATTTCCCGGTAGGACCAGCCGCGGGATTGACACGTATTGTACAATCTGGCTGGACAGAACCCATGAGTAGGATTCCGGGGATTGAGTATTCATCGGATTGACCTTGGAATGGATCCCATGTGCGAAAGTTGACTGTCCTGGAAGAGTTTGTGGTCACGGCCAAAGCAGCGTCAACTACTGCCAGAAGTCCTGCATTAGATATGAAAGAGGCGAGGACAAGGAGGAGGAAAAGGAAAGGCTTTGAGGACATTATCGGAAAAGATTGGAGAGGAAGAGATGTCGATTATAATGAGGTGCCGACTTTGTTGATACAGAGGCGAATTCGTCTGAAGATATCAAAGTCTACAAGGGAGGAAAGGGGGTATATATTTTGAAGAAGAGTGTGGAGGAGCAGGAGGAATAGAAGTGGTATTTTGTTAGCCCAGAGAGGGCGAAAAGTTGATCAACGTAGAAAGAGAAATCAGTCTGTCAAATGCGTTTAGGCCAAGGAAGAGAATGGAAGACCACGAAGGTGCTGCAAAGGAATGAAACAGTCAAATTAATCGTAGAAAATATACAAAATGAAAAATAGTAATAATCACAGAAATAGAACAAAATTATAAATATGGTGTCATTCATTCAGATCAAGAAGATGGAATGCAGAATGATTTGAGAATGGAGATGGCAGCATTAAAAGAATGACATTCACAGAGTCAAAGAAAAAAAAAAAAAAAAAAAAAAAAATGAAGAAAAGGGAGAAGGAGGGAAAAAAGAGACTACTGAGCTGAGCAGACAGACATCTTCACAAATTCAATGGCTCTTCTTATGCGGAGGGGCACATTTGCGATTGCGGTTGTCAATTAAAGTGTGTTTGTATATCTGCATGTATTGGAAATATAATACATTCGCGCATGTATATACACTGTTCTGTTGTTGTTCCTGGCTCCCCTTTGGAGTGGGATAGAAAAACGCCTTCTTGTCGAGGAAAGCATTTAAAAAAAACAAAAAACAAGCAAAGTCGCACAAACAGGTTCTTGCTTCAAAAATAAATAAATAAAAAAAGAGCATGTATCCACAACCAAGTGGAGAAAAAAGAAAAAACAAAAAGTAATAATAATCAAAAGCAGTGATTGGGAATGATCTCTATCCATGGTCCATTGCTGTAAAGGAGGGTGAGAGGGAAAGTGACGTGTGAGACTTTTTTTTTTTTTTTTTTTTTTTTTTTTTTAATTGGCAGACACGTGTTTAATATTGGATATCATTTTATTTATTTGCTCTCATTCTGCTCTTTCCCACTTTGTGTTCATTTTAATTTTACATGTAAACCTTGCACCACGAATGATTGTCGGTGGTACCAATGGCAATGGCAATGACAATGACAATGAGACGATTAAAGAATTCTCCCGTTTCTCTCTCTCTCTTCTCTCTCTTCTCTCTCTTCTTTTCCACTAAAAAATGGATACGAAAGGTTAAAAGAAAAAAAAAAAAAAAAAAAAAAAAAAGAGTCCTTGCATTTCCAAATCCAGTAAGACATACATCGGAAATAAAAATAAAAAGTTTAATGAAACAGGTCAATATCAATATGCATGGCAATGGGCGCATGACACCCTGCCTTCTGCTCATTTTAATAACACCGCCTCATTTCCCTTGTCTCGACTTCGGGTTTTCTTTTATTCATTGCACATCCCAATGTTGCTCATTCATCCGAACCTTGACATTCTGATGTGCTTGGTAATATTTTTTTTTGCGAGTTTAATTGGGAGCAAATACAAATACAAGAATTAAAGTAAAACATGGCAGCAGTCCAAAAGGGTAAAATAACCTTTTGTCCAACTGGGCTTTAAACTTTGTAAACTTTTTTTTTAAAGGAAAGTGGACCACTTTTCTTTACCTCTCTTCCCTCTTTTCCTTTCCTTTCCTTTCCTTTTCTTTCCTTTTCTTTTCTTTTCTTTTCTTTTCTTTCCTTTGTTTCTCTCTCCTCCTTCTCTCCCTCTCTCTCTCTCTCTCTCTCTCTCTCTCTCTCATTCTTTTTTGTTTCCTAATTGATCACTTGCTGTTGAGCAAGTCGCAGGAGAGAATAAAGCGCCATTTAAGCAGCAAGAAGCTTTCCCCTCAACTTTAATACACGTTTCGCTGCAACCTCTCCGTTGATCATCAACAATGACTCCTGCACAGCAACCATCAAAACTGAGGACGTTCCTACGATATGACAGACTCGATCTTACTCGAATCATCTCCTCCAATCTCGTCAGCGCAAACGCCCTATTTCTCATCCGTCTCTTTGTCAGTCTGCACCTCTCAGCTGTCTTTATCGCAACCCTCTATGTCTCTGCTCGTGATGAGGTCTTTTACATGGTCTTCACCACTTTCACTAACCTCAGTAATATCGGGCTCACAGCATACTATCTGGTATCTACATACGCTACACATCCATACACTTTTTCATACCACCATCACTTGCATTTATCCTTAACAAGCCCTCTTTTCTCTTTATTCTTACCCCTTCTAGACAGTAACGTATCACTCATACAGCTTTAACCGACATCGTGACTTGCGCTCATTAACATCTCAACACTGGCTACTGACCTCTGCTCTGGGTTTACTCTATGCGTCCGTCGTTGTCTTTCACATTGTTGTGCCTGCCATCTACTGGAGCTTGCTTTTCGATCCAAATAACACAATGGATACACTCAACGAATATGTAGACTACTCTCACCATGGCGTTGATTTTGCCTGTATCCTGATCGAAATGATCTTCAATCGAATGGAACTGCCCTGGGTATACATCTTGGGACCTATTAGCATGATTATCCTGTACATGTTCCTGGCTTGGGTCTATTTTGCAGTGTATGTCAAAGCTATAAATATGGCTCCCTGTATTTTTTGATAAATGAAAAAAAAAAGATCGACAGATTGCATCTCCGCTCACTCTTTCTTTTTCTTTTTCTTTCATCTTGTGATATAAAGGCGGGGGCTATGGCTGTATAGTTTCTTGGATTGGAGCAATGGTGCTATGGCAGCTGCATGGTATATTGCACTTCTCATTGGCTTTGCACTTCTCTTTGTCTTACAAAAGTATATCCATCAGGGCCGTGACAGGTTGACAAGGAGCAGAGAGGCAAAAGTAGCAGCATGTGATGGAACGGATTCGTTAGGGAAGAAACAGACTCGAGTGACTGATGAAGAGATTTGTGACCAGAAGCAAGAAGTTGAAGAGCCGTTTGAGGAAGTTCAGATCGGAGGAGATAAGCAGGAGGTAGTCTAGTGAGGGCTGTCCGGAAAAGACTGTTTGTCAGACTATCTAACTATCTAATCCAGTCTGAAGTTTAAAAATGACCCATACCATGCTAACCATGCTATATAATATATAAGATATATATATACCAAACCACACCTAAGGAAAATCATAATATTAAAAATATAATAAGAGTTACACAAGCATTAAACACATTTTCACATTATAATTCACAACAGTTCATAGATTTTCAGTTACCGTTCCTGACCCCGAGCGAGAGCAGCAGGCTGAAAGAAAAAGGAAGAAAGAATGTCAGATAGACAGACGGACAGACAAACAGAACAGGAAAAGAGATTATTGATCGCGGATATTATTCCAGAGTTCCCATGCCACGGACAGGGTTTTTGTTTTACTTTTTACAGAGTACTGAAGATAGCTAGATTGCTTGGATAAAAAAGAGATCAGCAAGTAAAGCGATGGTTGTAATGCATAAGCAAAGGAAATTTTGTTTTTTTTTTTATTTTTTTTTTTTTATTGGGAAAGGAGGTGTGGGGAGGTATAAATAACGGGACGGAATAAAGAAATGGAGTTGAAGAGCAATTTATGAATAGTTTGGGTAAGCTCTCAAACCTTACAGCTCAACCAGACAGCCAACCATTCCTTTCCCTTTTCCTCTCTCTCTTTTTCTTTTTCTTTTTCTTTTTTTACTATAACTTCCCTTGTCCTCTCTCTCTCTCTCTCTTCTCTTTCTTTCTTTCTTCTTTACTCTCATCAACAACTAATCTCTCACTCATAACCCATTCTCGACTTGTTCATACCTTCCTCTCCCTTCCTCTTAAACTTTTGTCTAATCTCTCCACAATGAAGCTTCTCACTGCCATCACCTTGGTTACTCTTGGCGCCAGTGCCATCTTCTCAACCTCAGAGGCTGCTCTCTCTGCTGGTTGCGATGCTTTCCTCAGAGATATTGGCACCCCCACCAACCCATTGTTCAAGTGCCGAGTCTACTCTGCCTTGGGTTTCCCTGCATTGACTAGTCCTCATGATCATGATACTCCCAAGCTTCAAAAGGCTTTGGATGACTACTGTGCCACCCCTGCTTGCACACCTGAACAGTATGCTGGTGTTTACAAGGATTTCCAGACCCATTGCGCTGCTGACATGGTTGCAGATAACCAGGACACTCTTGGTGTCACCATGTATTTCTGGTAAGCCCTTGACTCTCTTGGCTCATTTTTTTTTTTTTTTTTGCCTCTCTCCCCAGATTTGATTGATTTGAAAGATATAGAGTTATTAAATTGCAATTTTTCATTTTGTGTTCCCATCAGGTATGTGTCTCCTGCCCAACGTGAGGCCGTTTGTCTCCAGGAACCAAGCACAAAGAAGACTTGTGTGATCGAAACAATCGATGCCATGATTGCCCGTAAACAACTCCCTGATGATAACCCGAACCAAGATGATTTGTACGGTTACTTGCAATATGTGACCCCCATGATCTCACCCAAGGGTACGGATGCAAAGTCCCTCTGCACACCCTGCAATCAAGAGGTGGCCAACATCTTCTCAAAACACTACACCAAGAGCCCTTCTCCCTATAACCTCAACTTTAGACAGACACTCGACAGTGCCAAATTGAACACTGACCTGCAATACCAATACAAGGCCAACTGCAAGGTCACCCTTGGTGGAGATATCGATGCATTCAAGACCGGTTCTAAGGATTCGAAGGATTCCAAAGATTCCAAGGACAATACCAAGGATGATACCAAGGATAACAAGGACAGCTCTGCCAACAGCCTTGTGAACTTTTCGTTGGGTGGCGTTGCCGCTACTGCCATGGCTGTTGCAGTTGCCATGTTGTAAAAAAAAAAAAAAAAAAAAAAAAATATATATATATATATATATATAAATATTAACATTAATATCTTATTATTATTATTTTTATTATTCATAATGCATAATTTATAAAATAAAAAAAATGTAAATCATCACGTGCAAGTCACGATCAAATGACACAGCTTCTTTTTGTACTGGTCTTGGGGCTATTCAACATTCTTTCCTCATTACTCATTACTCATTACTCATTGAACTTCACCCCATACGACTTTATAGAATTTGAAAAATGCGTTATACCACATACACCGTTACATTGTGCTTGCTGTTTGCTTTGTTGGCATCCGCTGCGCCTGTTCCAGAAGAGAGTAAGCATTTTTTTTTTTTTTTTTTTTTTTTATTTTTTTTAAAAAAAAAAAAAAAAAAGAAAGAGTTCTATCACTCCTCCCTCCTATCGCCCCCTTCTTTCCCGCTTTTTTTTTTTTTTTTTTTTTTTTTTTTTTTTTTTTTAAATCAACGTCAACATTTCCTATAACCGCTAATGAGGATAAAGTCCAATGCAGAAAAATACAGGAGGGGGGGAAAGGGAGACGAGAAAGGGTTATACAATATGAATAACGATCAACATGTGCGCAAATGTCAACAAAAGTAGTCTTCAGTTAGAAACTGGTCAACATTGAGCGTGGGAGACTGTTTTGAGAGCAGAGCAGAGCAGAGCAGGGCAGAGCAGTGATGTGATGAGATGGTGGCAGTGGCAGTGGATGTGTGGATGTGTGTGCGTGTGTGAACTACGCCATTTTGTTTTGTTTTTTTACGCCATCATCTGTCTTATTTTTGGAATATCCCGAACACCATTTATTTATTAACATTCCTCTCTCTTTTCTTTTTTTTTTTTTTTTTTACGCCTAATGGTAATAATGTAGCACAAGAGCAAAAAGATTGTCTCGACCAATGTCTCACTACAGAGGACGAATGCTTATTAAATTCGATTAGCATGAGCGGATGTGTCACGTCTTATGACGAATGTTATCGTATGTGCATACCAACAACTACACCAACACCAACATCAGTATCAGCACCAGCACCAACCCCAGGCCAAGGACAAGGACAACCACAACCACAACCACAACCATCCATCCCTGTTGTCTCAAAGAATCAAAAACATAAAGATGTCACTCATGAAACCGAGATTTCATCGCCGACTAAAAAGGAGGATGAGAAGGAAACAGAAGAGCAGACACATGAGGAAGAAAAGGATGGAGACGTAGATGTAGATGTAGATGTAGACGTAGACGAGGAGGATGGTGATTTTGTAGAGATTCCAGCACCTCCGGGAGGAGAGGATGATGAGGAATATGATGATGAACCTTCAGATTATTAAAGCCTTTTTTTTTTTTTTTTTTTTTTTTTTTTGTTTAACTTTAACTGCTCAATTGGCACAATCCTTTTTCCCTTCATTCCCTCCATCATCAACATTGGGAAGATCAATCCCCTGGCCGTTTTAGAAAATGAATCACCATTTAATAAAAATATTTATTAAATAGTATAAATCACTAATGCTGTTGCCCCCCAACCTCCTTTTCATTCTTTTCTAAACAAATTAACAGCATTCCCCCTACAAATCTTAAGTTGAAGGACTAGGAGGGGAAGTCAGAGAATGAAGTTGGAGCTGGGGATCAACTTTTTTTTTTTTTTTTTTTTTTTTTTTTTTCCCACTTGAACACATATTTTGATCCCCCGAGAGATCATACCCATTTCCCATTTCGGTTATTGCTGGAATGGTCACGCACAAAGCAAAGTCGTGAAGATTTCGTGACTGTGTGCCAAGCATTGTTGTCATGGCATGGGACATCCATGACCTCTATGATTTAACTAGGCTTGGCTTCTTCACCCATTGATTTATACATGTGCATGATTAAATTGAAAGGTGTTGTACATGTAGAATATTTCGACGCTGTGAGTGTTGAGAGAGATGGGCTATAGGGTATTGAGACATGGTCTGTGCCATGGGAGATGCTTCTTTTCTTTTTAATGGCAGTTGCTGATCTATGATATAGTTAACGTCTTTCTTTTAAAAAGTGTTCATGAGCCCAAAAAAAAAGTTGGTAAAGAACACGAGCACGAGCCAGTGGCACAAAGGCCAAGGTATTCATGGCGGGTAGAAGGCTTGTTTGAAAGACCTTGGTATATACTTATTTGGATCTCATCACTAGGCTTTATCCCCTTGGACCGAAAAAACGGGCAAATTTGCTCATTTAGCTTTCATCAATTCATTTATATGTAGGCAGGTCAGATCCAGTTCTTTGTACTCTTCCTATGTAGAAAGCATTGTCGGTGTTCCAGCCTTACTCTATTGTACATTTTTTATTTGTATGTCAAGAAAAAAAAAAAAAAAAAAAAAAACAATAACAAATAAAAACCAATAGTATAAAATCAATCAGTAGGAAACTTTGTACTGAACATGTATCAAGCTGTATCATCACGATGTGCTACCATGTTCACCTTTTTAATTGCCTCCACTTCTCTGCACATCTATTACCTTCCACTCCTTCTATCCCCAGCCTAAAGATAAACAAAACATCAAGCGTCTCCCTTAATTGTTTTTTACCTCCTTCTCGACGTTTTTTTTTTTTTTTTTTTTTTTTTTTTTTTTTTGCTAAAGGTATGTTACAAAGTCAATCTCCATATTAAATTAAAAATGGTTGCCATTTGAGAGTTGTATTTTTATTTTTAAAAATAAAATAAAATAAAATAAAATAATAAGGCTATGAGTTACATTTGGGATCAAAGTATTCGCCCAAAAGATCTGCTAGCAGAGAGAGAGAGAGAGAGAGATCCACAGTAGTATCATCCAAAGTTACTCGTAGTCTCGCTCAGAGCTCAGTGATGGAGGACTAACCCCTTTGCAACGGAGATAGGTACGGTCCTTCTATCCACCTACATATGGTGTAATAATCCAAGGCTGTTAATGACTGACTTGCGAACCAAACTGTAAGCAGTACTATATCCGGATCCTGATAACCCAACAGTTATATTTGTCGGATTTCTTAAGAGATCTCAGTGCGTTGGTCCGTACCCTACACGGACAGCTAAAGAAAAGCACTTGATACTCAAGATTATCTCTCAGGCCCTGCATTGCATTGGCTGGAAAATTATACATTGACAGCACCCTTATCTGTGACGGTGTTCGTCAGCGCATGGGGGTAATAGGAATGTTCGACAGGCCCTTTGCTCGGCCTGATCTACGTGGTATGCCGTAAGTGGGTTTCTATTACAAGTTTAGTCGCCTTTCCGAAATATCGTACTGCTTGTTGTCTAACATCCTTATGTGCGTGTGTGTTTTTACTAGTAGTGGTGAGTTAGACAATAAGATATCATGGGAGCCTCGCTTTTTGGATGAGAGCGCATTCGGCCATAAGACAGCGACTGGCCCAAAACCTTGGAAAAATGGACATGTCAACCAGGATCCTTGTCAGTAAGCCCTGGGCGGATGAGATTTGCATATTTGGAGTGCAAGCCCGAGATTAACGATCTCGTCTACCGCCCCCTCTTTTGTTGTCCCATTCTCCTGGAATAGGGGAGTCGAGAAATGGAATATGATGAGTGTGAGGCCGTGAATATTGAAGAGCATTGAGAGAGGGGCTCGGGGTTGAACCAGGCCCGGCTGAGAGTACAAGGAACTCGATCCTTTCGAGGCAATTACAGCCCCGCAACTCTCGATATTCCTTTAGGAATTCACTCGGGCTTTTATGAACCACTTGTGTCTCTCTAGGGTTCCCCCCCTCGAAGACCACAATACGGTGCCTTTTATGGATTTCAATTTGTTAGCTGCTGTATTTGATCGATTTTTTTTTGTTTTTTTCAGCCAAAAGGAATAAAATTTGTATATAGTTAGCATTCTGAAGTGTCTGTTTTCTTTTCTTTCTTCTGCTTATCACTTTCTTTTTCTTCTTTGGGTATTTCTTTCTTTCTTTTTTTTCTTTTTTTTTTTTTTTTTGTTGTTGTTTTTACCTTTTCTTCTTTAAATGCAGGGCTGTTTGTCCCACAAGAGAAGAGCCATCAAGACTTTCGGTTCACCTGTATGACATCGCAACTTTTGCCGCTTTTGCTTTTTTACAGTGTCACTAATATATATATATATATATATATATAATATGCAATAAAGTATTGTAGTTTTAGATTTAGAGGCTTATTGACGAGGGGAGCAGCCCAGTTGGAGAAGCTGTATACATACCTTGAACAGGTGCATAAACTATTGAGTGAAGAGTGAAGAAGGAGCGGATATGATGGGTAGGTTTGGTAATGAATAAAAATAATAAGAAAAAAGAGAGATGAAAAAAAAAAGGAGATCTTTTTAAATACAAACAAAAAGGGTCTTTCAATGTCATTTCACAAATTGCGTTCATGATTTCATCATTTGAAATATTCTCTTTCTCGATTATCCAGACTTGCCATCACTGATCAAACAATTTTTTCTGTCATACCTTTAGCCAAAGCGAGCTTGTTTTATAGTCCACAGTCCACGTAAAATAAGAACAATGAGGGCATAGGGCTGAGGATTTCAATAAGGGTGAATGTATGGACGAAGGGAGTTGCGAGTATTTGAGGTACTTTGCTTTTTGTACGTCCTAAAGCAAAACCGATCACAAGGGTAGTGGCAAAAGTGATCCAAATTTATTTTCCTTATTCCTTGATGCCTTATCAAGCATACAAAAAAAAAGACATGAGGAAGCGGGGAGCGAACATCAAGGTCAAAGTAGGGAAAATATAAAATACTTACGAATGGGAGTAGGGATGATACACCATATTCAAGATTTGCAAGCCCGTACAAGCAACAGTCAGGGCTACATTGTTCTCGAGCTGTTTATTTTATATACATAGTAGGGGATACTTGAAATACTCATTTTCAGCCTACCGCGTATCACTTCCTCTTACTTTCCCCCTTCTCTGAGCGAGCCCAAAAACCACCTATCACACATCCCATCGCCCTTTATTTGCGAGTGGGCAAAAAGTCCTTTTTTCTTTTACCCTCTTTCCACTTTATGCCCATGACTAACATAAAAGGTGAGTAGCGTTCCTCAAGCATTCGCCCCTACTGGCGTACTCAGTTCTTCCTCACTTCATACTGAACTGTTTTTGTCCAGGCTCCTCTCTTTCTACCTATCTCTCCTCCGCCTTGACAGCATTTTTTCTAACCAATATGATTGATGATTCCATTAATGTAGTGCATCATCCATCAATGCCGCTTTCTTGAGTCAGCCTCTCTGACAATATGGAGAGCCAACTATTTATCGGCAACTGTAATGAGATTATGAAGCGAGTGAACAATAAAACGGACGGATATCTGGAAGAGAATGGCTTGCTGTAATAATGATAACGAGCCGGAGACCGTGGCTTCGCCACGGCCGACTCTTGCCTCGTTAGAAATTTTATGAAGACAAAATAAAGCGTTACCATCTATAACATTTTTATTGACCGGGATCTTTTTTACCATTTTAAAAAACTACAAACTATATAGAAATACAATAAAGCAAAATCCGGTAAATTGTATACAGCAGTAAAATAAACAAAAAATAAAATACAAAATAAGGAAGAATATCTAGAAGATACGGTAGTAAATGAGAGGATGCTTATTTACAAACCATTCCTTGGAGACAATGTTCCGCAACTATAGCTCAGGTCTGAAATTTAGCTCAATTGCACTCATTGTACCGATATATGCATCCGCCTTCAGCTTGATGAACCTCACTGGTTTTTTTCAAACCACTGGCTCTGCTTTCAATTATGATGCCTTGCTGAGAAACCTTACTACTGGCGCCAGCCATCAATAGCACGATTCCAGTTGATGAGAGGGCCTGTACTGCATTCGCCTTTGCCCTCTCCCCTCATGCTGAGGCCCAGCACGGATGACGACCTTCAGCCGCATGATATCCTCGTGCGCACATTCTCTGACATCTTTGAGCGTATGGGCTATCGGGTAGTGTAGTTCAAGGAGCTGCTGTGGTTACTGCAACAGGCCTTCATCAAGGAATCCCCGAAATGGTTATTACGGAGTCTTGCTTGCTGAGCAGGGTCATGAATGTGAGCATGAGCCTGCAGGAACAGAGAGGCAGCGCCTTCAGTTGGCGTCATAGGATCAATCAGAGTACTAACCCTTCCAATGGTACGAAGCCTGTACACTCCATATAGGTTGTTCGCAAGGTCTTTATCAAGGTTCACTTCCATGGACGTGAACGAAAGAGCGCAGTTATATGCTTATATTTGTTAACGGAATAACTTACCTTGCGGCTCTGCCCATCAAGAAGTTAAACCAAGGCTAAGTGGAGGAATATCCACTTGACCTCTCCCACAGCATAAAGGAAATTCTGGCCGGCTTTTACTACTGCGTTGCACACACATTCTTCAATAAACATGAAGGCACCGCAATAATGGCAACTGACCGGTACCTATATTGCATAATATTGGAACCCAAAACGAAATCTTGGTGAAACCTTTTTCTAGCGGGTGGTAGAAAGTTGTCTTCGACAGAGGAATTATCTTCGGTAGAAGGAGCATCCTCAACAGAAGGATCACCTTTACGCTCGTGTATTCTGAAGGTCAATGGTAAATGGTAAATGGTAATTGTGTAAGATTAAGTACACGCAATGTATAATACAGTATAATAAGCCAATAAAAAACCGAACAAAAAGTAGCACACCCTTGTCTTTGCACGGGTCTTTCATTTTCATCTCCACCATCTCCAAAACAATACTTCGTGTGCACACAGGCCTAGCGCCATTTTGCACTGAGTTACTAACAACGCTATTAAAGCAAGCAGTAAAAAGGAAAAAGCTAAGGATTAATAGTCTATTGCTGAGACGAAAAAATCCAACCGTTGAAAATCAAACTCACCCTTTATTACTTGAGCATGGTCTATATCTACTCCTAGGCAACTGCAGATACTGCATTTATACACTGTAGGAGCTGGTTGACGGTGCTCGCCCTGCAGGTAAGTAATAATGATGGAGGGTTAAAAAAAGAATGACAAAATCTAATGAATATAAAATAGGAACCTTTGCCTTCGAATTGACCCAACATTCTGCACATCGTTGCTGGCAGCGTTATTCAAGTTATAGAAGGTATATAAGCTTAAGCTCAGCATGCACCAACCACTACCATGTCAAAAATAAAATAAAATAAAATAAAAAAAAAAGTTTTCTACGATTGTTAAATACCGAAATCACTCATTCTTAATTATTTGGGTATGAGCTGCGCACATGGCCTGGACGACTGCACCCACATACAGACGTGGAATGGAAGGGGGAGCGAGGCGATTGGGAAAAATCGTTCTGTCTTTATCAGTTGGGAAAATATTATTAATGTTTATATATTCCAAAAACATAAAAACAAAAAGATAAGAAGGCCTTACCACATTCCTTACATTCTGAGGGCATAGTCTCTTGCCATGTCTGTCGCTGCTGCACAGGCTACATGCCATGAGGCGTAGCATTGAGAGGGATCTTTAACTAGTATAGATAATAAAATCCAAAAATAAAATAAAATAAAAATAAATGTAATAGTGGCAAAAGTAGAGAACAGTGGATAAACGTGAATTATATAGATGTAGTCCCTTCGGAAATAAACCGATATTCTCCTCACCTAATGCAATAACAAAAATAAAGTTAAGCATTTTAGCATTGGCGGGTATGCAAGCGAAAATGCTAGAATTTAATTGTTACACTAGATTGTTCCTCGCAGAAGAACTACGTAATGTAAATTATCATTCCCATAGTTTTAGATAGGCTTTCAAGCATTACTTTTGTAGTGTAGGAGGTACTCTTTTATGATCATTACTTGGCTATTTAGCTACCTCTATTATAGACAATGCCTCAGTATGGTACGTAGGTCCCTTGTCCTCTTTTTGTGAGGGAGATTGTGGGATTGAAAGAGAGCGAACAGTTGTTCATGTGGAGGTATGCGGGACGGCTGCTGGAGATCAACTCGGTGGAGTGAGTGCCGTTAGACCAAGGACTTGAGCCTGGCTATCCTTAGAATAGGACAAACACATCCTTGCTGCAAGAGCAACCTACGTCAAGCAAGCACTACATCGAAGTTCGGCTGCAGTCTTAAACCTTTCTACCTCATTTTTCCTTTCTTCCCCTTTTTCCATCTCCTATTCAAGCAATGCAAGCAGGGCAGAGCCGATTGGCCTATAAGCCCAGTCATATTCCTTCACCTGTTCTCCTCCTTGTAAGCTCTCTTCAAACCTCCGTCTCACCGGACTTGCCATGCTTTGATGACCCATTTGGCAGGTGGCGAAGGTCTGACAGATGAACGTATGGAACATATCTTTTTTTTTTCTTTTCAAATGAAGAGTGAAAGATATGTGAAGGTAAAGTGTGTGAAAGCAAGGAATGTGATAGAAGAAGGTGTAGAGTGGTAAAGTACGCCAAGAGTTCAGGCCCATAATATGTATATACTCTCGCATCGTATATTGTTGACATGACCTTTAATAGTGTGTATGGTATACCGTACTCAGAGTAGAGGTCAAATTTTTTTGAGCAAAAATTTTTTGGTGTCGACATTTGCAATGAAGAGAGCACTACCCTTTATTTTCTCTTTTCATTTACAAATAAGATACCTCTTTATTTCCACCCAGGGAGCCATATTGGGGCCAAAGCCACTCTCTGTAGCAGTCACTTTGCCTTCATGGCAGTCACATTTCGGCACGTGCAGACACCCTTTCGTTTTAATATATAGGAATATTAGGATATATAGGATAAAATAAAAGTCGATTAGTCTCTTGCCAGTGCATTTCAACTCATTTTTTTTTAAATAATGGAATTTAATTGATTATGGTTTTATTTGTCAAGCTTTATTCTAATCAGTTTTTTTTAATAATTGTGTTACTAAATCAATCTTTTCTATTAAAAACTGCTCCAGTGATTCTATTTTATCATGCATGTCGCTTTTAATCTTTTCTTGTTGATGAAGCTGATCAGAAAGGCGGGTGATTTTTTCCTCCAGATGGAGCATTCTATTTACTTGTTCCTTGGTCTTCTCTCGTTGGTCAAGCAGCTCGCATGCAACTTTTCTCAATGAAAACGTCATAAAGTCCAGATATTGTTTATTTTGCTTGCCCTTGTTTGTTTTAGGTATTTCTGGAGGTGGCGGGATGGATTGATAAGGGAAAATGATGGGGTCTGGGTCTAGTGCAAGAAGTGGCGCCAAGAATGACAAATGTGCACAATTTTTGAAATGCCTTCGAACTGAATTACGGTCCTGAATAAGTCTCCCACAAAGACAAGAGAACTCCCTCGCATCCTTACTTCCCCGGTAAATTAAGAATTTGCGATTGACATTGTTGATTTCGTAGATCAAATCGACTGGGTTACTGTCATTATGATGCCGATTATAATGATCTCTCAATTGAGGTGTGACATTGAAGATGTGCTGCTCATCACTTCGAACAAATGCAAGATCCAAATTTTTTTTGCAGTCGTCGTAAGTGCAAGACTCTGGAGCGGACTCGTCAATCCCTGTAGTGATCTTGTCAATATCCATTATGAAAGAGAAATGCTTGTGAGGGAGATTGTGATGAGGCAGATTGTAATGAAGGAGATGGTGAGGGAGATTGTTGTGATCACTACGAACACTGTGTAATTTAAATAAAACACTCAACAGACTCTACTCTCTTTTACGTCACAGAAACGGTAATAAACAAAAAAGGGCCAAATATATCGAGTGAAGATTGTTTGAATACATTGTATTTTAAATTATTCATATTTATAAAATTTAAGTAAATATCGTTTTCTTATATAAAGGGAGAAAAAACCAATGGCAGTCTGTCATTCGCCACTCTATTCTGTCTTCAAAATGGACGATGACATCGCTTCTTCTCTTTTTTTCACTTATAATATCCTCTGCGAGCTTAACTACAATGGAGTGTCATCATCACTAGCAATCCACGTCGAATCTGAAGACACTTTGGAGGGCCTCTGTGATCTTCTAGACTTTTACGGCCTTCTAAAACCAATTGAGGAATCCTGGAACGTGCAATTTGATCGAAAATGTTTCTCCTACGCGTGGGTTTCTCCTTTATCCGACCAAATGTACCTCTACGAACGTCTATTATCAAGCGATGTCTTCGGAGACATGTTTTTGTGGGATAGAACTGTTCCTAAAGGAAAATTAATCATTTTCGCTAATACTCATGCAGATCGACTATTCGACGAAGGATAATTATAAAAAATTGTACATACAGACATATGAGGAAGCATAAAAAAGAATTCCACTTTTGATCCGTATCATGGACTCATGACACTTTTAGTTACTAGCAAATACTACTTCCCTTATTTTTTAATATACGCAGCTTTATTCACAAATACTTGCTGAGCAATCTTATATATTATTTTCATATTAATTTTTTTTTTTTTTTTTTTTTTTTTATAGAGGAAGGCACTATTACATTGGAAGGTATTGGGCTAAGGATCTATAGATTTTTTTTTTCTGGTATCATAGCAAGGAAGCTGAGGAGGATGGTTAGGCAAGATTCTACGCTTGGGTGTTAGTGCGTCCCAGCGTTGAGACGCTGCCGAGCTTGACCTCATTCACACTGCTTGAGCTATGCGTTTCAGCATGCCCAATCTCCATAGAATGGTCAGCACCGTTGAGCGAAGGCGCCTTCTTTTCATCCAAGTGGCCGTAGGCCATCTCCCCGAGTTCTGCAAGATCTAGGCCGCGGTGTTCATGATCAGCCTTTACACGCAAAGTCAAACCTGGAACCTTATTCATGATGATTAAGATCAAGTAGGTTACACTGAAGGACCAGCCAAGGCCTGCACAAGAATCTGCAATCTGATAAGCAATTTGAATCCAATTACCATCGAGCCAGCCCCCTGAGATGACAGTGGCACCATCCAAGGCAGCCACCCAGCTTTGAGCAAAAATACCAGTGAGGATGTTGCCGACGATCCCGCCGACTCCATGGACTGCAAAGACATCAAAGGCATCATCATATTTGAGATGGTGTTTCAGGCGTACGGCCATGTTGCAGGCAACAGCACCCAAGAACCCGATAGCAACGCTCGAGGCAGGGGAGACATATCCAGAGCCAGGAGTAATAGCGACCAGCCCTGAGACAGCACCTGAACAGAAACCTAAAACAGAAAGCTTCCGGTCATGGCGAAAGTCAAGCAGAACCCAGGTGATGCCACCGACAGAGGCCGCAAGATTGGTCACAACGCAGGCCATAACGCCACGCAAGTTGGCAGAGAGAGCAGAACCGCCGTTGAAGCCGAACCAACCGAACCAGAGGAAGCAGGTACCAATCACAACATTACTCATAGAATGGGGACGGAAATCCTTGTGATCACCTGAGCGTCTTCCAAGGACGAGAGCATAGGCCAAAGCAGCACCTCCAGAGGAGATGTGAACGGGCGTGCCTCCTGCAAAATCCAGTCCACCCATAACAAAGCTCCAACCGTTAGCACTCCATGTCCAGCAGGCAATAAAATCATAGACGAAAGTGGTCCAGAGGAAAATAAAGACAAGGGTGGGCAGGATACGGCCGCGCTCCGCAGCGGCTCCGATGGCCAAGGCAGGGGTGAGTGCAGCGAACATGCATTGGAAGATCATGAAGACAAGATCGGGGACCTTTGCTGACCCAACAGAGGGTTGGTCCAAGACCCCTCGAAGGAAAGCGTTCTCAAAGTTACCAATGAACTTGCTTCCACTTTTACTAAATGCTAATGAATATCCAAAAAGGAACCACTGAAAATAACAACATCAAGGAGATTGGTGAGAAAGAATGTATTGGATAGGAGTATTTAAAAAAATGCTTTGAGTGCCTCCATATGCCTTCTTTTACCTGGAAAGTGACAACTGCCACTGAGCAGCAGGAAAGCATGATCAGAGAAAGGGCATTCTTACTGCGGGCCATGCCAGAGTAGAAGTAGCCAATTCCTGGGATCATGAGCCAGACTAAGGCGGTGGAGGTCAGTGTCCAAGCAATATCACCAGCTTGATACTGTGACCCAATAATGGGTGCTTCTTCTGAAGAGTTCATTGTAGGGAAGTAATCAATAAAGATCTTTTTTTTTTCCCTTGCCTGTGGAGTGAAGGATATGGTATTGAGGATAAGCTCTTCGGTGATTGGAAGTGGTGAGGAAGAGAGTAGGTAGAGAGAGCAAAGAACAGAGACGACCAAAGACACCGCTGTGATGCATGCAGGATGAAAGGAAGGAAAGATCAACTCATGGAGTATTTATACGCTGTTTTTAGTGGACCAAGAGCCGGAAGAGGAAACGAATAGCCATCAGTATGCAGAGAGATGCTGCAGGCACTGAGATGAGCAATATAATAAGCAGCTTTGTACTCGGGGACCGAAGGATAAATACGTGCTGCATTCCCAAACAAACAATTAGGGAAAAAAAAAAAAAAAAAAAAAAAAAAGAGGGAGCACATTTAAAGTTTATTAATACAACAACGACGTAGTCCATGCGCTGTTAATGTATTCTGCTTTCCAATGTACGTAGATGGACAGGGGATTGACTGTCATCTTGGAGAATAAACATGAAAATTTGTTATTCATGTAGCATAGCGCCACAGCATTTAAACAGCTGTGTACCACAGATAGGGAGACATTGGGGGGCAGAGGGTGCAGTGTTGGAGGTTTGATAATAATTGCCATTGATTGAAATTTCGTTCTTTTCATAGACACATGGCTTCTTATCCATGATAGTAAAAGAACCACGTGTTCTTAATACGCCTAGGCCTTTATTTTTTATTTTCATATTTATTTATTTATTTTCTGCCCCTCAGGCTGTTGTTGTTCCTGGTAGGCCTTCAACATTGTTCCGACTATTCATCCGCGCCAACTTATACTCTTAGAACTAGTCGTACGAGATGGAGAGTTTTTTTTTTTTTTTTTTTTTTTTTTGTAATTTATGTCCAATATATCCTGTAAAAAATATTTGGACTTCGCCATGGAGAATTAGGAGAATAAGGAGTCCACTCTCTAATCTTTTTTTTTTTTTTTTTTTTTTTTTTTTGGCGGCGAAAACACATGTTTGTGGCTGAAAATATTTCATGCTTATCTTTCCGCGTGATTCATATCCTCCTTTTTCCTGGCTTTGCTCTGGACCGAAGGATCTATTGGAAATATCAAAAACTACGTTTTTGGATCTTCAAAAGATGATGGAAACCAAAGCTTTTATTCTCTTTATTCCATACAAAGTGGATACCGTCCTTCTTGTTTGTGTGCACAAGTAAAGGTACATGCACCGTCACCTAAAATAAGGTTTTGGCCAAAAAATAAAATATTGAAATAATTACTTTCTCTTCTGTTTTCCACATATAAACAGCTTGAGTAAACCACCATGCCGATACATTTAGATATCGAAAATAAAGGCATCATCGTTGGGATGCGCCCCTCAGGTATGAAGCCTGCGGAAATCGCATTGCAACGCGGTGTACCCCGAACCACTGTTAATAATATTTTCAAGGTGTACCAAGAAAGAGGTGTCACCGCTTGCGCTCCGATCTCAGGACGGCCCAAAGTGCTAAGTGGACGGGACCTCAGAAGTGTCTTTCGCCATACTAAGAGAGGTAGAAAGTGTACTCTTAAGGACATCACCAACCAATTGCCGAATAAAGTGTGTGAGAGAACATCTGCGGGGGCATTGCATTCTCTGAGTATTTTCAGCAGGATTGCAGTAAAAAAATCACTCTTAAAAGAAGAGCGTATGAAGAAGCGATCTTAGCTCGCCAAAAAATACATGGGCTGCTCCATGGAAGACTGGAGTCGAGTATTTTGGACTGACGAATCATCATTTGAAGTTGGTGGGCATTTTTGTCAAATAGGGGTTTGGCGTAAAGTAGGGGAAAAGTAGGACCACGATTGCCTCACACCCACTTTCAAGAGTGTTAGGACAACTCTGATGGTCTGGGGTGCGTTGACAGCAGCCAGAAAGCCTCGGTTGGCTGTATTTGAAAGAGGTTGTAAAGATGGAAAGATGGACGGTGTTTCGTGGAAGATAAATATCAAGGTTAGGCTCGCCACCAAGTCTGAGGTCGAAGTTAACGTAAAATTGCCACGTTTTTTTATTTTTAGTTTATCAATAAGGTTTATCGATAATCCAAAATTAAAGATTCCGTGCGCAGCACTTTCTGACCAGACTCAACTGCCACCCACCCTTTTGCTTTTTTGAGTGTCTTTTACATTATGCTTTTAGCACAAAGCAAAGGGTCTTTCTATCAAGAACCGGAAGCGAGCTATTAAAGAGAAAAGTAGAAAAAGTGTAGCCAAAGTTATTGCGTTGTTTTGAAGGATTATTTTTGCTGGGAGAAAAAAAGCTATTGGAGTGGCCTAAACATTCTGCCATCATAAGTGCAGCGCAGTGAGCGACATCACTGCATTTCCAGCTTTCTTTCTTTCATCTCTATTCTCATTCCACCGCTTTCTTACTTCTCTTCATTCCAATAACAATCCAATTATAACACAAAACATTTCACTCCTTTTCGCTCTTGGGAAAGGTGGCCGACCATTACTAAATCCCCCTTCCACAGCTGCAAAGTATCCAAACTCACCATCCCTCTTCACAAAGGCTGTCGTACAGACCATCTGGTCTCTATGGTTCCTGAGAATGCGGATATGCGTATATGGAATACTCAGGCACTCTGGGAGCATTGCAGAGATGGATCTCATAAATGCATATTAATATTAATTTCACCCTCGTCCCGAGCGCTCTTTTTTTTTGATGAAGTGATACTAGACGCAGTACGAGTATGTTATACTAAACTTTCGTTATTTTGGTACGCAGTACGAGTATACCATACTGGACACTTGATACTAAAGTCAATATGATCTTTTTATATCTGTATGGATTCGATAACATACCTCTAGCAAAAAAGGGGGCGGAAAGGTGTTTTGCATTTTTGTAGGCAGGAAATAAAAAATGAAAATGGTGAATGGGGCTAAATGCACTAAAAAAGTGGAGGCAAGTAAATGGTGGACATGGTGCATCGTGATGATATAGCTTGATATATGGCTTGATAAATGGTGTTTGCTGATATTTTTTTGGTGATTGATTTTTTACTAATTAATTTTTACTGATTTTTTCCCACAAACTCATAGGCGGATCAGATCCAGTTTTCTGTGCTCCCTACTAGCAGAAATCAGCCGCCTATTACATACAAAGGAAGGAAAAAAATCAGTAGAAAAAAATCAGCAGACACCATATATCAAACTATACCATCACGATGCACCAAGTCCACCATTTACTTGCCTCCACTCTTTTAGTGCATCTAGCAGCATTTACTATTCTTCATTTTTTATTCCCTGCCTACAAAAATGCAAAACACCTTTCCGCCCCCCACAGAGGTTTTTCTAAATTTGGTGTAAGAATTAACCTTATTTTGACCCTGCATGGATCTTTTTAGCAGTGGCCAAAAAATCTTTTTCTTGCTTGCGTGTAACAATATAATTTTTTTTTTTTTTTTGTCAACCTTTCTGCATAATTAGCTTCCTTAAAATTGCTATAATCAGATTATTAGCGCTCCGCCTTGGTTTTAAGAATAAAGAAGAGAATGATAGAGGAATGTTACATGGTCACTTTTAGTACCTTTACTTTATACTTAAGTTTCCTTCTCTTTTTTTTTTTTATATTATCAGCACAAGTGCGCCTAGAACTTGTGTTGGTATTTATCAATATTGCAATAGACTCTACATCCAGAATAGAAACAATCTGCAAGTGCATTTCATTTTTTTCATTTTTACAAACAAATACAATGTGAGCTCATGTTAACATTTGTATTAATGATTACTGACCTGGATTACTTCTCAAAACCACCACCTGCAATCAACCTACATCGACCTCCTCTTTTTGTTTTGCTGATTGAAATGTTAAATGATGAACTATCTTAGGTATTTCGGAGAGACAACTTGTTCAATATATACCGCCACCGATTTTAGGCATAAACCAAGATTTTGATGAGTCTGGGCGCTCAACACGCCGTCGTTTTTTAGTGGCTCCAGATTCAATACACACATAGTCCAGTTTTTTTGGATAGTGTGCGGAATATGACATTAAGTGATATCCCATCATGTGAGGCTCCCAATTCCTATGCAGCTAGAAGATTCGAAGCAGAGTCGATGATTACAACACTGTTTAGCATCGATGTTGGAGTGGTTCGTGTCCTTGAGCCTAAGACCACAATACAACAAATTAGGGCAATACACCGCGGCGAACCTGATCTTATGTGCCTTCTTGAATCAGGAGTAATTTTGTTCCCCATTGAAGTGAAGAAACCCTATTTGTTGTTTGTTAATGAAGGGTCCGAACTAGGTGACGCTTACAACGCAAGTAGACACCGAGTATCGACAGGGCCAGTTCGTCCATTGCGACAAATTTTAGGCTACATGTGGTGCAGCGGATACCGCTATGGAGTCCTCACTTCTCTGGAACAAACCTGGTTTATAAGACTCCGCATTAATGACGCTGGTGATCAAACGTGAGATATTGAAGTATCACCAACTGTCTATCGCAGCCAAGCTGACCCGACATTACTGCTGAGTTACTCTGGTTTATTAGAGAGACTAACCGTGATGCAAACAGAAATCCGATCCTCCAAGCGAGCAGGGAATCAACAAATTGACTCTTCCGGATCATGGTGATAGTGCAGTCCGCCAGGCCCTACTGGAACAAGCAATCATCAATAAAAAAAAAAAAAAAAAAAAAAAAAAAATTTACAAGGCAAGAGATTATACAAAGTGCATCTGTTATCCTCCGCTTCTATTCCCACTCCAAACCGGGCAGATATCCAATAAAAATGAAGATATAACAAATGGAAAAAAGAAACAAAGGGGTCGTCAACTGGATTAATTCCGAGATAAATATTGTCCTCGTCATTTGGTCATGAACATATTCTAAAAACATATAATTATTGAATTGATTTGGTCGGCTCAGAATTTTAAATAATCTTAAATGAGTTGGTGGCCAAAATCAGCCACCGATTCAATGCTCAAATCCCATTCAATCAATATTTTTTTACAATATCTATCTATATGCACATGACCAAATGACGAGGACAATATATACCAACACGTTTTGAGTGTCTTTCCTAGGGATTTATTATAGCCGTGGCAAAGGGGATTGGTGTCTGCATGATTGTAGAGTGGTCACCAAGATAAAGTTTGTTGATTTCCTCTGGAGGAAAATGCTTGTGCTATGGTTTCCCGTTTGATTCGAGTTGTCTACAGTTTGCCCTTCAAGAAGCGAGCCATTTTGACCCGCTTCTTGAGAGTAGACTGCACAACACAGCCATGGGTTGCAAGTCCAGGCTCCTCTGTGTCATCGTGAATATCGTCGTCTAAGAGTGAGCTATTAGTAAAAAGTGACTCCAGTTATTGTTATATGTATACTTGTTAAAGGTGTCTTTTTTGTTTTAACTTGAAACAAGATCAACACAAGAGGGACCGAGATCTGTGCACTATTCCTGACGCACAAACTTCAATTGAATCAGATAACAAAGGGCACTTTCTCCTTCATTACCTCCGCGAGAAATGATATTTATATGTGTATACCACCAGTTTTTTAAAAAGACATTTGACCCAGCGAACTTATTAACTTGAAACTGGATGTGATAGTTTCCTTTTTTTGACATGAGATGACGTTTTTCTTTTATTTCTTTTTGCGTATTTGCACAAACGACGGGATCAGACAAGGTATATACATATTCCTAGATGTATGCAGTATCAAACATGGACAGGTTTTTTTTTTTCTTTCTTTCTTTCTTTCAACGGATAAGAAGAGGGAGAAGGGAGAGGAGGGTAATCTTTTATTTATTTATAACTATTTTTTTTACTTACTATATTTATAACACTCATTGTTTTCTTTCTCTCCTTCCTTCCCGTTAATAGAAAAAAAAAGACTCGTGGGATACAAACAAGGGTCCAAAAGATTGAGTATAGACATACACATGCACATGTATCTTAAACTCACAGACCTTCAGGTCTGGTATATGTTATCTGCAGAAGGATATGTATCTTTTTTTTTTCCAAAAGGACCGATGAAAGGGTTTTCCCTTTTTTTCCACCCCCCTTCTTGATCTTCTGCATGGGCATACCCTTTTTTGTTTTATTAATAGCTATCCATCTAACCGAGGGATTTTTTTAAAAAAAAAAAAAAAAAAAAAAAAAATGTGAGCCCAACTTTTATAATTTTTTTCTTTACACGCGCGAATGTGATTTCCATTAAAACCAATGGGGACATCAAGTGGAATAGTGGAACAAAAAAGGATTAGACAAGACACATTCTTTGTGGAAATGGAAAATGTTGTGAGCCCACATTTTCTTGTACTCCAAAAAAAAAAAAGCGGGCCCTCTCTCCCCTTCCTTCGACCGTTAAAACGACTCCAAGTATTGTTGTTGTTATTGTTGTTGTTGTTGTTGTTGTCATGATTATTCTCTCATTGCTATTTTGTTGTTGCAAGCGTAATAAGCGTATATAGGCGTATCTAATAAATAAAGCGTAGTAAGCAAATTACATTTGTACGCATTGTTAAAAAGTCGGATATTATTCATAAAAAATTAAAAAAAAAAAAAAAAAAAAAAAAAAGAGAACAAAAGAGAACAAAAGGCAAAAAAAAGACAGTAAAAAGGCGTTTTCTTTCTCCATTACGAAATTATATATTAGGTTTTATTATTATAATCGCATTCTACTTTTTAATGTTTTGTTTTGTTTTGTTTTTGTTCTCTCCTTTAGAGCATCAAACCAGCAGCGGCAACAATGACCAAGGCAGCGGTTGAGCCAACCTTCAAGGCACCAGCACTGCTGGGCTTGTCAGAGGGAGTGGGACTGCTAGAGGGCTTTGTGGCGGCGGCGGTGGTGGGGTTTGCCTTGGTAGGGGTGGCGGAAGCACCACCGGTGGTGGTGGCAGCCTTGCTGGTGGAAGCAGGCGTGCTTGGGACCTTGGGGTTGTTGATGGTGAAGAGAGCAGAGTAAGACTGTCCATCATCACCGTGGCTGACATAGATGGAGTACAAGCTGCCGGAGGCAACGGTGTCAGGGATCGTGACGGTGGACCTGCCCTTGCTCTTGCAGTCAAGGGTACCGATGGGGGCAGTGACACCAGGGACCTTATCCTGAACGCCATCAGGGCGCTGCATGTTCAAGTTGATGTCAAAAGTGGTCTTGTTCAAGCTCTTGCAGTCATTGGTCCACTGAACATAGAGAGAGTTAGGCTTGGAAAGATCCCAAACGCTGGCACCGATGGGGTATCCGAAGGAGAGAACTTGAGCCGAGGCAACGGAGGCAAGGGCAGAGGCAGCAATGGCGATAAAAGCGGACTTCATGGTGAGAATGTAGAGGGGGTTTGAAGTTTTTCGAACGAGGTGAGAGAGAGTTGAAGGAATGGAAAAAAAAAAAAAGTGTTCTACAGGGGTAGCTGTGGAGGGATCAGATTGAGATAAGGAAAAAAAGAAAAAAGAAAAGAAAGAAAATGGGAAAGGGTGGTGGATAATAAATACTTTTTTTCTTTCGCGACTAGACTTTTTAGAAGAGTTGAATGGGTGAATGGGCTGTCATCTTTTAGTTGAACTTTCAAATGCTCTTTTTACTCTTTTGCCCATGCAAAAAAAAAAACTATAAAGGTTTACTGACTTACTTTGGTAGGCTCATCAGAGAAGACTCCAAATTTACATTTTTAAACGCACGCTCTCTTTTCCCTCTACATAATCTCTTTTCTGTCTTTGCTTGGAAGGTCGCAGTCGGAGCATTGCATCAATTTATAAGAGCCCTTCTCATTGGCAGAGAGCACTTTGTTCAAAGACAAGAACTGAACGAATTGAGAAAAGCAGGGTAAAGAGGAATTTATATATCAACAAGCACAGAGCCATCTTATCTTTCTCTTTACCTTTTAATTTTACTTTTCTACTTTCTCAATTAGCAATCGGTACTGGGGCTATGGGCAATGGGCTTTGGGTAATGGGCTTTGGGCATTGGGTAATATGTATATATATAAAATGTAATATGCAAACCAACTTTCCCTTGTCTCCGCCCTTGCAAACGCCCTTGCTCATTGTTTTGATAGCCATGCGCCATTCCTGGGTAACTTGTCCAGTATATATATAATATATATGTATATAAATATTTACAGTACTTTCAAGATGTGCACGTCATTAGAACTATACATTGACCCTACTCTAGTTTTTAGTTTGGTCCTGGCATCCCTAGGTCAATGGTATAAAGCTTGACTGCCCGTTGCTATTTTCTCTCCTCCCCCCCCCCTACCTCCCTTTCCCTTATGCAGACACACAAATATGATGTAGAAGCGTATTTTTATTATTAGTCTAGTCTAGTCTAATTGTTTGCTGTTTTATTTTTGTTATTTTTTTTTATAAATGTGTGTTTGTGTATAAATGTGTATATGGATGTGTATGTATATAAAAATGTGCTTGTTTGTGTGTATGTGCATGCATTAGTTCTTTCGAAGTGTCCGCTGCTTCTCTGCGTGTTCAACAATTTTCTGTTCTACAAACAGTCCCTTGCGTTTTCGAACTGCATCCATATATTTCTTGGCCACATTCTCGCGGTCCGCCTTCTCCCCCAGATCCTCCAACTCCTCAATTGTGTTCGGTACCCAGAACGGGTCCATATCCAGAACCTCAAAGTGCGAAAAGATCAACTGAGGCGATGCTGCCCCAGATGTCCTCTTGCGGATATCATCTGCGAACCCAAACGATTCAACCACGGGCAAAAGTGCCTGGATCGTAAAGAACGGCGTTCCCTCCTTCATCTCTTCGTGTAGGATCTTGCCTTTGCGACGCGCAATCACAGCATACACTTTACCTAAAACATCAGCTATTAATAACATAAACAATAAGAAAAAGAAAAAAAAAAAAAAAGGGTCATTAATCTGAATTAGGAAAGAATTGCTCAGAGTCTTAAACAAGATGGACGCAATCTTTTTTTTTTTTTTTTTTTTTTTTCCTTCTTACCTGTTGCCTGAATATCACAAGAATACATCGCCAACATCAGGCGAGGACTCCATTCCAAAAAGCCTAACCTACAAGCATCCCTCATCGTCGTGATGACTTGACCACTCGTTACTGCCATCCTGGATCGACCCTCGTTACCTGTACTCTCCTGTGTATCCTCCATAATCTCAATCTCCCTCAAGAAAAAGGCCATGCCAAGCATGGGCTCACTGCACAATGGTCCAGCATTGGTCGCAATCTGGAAACCAGTCTGCACAGACTCTGCCATGTCTTGAATAGATATCGTGTTCTCCTCCTCCTCATTCTGACCGTTATTACTGTCGCTGCTACTGCTACTGTTGTTACTAGCCTTGTTACGAGTGAAATCGATGCCGAGATTGTTGATCAAAAGATTAGGTCCAACACGACGTGGTCCAAATGCCAAGATGTCCTTCTCTTTTCCTCTCCATTCTTCTCCAGCTTTAGCAAACAATGGCTTAAGTTCTGTCATCAGCTTCTCTCTCTCCTGAGCTTCCTCCTCAGGCGTCAGACGAACAGTCAGTGGTGATCCAGGTCCTCTGTTGCCGCTGCTATTCAAAGAGCTTTCGATATAGCGTTGAATCTGATCACCATGCTCAACAAGATACTGTCGAAGTTCAGCAGGAATAGGGATTGCTCTAACCGCTAGGCGCACATGTCTGTTCGGTGTCAAAGCAACAATGGTTCCTCGTGACCCTGTCTCACTCTTCGCAATCAACTTTTCGCCTTGTTCGCGAGCCTGGTAGGCTTCGTTCGCTGACATGGCGTTGGATGTTACCAATTGAGCTGGCGCATCCACAGCAGTCTCACGGAAGGGTACAATGGGTTCACTCATAGAGATCTCGATCCTCGCAAAACGTTCTCTCAAATCTGCCATGCATCTCTGGAGATGTACCTCACCCGAGGTCAGAATAACGTGTTCTCCTGTCTCTTGGGTCAACACCTGAACTGAAGGGTCAGCCTGATTAAGCAATTGCAATCCCTTGATAAGCTCCGCCATCTGTGAAGGATTCTCGGGTTCCAAGGCCACACGAACAATCGGTGCAGCCTCGAGTCCTTTCCTGACCAGATTTTGCCCGCCCTCCCACTCTGCACTCCAAAGAGTTCCATACTTCAAAACATGTCCCTCCAGCCCTCCAATACCAAACACATTACCGGCAGGCACTTCCTCCAACCCAATCAAGTCTCGACCCATGATCATAAACAAGTTATCAACAGTCACCTCACTGCAATGAAGTGTTGGCTGTGCGGGATCATACTTTGGTCCGAGGACCTTTAGCTTTTGTCCAACACGAACAGTACCAGAATAGATTCGAGCAAATCCAATCAAAGTCTCTTTCCCTTCCAGTTCATCCGCCGCTGCCTTCTCCTCTGCCTCTGCCTGGGCTCTGTTGGCAATGATGTCGGCCACATTCACATGCACACCAGCCTCTCCGACCTCAGCGGCTTTGGCGCTTGCAATAAGTTGTTCTCTTTGGACCCTTCCACGCTGTCGCATTTCCTCAGCTGTCAGGGCCTTGCGCTTGTTCTTGGGCAAGACCTCCAAGGGAACACTGACCATCTTACTGACATACGCGACTACACCACTAGAGGCATCACAGTTCACCATGCCTCGCTCCCACTCCTCCACTGGTTCCGGTGGTTGTGCCTCGAATGGATGCAATAGCTTTGGCATTCGAATCTTTTGTGCTACTGGTGGTGAAGGAAGTTGTTCAACAACAGCCAACAAAACACATGTCGAAAGTGGGAGCCATTGTGAAAAGATGGTGATCAAAACAGCCCGTGTATCCCTTGATTTCAAATCTCTGGGCAAAACCTTCAGATTGAGTGACTTTACGACCTTTTCCGTCATGTCCTTGTCTGGTGAGATGACAACGACCTCATAGACCTTCCAAACGTTTTCGAGAACCATTTGGACCGCCAGAGGTTTCAATGCCCGGCCTTTCAGGCCCTTGTATCCGATGACACGCTTGGTCTTTGGATCCAGATAAAAATCTCCCCAAAGGCACTTTCGAAGGACAGCTTCCTTCATCCCAAGTTTCTGAGCATAGATCGCTGCAAACTGATCCACTCTGAAAGCCCATCCATCGATGGCAGAAGCAAAGATGACGTTGCCCTGAGAAGGATGAAAGTAAATGTGTGAATCGTCCTGAGTTTCAACATGCCAATCCGAAAATGTGTCTTCAAGACCACTCGATGTTGATTCATCATTTCCTTGCTGCTTTTTTTTCTATTTAGAAATATCCAGTAAAGGAAATAAATAAATAATAAGTATAAAAAGGTAATGTAACATAATGGATATCGCGCACGCGACGCGATTTTTTTTTTTTTTTTTTGACATGATTACATAATCGTCATCTATAAATATATATACTGTCTTAAAATATCATGGCCTTTATAACAAATGTATCCTTACCTCTGCCTTTTTCCTATAATCTTCTTCCAGTACATTCTCAGAGAAGAAAGTTCCCATGACCGCATTGACCTGTTCAAGAATCTTATTCAAATGAATGTATGCTTCCAATGGAGTAAACTGCAATTCTGTGATCAGACGATCAATCTTATTAATCACCAAGACTGGACGAACAGATTCTTTCCAAGCCTGACGTAGTACGGTGTGTGTCTAATTAAAAAGTTGTTTTTTAAAAATAAAAAATAAAAATTAGATCAACGTTTGTAATACTTGCTTAATACAAAAAGAAAAAAGAAAAAGAAAAAAAAAAAAAGTTCCTTGTTACGCGTTCATTCCATAAGCTTCTTGCCAAATGCATATATATATATATATATATATATATATACCCTACCTGAGTACACACTCCTTCGACAGCGTCAACAAGCACCAATGCTCCATCACATAATCTCGATGCTGTTGAGACCTCTCCTGAGAAATCGACATGACCTGGTGAATCAATGAGATTGATAAGATATTCCTCCGAGACGTTCTTCTTGGCTAATAAATACATGAAGACATGATATTGGTTAAAAGGTGAGCAAGGGGGGGAAAAAAAATAAAGATAAGCAAAAAAAAAACACGCGCTTCTTTTCAAGATTATCAAAAAAAAAAAAAAAAAAAAAAAAAAGCTACCTTCTGTTGCTGGCGATTGGGCAGACTCGGATTGGACAGAGGGTTCAGGAGACGTTGGAGTATTGCTCTGATCCGTCACTGTGGAGGTGGAGGTGGAGGTAGCAGAGGCAACACGTCGCATGATTTTGAAATAGAGTGAGATCGCACTGGATTCCATTGTGATACCGCGCTCCTGTTCATCCTCTCTCGAGTCCAGATATCGGATTTTGCCTGCGAGCTTTGAGGAGATAATGCCATTGGAGGCAAGGAGGGAGTCTGAAAGAGTCGTTTTGCCGTGGTCGACATGGGCAAGGATACAGATGTTGCGGACATGGTCCTGGTTGGCTTGTAGCCGAATGAGGTCTGACTCTGGGATTGAAGGCATTTTTATTTAATTTTATTTTTAAATTTGAAATGAGAAATTCAGAGCAGTAAGAAAATAAGAAAAAGAGAAGAGTGGGAAAGAAAGGTTCAGAGAATGTATTTTTTCTTTTCTTCTTTGTGAAAATGAAATATATAATATAGAGTATTTATTGAAAATGAATGTCAACAATAGAACAATGGAACCATTGGAGTTTTTATTGACAATGCAGGTAATGCAAGGTGGGAAAACTGTGGAGAGAAAAAAAGAGACTGCGGTCCGCAGGTCTGTCCGCAGCAAAAAAAAAAAAAAAAAAAACAATTGTGACTGTCTGGCCTGTTCTCTTTTTGGGGTCCCTGCCCTGACAACATTGTTTATTGTTTAAATGTTCTTAAACATCATTGAGCAATGATCCCCTTCTTGTGTTCAACTTCTAGAGCTTCTGGAGCAAGGACAAGAGGAGGATGTCTCGTTCACATGAAACGTCCCCTGCCGCTCATGCGGCTCATTCAGTCACACCATGCCTTCAGTTCTTCATGCCACCTTCATACGACAACAACAACAACAACAACAATAGTAACAAAAGTACCATATCGGACCTCAAGTTCCCGATCTACACGGTTTCAGACAACCCCATTATGCTCTTCAATATCACCTTCTGTTCCCAAACTATATAACTCACGTTTACTTTTGTCAAAACCCAGCAACCCTTCATGTTTTCTAAGCTCCTCAGCATTGGATATTACTAATGAATCAGTAGAGCATCACCATCACTCCACAAAGGATTTGATCGGCAAGCCTTGTCCTGGATGTGGCTCACCCTTTCAGACTGATCGTCCTCAGGAGGCGGGCTATTTGACAGGAGTAGCTTCAGAGCAGACACGATCTACGAATAAGGCACCGCCCAAGTCAACAGCCCCCTCAAAAGCCGATAAACCAGACATTGATCCGAATGCAACCTCCATGTCCCATGCTCAATTTGAACAATATCTCAAAGTTCTAGATCCGAAGATCCTTGAAGAGATGGGTATCGTTACAAGCACCCCTGAGAAGAGCAGTGCAGGAACAAACACTAATCCGGACGAGGAGTCATCACTACTTGATATGAAACCAGCAGTTGCACGGACTGGTGCTCCTTCAAGGATAGTCTGTCATCGCTGTCATTCGCTATCCCATCATAGTTCGCCCCTGGCTGATTCTTCAGTATTACCCTCGATCTATTTTCCTTCTCCTCCAGCACCCGTACCAAAGTATCTCGAAACATTAGCACAATCCAAAACTGCGACTGTTGTCCTGGTTGTAGATCTGATCGATTTCCCACTTTCACTTCCTCAGCCCATCATTCAGGAGCTACTAAAAGTTAAGCATCGGAAAAAAAGTGGCAGAACTTCCCCGGCTGACACCAAAAAGGAATACCCTGTCACACCCATCATCATCGTAGGCAACAAATTCGACGTCATGCCCCTGGGTACTCAAAAACATCAGGTCATCCGGGTTCTGCAGGACTATCTCGAAAAACATGATCTGGCGGAGAACATCCGGGCCATCCATCTGGTCAGTGCAAAGAATCCAAGTGGAGATGAAATCAGGTTGCTTTTGAAGAGCATTGGTACTGCATGGCATAAATCCGGCAAGGGTAATGTGGTCATGGTAGGAGCAGAAAACGTAGGCAAGAGTCAGCTCCTGAATGCGTTCCTGAAGGAAAGTGGTCGATGGAGACCCAATGAGCAGCAGGTTCATCAGCAAAAGTATGGTGATGAACAACAAGAACGCCAAAGGAAACTACGTATTCTTTTAGGAGAGGAGGAAGACTTTGATAATGCTGAGGATAAAGAATGGGCGGCCATGACAGGGATGAATACTATCAATTCCGATATAGACAAATATGAGACACTGTATAAAGGCAGAGGTCAAGAAAGACTAGTCAAGTACCAGACCACAGTTTCGAATGTTCCCGGAACAACCATGGAGCGGATCAAAGTGCCGCTGAGAGTTCTGTCGAGGTTCATGGGAGCAACATTTAAAGAAGTTCAGACCAAGTGGCTAATGGATACACCCGGTATTCGAGCTAGCAGAGGTCAATTGACTAGTTGGCTGACACTGGATGAGCTCAAAGTGACTTTGCCAAAGAAGATGCTAAAGCCAATGAGCTTTATGCTTGAGGAAGGTAAGAGCCCGTTAGTCAAAGTGAGAATTGCAGACAGTTGCGTTTATGATCAATGGACCTGGATACTGATATATGTTATCCTGCTGCTGTTGCTGTTGCTGTTGTTGTTGTTGTTGTTGTTGTTGTTGTTGTTGTTGTTGTTTCTGAAACAATAGGAAAGTCGTTCTTTTTAGGAGGACTTGTCAGAATAGACTGTATCTCCATTGGAAACCCAGCAGGGGAATCTAACACATATGCTACCCAGAATGTGAATGATCCTCCTTCAGGATCCGAAGACATGTCATCTGTCCAAGGGGATACAGCACCTCGCCAACGAGGATCCAATCCTATGCCCAAGATTACAGTATTCACTACACTACCTCTCCACAAGACTTCAATCGCTTCTGCGGATAAATTCCTACAAAAGACATCACAGGGCGAGTTGACGGCTTTGCAGCCCCCATTTGGGAGTGTAGAACGTCTATTAGCATTTCCTGGATTAAAACCAATCTCTGAAAAGGATATAGTGATCATTAACCAGAACAGTACACAGATAGATCCGGAGAGGATGACCGCTCGAGAAGTTGAGAATGCGACGCGTCAGCTGTGGGGACAACGCGGGATCTGTGATATAGTCTTTTCTGGCATTGGCTGGGTCATGATCTCTGGTAAATTCCAAGGCAAGGATCAGGCTGTGAAGCTAAAGATCTGGACACCCAATGGCCAGGGAGCCATGATCCGGGATATGTGTCTCTTACCGGATCTGGCAGCCAATCCTGTAGACAAATCTGCTGGAGGCATTCGACAGAAACAAAAGGTCTTTATGCCTCTACCCAAGAAGGATTCATCGGAGCCTATAATTTCTGCAGACGAGAACGAATGAAAGATTAGGGATGTAAAATAATAAAAATACTAATCATTCTCTAAGATGTCGTCTGTACCATGTGAGTGGTATTTTAAATCATCGTGAATCCTGTCCATTCTAAGTAGTCTTTTTGGATGGCTGCTATTCAAGGAATACTAACCAATTCCGCTAAATCAAGACAGATTTGGAGAACCAAACAGTCGCCGTTCCAATAACTTCAGCCTATCGGCTCCTATTCTCACTGGACATATATAAACACCAGATTTATGCATATTTTTATATTTTCGATATTTTCTATTTATTGACTGGTGTTCTCTATTCGCTTCTTGAGTGCCACGAAAGCCATGATCGTAGCCTGCAGATGTCTTAAAGCAAGGATACAAGCGAGAAAGCTGTGTTTACCTCAAATCTCTTTCTCATATTAGAGCGTGTCTACCGCCATAAATTGCTATCCTTCTGCAATTCCCACCATTTGGATAATAACAAGAATGCTTTTCATATCACCTTCGTCTGACTCTTCGAGCCGAGAATTAAGACTAACTCCAAGGGTTCGCAGGGTACCGCTTCGGAAGGGTACCAAAGAGAAACCGGCGATCATTAAATGGTAATTCTGGTACTGACACTAATTGACCAGGATAACGCCTGAGGGAAGGGCGACAATGGTGGTGTAAGAGTTTTGGGGGACTTCGATTGAACAAGGTGAGCGGAGAATTTTATTGAAAGGGCTGTTCTTGAAATGTATATGGAAATTGTCTGGAAAATATGGGCGGAATGTGATGATCGTGTGGTATCTCTCACAGATCCTTTGATCATCCTTTATCAACTGAAACGCTAACCCCATAACTTCTTTCTTTCATCTTCATGCCATCGTCGACGCCGCTTGAAATAGCCTTCATTGATGCAGTCCCTGTCCTTATCGTTCGTAGAGTCGTATATAATCTCCATTCTTTGCCTTTCATCCTCATGGCCAAGGTGCCTTAACAGGGCTGCAGTATCCATGAGGATGTATGGGTCCTGAAGATCGATACTGGGATCTGACTCTACAACGTCTTCGGCAAGGCAATCATCATCTCCATTCATTTCTTCAAGTGAAGACTTACGGTCTGGCGCTTGTAGAAGGTTTCTTGTAAACATCCTGCTCTGTAATTCATTTTGAATACAGCTATTATCCCAGCATCAAGAGGCTGTGTCTTGCTTGTGGAATTTGCAGGGGGGGGGCTTTTGGTTGTGCTAAATTACATGCTCAGGGATGGACTAGGCCGGGCACCTCGACTATAGTGAGTCCCGCACGGGGCTATGCGAGATGTTCTCAATAAGCTTAAGACTCAAGAACAAAAGTTGTTTTTATTATTGTTGCCAGGCAGGAGCCATTTGTTTGGGTTCTGAGCTCTCGACGGCCCGGATAATCTCGATGGGTTGAAGTTCGCACTGGTACGGTGGAGTCTTGAGAATTTCATGGCCGCCCACAGTCTCACCTCTTTTTCTTGGGCTTTCTTTGATCGAGCTTTTGGTCCTTTAGATGGCCAGGCATACACGCTATCCTTGACGGATTTGCCTTCAACTATTTTTATTGTTGTTGAAATCACCATAATAAACAACGAATGCTGTAAATATAACCATAATTGGTTTCCTTCCTGCTTCGTTTATGACACTGCCACCACCACTTTGCACCCAACGTCTTGCTACAGCATGGTCGATGTGGCAGTAAGATTCGTCTAAGAAGAAATCACTTGAGGTAGGCTGTCCGGAACGCGACATTCTCCTTGGAATCGTTTAAGAAGCTTTGTCGGATCCCTTTGTCCCAATACAAACCTCATTTTATGAAGGTCGCGAATGATCGGCCTTGCTGGCCCTTTCCCCCCCCCCCCCCTTTTTTTTTCTCTTCGATCTGTTCGTTTGACAAGAATGGATTAAAATCGAGGGAGTATTGAGGAAGGGGTCCTGACTCGTTTCTAGGAGGAGTGATCCATTGATACTCTGCGGGTGATCTAGGGAGGAGACTCGAGAGGCAGAGTATTGATAACCAAAGGGGGATGAAAGGTACTTTTGCTACTTGAAGAACGAGAATGAAGTTGAGAATGAGAGAATGAAGTGAATGTGAGAGATCGGGAATGTTCGTTACTTTTTGCTCTGCAGATTTTTTTTGCGGCGTACGTGATACACGTAAAAAAAAGTTTCGTTTTATCACGTTCATTATTTTTTACGCGGCGGAACTTCAGTAAAAAAAAAAAAAAAAAAAAAAAAATCGCTATAAGGAAATCATGATGAAAGGATGTTGGATAGTGGAAAGTCGGGTCACCAGATATGATGAGCAAGCGTTATGCAAAAAAGAGTACAGCCCCCATAAGAGATCATTGAAGTCATATCTTCGAGGCGAAGTGTACATGATCTTGTAACCATTGCTTGGTATATTCTCCATCGAGCCTGATTAACGACTAATGTTTACAGGTTATGGAGTGATCCGGGGATAACTCTTTCTTTTTCCCGCTGTTTTCATGGCTAGCAGTAAACAACATCCTCTCAAAAAGTGGAAACATCTATTATCGATGATCAATCCACCTTGAAAGTCACTTTATCGATCCTAACCCTCGCACTTTAGAAGCCTGTTACTCCAGTTGTTCTTGCAGATAAGCATAAAGCCAGTTGTCCTTGCTTTGTTACAAGCAAAAGTAGAGCCTTCCTGCAAGGGCTTGTTCTGCACGTTATTTATTCCAGGCGACTATCCATTACGAGGAAAAAGTTTTTAGGTGACTTATTTCCCCCCTGCATGATGAAACTCCTTAGACAGACTATTCAGATTTGATCCTCATGAAAAACCCCATACGCCACTGAATATCCATATCATGTCAGCTCCTGCTTTCGCTATGGGTGTATATTATATATTTGTATATTTGCATAACAATACTACTTTGATGGGATCGTTGGAGTGACTCCTTTTTAGAACGAAAATACATTCATGTTGTCCATTGTGAAATTATGGAAGAATGAGTAATGAAATAAAAAAAGAATTCATTAAAAGAAATCGCTTTTGCAACATGCCCAGGCTCATGTTGTCAGTAAACAACAAAAATTCCATCTTTTTGATCCAGCGAACACTGTATTCTACCGATCGATATTGGCAGAGTAACAGAGAAACTCGACAGTCCAGCAACTTCACAACTGCATCAAGAACTAGAGATGATTGTATGATGGGAAATCAAAAAAAAAAAAAAAAAAAAAAAAAAAATTCATCCGAGAACGATAACTCCTTTGATTTTAATAACGCGCTTCACGGCGAAGTCAATAAAAAAAAAAAAAAAAAAAAAAGAAAAGCATTCACTGAAATTCATGCGACAGCCGGATCCTTCGGATGCAGTCACCATCAGCCACCACCTGAGCGAAATAAAAAAAAAAAAGTCTACTCAGTTTATTACCTTCATCCCATCTATAAAATATATACCCATCTTCCTCCTCATCGTCTCTGCCTCCAGATTCAGTTTAGTGGCAGATTTAGATCCAGATCTTTATCCAGATACAGTTGTATTCGGGGTGTATAAGACATATTTAAAAAGTTCTCCTAATCCTGAGGTGGGTCTGTCAACAACCCATACTTCTGCTGTTGAACTTGGTGGGATGGAGGGGACAAAAATGACGGCAGTAGCAACGTTCTTTCCATGTATTGGGTCGTAATAGGGTCTTAATATGTAGATCAAATTATATACCAAAAGGAAAAAAAAGGATCATAGACCTGGATTAGTCAATGTAAGAACGTTATATGCATATATATGTATACAAGTATATTATATATGATATACATGTATGTACGGTGTGGCATTTCACTTTAGACAAGTCAAGTAAAGTAAAAAAAAGAAACTTGCCCTTGCATTTTGTCTTTGTTCTTTTTATTCGGCGAAAAAGAAGAAGTGAGGATGGTTTTTGATTCCGATTTCTCCCTGGTGGTCAGCAATTGACAATGCAACCAACCTTATTTGAATTGAATTGAATTGAATACAATGGGAAAAAAAGGCTTCCCATTCCCTCAAATCAAAATGCAAAAAAGATTGATGCAATCAGAACCATGCCCGCGCGTGTCACACTCCCTCTTTTTTCTTTTTTTTACTTTTCACACGTCCAAGACAAGACAAGGCGGGCACCTTTTTAATTCTTTTTGGTTAGCATCAATCCATCCTACACTCTTCCTTCTCCTCCTCCTTCTTCTTCTTCTTCTTCTTTTCCTTTCTTTCTTTCTTTTCTCTTTCTCTCTCTCTCTCTCTCTCTCTGACTTTCTTTTCTTTTCTCTCTACAATCCAAAAAGAACCCTTCTCATCATCTTCTTCTCTTCAACTCCTTTCATTCCTTTTCGACAAAAAATAAATAATAATGCCTTTCGATTCCAAGGTTCCAGGTGTCACTATTCTCGGCAAGGTGAAGCCCGAGCATGCGTCCGAGATCCTCACTCCTGAGGCCCTTCAATTCGTCGCTACCTTGCACCGCACCTTCAACCCCACCCGCAAAGCTTTGCTTCAGAAGCGTGTTCTTCGTCAACAACAGATTGATCAGGGAATCCTTCCCGATTTCTTGCCAGAGACAAAGGCTATCCGTGATGATGTCTCTTGGCGTGGTGCTGCCCCTGCTCCAGGTCTTGCTGACCGCCGTGTTGAGATCACTGGACCAGTAGACCGCAAGATGGTCATCAATGCTCTCAACTCTGGTGCTGCCACCTTCATGGCTGATTTCGAAGGTAACATTAACATTAACATTAACAACAACAACAATAGCAATAACAATGACAATAACAATACATTTATATGTAAAAAGAAGAAGAATAAGAAGAAAAAAAGGGTCATTCGGAAATATCGGGAGAATATCGATATATCAGTTAGGATTATTGGGACAGATCCGTATCTTTATTGTTTTCCATGAAGCATGAAGCCTCACATCTGGGAAGAAAGAGAAATTGAAGGTTGAAGAAGGGTAGGGTCCAAAGGGGGAGTAGAATAAAAGAAAAAAAAAAAAAAAAAAAAAAAAATATCGGAACATGAGAAAGGAAAGGATAGTGTGTCGTCATTTGAGCACACGCGAAATTACACCTCTGTTTCTTTCCTCCTCTTTGGGAATGTGTGAGTGTCTGCAGGATGTTTAAAGTGAAGTGTAATGCCAATCCTATCCCACCCAACCCATCCCCGCAAAATCTTGGCGAATCAGGAACGAGCCCATTACCGAGCAGGACGTGGGAGGGGAATGCAAAAGACTAAGTGTCTGGGAAAAATAGAACAAGTGTAAACTTTGAAAATAATGTGTCCGTGACGCCAGTGATGCAAAGCCAAAAAAAAAAAAAATGTGTAATGTGTAATATGAAGGAGAGAATGAAGGAAGGGACCGTGGGCGGAATATTTTGGATCGTTTTCACGTGCCAACAGATGAGAGTGACTGAATGGACTCACTTCACTCATTCCCCTTTCCTCTCTTGACTATTGGCCCTCCTGTGCCATATCCATCCGAATTTTTGCAGATCAATTAATTTTTTTTTATTTATATTCTAACAATGGGGTCTTGTAGATTCAAACAGTCCTACTTTCGACAACAACCTCTCTGGTTTTGTCAACATGAAGGATGCTATCCACCAGCGTCTTTCCTATACCGCCCCTAACGGCAAGCAATACAATGTCCGCAAGGATGGAAAGGTCGCCACCTTGATCGTCCGGTAATTATCGTTGATCACGTTATTTATTTATTTTACTTTATCTTTTTTTTATATTAGTACCGGAATAACCTTTCCAACATTAAATATCTCACATTCCTATTTTTTTTTCTTTTTCTTTTTCCTTCTTCCTTCTTCCTTAACAGTCCTCGTGGATGGCACTTGGAGGAGAAGCACGTCTTGATCGACGGAGAGGTCACCTCTGGATCATTGTTCGATTTCGCTCTCTACTTCTTCCATAACGCTAAAAAGTCGGTCGAGATCGGTATTGGCCCATACTTCTACCTCCCAAAGATGGAGTCCCATCTTGAGGCTCGTCTCTGGAACGATGTCTTCAACCTTGCTCAGGATTACATTGGTATGCCCCGTGGTACCATCCGTGGAACTTGCTTGATCGAGACCATCATGGCTGCCTTTGAGATGGAGGAGTTCATTTACGAGTTGCGTGAGCACTCTTCTGGTCTCAACTGCGGTCGCTGGGACTACATCTTCTCAGTCATCAAGAAGTTGCGTCAGGATCCCAAGTACGTTCTCCCCGATCGCTCTGATGTCTCCATGACCACTCCCTTCATGGATGCCTATGTCCGTCTCTTGATCAAGACCTGCCACAAGCGTGGTGTTCACGCCATGGGTGGTATGGCCGCACAGATCCCCATCAAGAACAACGAGGCTGCTAACAAGGCTGCCATGGATAAGGTCTACAACGATAAATTGCGTGAGGTCAAGGCTGGTCACGACGGTACCTGGGTCGCTCACCCCGAGCTTGTCAAGATCGCCCTCAAGGTCTTTAACGAGCACATGCCTCAGCCCAACCAGTTGCACATTCGCCGTGATGACGTCCATGTCACTGCCAAGGACTTGCTCAACACTCACGTCCAAGGAGGCAAGATCACTGAGGTCGGTATCCGTGCTAACGTCTCGGTCTCATTGATGTACATGGAGGCCTGGTTGCGTGGTGCTGGATGTGTCCCCATTCACAACTTGATGGAGGATGCCGCAACAGCAGAAATCTCACGCTCTCAGCTCTGGCAATGGGCTAGGCATCAGGCAAAGACCGACAAGGGTGTCACTATCACTCCTCAGTACCTCTTGAAGGTCTTGGATGAGGAGGTTGACAAGTTGGCCAAGGAGATGGGTGAGCAGCGCTTCAAGGCATCAAAGATCCTTCAGGCCAAGAAGCACCTCTCAGGACAGATCACTGGCAAGGACTATGCTGACTTCTTGACCACCCTCTTGTATGAGGACATTGTTGTCTATGATGATGTTAAGGCCAAGATCTAAAAAAAAAAAAAAAAAAAAAAAAAATTAATGGTTCTTCCTCATAACAACATTCAAACAATCAATCCATCTTTTTGCATTGTACAAAACTTCCCTCCTTAAACTTACTACCAATAAATAAATAAATAAATATATAACTATTGAACTTGCAATCATAATCAAACTTGTACAAATTACAAATGTCTTTAGAGAGAACTATTATTTAAATTATATTATACTTACACGTTGATTATTATTATTATCATTATTACTATTATTATTATTACTATTATGACTGTTGTAAGTTGGTTGTTGCTTTTTTTTTTTTTTCTTTTCCTTTTTTTTTTTTTTGTACAATAGTCTAGCTGGCAAGGCAATCAGGTAATTTGACTTTAAGTTTCTTGTCGATAGTGAGTAGACCCCAGAATCCTTCAACTGCATGGCCAGGCCAGACCTTCCAAGGAGCATCAAAGAATTCAAAATAGTAATAGGGGAGTTTCTTGGCATTCGCATCACATAGCCATGTATCAATAAAAGTCTGAAGATTTGGAATAGAGGGGATGGACGCGTCTAGGAAGAAGAAGAAGAAGAAGAAAAAGAAAAAGAAAAAGAAGAGGGGGAAAAAGAAGAGAAAAGAGGAGATAAATGGACGTTATACGCCAAGATTCTTGGTCAATATTGGAAGTTTTATCAAAAAAATAAAATAAAATAAAATAAAATAAAATAAAATAAAATAAAATAAAATAAAAAAAATAAAAAAAAAAAAAACCACTATGCGTTACTTGTAACTTACTGACATTGGCATTGGCAGGGAAGGTGGGCCAGCCAACTTCCGTGATCCAAATATCGATGGGCGTAGTGTTGCCTGCATTGACAGCAGGCTTGACAGATTGTTCATAATATTTCCAGAACCAAGAGGCAGCTTCAGAGACAGGAGCACCCGAGAAGAACGGATGTAAGTTCACACCCGCTTTATCCTCATGGTTCGTCAACGGAGGTCTATTCGCCTTCTCTAGATCGGAGGTGAAAACAGGCATCATGGGTTGACCCATAGCAGTGACTTTATCCTTGACCTCTTTGATATGAGCCATAAGCGTTTCAAGCGACTGGTAATGATCAAAGAGAACCTCGTTCCCGACTGAGATACCGATGATGTTGTCCCAACCATAGGCCGAAACCATGCTCACAAACTCATTGAGCTGACGTCTATAGGTAGCACTGTCCTTGTCAATCCAGATCCCCGCTACAACCTTCAAGTCAAGTTTTAGGCGAGAAATCGAATCGAGTGTATACTTGAGTACATTGCAGTCTGTACCATATAGACGCACACGTCGTGTAGTCTTGGCAAGCAGCTGAAGCTCTTCATCCATAGACTGTTGAGTGTTGTAGCAATTAGGCAGCTGCGCACCAATGGGGACATAAGCCATGCCATAGAAGACGCGCTTGAATTCGTAATTCTCATTAGGAATAGTTGTACCATTGGGTGTTACGACTTTAGTGACAAAAGTACGCAAAAAAAAAAAAAAAAAAAAAAAGAGATTAGTATAAATATATATTTATATTGATGATCATACTTCGACTGAGTTGATAGAGTTGTCAGTAGGGTCGAGAGACCTATTGGGCGTCCTTAAAGAAATAAGGACTATGGAATCATGAGCATTCGAAAAGGGAAAGCGAAGCCTTTTCCAGGAATGAAGTGTGGATTGATGTCTCAAACATGAGACAAATGACTGGGCGAAGTGTTCAAGTTTTTTACGCCCAGCCTTTTTTTTTGCCTTAGTCCAGTCAAGATTGAGGTTATGTTACCGATGTTACCGGGAAGTGGGTGGAAAAGCTAAAGAAGGAAGAAAAAAGGGGGAAATTAACTCACCCGTAGGTCCTTTGGCATGCTCCCCTCCTGATGGTCCTTTATTGTTTTTGCTGCTGCCATTGTTGCTATTGCTGCTATTGCTGCTATCGCTGCTATTACTATCCTTCTTGTGAACTGCAAAGTACCAGGCGAGAACGCCGGTAAAGGCTAGCAGAAAGAAGACAAGAACACTACAAGAAATAGCTTTAAATTTGGCAGATTTTTGTTGTTGTTTGCTCAACCAGGGTGAAGCACCCGTTCCGGCTGCTGCTGCTGCTGCTGCCACTGCCGGTGCTGCCGAAGCATCCGAAGTAGCTGATTCGGCATGTCGACGACGTTCCTCCTGGCGACGTTGTTGTGGAGTCATGCGTTCCATTGCGGAGGCTGAGGTACTTCCATGCTCTCGAGAGAAATCTTCCTCTTCTTCTTGCTGGTAATACTGGCTACTGTCGAAATGAGGCTGTTGATGCTGTTGATAGCGATTAGGGCCATTGCCCGTGTCGTTATAATTGGCCATAACGGGGGGGTATAAGGAGTGTATGATACGCGGCTTGCGAGATGATTGAAATTTGGGAGGCTAAATGCGTTATGATTGTTATTGTCGTCTGTATAAAATAAACACGCTCTTTTATCTTATGTATTGGACTGGTGTGATTGGGCAATGAAAGTGATAGACTGAATAGAAAAAAAGGGGATCTGACCAAAAAAACAAAAAAAAAAGAAGAGGAGCGAAATTCTAATTGAAAAGAATGAAGAGTAATGCAGATGAAGAATTGCTCGTTTTGAATTGGACTGACTTTCGGTTGGGAATCCCTCTCTCTCTTCTCTCTTCCTTCGTCTCACTTTTGTAAGTCTCTTTTAATTAATTTTTCATGGATGAATCCGCATATATTTTCCGTATGAAAATTAACGCTAGAAATTGTCTGTCCTATTTCTGGAATCACTTCATACTATCATCCTATACTAATAGCAGTATGTACGACCATCACTCTGCGATCACTTGATCCATGTCATTTGATCGGCGCTGATAAAGGATGGGGGTGGAGCTTGAAAGGAGCCAAGCGAATTGGAGTTGAAGAAGATTCCAATGATGTGTCGCGTATTCACCCACGCGTCGAGCAAACGTTATTTTATTTTATTTTTTTTTCATCCTCCAAACTGACAGCTAGTCTAAAAGATATTTTCAGCAGTTGAGATCGCTAGTTTATGCATTGCGTATCATTTTTCCTGGAACTAAAATTCATGTCGCTCTATTTTGGTGGCGGTCTTATCATGTGATATAACTATTGTTGGTGTGGGAAGAAGTTAATTCCATGAACGCCCGACAGCAGTTCCATTGACCACAATTTTCAAGCAACTAATTTCATTATTGTCAACAACACAGAATCTAAAACAAAGAAAAAAAAAAAAAAAAAAAAAAAAAAAGAAAGACAATGACCATGCAACATATCTCACGCCTTGCAAAGACAGGATTCTTTCGATTCCATTCAACCAAGACCCCATGTCTACGGAACTCCATTGGTTCGCAGCTTTTACGTCAGTCCTCAGTTCGTTTCCACTCTACAGAGGCAGCAGCACCCGAACAATATGATGTTGTTATTGTTGGTGGTGGAATCGCAGGAAGTGCACTAGCCTGTGCCCTTGGTAAGAACCTATGGCAACAGAGTGTTATATGAGAGTACATGTAGTCAATTTTCACAAATTAACCTCTCTTTATTGTGTATGTTATACATTTAATTTTGCTCTGATAGCATCCGGAAAGGCCTCCAGCACACAGAAAATTGCACTTATCGAAGCGTTTGACCTCAGCAACCACATTAATTGGTCTCCTCGACCTGACCAGTACGCCAACCGCGTCTCTTCTCTCACACCCAAATCCGTTGCATTTCTCAAAAAGATCGGTGTCTGGTCCGAGCTGGACCTGTCACGTATAGCTGCTTGTGAGGGCATGCAGGTTTGGGACGGAGTAAGCGGCGCCAGGATCGTGTTTGATGCTTCGGATGTCAGTGGTGCCCGCTCTAGTTTTTTACATCAAGTATTTTCAGGACCAACTACGATCATCAACCAAGGCAATGATGATGATATATTGAGAGCGACTGTTGATGAAGAGGGGTCATCATCATCGCCATTGGCATATATGACGGAAAATATTCATGTACAGTACGGATTACAGAAGCAAATTTTGGCACATCAGGCTCGTGGAATTAATATAGATATATTTGAACGAACCAAGGTTCAAGGAATCACTGTTGATCAAGTTGATGAGCACTCAAAGCCACCAGAGACAGCAGGAACAGCTATGGATATTTCTGATTGGCCGATTGTTCAACTCGATAATGGCAGGAAGCTACAGACAAGATTGCTAATTGGCGCTGATGGTGTTAATTCCCCTGTACGATCATTTGCCAAAATTGAATCCATTGGTTGGGACTACTCTCAATTTGGACTTGTTGCGACTCTTCAGATCGACCCCACAACATCCACCGCACCAAGGCAAGGGAAAGGCATTGCATGGCAGAGATTTTTACCGACAGGTCCTATCGCTATGTTGCCAGTAAGTCTTGCCTTTATTGGCTAAATCGTAGGCGCCATGTATGATGATGATCCAATGGTATGACGATACTCACCCGCTAGTCTATGATTATATTTTCTGATCCAATTCAAAAAACATTGATAGCTTAACAATGGGCTCGCGAGTTTAGTCTGGTCTACTACACCCAAGCTCGCACAGGATTTTAAGAAGCTGCCTGCTCGTGATTTCTGCCTGCTTGTAAACGCAGCCTTTAATGCAACCCCAGCAGAGCTTGAGTATTTATATAATAACATTGGACCAGATGGTCAACCTTTAGTCGATTTCAAGCAAGAGATCGAATGGCGCGCCAGCGTACAGGAGATGGAGGCATCTCAGAGCCTAGTTCGTGATAACATGGGACGGGACGCTAAACCACCAAAGGTTTTGGATGTGCAGGAAAACACCAGGGCCCCATTCCCTCTTCGGATGCGTAATTCGACAAGCTATGTCGAGGATCGCGTAGTTCTTGTGGGGTGAGTGAACGACTCAATTGATTATGGACTAGAACACGGAGCCTGTTCATGAATAGTCTACTGATTGATCGGTTTTTTTGCAAAAAAAAAAAAAAAAAAAAAAAAAAAAAATTAGAGATGCTGCACACACGGTCCATCCTTTGGCTGGCCAGGGTCTTAACCAAGGCCTAGCAGATGTAGAGTGCCTTGCACGCGTCATCGAACAAAGCCTTTTAAGTGGTTCAGATATTGGTAAGTCTGAGACGCATAGTGTAGTAACTTAACTATATATGTTTTGGCCTAATGTATCATGGGGCTTTACTCATTTGGCTGAGTTATTAACATATAAATCACTCACACACCATATAGGCAACATTCACTCGCTTACACCTTACTCCAGCGAGCGTTTCCTTCCAAACCTGGCTATGCTTGGTACTGTTGACAAGCTCTCAAAATTGTACAATACGGATTTTGGTCCTGTTGTCTGGGCTCGTTCTCTTGGTCTCACAGCGGTAGATAATATGGGCCCTATCAAGAGTGAGATAATGAAGTTTGCTATGGGTCTCGAAGATAACTCACCATCCTCAAGGTCTTAAAAAACTATGCTCACAACATGGGAAACATAAAAAAGAATTCTACTTTTTCGTTGTAGATACTCTTTAATTACTAGCAAATATTATTATATTCAAAAGCTTTATTCGCCAATGCTTGCTAAGCAATCTTATGTAAACATGTATATACATTTGGAGCAGGGTATAATTACATGGGAAGACATATAATTAAAGGTCTATAAAATGTGTGTGTGTTTTTTTTTTTTTTTTTTTTTTTTTTTTTTCCTGGTATAAAGAGAAAGAGAGGACGATTTGACAAGATCTTACGCTTGGGCATTAGTGCGTCCCAACGTTGAGACACTGCCGAGTTTGACCTCGTTCACACTGCTTGAGCTATGCGTTTCAGTATCCATGGAATGCTCAACACCATTGATCGAAGGTGTCTTCTTTTCATTTAAATGACCATATGCCATCTCACCGAGCTCTGCAAGATCCAAGCCGCGGTGCTCATGATCAGGATCCACACGCAAGGTCAATCCTGGGATCTTGTTCATGATGAACAGGATCAAGTAGGTTACACCGAAAGACCAACCAAGGCCTGCGCAAGAGTCTGCGAGCTGGTGGGCAACTTGAATCCAGTGACCATCGAGCCCGCCTCCTGGAATAACAGTGACACCATCCAAGGCAGCAACCCAGCTCTGAGCAAAAATACCAGTGAGAATGTTACCAACGACTCCACCGACTCCATGGACTGCAAAGACATCAAAGGCATCATCATATTTGAGATTATGCTTCAGTCGTACTGCCAGATTGCAGGCAACAGCACCCAAGAATCCAATGGCGACACTAGATGCAGGAGAGACATATCCAGAACCAGGAGTGATGGCAACTAATCCTGAAACAGCACCTGAGCAGAAGCCTAGAACAGACAGCTTGCGCTCGTGGCGATAGTCAAGTAGGACCCAGGTGATGCCACCGACAGAGGCTGAAAGGTTGGTCACGACGCAGGCCATAGCACCGCGCAAGTTGGCAGAGAGAGCAGAACCGCCGTTGAAGCCAAACCAACCGAACCAGAGGAAGCAGGTACCGATCACAACGTTGCTCATAGAATGGGGGCGGAAATCATTGTGATTACCAGATCGTCTTCCGAGGACGAGAGCATAGGCCAAAGCAGCACCTCCAGAGGAGATGTGAACGGGCGTGCCTCCTGCAAAATCCAGTCCGCCCATAACAAAACTCCAACCGTTGGCACTCCATGTCCAGCAGGCAATAAAGTCGTAGACGAAAGTGGTCCAGAGGAAAATAAAGACAAGGGTAGGCAGGATACGACCACGCTCTGCAGCGGCTCCGACAGCCAAGGCTGGAGTGAGCGCAGCGAACATGCATTGGAAGATCATGAAGACAAGATCGGGGATCTTTGCTGATCCAACAGAGGGCTGGTCCAAGACCCCTCGAAGGAAAGCGTTCTCAAAGTTGCCAATAAACTTGCTTCCAGTTTTACTAAATGCTAATGAATATCCAAAGAGGAACCACTGAAGAATAACAATATCAGGGAGGTTGATGAGTATGGATGTATTGGATGAGAGTATTTGAAGGGTGCTTTGAGTGTCCCTATATGCCTTCTTTTACCTGGAAAGTGACGACTGCCACTGAGCAGCAGGAAAGCATGATCAGAGAAAGGGCATTCTTACTGCGGGCCATACCAGAGTAGAAGTAGCCAATTCCTGGGATCATGAGCCAGACTAAGGCGGTGGAGGTCAGTGTCCAAGCGATATCACCAGCTTGATACTGTGACCCAATAATGGGTGCTTCTTCTGAAGTGTTCATTGCAGGGAAGTAATCAATAAGGCTGTTTCTTTTCTTTTTTATATATCAGTAGAGCAAAAGAAATGTGTAGAGTAAAGTTGAGGGCAGGCTTTTCAATAAGTGTAAGTGAAAGCGACGAGGAAGGATAACGAGGAAAAAGGACGATCAAAGATACTGTGGAGATGCGTGCAGAATGAAGGTAAGAAAAAGACCCCCGATTGACGCACTATTTATACGCTGTACTACTTTGGATCAAGAATCGGGGAGAGAAAATGAGATAGAGAGGGGATGCTGTGGGATGCAATAAACAACTATGCTCACCATGATTCTCGGCGGCGACCGAATGATAGACATGTACTGTGATCCTCCAAACAAAGGTGAGTCCCTAAACTTTGTTTTAGCAATTGTCTGTCGGGTTTGGCAGTTTGGAGAGGGTTAAACGAAAATAAGCTCCTCGTACCTTTAATTGCGTTTGTAATCTGTAGGATGCAAATCATGCGCAACATTTAAACAGCTGTGTACACCAGATAGGAAGACATAGGAGCTTAAAAAAAAACCTCCCATTGGCGTAATCGAACATGATGCACAAATTCCTACAACATCTTCGTTCTATAGACAAATGAGACAAATGAAGGTGAGTGAAAGACTCTATCCCTCGATGGCGTGTTCTGATACACCCTGACGTTTTACATGTTATAAATATTACTTGCCTTCACAACGAAGCACACTTTCTGGCTGTGCTGCTTGTTGAACGTCTTCAACGTTTTATTTCGATTATTCATCTTCATCACTTTGCAGTATTGGAGCCATTTGCCATCTATGGGTATCTGACATTAATATAGAGAATAAGACCTTATCGTGTCTCATCTTTTTTTTTTTTTTTTTTACAAGGGATAACACATGTTTGTGGCTGATAATTGAATGTTATCTTTCCGCGTGATTCAAATTGGCCCAGCCCCAGTCCACACTGAAGCACCAAAAGATCAAAATTCTGTTTACTTTCATGATTAAGGTGTTAAGGTGAACAGTAGAAATAAACAGCTGCTTAGTTTTTTTACTTGGGAGAACCCCGCAAATTCCCATTTCTGGTGAGTTGAAGCAGAATCATTTTTCTTATTTGACACGCGTGTTTAAACATTACTAGATCCGTAGATCCGTTCTTTTCTGTTCCTTTCGAATGTTCCAACCATGTTCAAGAGACTTTAGATCTTGTTTTTTTTTTTTTTTTTTTTTTTTTTTTTCTCCGAGCGAGAGTCGATCATCCCTCTTCCTCGTCTTACCTTCGGAAAGTTATCTCTGCATTATTTTGCAGGACTAGCTATTTTTTTTTTCCTCTCTCTCAGACACACGATAAATATTTAACAATAAAGAATAAAGATAGTGATCATGGCCACAGCGCGATAGCACATTACATTCTCAACCGGGGTCGCATCGTACGATAGCAAAATCCCCAAACCTTTACTTCCAACAAAAGATTCACAGCCCACTCATTCAGTAAATAATATAAATGCTGAATTAATATATAAAGAGTTAATCTTGAGGTTCTGAGGGGTCCAAGAAGTGATAGTTCAGTACGCTTGCATTTAAACACTTCGTTCATTGTACGTAAATGATCAACAGTCATACCTTTTATCTTTCTCTTTTTGTTTCTGTGCGCAGCACTTTCTGACCAAAGTTATCGGTTGACAAGAGGGGTGTAACGAGGATTAGAAGTCCAAAAAGGGAACGTTGACTGGGGTTTTGGAATTCTCCGCCGGGAGTCAAAATTTTATTTTGACGGAGGTGTACATTTTCCCTTGATTCCAGCCTGCGATATAAACATCTACAAGAGCAAGGCACGGCTGCCTTGCAACACGTGTGTACACATGTGCGCTTCGTGACGAGCCTAACCCTCGCCTTGAAGGCCAGTGCTACAGTGCTGCGCAAGCCACTGATTAAACACAAAGGAAGAAGAGCTAACCTTCCAGGTCGTATACATTTAATCGGCTTTATTCAAGGGTGAACCCTGAAGATGAATTATAGGAACAGGAAGTCATCCTAGTTGGAACGGCTGTGATCGATGAATTTAACCTGAATGGCAAATATCAGCTATGAGAACTACAGCTTTTTCTGGTGCAAGGCCCGAGACTAAATGCCAACCAATCAATTAATCAAAATGCTTCGAGAGAGTTCTCACTTCTTTTTTTAATATCCGTCTATTAAGACATCGCTTTCAGACTTTGGACAAAAGGACCAGTGGAATTAAAAAAAAAAAAAAAAAAAACCTGAAAACTGAAAACTGAAATTCCGTATTTGCTATCCTATCCTTTCTCTTCACCAATTCAATCACTGGCATGTCTTACATGCTTTCGATCATGAGAAGTCTTCGTCTCAGAGTTGTCCAAAATAGTACATATTACATTCCTGTCAGTTGCCAGGCATTGTATGAAAGAGATTTTAAGGGGGACACCGCATATTAGGATGTCTAGTAGGCACCCAGGAAGGAGGGCAGCGACGGCCCGCTGATGGCCATCATTTCGTGCATTGTGCTCGTGGAAAGTGAAATCTTTATTTGACGCTCTTACGATCACCACAGTTCTTGTCCTGAAAATTGAATGATGATATTACCTCATGGGAAAGAATTAATGACCCGGCTATTTGCTGACTATGGTTACAAAGCACATCTTGGTTAATTTGCTCTGAAAGCTCACAGAATGAGACTGGGGATGCCTCCGATCACAAATCATCATTGGTCTAGCTTGACCAGTCTTGTTTTCGAATGTGGAGGCGATCTTAATTAAAAAAAAAAATACTTTAATGAAGCATCTCATTCAGAATAAAAGTCGCAGGATACCAGTCTTTCTGAATACAACATGAATAGACTTGTGGTTAAAGAAGACAGAATTTGTCTGGGTTTTTCATAATGTCGGAGCACCAAGGCTCAAGGGAACAGGCACATGTTTGAATTTAATGAAGGTTTTGCGCTGACTGTGTTCATCTCTACGTCTATACCTTTCTTAAAACACATTCTCCGTCTCTTGCTCCCTCATTCACTCGTTCATTCATTCACATTCACTCATTCATTCAATTGCATTCATTCATTCATTCATTCATTCATTCATTCATTCATTCATTCATTCATTCATTCATCTTCCTTCATTACACTTGTCCTTTCTCTTCTTTTCATCTCGGTGGAAACACTTTCTCTTGTACTACACATTTGTTCCAGCACCCGTTACACAACCAGTCAAAAGGGTTTCTGGATTCACAAAGTCTAAGACCTCACATCTCTCCACTCCATCTCATTCAATCACTTTTTTTTTGTTGCTATTGTTGTTGTTGTTTATTTCATTTTGATCCGTCTTTGACCTTTGTGCTGTGCTCGACATAAAGTAAAGCAGCATGGCCGGGCTTTTCTCAAAAAAGAACAAAAAGGAGAGGGACGATGCAGGCAGCGAAAACAGCAACACAAACGGTAGAATTTACAACGGTCGGGACAACTTGAGTGCCAGTAACAGTCTCGCCAACAGTAACAATTCGGCTTACTCCCATCCTCAAAGTCCTTATCAACAACAGTATCAGCAGCATGCCAATGGTCCTTCAGCCCAGTCGAGCAAAAGCTCGCTGCAGCAATCGTCGCAGCAACATCTCACTCACCAAGGCAACAATGTATACTCGTCTGGACCGTTCTCGACTCAGCAGCCCAATTTCAACACGGTTGGTCCTTGGTCAGCGGGTACACTCATGTCTGCGAACCCATTCCCCAGATTCGCTCATACTGCCTCGTTTGTCACCACAGGCACTGACATATACGTCTTTGGAGGCATTGCAAAAGGATCACCTTTGAGGGATGTGCATGTCATTGATCCTCGTAAGTAGCTCGCTTACTCGTCCTTTCCGTCCAACTCCCCCTCTTCTCTCCTTCTCTCACTTTTCCGTAAGCGTAATCGATCATATTACCTTTAATACGCAATAGCTGCTTGTTGCCAATTTTTCTTTTTGGTTGATCACACAAATGACATTTTGTCCTCAGTTTAGGCTCTCATCATTAACGGAAAAATGAAAAAGGAGACGAACTATAAGACTAATTACACAATCATTCCAAATTTCAAATAGAATCTTTGCACTGCCAACTTTTGCCCATTGGAGGAGACAGTCCACATGCTGCAAATGGACACACGGCGGTGACACTTGGTCAATATATTATGTGTAAGTGAAAAATTCTGATGCTTGGTAACCAGGTTTTTTCTGGGAGGAACACGGATGATTTTATTCATGTGAAAAACACAAAAAAATTTTTTTTTTTTTTTTTTTTTTTTTGATCGATCGCTCTTTACAAATCTCAATATATTACTTTAAAAAAAAACTTACTGAAACAGATTTTGGAGGCAAGGATGCCAAGGGTAGAACCAGCGACTCACTCTACGTGCTGCATACTGGCCGCAAGGAATGGAATAAACCTTTAATTCAAACACTGCTCCCTGCACCTCGACACTCGCATGCAGCTTGTGTAGTTGGCACTGTCATGTACATCATTGGAGGGCAACTCTCGGGTTATTATATGAACGATATTGCAGCATTCGATTTAAAGACATGTAAGTACCTTTTTATTCCTTAACTCTATTTTTTTTTTTTTAGGATGTCTCTTAATTTTTTATTCTTCTTTACTAAACAATCATCTTTCTGGGACAATTGCTTCTTCATCGATAGTGAATGGAAAACGTCCTGCATGGACCTTCCTTGAACCAAAGTCAGATCTACCTCCCGCACGTGCAGGACATTGTGCGGTATCCTATAATGGCAAGGTTTACATGTATGCTACCTCCCTATCCCTCTATTTGTCTAAGCTTCATGACATGCACATATTTGTCATTTCTTTGATCTAACACTTTGTTTTCTAATTTGCGTGGACAGTTTTGGAGGGGCAGATGATAAATTCTATTACAACGATATTTGGTGCTACGATCCTCAAACGAACAAATGGGAACCAATTCCGGTCTACGGAACTTTACCCATTAGCCGGCAGGGCCATACTGCTGCTGTTATTGACGACACCATGTATATCTATGGCGGCATGAGTTTTGAAGAGCAGCTTTTAGGCGACTTGTGCGCATTCAAGTTTACAGGTTCGTATTCATTAATATGGGTGTGAACTATATTATTATTAGTATATATCAAATCCATTTTTCTCCGTCATTGGCTAATCAGTTTTGTGACGTTTTTTTTTTTTTTTTTTTTTTTTTTTTCTGTGCGGAATAGAGCGACGCTGGTTGGCATTTCCTACCACAGCTGAAGCTGCTTCACCTCGCGCTGAACATGCAATGTGCAGTGTGGGCGATAAACTTTATATACTTGGCGGACAGCTGGATCTGAACGCCAATGAGGATTTAGGGATTGTTTATGTACTCGATACTGGTATGTACCCTGAAACGGGTTAATTATGAAAGTGGTTTTTACCTGAGCAAGATACAGCGCAAATTAACGCTTCTCATCTGTTCGCTCTCGATCCATTATTCCCTAATAGCCAAACTCAAGTGGAAAGAGCCTTCTTTTAATGGTTCTCTGAGATCGGGCTATGACAACGATAGCATGCAACGTACTGAGGGAGGACAAGATGGTAGAGGCTCACCATACAATCGCCCATCACTAAGTTCGGACGTTACTCGACCCCTTAAAGGTTATGATCAAAACGCGTCGTTTCCTGATCCAAAGCACAGGACGCTTCAACAGGAGCTATATCAAGACCATCCTGATCAGCATTCAGGTTATCATCAGCACCAACAGCGGGAGCGACAATATACATCCGAAACAAGCGCTCCACAAGCAGGCCTTGGCGTAATGGAGGATGCGCCCCAGTTCGGTAGCGAATCATACTCACCATACACTCAGCCACCCATACCATCTTCATCATTACATCAGAACACTGACTTGAATGAAGCTACCCATCCCGCGCGTCGCCGGACGGCTGGTAAACCAGCTGGATATGCAGGACAAGGCATTGAGTCTCGCAATGGAATGAACTCAATTGATGAAGGACGACACCCCGGAGCTGCGTTTGATAACGAAATGATAAACTCATCGTCGCAGCCACAATCACAACCGCAGGTCGGTATAATGCAACGACAGGTCTCCTCAAGTCAGAGTCAATATCAGCTGTGCTCAGACTCTGAGGAGCGTGCATACTCTCAGCAACAGCAACATCATCAAGGTGAAAAAGGTCGCTCATATAATGCTGTAAATGGTAATGTCTCGAACGCCAGCGGAAGCAATCCCGTGAGTAGATCCAATACACCTTTGCAACAACAAACAACGTCACACCATGATTTGAATCACCAAGGATCAAGCACCACTAACTCAACAATAACAGAAAGTCTGCACCAACAAGGTCTATCGGCGGGAAGTTTAAATAGGCAGGGCTCTGTTGACCCGTCCTTTCAATCAACTTTGCATGTTACTAATCCTGATAGTGGGAACTATGAGATGGTGGAGAATCAACACATCCAATCACGGGAAGGTAGTCACGCTTCTGCTCATTCGTCCAAGATCACACGAAAGGAATCCAGTGAACTTAAAGACCTTAGACAACGTGAGCAATGGCTTCTTGCAGAAGTGTCTATGGCACGCAAAAAGATGGGTGACCGACCTTTGAGTATGGCTCTCTTAGCACTTGAAGACGAACTCGCAGCCTGTGAAGTCGATAGCGAAAAGTACCGGATCATGCAGGCTCTCTTGAATGTCAAGGCTGAGCTTGAGAGATCAAAGAGCTCGATTGCTACACAGGCGCAGATTGCATCCAATAAGGTTCGTGAAGCGGAGCGAGTCAGGCTGTCAGCTCTTCAGGAGGCTGCCTATCTGAAAGCAAAAATGAATGCTATGCAGACCGGTGAGATGTCTGAATTAGTCGCAACAGAGTCAGCAAGAGCAATGGATCTGGAAAAGAGGCTCACTGCGGCTTTAGCACAACTAGATCAATACGAGGCTCGGTTTGTGCAATACGAGACCATTCTAGAACATGAAAAGGAATCGAGACTGGCAGCAGAAAATCGTGAAAAGGAAGCCACTTCAAGAGCTGAAGAAGCTCAATTGGCCCATACACGGGCTCTGAACGATTTGAGTACACTTCATGAGCGCGCAACTGTGGCGGAGGCAACCCTACGTGAGACAGTGGCCAAGAGTGCTTCTAGTGAGGCAGGCCTTTCAAGCTATCAACAACAATCAGCAGCATTGCTTTCTCAAATTTCAGCTCTAAAAACCACTGTAGACCATCAAAAGAAGTCTTTGGAAAAGACGAAATTAGCATACACGGTTGCAAATGAGCGTGCAGAGCAGGCAGACAAACTCTGGACACAATCTCGCCAGGAAATGGATCAAGTCCAACTCGAATTATCCAACGTTCGTGCAGACATGGATCGTGCTCAGCGTGAATCAGATCATTGGAGAGCTAAAGCTAGCGAAACCGAATTACTCTGGCAAGCAGCCAAGAAGGAGAATGAGACGATGCGGACGCTACTGGAAGAAGATTTGAATAGCACATATGCCAACTCGGTTTCAAAGGAGCGCAAGCATGACTCGATTATCGCAATCACTTCAGCCTCCCGAGTTACAGAGTTGGAGCACGAACTGATGACGCTTCGACTGGTAGTTAGAGACTCGGAGGATGCCGCTGCCCAAGCAAACAGGGATCTAGGTGATACTATGGCTCGTATCACGCAGCTGGAGCAGTCATCCATGTTAGCACGCACTGAAGCTGCAACTGCGCAACGTCAATTGACTGATGCCCGAGACAAACTGGCTCAGGCCCAAGCACAATTGATTCGCAAGGAAGAGGCTATTGAGGAGATGATTCATGAACGAGAGAACAATGAAGTCCAATTGGGTTTACTTCGCGGGGTTATGAAGGAACACGGACTGTTGGCTGACGATCTGATTTTGGATGCTCTAGACCAGAGCGGAAACCATAAGGCGCCAGTATCGCCTCTTAAGATGCAGCTCGAAGAGGCTGAGAAGCGAGCCAGTGAGGCTGAGGCTCGGCTAAGAAAACTCATTGAGTTGAAGAGTAAGCAGAAAGAGCGCATTCAGCAACTGGAGGCAGATTACCAAACTACTGTGCACTATGCACAGGGAGCCGAGTCGGCACTGGACAAAGTCCGCGGTGAGCTTCAGGCCGTGAAGGACGATAGACAAAAACTCTACTCAAGACTGGTGGAGTTGGAAGACGTACACTCACGCTGCAGTGAACAGCACCTTGCTCAGACCTCGAGTAGCTCCACTGCAGAGTTGGAAGGAGAGATGGCTGATCTGCGTCACCAGTTGCATGCTACACAAGAACGCTCTATTCAACTCGATGCTCAGGTGGACTCCCTCTCATCACAGCTGCAGGACATGGAGTCTCGCGCAGAATCGTCGCAGACGGAGCTCCATTCTTTGAAGGCGAAGCATCAAGAACAGCAAAAACGAGGCCTTGGACAGACAGATCAACTTCAGGCCAAGGTAGAGCAGCTAGAGCAGATGCTTGTGGAGACCAAGCATCGCCTTGACAAGACACAGGAGGACTTGGAGCATGCTCGTGAGCTGAACCGTGTTACTGGTCAAGAGTTAGATGATGCGCTTGATGCTCTTAAGAGGCGACAACAAGGCTCGCCTAGCAATATCAAACGTCAAGAGGAACTCGAGAGCGCGATTGATAATGCACAGCGAACCATTCAATCGCTTCAGCAGACGAATCGGGATCTGGAAGAGCAACTTCGTGCATCAGAGAACAAGATTTCGTTGTTGCTGGATAACTTTCAAGCACCTGAATCTGTCCGAAACAGTGTTGCCAGTTTAAGTGCCTTGACTGGCGGGTTCCACCATGGCCTGGGCGGCATGTCGTCTCTGTCGCCATCATCACCACCTTCCAGTAGTTCATTGATGATGGCAGCTGCTGGTCAGCGGTCTCATTTGAACTCACCTCCGGCATCGATTTCTACTAGATCTATGTCGCCAGCATCACCTACCTCCAAGTCAAACAGTCGATCAATCAATAACATTAGTTTAGGAGGATCTTCAACAACTTTGAGTTCACAAAGACTGGAGGAATATGAGAAAATGATTGACGAAATGACCAATCGTCTACAGGGAGAGTAAAAAAAAAAAAAAAAAAAAAAAAATAGAAAAAATAGAGTCATTAGCTTTATACTTTTTCGTCCAAGACGAGTCTAATAATTAATTAAAACTGCTCTGTTGATGGGCAATCATTCATTGATAGACATTATCAATAAAATAAAATAAAATAAAATAAAGAAAAGATGGGAACACACGAGACAGTGGCGCAAGGGTCGGGGTAACTAAGGTGGACAGAAGAGTAATATGAAGGGTCATGGTTTTAAGTCCCCTATTGTTCGTATAGTATGGCATACTAGTACCGCGTACCAAAATTGCAGAAATAGAGGCCTTTTTTCCTTATTTTTTCTGATACTAACGCAAGAATTGGCATTCACAAATAAAGCTGCAAGTGATACTAACACAGACCTGACTCGCATAATTCCCATGGAGAGCGATACTAAAATCTTGTTATCATGATATATATATATATATATATATATAAAATATGGTCTATGGGAAATGAAGTTCAATATTTATTGTCCTTTTTGAAAAAGCAGGACTGAGATGGTACTACACATCGATGTTAGCCAGCATCTCTTCCTTGCAATACACGGAAGACATGGCATTTCTAGATGTTTTGACCGAGATTTCTGCTTATTCACTTCTTTTCTTCTTTCCACTTTTGCTTCTTTATTTCTTTTATTACCACAAAAATGATTTTAGTATCGCTTAAGATTGGGTTAGTATATATGTATTGGTGCATCTTTATCTGTGAATGTTGGTTTTCTTGTGTTTGTATTAGTGCATGTTTGTTTGCTCATGTAGTACACCTGTACAGCACGTCCTGAAGAACTAAAATCTGTGTGCAACAGTAAAATTTTTCAACTTTAGTACAAACAAGTCCAATATCAGTTACCGGTCCTTAAATGTTAAAAAAAAAAAAAAAAAAAAAAAAACCAGAGCATTCCCAAGTGCTATTACCCTAATAAGGAGAATGGGCCTCGCAGGCAACATGACTGGAGCGGGGTCTTCCACATCTAACCGCCTAGCAGCTACTAATAATTTACCTCCAATCGTTAGCGGAAATTCCACAAATTTAAGATTGTAGCTAGATATATATATATATATACCACTGTAAAATGCAACACCCTTCGTCCTATCTTTAAAAGAATATCCCTCACGGTGGGTAGCTATTAATATAGTGATATATCTGACTACCCTATCGGAATATAAACCTTTTGCAAAGTTGCTTGAGTCTTGTATATATATATATATATATCTATATATCTATGAGGCTATCGTCACCATGCATTAGGATAGCAGCTGCAATAGCAACAGTTTGGATCTTCCTCTACTAATCTATCAATAATGAGTGATTTCTCAATAACTACCACGTGTGCATTACTAATGTGTCCCTTATACAGGCAAGGTTAAACTTATTTGGACGTCGGGAACTATGGATTGAGTAGGACGAATGGTGAACTGCTCGTGAGAGGACTCATCAGTCGAACTAAGGGATCGATCCGTTGGCCTCCCTTTGATGACACGAGCTCAACCTAGAAGCTAAAAGACGTGAGATGGGATGCATTGTCCGTGGCTGCTGATCACTTCAAGGTCGAGGAACTGTATGGAAAAGACACTGCTGCCCAGAGACTCATACCGATACCACTTTTGGTTAGTCCGTTACCAATTACAAAAGGTTTATTAAGTAGTAGACTTATAATTGACAAAGATCTCTCTAAAAGAGAGATCGGTATGAGCCTCTACTGCTGCCATCAAAGTAGACTAAAATAAGAAAAGACAGACGAAGACATCATTATTAGTTTTTAAATAAAAAAAAAAAAAAAGCTGTGAATGCATGAATGCTTAGACGATCGAGCGAATAGGAGGTCGAATTTCGCATGTCCGGACGGCAGTCGTTCACCATGAAATCGTTCGGATAATAATAAAATAGTATTCTAAACTTCGAAATTTTTTCCCATCGTTACGAAGTAGCTGAACAGTCGTGTGTCGTCCGGAAATACAATGCAAAATAAGTTTGACTACAGACATTGAATTAACGTCTCAAGATGGAAATTTAACCAGAACCGGGTATTTCTTTAGCCCATCCATCATTGTCAAGCCCCTTTTTATTCCTTCCTCTCCTCTCAAACAAATAAAGACGTCTTGTCTCTGTTGTTCTTTTTTTTTTTTTATTTTTATATCTCTTCCCACTCTTTGATTCCCATTCTATTTTACTCCTTCAACACAGTCGTGCCTATCTAGCCATGTCCACTGCAGTGACCCCCGTCTCTGGATCGAAGGCCTCGCCCGTCCTTCCTATCAATCGTCTACTCTCTCTTCTTGGTTCCCTTAGTGACAACAAAAGCGCCAGTATCAGAGGTCGTGCCCTTAAACTCATTGGTAGTTTATACTTCATCTTTATCCTTTACAAGTATCGTCGCTCGGTCTATGGAGTACGCCCTCGTCCCGAAATTCCAGGTCCTCCAGGCCTACCACTCGTGGGTAATCTGTTTGGAGCTCTGTTTAAGAGAAGAAATCAAATGTTGCAATCACATGTAGCGAACCATGCGAAATATGGTAAAATATATACGACCGCGGCCCCTGGTGTTGGTCGACAAATCCATGTTATAGAACCAGAGATCTTGGACCATGTCTTACGAGTCAATTTCTGGGCATATGAAAAGGGCCCCAGCGCTAGGATCAGTTTGGAGCCTTTAGTAGGAGCAGGTGAATATAGACATAGTTACAGCTTGCTTTACAGAAAAAAAAAAAAAAAAAAAAAAAAAAATTAGCTCTGACCCGAACCGGCATGAACGTATTTCATGAAATTGAAGGAAGGTCTTAATTTTTTTTTTTTTTTTTTTTTTTTTTTTCTTTGAAAAAAAGGCATTTTCAGTGCAGATGGCGAGCACTGGAAGTGGCAGCGCAAGTTGGCAAGCAATATCTTTTCTGTCAAAGCTTTCCGTCTATATACTTCGGAAGTATTTTGTCGCGAAGCTCACACTGCTATCGATTATCTTAATAAGCATGTCGATTCTGGAAAAGTTGTCGATCTGCAACAACTATTTCACTGCTTCACTCTTGGTAAGAGAGAGGCACCAATCAAATGACCTTTGTATTAATTTTGCTAATCATTTTAGACGTAATCCTGGTTTTGTAGATCAATGTCTCATTCTCATTTATTTCTTTCCTTTAATGGGACCGGTGATAGATTCTTTTGGTGAAATCGCTTTTGGTCAGTCCTTTGGCTGTCTAAAGGATCCGGAACATCCAACCGAATTTGCAACTGCGTTCGATCGTCTCACTCATCTTCTCGCTGGCAGATCTGTAACACCACTTTGGGGCATCAAAGCCTGGTTGACAGGTCGATCAAAACAAATTGCCAAAGACAGTAAGTTTGTCCGACAGTTTGCTCTAAACATGATTTATGAGCGACGCAATAGCCAAGCATCTTCGCCTGCAGCAAAACACCAAGATCCACGCCAAAAGGACCTCTTACAACTATTCATGGACATGGGTGATGATGATGATGTTGAAGAGGCTGCGAAGCTCTCGGACGATATGCTTGTGGACAGTGTCCTCAACTTCCTCATTGCTGGCCGTGATACGACCGCACAGTCACTTGCTTGGACATTCTATCTCATGCACCGTACACAGGCAGGACCAGAGATTGTCCAAAAGTTGGTCAAGGAAACAAACGATATCTTGGGTGGAGGGGAGCCAACTTATGAGAGTACCAAAAAGCAAAAATATGCCGAGGCTTGCTTCTATGAAGCATTGAGGCTTTACCCTTCGGTCGCCAGAAATTCCAAGGTCTGTGTTGAGGATGATGTCCTGCCTGGTGGCCTCAAAGTGTACAAGGGTGAGCGTGTGGCATGGAGTTCATATACCATGGGCCGCTCGACTCATATTTGGGGCCCAGATGCAAATGAATATAAACCTGAGCGCTGGATGAAAGGAGACAAGCCATCTTCCACCAAGTTTATCGCCTTCCATAGTGGTCCACGTACATGGTAAGACATTTTCTCAAGCAATCATTCAAAGCTTCATCTTCATAGACTCTGACTGATTGAATCTCACATTCCTTGTTTTGCTTGTATGAATAGCCTTGGACAACAGTTTGCCACTATTGAAGCCATTACTATTATGTCTATGTTGATCCAACATTTCACATTTGAACTCGTAGATCCTGATCACGATCCTGCATACCTGCCCTCCTTGACACTTCCCATAGATGGGGGTCTGCCCGTTCGTGTCAAACGTCGCGAAAACACCCTGGCTGCTTAAACGTATTATTCATATCGATACATAGTAAAAGATTTCACAGCGATACAAACAGCGGTGTCTTGCGACGTCTTGCAATTGCAAAGACAAATGAAAAGGTGGTCGTGAAATAATTTAAATTGACAGATATTGCCTGTTATTGATTTGCATCAAAAGAAAATAAAAAAATAAAAATATGTATTCAAATGTTGCACTAGGATTATGCATGTATTCCCTGTAGTCTTTTAACTTGGAGATGCCAACAAACCTTTTTTTTAAAAAAATGATCCGAGGTGGAACTCCAGCACGCTTCGCAAGATCCTCACGGATGAGACAAGCCCCTATTGTGTGATAAGCTCGCCAGCATCGAACTGAACTGCAGTAGACTTCAGGACTCCCATTCCGATTGAAGGAAGCACATGTTCATCATAATCCAAACCAAGTCTCTGATAGATTTGGGGAAAGTTCTTGACATAGAGGGGTCAAGGTGATCATATCCTTGAATCCTTCTTCGGCGGATATCAAAAAAGAATAATTCTCAAAACAGTTTGTGTGATCTTAGTACCAGGCAAGAAAAGCTCCATTGTCTAGCGCTCTTCATCATATCATGGTCCATAGCTATGATAGTATTTATTGGCAATTGAAGAGTTATTACTGATCAAAAAAGGCCTTCAGGACATTTTTTTTTATTAAAATTAATCTAATAACAAACATATCGCCAATTTCATTTGGTCATGATACCTTATATTTTTAATCTAAAAACGATGATTGAATTGTTCTGGTGGCATTTCACTACGTGACGGACTTGCAACAATACTCGTAACAAGCGAGCCAATTGGCTGCCAATACACTCGAAAGTATTCAAAAAATATAAGGTATCATGACCAAATGAAACGGGCTATACATACATATGTATTTAATAAATGTACAGTACATCATGCACATATTTATATATATATACTGTGGTTGAAAGCAGCTGGCTGTGGTGCATTCTATACAAACGGGAGTAATGAATTGTCTATGGCAGTCCCCGCCAGAAAGTCGTCGACTAGTATATTTTTAAAATACTATCTTTGAATCATATTGGCTAATTTGATTCAGTGGCTTATTGAGTGAAATGGAGGTTATTTTATCCAATTTAAAATTTTTGAAAATGTTTACATGTATAATATTCGTCGACGACTTTGTGGCGAAGGCTCTATTTGTTTTATTTTATTTTATTTTATTTTTTTTGCTTTGTTTCGGATATTTAAATTTTGCTTATCCCACCCTACTGCTGACTAATACAGGAAAGGACACTTGACACCGATTAAGATATTGATTGCTGATTCTGTTGTCGTTTGCTCTTGAATGACGACCGAGTAGAAGAACCTCCATGGTTATGTTTGTTCAAATTCCTTTTCTCGTTGCGACGATGTTTCTTGACCGTCTTGACGTTAACACCTAGAGCACGAGCGAGGTCATGGTGATTGCTGTCATGTCCACTCAGCTCAAAGTTCTGCATCAGGAATGGGTTTCGTGGAGCGTTGTTGGCTTTAGAGGCTTTTATCCGCGTGATAGGAATTGCCTGAGCTAGTCCGGTTGATGCACCACTAGAGGAGCTCAGAGTGATGATGGTCTGAAGAAGAAGGAATGTGAAAATACTGAGGATGAGGACTGGGCTGCGACCGCGACTGCGACTGCTACTAGAATAGCTAACTAATGAACTCATGTTTGGGTATAAAGAAAGAAAGAAAAAAAAAAATCAAGCAATTGAAGGGAAGGAAATGAGAGACTGTACAGTATATAGAATTATGAAGGCGTTAAGAGTAGAAATGAGAGTTGTTAGGATAAGATGGATATGATTGAGGATGTTGAAGAAGAGAAGAAGAAGAAATATTTTCTCTCCCTTATATTTAAAAAAAAAAAAAAAAAAAAAAAAAAAAAAAAAACAAGAGCAAGAGCAAGAAGAGTAAGGTGGAGAGATGATCCTCAAAAAGCGAGAAGCACGTTGTTCGCATGTCCAATTCACCAAACTTGACGTGCAAACGAAGAAATTAATTTTTTTTGAAAGTGTTTCACGATCATGTTTGAAACAACACCACGCTCCTCCTGAATTTTTTGTACCTTTTTGCAGGGTCCAAGCAAAACCTGAGACACTAATTGACAGTGACACAATAATGCCAAATCCCCGTCATTTGCTCCATCTGCTCTCCTTCAACATGGACAGTACATTTCTCCAAAAGCATTAGTGTGCTTTTAAACATTTTTTCCCCTTTCTGGGAGCAATTAGCTTTTTTTTTTTTTTTTTTTTTACTGACAAAGAATACAGTAGATAGATATATGCAATATAGCTTCTATATATTGCATGTATATAAAGAGATTGATCAAAAAATACAAACTATTTACCCTGGATTGTCTGGATCAAAAGATAAAAGTTTAAGCTTAACAAAACAACGCTAATGATGCCCGAAATGATAACAAGCCACCATGAATTGGCAAAGTTATGGAGCAGGAGTTGTCGAGGCGCAGCAGCTTCGGACCCAATGTTTGCATGAGAATGGATGGCCGTAGATTCTGTGCGATGCTCTTCATTTGTAGGCACAGATGAAGTCTTCTCGTCCTCTTTGTATTGGAAGCCGTAAGTCAGTTCTCCAGGTTTGTCATGGTTATCCTCCACCGGAACGGTCATGCATCGTCCCATGCTTGTGAATAAAACCAAAGGAACAACAGCAAACGGAAGTTGGATACTTAGAGCAACCTGGCTAGCCAGCAACAAATTAGACAACCCACTTTGGCCTTTGATGATGACGATAATTAGGGCTGGAATGATGGCCAAGCAGCGAGTCAAGAGCCTGCGTACCCATGGCTTCAGGTATGAAGCACCCAAAAAGCCCTCCATAATAATTTGACCCGCCAACGTCGCTGTCAAGGTAGAGGACTGACCCGCCATCAGCAAAGCAACTGCAAAAACATATCCAGCAGCCTTGCCCAGATATTGTGAGAGAAGATGGAACGCATCGAAAAAATCTGCTAGACCTTCATTGTCGACTTCCGGAAACTTGTACTTGAAAGTGGCAGCAGAAACGATCAAGATCGCAGAGTTGACATACAAAGCGAATGTTAAGGCGACAGTGGAGTCTACAAAAGTGTATCGAAGCGTGGTTCTAATGGTCGAATGCTTGAGTGATACTGCGCCCTTGTCCTCGTCCAACATGGCCTGTCGTTGATCAGAAGCCATCAAATTAGATGTGGATGACATAGAAGCCTGACTGCTTGCCAACTTGGTCAACTCACGACTAGTTCGTAACTTGACAATGCTTGAGTGCAGATACAAGTTGTGAGGCATAACTGTAGCTCCAATAATGCCGATGGCCAAATATAATGCTCCCCTGTTCGTCAAGATCTCAGCACTGGGCAGGAACCCTTTAAACACATCCTTGGCAACCGGTTGTGCATATACAATCTCGGCCGTAAAACAGACTCCAACACAGGATACCAGAAGGATAACAAGAGCCTCAAACAATCGCCTCGATTTTACGGATTGATCGTCTCTGAAAGCAAATAGAATGACTAGAACATCTGCAGCTGTGATGACAACGCCCCATGGCAATGGAATCTTGAACAACAAATTGAGAGCAATTGCGCTTCCAATAACCTCTGCAAGGTCACAGGCAATAATGGCAAGTTCAGCAAGCACATAAAGGATCCAGTTGACATATTTTGGCGTAAACTTGCGGCATGCTTGCGCCAGATCTAATATCATTGGAAGAATAAAGATAAATCATTTATACTACGCCACACTTTACTAAAGGAATAACTCTTATCCTCTTTTTTTTTTTTTTTTTTTTTTTTTTGTCAATCTAGAAAAAAAAACTTACCCAGGCCTGAAACGACACCAAGCTTCACTGCCAAGCCTTGCAGAATAACAGCCATCAGATTTGACAACAGAATGACAAAAAGCAACATGTACCCAAAGCTGGAACCACCTGCTAGGTCAGTCGCCCAATTTCCTGGATCCATGTATCCAACGCTGATGACTATAATTACGAGCATTAAGAAATGTCAGTTAGGGTTCGGCATATGAATACTATTAATTTTTCATTGCATGTGCATCCTGCAAAAAAAAAAAAAAAAAGACACAAGAAAAAGATTCACGCACTGGTATGAGAACCTAATTTTTCTCGCGTGGTATCTTTTATAATTACAATCGGAAATTGGCACCTGAAAAGAGAACTTTCTCTGACAGTCCAAACCTAATTGGAGATGGTAAAGATTGATTGTCTGGATCGTGCCTCGACCAGTGAGATCAACTACTTACTGTAGCCTGGACCAACAAAGCGCATGAAGCGCTTGAGCACAATAGCAATGCTCCGCAGCCGTGAGGGTTTAACAGGGTGAAGGCCATTAGGGTCTTGGCCTGCGGCCACATGGGTATCCAGACCATCGTAGCTGCTAAAGTGAAGTGGGCGTTGTTGACGAGGGTCGTTCGATTGTCCAGATAGAGTCCTGTTGTGCATCCTGGGAGAGTGAGGTCCTTTGAGGTTGCCCCTATTATTTTCATTGGGCCTAGACCAAGGAAAAGATAGGCGAGACAACCATGATATCGGACCTTGCGAATCATCTTGCTGACGCTGTGCCATATGATTCGCAGAAGTAGCATTTCTCATACTAGTCATAGACCGAGGAATGGTCTGAGCAAGCACAGAAGTGTCTTCTTCCTTTTTGGTTGAGTAGGGTGTGGCTACGGATGGAATCGAATTCGAATCCACCGCGGCCTTGTCTGGTCTACTTTGGCTATCTAGAGGCACTGGTGAGACCAGATCCACCTGCGAAGGCTGTGAATTGTCTTGGATACCACCAGAGGTAATGATTCCGTTTGAAGCTATCAAGGCCTTGTCTTTCTCAAGTGTTTCGTGAGAGGACTTTATGCCAGCGCGGGACTGAGGGGGGGTCTGTTCAAAGGGCAGCTGAGCTCGTGGTCCATGAAGGTCCAACTGCTCATCAGGTGAGGGCAGATTCATGATGGCGAATGGGATGTGAAAGAAAGACAAGAGGTGGGAATGAAAGGAATGGAATAGAAGGAATAAAAAGGATGGCAATAAAAGGAGTGGGAAATGAAACGCCCTCTTCCAAGTCTGTCATAATTTTAATAAGGACCGTGCCAAAAAAAAAAAAGAAAAGAAAAGAAAAAAAAGTCTTATAAAAGCGTCTTGTCCCGTTGGTTCCCGGTCGGACCCTTTTTCTGACGGTCTGATTGCATCAATCAGGCGATATTTCTGTTCATGTTCAAATGCATCACCACAGCGATCGTTTTTATTGGTGAATAAAAAAATGCAATTGTTGTATTTATGCCTCTATTTGAAGGAGAAGCTTGGACAGCGACAGACAAGGACCAATGTCTCATTGTCTAATCCGCGCCTGTACTTTCAAACAGATGAAGTCAGATCCTCTACATGATCTGAAGCTTAATTTCACTAACAGAAGACCTTTGCCCAGCTTTACTTAACTGTCTGCACCCTCCTGAAAATCTGTTCACCGCCTTCACCGCTTTGGTCCTGCCTCATTGCCGGCCCAGATACGATCTCAGTACCAATCTTAGCATCTGTACCAGTGCAGATGTCTTTAATATCCTTAAAAGCATTGAAAGAGGCATGAGAAAGAATAATAATAAATGCGATTCTTCACGCCATCACATACGTCATTTTTTTTTTTTAGTATTTGAATAGATTCATGGATCGTCGATAGACTCAGAAATCTACGAGCTTCCATTAACACTTTACTAAAATACCAACAGCCTTCCGAATTCCTAAATATATCGATATGGCTATGGATCAAGTTGTTCGTGATCAAGAGGATCCGATCGAAGATGAGGAGGTGCAGTCTAGTGTCACTAGAATCACCTTCACCCCTACACTTCTGTAGCAAGCATCCCTTTCCCACGAATCTAACAAGAACTCTATTTCTTTTATTGCTCTTATCGGTCATTATAGGAAATCTTCTTCACAGGTTCAAATATCATCGTCATTAACTGCTCTTGTTAAAGATATACACGCGTTTGGACAATGATTGCTCCAGCAGCAATTCAGAAAATCTAACCAGAAACGATTTATGTAAAATTAGAAATTGACGAGCTTCAAAACCATGGCATAAATGTGGCCGATATCAACAAGTTGAAACAGGCTGGCATATGTACCGTACAGGTAATATCAGTAAATAGCAGAGTAGTGGTCGACTTTCCCTTTATTTTGTTAGCAAGTGGTTTACGGACCATACTTTGTGTGTCAACAAACGATGCAGTGTATCCAAATGATGACCAAGAGAACCCTCTGCCGGATCAAAGGATTTTCTGAGGTGAGTTTAATCCACAACACTCTAACTGCAGCTTCATTCTTCATATTGAGCATTCCGGCTATGCCTTGGATATCATCCTTTATCCTAGGTCAAGGTTGACAAGCTTAAAGAAGCGGCATCCAAGCTTCACAGCGTATCGTTTATTACAGGACTGGAATACAGTATCCAACGGAAGAAGGTCATAACAATTTCAACTGGATCCAAGCAGCTTGATGAGCTTCTTGGTGGTAAGCTCATGCGTACAGTTTATTCTCTCCAGTCTAGGTGTTGTTTAAAATGATCTATTATCTATTATTAAACTTTTGTGGTACGACAGGCGGCATTCAATCAATGGCTATCACAGAAGCATTTGGAGAATTCCGTACTGGCAAGACTCAAATTGGTCACACACTTTGCGTCATAGCCCAGCTCCCAGTAGCAATGGGCGGTGGCAACGGCAAGGTTGGTTACAGTGCCTGTATCCCACACTTTAAGTGAAAGCATAAAAAAACGCTATATCCTTTTTATCCTTTTATTAGGCCGCCTATATTGATACAGAAGGGACATTTCGACACGAGAGAATCAAGGCTATTGCTGATCGATTTGGTATTGATTCCGAAGCAGCACTTGAAAACATACTCGTTGCCCGTGCTTACAACTCTGAGCATCAGATGGACCTTATTACCGAAATTGCTGCGCGTTTTGCCGAGGAGAAGGGCATTTTTCGTTTATTGGTATGGTGGGCATTATTATTGACGTGGATCAATATCCTGATAGTGTGAGACCTATCATTAAATATATGCTTACAACTTTATGAATCATCATAAATCTAGGTTATTGATAGCATAATAGCGCTGTTTAGAACTGACTTCTCAGGGAGAGGGGAGTTATCCGAGAGACAACAAAAGCTAAATCAAATGTTAAGTCGATTGATCAAGATCGCTGAAGAATTCAACGTCGCTGTGTATATCACAAACCAAGTGCAGTCTGATCCTGGTGCAGGAATGACTTTTATTGCAGATCCCAAAAAACCAGTGGGCGGCCATATCATGGTTCGAGAATTGACTGTCTTTCGGGCGCCTTTGTTTATATAGTGCATCCACCGATCTAATTGATCATGTGTGCGGTATGAAATTATTAGGCCCATGCCTCAACCACAAGGCTCTACCTCCGTAAAGGCAGAGGTGAGGAACGTATTGCTAAGGTATATGATAGTCCTGATGTCCCTGAGGCAGAAGCTCGTAAGTTCATTACTCTTTCCTTATTTTCGAACCAGCACCAATAGTTAAGTAAATGGTTCATGTAGCGCGCACCATGGTATATCTAAAACGTCAACTGTGAAAATAGCATACGCCATCTCTTCTGGAGGAATTGTGGACGTCAGCTAAATCAAGGAAATGGGTCATGCAAATGTCGTGAGTACCTTTTTTCAGCACGTGAATTAGGGGATCGCAGTCACAAAAGCAAACTTTTTTGAGTCTCTTTTTTTTTTGCAAACACATTTTTCATAAAATGAGAAGAGCAATGATGCTTTGAAAGCTGAAATAAATTAGTATACTTTTTAAGCATGACAGAAGACAATGGAGAGCAATTGTATTCTCCTGACAATACTCAAGAAAATGAAGCAAATAGTAGTGTTGCCTTAAAGCAAGTGGATAGTGTGTGTGAGGAGACTACTTGTATCTTGTCCAATCAGGCAAACGTGACAGAAAATACCAAGGTGGTTATCACTACGAACGAAACTGTCGAGCTTTGCAATGTTTCTAAGAAACGTAAAGTGGATGATGACAAGAGTGTAAATAAAGCCCACGCTGACTCAGGTATGCCGAATTGGAATGACCACAATAATTTGTTGAGCATATTATTTCTTATATACCGTTATAAATGACTATACCTTTGTTTCATAACCTATCAATTTCTAAGACGACGAAGCGGCGCAAGGCATATCCAGGCAGGCTCGCAGGTTGCTTAAGAAGCAAAATAAGAAGGTTGCCAAAAAGTCACAGGGTAATAATGGTCGGCCTTGCTTCATGCTCAGTCGTGATTACAACAAACTCAGCATCAAGGTATGTTGCTAGATTCATGATAACGGAGCATGTATGCGCATTGAGTATAATATGCCAATTAATAATTTGCACATATTTCCTAGGATCTACGAGACCTTGTCATCTACTTGTTAACCGAGACTAAAACATTACCATGGATCATGGTCAAAAACAAATTCAACATCGACAAAGTCCTGCTTCTCTATGTTCCAGGGCTGGATCCACAGTTTTTCAATATCGATCTTCAGGATCCAGAGTCAAGTAAACCTATCATATGGACGCAGAAAGCTAAAACAGGAGCTGTAACAGAATTTAGCCATCTCCCAAAGTTTTTCGATACCATGAATGTGATGAAGGCTGGAGGTGACAGATACAGAGTACATCCTCCTGTGGATACGCTTCTTAGTGTACCTTTAAGCAATTCTGAGAAGACAAAGAGAGAGCAGGAATTAAAATCAAGTAAGATATAGTACTCTCTATATAATGCAGGTAGAAACACAACTCCGCATTGAGCGCTAAGAGCTAACTAGGATTCTTATTCGAAACTACTAGAAAAGGACTTGGCCAGAATGCTTAAGCCAGAAAACTACATGATGACATTGCAGCAATTACGTGAGCATGAATTCCCTCTGCCAAGTTACTTGGGCGATAAGAAGGCAGTCCAGGATGGCTGGATCGAGACAGAGCAGCGTATTGCAGAGTCAACACCAAAAAAAATGATTGCAATGGATTGTGAGATGGTATGGATCTCCTAGAGCTTTCTTGCCTGTTCTATGTCCTAGATCTAGCACTATTTCTCTGACACGCACATATTTCAATTCCGCTTCTTAGTGTCGAACAACTACTGGTTCAGAACTCACGCGCATCTCCTTGATCGATGAGGAAGGCACCACAATCTATGATCAACTGGTTTTGCCTGATAACCCAATTGTGGATTACTTGACGCAATATTCTGGTATGACAGCAGAGCGGCTGAAAGGTATCACAACAAGACTGGTCGATGTTCAAAAGAAGCTGAAGGAAATGATCACGTATAATACGATTCTGGTCGGACACTCGCTCGAGAATGATATGAGAGCATTGAAGGTATTTATCTTGAATGATTCATCGCTTGATGAGTAATATATTAAGATAATCTATCCTAACGTCCTCCTCATGTATCAATGTGGATCCAACATCCAAATAGTTTGCTCATCCGTTCATTATTGATACAACAGTCGTGTATCATCATACGCGTGGACCACCTTTTCGAGCGTCATTAAAGTGGCTCGCTCAGAAATGGCTTTCAAGAAGGATTCAGCAAGGTGGTGACCATGGGCATGATTCAGTCGAGGATGCTAAAGCCTGTATGGACCTTGTGAAGCTTAAAATCAAAGAAGGGCCAGGATTTGGCGAGTACAATAGAGATGAAGAGTCAATCTTTTCACGAATGTCACGACACACTACATCGAGGACCTCTGCGATTATCGATTGCGAACATGTTTCAGGGCAGGGGAGTGCTACAGCTGTCATTAAAGCTTCAAGTGATGCTGAGGTCGTGAAGGCTATTCCAAAGGCAATAAATGAGCACAACTTTGTTTGGGCCAGGCTCCGAGTCCTGGAGATCAATCACGGTGTCACTTCAGCATCGCTAGCCCAAGATGGCGAAAATGAAAGACAAGATCAGATCGACGATATCAAACCTTGTGACAAACCGGCGAGCTCCATCGATGTCGAGGTGACTGATGAGGAGTTGCGGAAAGCGGCAAAGAATATTGACCAAAGTATCGCTGAAATTGTAGAATCATTGCCTGATAATACAGCAGTGATCATGACGAGCGGACAGGGTGATCTTCGGGAGGTTCGGCGGTTACAGGCACTTCAAAGCAGATTTCGGAGGTTGTATAACACTCATAGTTTGAGTATGATTCCTAAGGAGGATCAATTTTCGGATGAGGATCAAAAGGCGCTTGAGGCAGCTGTGAACAGGGCTAAGAACGGTGTATGCTTCTTTATGGTGAAGTGATGGAGTAAGAGCGATTGAGGACAAAAAAAAAAAAAAGATGAATAAGCCAGACATTTATCTCTGAACTACATTGCTCAACATGCGTTGCTCTTGTAAAATATGATCTTACCGCGATCGAGATAATCTCTTGAGTGAATAGAGGTGACAAGCAAATTGGGGATGTTGGTATGCCAAGCTTGCATATTGAATTAAGGTGAACAATACCAGAGATAGACGCGTAGTTCTTTATGGTCACAAGAATGGAATAGCTACTCTCTAGGCTAACTTCAAGTGAATCAAATCAGAAATAGCGCATAAAAGCGATCTAGTATAAATACTAAAAAAAAAAATGTTTTGGTGCCAATTTTTTTTATCTCTCACCTAAATCGACGTTCTTTAACCCCTCTCTGTTTTTCACACACCACTCCACTCACTCAACTTTGCAATATCTTTTTCAATCCTTCACACTCTCTTCAAATACACAATCACCGCACTCACATAAACACATAGAATCAACACACACATACTCACACATACACCCATACACACACATACACACATACGCACATATACACAACCACACAAACACGCATTCACAGATTGAAAAGAAGGCGCTCCAATGAAGTTGTTCAAGATCGACTTTGGAATCAAAGACCGCTATCGACGGGGCCTGGCTCAAGGCACCAGGGCTAATCGATCACCTCAATCAGAGGTCTGTTTGTTTGTTTGTTTGTTTGGCAAGATACTCCTTGTTGTCATGAGCAGAACCTTTCTTTTTTGTTTTTATTGTCTCTTAACGCTTCTCTCTTGCACAACAAATTGACAACAGGCATCAGCGACGTTTAGTAATCCCGAAAATGATCATGATCCACACCACCAAGCAACCTCCCCTTCATCACCCTCAGCCCTTTTTTCTGCAGGGACTCCATCACTCAAATCGCGGGATGAACGTATGGAGCAATGGAATGAACTAGGGACCTCATCTTTAGAGACATCAGCGGTGATAGAGGAGGCTAGCTTTAATAATGAAGTTAATAGCAGTGTTCATCCTTTTACGACAGCTGTGGCACACCCCCATGCTCGCGGAAGTAATCGACATGTGGGACAGGAATATGACAATGAATATGAACATGAGCAACTGAACGACGGATATCTACCATCTGCATCCTATGTATCTTCATCCACAAAAGATAACCTGTCCTCTTCATCATATTTACTCTCACCATCATCTTCATACTCCTCAGATGACGACGAGGGAAGCGACGAGGGAAGCGACGATGGATCAGAAAGCGATGGGTCACAAGAAGATGACGATGCAAGTGATCAAGAAGTTGATTCGCCAGGTTTCAGTCTTAGTCAAGCTCGGCAACATCATCGTAGCCAATCCCAACATCTCTACCAATCCCAATATCTCGACTACTATGGAAGGGGTTATAATGTAGGCGAACACGCAGGTTTTCTACCTCCAGCACCGGTACCAGCAATTGTGCCAGCATCAGATAGAGAGGCGTTAGAGCAAGAGGCAAGACAACGCAGATTTGAGAGACATATTGACAAAAGACGTCAATCTTTGAATGGAACACAGCCACCTCCGTAAGGGACCAAAAAAAAAAAAAAAAAAAAAAGTTTTGATAATATATATCCTATATGCCTTTATTACTAATATCGCTTCATTGTGTATCAATGCGCCCCAATAACTTGTAGTGCCCCACGTAGGAAAAAAAGAAAAAAAGGCAAAGATCTTCGAAAGCAGGTTCTAATGAAGAATGCACAGCAGTTACTGGATTGAGCGGAAAGAGGGAGAGAGGATTTGCGAAAATCCCTTTTTCAAAAATTATATTTTCTTGCATACCACAATATTCAAGAGGATGAAAGAAGAATGACGAAGAACATTGATCGTGATAATGTTAGAGCCAAAAAAAAAAGAAAAAGAAAAAAAAAAAATTTTTTTTTTACCCTCCTGTTTATGGAATAAAAGATAAATCACTTCTGTATCATACATATAATTTTATATTATAAACCCACAAGTAACCTTCTGGAGCAGAGGAGGAGTCCATCCAATGCAAATTAAATGGTAGAGTTGAAAGTGAACAAACACAGAGTGAAGTTGTTCATGATAATGAATGAGTTGACCTCCACGAAAGATGTATTTTAAAACGTGAAATTAAGGTCATATGTATTGGTACACTTGACACAAAACAGTTTATAAAATATCTTCCCTCCTAGTCAGTATCCAAGAGGACACCCTCTCCCAGAACGACTGGCGTCATGGCGTTAAAAATGTCGACGTTTTTTTTCTTTTTTTGTATGTCATGTGCGCCAATATATGAGACTGTAAATTTCACGTTTTAAAAGACATCTTTTGTGGAGGTCAATTCATTCATAAAAACCACTTTCAAACTGTGCTTCTTAATTGTGTCAATATACAAAGTGTAATAAAAGGGATAATCTTTCCAAGTATTAAAGATGGGTTTAGTTTATTATACAAATGGATATAGTCTTGTTGTGTCTGAATATTATTTAGTACTTTGTGATGGCATACTCGGCCTCCTTGGCAGCACGTGCTGCCTCATTAATCGAGGGACGTTGCTTACGTGGGGTGTAAAAGTAAGATGCAATGCAGTACAGAATAAGGCCAAAGAGACCGATACCAGAATATGCCCAACCCTTAGTGGATGATGACATTTCAGCGCTGGCAAAGGCGGGTTCAAGGACCATAATCAGAATAGAACCGAATGAAGTAGCCAGCAACCAGAATGCTGTTGAAACTGCACGGAACTGACGACCAGCTTCAATATACGTGAATTGAACACCAGTGGGAGAGAAAAGCGCCTCACCGAGCGAGAGGAGGACCCATTGAGGGAACTGCAACCAACCAGAGTAGCACTCTTTGCAGTATGTTCCGTCATACTTGGCAGGTTCCGCCATGTCGCGGCCAGATTTTTGGAAGGCATCCTCAATCATAGGAGCAAGGGCAGCAGAGAGAGCGAATGATACAATAACGAGGAAGAAGCCAGCTGCCATACGACGCTGAGGACCAAAGTTCCATCCACGGCGGGAGCAGAATGGGTAAACAAATGTGGCAAGGATTGGAACGAAGATAATGAGAAGGATTGTGTTGATGTTGGAAAACTGAGCAGACTGGATGTATGACTGCGCGGGATTGTTGCCACCGAAAAGTGCTCCGTTCATGAGATAGTATTGGTTGGACCATTCGTTCGAGTTCTGATTGTACAACATCCAGCAGAATGACATTGGAATCACAACTGGGACAAGGACAAGGCCAAAGTCACGGACCTCTTCCACAAACACTCCTCCATATTTCTCCTCTGCAAAATTAAGCCAGTGGCCCTTGGCTGCACGCTCCTCAGCAGAAGCAGCAAAGTACCCATTGGCAGCAAAGACTGCAGCCTTGGTGGCCTTCAAAGGAAGGAACTCGCCCAGTGGAGGCACGATTCTGTAGTAACGATGACCAGCAGCAAAAATAGCGTAAGCACAAGCAAAGACGAGTGTAGGCAAAAGGAAAGCGCCCGCAAAACAAGTCTCCTGGCCATAGCAATGGATCTTGCTGATTTCTGGGACGATGAATTGAGTCAACAAGGCTCCAACGTTGATGGAGACATAGAAGATGTTGAAGAAGAAGTCCTTTGCGGCTTCCTGGCTAGGAAGATACTGGTCGCCACCATGGGATGAAACACAAGGCTTGATACCACCAGTACCAATAGCGATGATGATCATGGGCAAGAAGGTGAGGAACTTGGAAACCTGTCCGATTGGTCCAATCAAGTTGGGAATAGCAAAAACAGTGACCATGATCATGCCGATCATGTAGACACCAGAGAACGAGATGATGGTCCACCTTTAACATATCATAATAATAGCAATAATAATAAGAAAAATAACGTCAGCATCATCTTGCAGGAGATACAATATTAAGATTGCTTATGTTTTTACATGCATTGAATACTACTAACCATTTTCCAAGGAAGGAGTCAGAGAGAGCAGCACCGATCAAGGGGAAGAAATAGGCCAACATGGTGAAGGCTGTGGAGTAGACCTTAGCATCGGTTTTGTTCATACCAGTGATAAGCTGGAAGTACTTGTTCAAGTTGGGTTGGACACCATAGTAACAGAAACGTTCACCAAACTCGTTGGGCAAAATGAAGTAACAAGCCTTTGGCATCTTGTTGGGATTCGCCATCAACTTTGCATCCAACTCGGCATTGAGACGAGCCTCCAACTCGAGAAGTTCTTTCTCATGATCTGTCAGCAGATCCAGAGGGTTAATCTCCTTTCCATCATGGATGGAGACCTCAGTGCCTTTAATATCGTGCTTTTCGGACATTGCTGAGGTTGTATTATAGAGTGAGAAAGGGAGAGGAAGTGGGAAGCGAAATTAAAAAGGAACTCGGGGTTTGTCGAGAACCGCGCGGAGATGCGTGGAGAGAGGAAAGAGAAGAGGATGAGTTTTCACTAAGGAACTAAAAAAAAAAAGGGGGAAGAGTGTGGAAATTGGCGGGTACTTATATTACGTGTGTTTGTGCAGTGTGTGGGCCAAATGCGCGAACAGACAGACGAGACTGGATAGAAGGCTGACAGTCTACATGTGCAGCTTTTAATTGAATAGAAACTTTAGAATCTTTGGAATTGGTAAGGTTGCTGATTCAATGTTTGATTCAAGTATATAATCAATTTGACGGGGCTTGGTAAGAAAGAAGAAAAAAAAAGGGCCAAAATAACTGTTTTTGTTTGTTTTGGAGACTAACTTTCAGATTAAATGGTGCATAACATGTATGGATCGCCTTCTATGCCGTTTTGTGAGCTCAGGTTCTTCTGAGCATGTACATGTACAGTATTATACAGTATATATTTTCAAAAACAAAACTATGAACGTCCATATCATAGCCTGGACCTTTTCTTTTTTCTTTTGTTTTATTTTCGTGATTGTTCATTCGTCAATCCCGTCATTGGTGGCCACTTCAGTATTTGTGTATATGTATTTTGTTCTAACTTTCTATATCCAGTCGTGGGAAGAACTAGTTTAATCTATCCATGTGTTGAAAAGTGACAAATCAGTCTTCTTTCATTCATGTCTTCAAGTCTTTGCATTCATATACATAAATGTATATTTGCCGAAAACACGTCGCCTGTTTCCTAATTTCGCTGAGAATGTCCTATTAAAAAAAAAAAAAAAAATGTCCGATTAGCTCTTGAAACGATCGTTCTAGCCCTTCCAGATGAGACCCCGGTATTTGAATATCCGTCCACTTCAAGGAATCCATTCTTATATCTTGAGAAAGCCAAATCCAGATAATGTTTAGCTTGAACTCTTTTTTAATTTTTCATTTTACAAAGAATATCTTATATATATATATACCATAATTGACTGGATCTTTGCATACCTCAATAAAGGTGAGCAAATAGCTATAGTTTCGTTTGTAGCCTTACGTCTGAAGTGATGATTAACCTGAGTGTACAGTATAAGAGTGTCTATATGTTTGTATAAATATATTTAACATAGACTACATGGAGATATTCATTTCCGAGTTGTCCAGTTTGAATATGCTTGTTAACTTTGATCGAAACGGATGTGATTCCGTGGGATCATGCGATGGAGTGAACACGAAAAAAAAAGATTGGATGTCGTGCGTGTGAATACAAACAACGTATTCATTCTCCAGTATAAAACCGTCTTTTAATGTAAGCACTTGATTAGACAAACATTCAAAACTTGTTTTTGCCAAACAAATAAATAAAGCCAAGATAAAAAGATTCGGTACATGTACAATAAGTTAGTGTAAAAAAAAAAAAAAAAAAACATCCATGCACACAGAAAAAAAAAAAGAAAAATACTTTGAGTGTGGGAAGAAAAAAAAAAGCCAATGGTTTTTAGTTCTGAAGAGAGAGTTGAAGGAAACGCCGCTTGCTACAGTAGAGGATTTCTTTTGATTTGTTTGCCATCCTTATGATCCATTACATTTGTTTTATTTTTTTTGAAACTGAGGAGCTTGTCAACGAAAGCATTGTTTAGAAAATCCATCGCATTAAAAAAAAAAAAAAAAAAAAAAAAAAAAACGAAGGATATCCCTGTGCGGATGAACGATAGATGATATTAGTTTTCTATGCCACTTCGAACTGGAAGTCCGGATTGATGAGTTACCGACCTGATTAAATATTAACCGCAATGGTTTATAAACGCGTGGCATTCTGGATGTTCTTTTTCTTCTAATTCACACAACAGTAGCGTGAGCCTGCAAACTTAAAAAGTCAAAAGCCCCCCCACTTTCAACATGGGATGAATGCATTTATATAATAAATATATATATTTATACAATATCAATATATATGTCTCTTTAATCTATTGCCCTACACTTTCTAAATTGAAATGTTGACATAAACTTTCTTTTTATCATTTTTTCCCAAAGATTAAGGTTCTGACGAATGATATCTCTCGCTTCAAAGTTCAGGCGACCAAAGACCATGGCAAAACGGCCAAAAGCTTGTCCTTTGTGGACCTTGATACACATGTACACTCATCATTCACCCTACTTTCTCTTGGGCTGTTACACTTGGGGGGGGCCAATATTTCCTCAGAATTTTCCCGTGTTTATTATTTATATGAATGCAAAAAAAAAAAAAAAAAAAAAAAAGACGTGGCATCGTCATTTTTATGGATACTTTCGCCAGTTTCCCTGCAAACCCTTCTCTTGTCTACCAGCAAAGTATTCACCAAAAAAAAATCTCTACTATTTAGTGGGTATGTATGCCAGGTGTATCGTATAAAAAATGTCAAGAGTGGGATTTTTTTGTATTTATTTGCATTCGTTAGCCAATGTCAACAAATGGTACAGAGTTATATAGTTCATTGAATTTCCCGAACAATAGGCTGAACGTGATAAGCTATCATGTACAAGATGCACAGATGCAGGCCGAAATCTATCCAGAGGGAAAAAAAAAAGCACATGTATTATATGTAGTCTAGCCTTCGATCGTCACTAGTAAACTAGACTAAGTATCAAATTGATTTGCAACAAAAATGAAACGGAAAGTGGTTCTAGAGTAAATATCTAAAGAGAATTGTAGAAATAAGCATACCACAAAAGAGATTGTTCATTTAAGAATTATTTTTTTTTAAAAAAAAAATAAAGTCAAAGCATGCGAAGGACTTTTCCCACGCACTTGGTTCCACCATGTCGGAACAAGACAGTTGTGCCTTCACGCATGAATTGAACATCATGGCAAAACTGGAACACAACACGCGCTCGACTGCCTGTGCGCAGTTCCACAGGATCCTCATCCACTTGATCACACTCAGTCTGCCCTGTCAGTACGTTAACCGGCTCACACCCCGTATCAGATTGATCAACGGCGATTGAATCTTTGATTTCAGTGCTTTGAGGCGTAATTAGGCTTGGTGTATGATTATCTTGTCGCACAGAGAGCCTCCTGAACGATCGCATTGTACTTATAGGGATCATTCCATCTGTGCCACCTTCATCAGCCTCCAAGTGGTGTCGGCGTGTTCGTGGCCGATAGCGGGGCCGGTTATCTAGATCGTCGCTCATATTCTCCTCATGCAGGGAGTTTGATCTCGAAATAATGATTGATTCGGGAATGGAGGATCCTGTCCCTGATTCATAATCTGAGCTAGGCGACCTAGATCGCGTACTTTGTAAATAGTCCTTTTGGTTATTTCGATTCAATACTCCTGATGGGAGAGCTTCTGCTATAGGGGATCTTCCAAGGTCATCAGTGCTGTCTAAAAGCGTAGGTGTTGAGAGATTCTCCACACTCTCCTGAGTTGAGCCAGGCAATAGTTCAATCTTGACAACCCTTGCATTCTGATGCACAGACCCACAATGGATCATTCCTTGATATCCAACCCCGAAAATCCCTTCATGCGCTAGTACCTCGATGACTGCCTCAAATTTTTGACAGCAAGTGCCTCTAGGGTCTGTGTCACTCTCTAAAACAACCATTCCGCGGCGAACTTTGACTCTTGTCAAGCCAGGTCCATCAATTGCCAGCGTTGCGGTGTGTCCTGAATCGATTGATCGCATTGACATGCGTTGACGATGGATAGACTTAACGACTACGGGTATGAAGCTCCCATCCCTGTCAACAGGTCCAAGATAAAGTCGCATGTTTTGTGCACCCTGTGATGCCTTGCTATGGTCATGGACTTCAATCTTCCCTGCATGTAAGAATCCTCCTACTACAGTGCCTATATCTAAAATGGCAATAGCAATATTGTTTTGATAGCTTAGTTTTTGCTATTATACTAGGTCAGTATAGCAAACGAACACTCTATCTGGCCCTATTCAATACCTGGTATATTGTAAATCTCTTCGATTTGATAGCAAGCTGGCTCTTGTAGGTATGAGCCACCGTGAATGTTCAAACCTGGTTTGGGCAGCAGGAATAAGAATTTCTCCAACAGGTTCACGTTTTCCCCAGTCACACTTGAGAGAAGTAAGATTGGGATCGCAACACTGTTTGTCTCTTGAATGGTAGACTCGTCTGAGAACCGCTTCACGGTAGTTTCTAGGTCCCTCTCGTTGTGTACAATCACAGGAGCAAATGTCTGTAATGAATGACCAGCATTATTGCCTGCTGTTGATGATGTTGATGTTGTAGACTGTTCAAATCGGTGAGATTGCGCCGATATTCCTGTGTCAATGTTGACAGCATTGATAGATGGGATGCAAGATGGACTAGAGTGTCGAATCAGTGTCATCAATGCAGTAACTGTGGCTCTTAGTTGATCGCGTGTTGCAACATCCATCTTCGTTACTACCACGAAAGTGGGAAGGCCTAAAGTTACAGCCAGTGCCAAATGTTCCTTTGTCATCTCATTAACGCCTCCTATTCGTGAATCAACAACCAGGCAAGCATAATCCGGGGCGTGTCCAGTTAATCCCGATATAGTAGTTTTAAGGAATCGGGGATGCCCGCAGGTGTCTAATAAGGTTACCACTTTAGCAGAAGACTCACAGATCTCTTGCCAACTGGAGATGTTGGTAGTGCTATAGTTGACAGTCGCTCCCTTGGCTGTGAAACCAATGATCTCATGTGAGATGGAAGATGTCCTGCCTGTGCTTATTTCATGGCGATGGCGAAGTAGATTCAGCCCTGAAAAGTGGGATAGAGAAAAGAATAGGTCCAAAGACTATATCAGAAAACATATAGAGTGAAGCAAATCCATATTCGTTTCATGCTGCAACATGACATACGTGCTTTTCCTCTGCCGTTATCTGCAATGCCATGAGCCAATCTCCCCAATAGCGTTGACTTTCCAGCATCCGGTCCTCCGACTAGTGCAACTCTGATCTCTAAAAACTGATGTTCCTCCACTAGCCTTGACGTGACTTTAGCTTCCACTACCAAGTACTCAGGCTTCGTCTTTGGTGAGCCACTATTAGCGGAGAGTTGTTTGCGGGCAATGGCTGATGAACTAGATGATCCATCTTGAATCGCTTCGTTCTGTTGGGTGGATTCAACAGAAACCTTTCGGAGGACAGTGACATCTGCTTTTAAAAAATCCGCCATACGATGTAACGTTTGAAGAGAGACCTCCATATCCTGAGGTGACAGGCCTACAAATGAACCGTCGTCTGCTACACCGATCTCATAAATTGCGCTCCCGTTGCCTTCTGCCAATCTATTGCATTTCATGGATAAAAAAAAAAAAAAAAAAAACTCAGCCATAGCGCTTTTCCTTCCATGATTGCGGGTCTCACAAGATGCGAAGAGTTTGCTTTGTATACTTACCTCCATTTTAACTGAGTAACCAAATGTTCGAATCGATCTGGTGCAGTTGCGATCAATTTAAGCTGCAGAGTATTAATTACGTAGACAATAACCAAATAAAAGAAGTTAAAGTGATCGTTAAGCAAGGATCTGCAAGGGGGTTGAGGAAGGAGATACATGTTTTTGTAATTAAAACTGGGCGAAGTCCAGTTCCGATTCTTTTTCTCTTACCTTATACTCAATATTTCCCTCAATATCAATCTCTGGTGGAAGTGAACCCTGATGGTTCTCCCACGGCGACAATTCTATGGCAGCAGATGGCACTGGAAAAGTAGCCATTATACTCTGCGCTGGTCTGTGTTCTGGAATCCAGTTGAGTCAGAGTAAATGAAGAAAGAGTTGGAATGTCCAGTACTAAAGCTTACTAAGCCCTATAAGCAATGATGGTGTGTTGTTACTGTTGTTGGCGTTACCGAAAGAGGAATGAGTATTGTTGTGTGTTGTAGTGCAAACTGCGAAGCGTTCGGCTATTCATCTGTCTTGACTAAGTTTAGTTGCGTTTTTGTTATAGTTTTAAAAAGACAATGACAGGGGGGAGAGAGATGAATGCACTCAATGAATGCACTCGATGAATACGAACTAAGCTCTAAAAAAACTAGGTAAGCAGTCTAATTAGGCCTTTTTTTAACCTAAATATTATCGACTGCGGCTGCTCTTGATAATGTTGACTCATACCTTATTCACTGCTCTGATTGTACCAACCAGCCAGGGTGCAGAGTGTTCGGTAATGAAGAGGCACTAAGACTATTCCACGTCAAAGCCTTCATGGTGGAGGCGCGGAACTGTGTCAGTTGATTGATCTAGGGTCCCAGACTTCGCAACAAACACGAATCCGCTCTCGTGTAGCCTATGGCCTTGACAGTAATCTTGCAGATTGGTTGATGACTGCCACTGAACCATAGACGAAGCCCGTTTCCTCCGTCATCATGAGGATAACACTGTGAGGGTAATAAGTGAAACACAGTCACATGTTTGAACTGAGAGGGGTAGAGTTCTGGCCCAAAAACAAAGGAGCCTGGACATCCTTGCTTACATCGTGTGGACTACATTCAAAAGTGAATAAACGATGGATTGGTACTCTGGACTTGGGCGGGCGTCCGAATCTAAATCGATAGTATACAGGATTCCGAGTAATATCAGATGATTTCGAAAAGCAATGTTGCTGCTATAAGTTAAAAGTTAAACGCGGCCAAAGAACGTATCCAAAACATTTTTATTTTGCAAAGATAAAGTCTGTTCATAGGGACGAGCTGATCCATTTGGTTATTTGAATCTTGGTCATAAAACACCCTTGCAATATATCTAAGGCTGGATTCCATATCCGATGCTGGTGCAAATGACTAACATGAGTTAGACCAACAGACATCATCTCGTCTCTAAGATTAAAATGTTGTACATCTTTATATATACTACAGTTCTGTTTAAGACATGCTGCACAATCCATTATAGACTGACAATACATGCGTTTGACTTTGATGATTTGGATTTCAGAAGCAATGATTTGGGGGGATGAATTTATTATGTCTTCGGATGTCCGCCTTGATACTGCAGCCTATGTAGCAATCTTAATGTAGCATGTATAAAAAGTAATAGAGACTCTAACAATATGAGGTGCTTCGGCCAACATTCACTGATGAAATAATAATCTTTATCTGTTACATGCGAGGGGATCGCGATTAGTGAATGCTAGCATTTTGTTAAAAGAGAAGGATAGTTTATATGTGTTCTCAAGCACACTAACCAATTTTGGCAAGTTGGGTGACGCAATTGGGCCGAGATTGTGCTGTTCTCTGGAGCTGTAAGTGAATATCATTTGTGTGCAATTGAAGGTTTTGATCCTCCTTTCAAATTTACTCATACCAAAATGAAGTATGGGCGTACTGCCAGATTCAATATTATAAAACCATCCAATCATCCATCCATCGATCGTATTAAGGAAAAGACTATCTAAATTTCAGCGATATACATCCGACCATTATATCAACTACATATTCAGAAAATATCAGAGCTTGACACATCATTCTCATTGTTTCGAGTCAGTTTACATGCAGAAGGTTACAATGGACAGCTAGGATTCAAAAAATTAGTGACTTTTCAAAACTATAGCTTTAATCAACTACCAGCATAAATGTGGTGTCTACTTCTGGAGTCAACTATAGCAGACACCTTTTGGATTAGAGGAGCGTCCATTACAGGATGAAGTAACTTTCAGACATCTAGATTTCATCATCCGATATTTCTTTTTGCAGGAACGCTTGAAGATTTTGGAAAGCTAGCTTAAACACACTGAGCTACAATTTCATGAGGAAGATTTGATATCATGTTCAACACTCGAACGAGAGATTGGATTTCATCTGACTTTCATCAATCTATTTTTTTATTTTTATTTTTATTTTTTTTCAGAATTGAGATTTGTGCCTTCTCTGGAGCCAAGATTTACCCTGGTAAGGGTAAGATCTATGTCCGTGTCGACAGCAGGGTATGTAGCTTGAACCAACAGTTTTGTATGCTTTTTACATATGTCAGAGGCTTCCTGCATGGATAACAAGAATCGGACTTTATGAATCAGGATATTCTGCGGGAAGACAAAGGGGCTCCACTTTTATGGATCATATACTATAATAACACAATGAACAGGATTAGTAGAAACAATGGGACCTTTTTTCTTTTGTTATTTGATTCCTACCTACAACACCGTGTGCGCCTGGACCACCAACGTGTTGTTATGATTAAACGTATCAACTGATTTTATCTAGGGTAGCAGTTGGCGTTGAATTTTGAAAGCTCACAAATTCACATTGTAATATTCATGATTGTATATTTATAGTCTTTCCGATTCGTAAACGGCAAGGCTGAGTCTCTTTTCTTGCAGCGCAAGAACCCCCGCAAGATCTCCTGGACCGTCCTTTTCCGCCGCATGCACAAGAAGGGTATCTCTGAGGAGGTTGCCAAGAAGCGCACCCGCCGCACTGTCAAGCACCAGCGTGCCGTTGTCGGTGCTTCCTGGGAGGCCATTCGTGCTAAGCGCAACCAGAAGCCTGAGGTCCGTGCTGCTGCTCGTGCCGCCTCTGTCCGTGATGCCAAGGAGAAGAAGAAGGCTGAGGATGCTAAGAAGAAGGCTGAAAAGGCCAAGGTGAATATTTTTTTTTTGTCATACAACGAAATCTGGAAAAAAAAAAAAAAAAAAAAAAAAAAATGGCTCCATAGACTTGCAATTCATTATCTATTTCTTATTTCTTTTTTTTTTTTTCTTTCTTTTTTTTTTTTTTTACAATAGAACGCATCCAGCGCTGCCCGTGGTCAGCCCAAGGTCTCCAAGCAGGGTGCCAAGGGTGCTAAGGTCGCAATTGCCAACACCTCCCGTTAAATTCGTATTTTTTGTTTGAGTATTGAATAAATTCTCTCGCGAAGCTCCTAAGAATGAAACAACATATTTCATTTGTTTTCACCATCAATGCTTTGTTAAATTGAAAAGAAAGGCAAAAGCAAAGTCTTGAATCCTGTCCACGTCCATGTGGGTGAAGGCAGCTCACATGTTTTATTTTTTCTGTGTCATTCGGCAACCTCCAAAGCTTATGACAAGGAAGATATGATGAACTATGCAACTCTCCATATAGAGCTAAAAGCCAACATGTATAATTAGGCATTAATCGACATATTGATTCCTATTCTCTGTTAATCAGTGCTCGCATTTCTTTTTCTTGCCTGAGCAGAGGTATTGTAGGCTAGCCACTTGTAGTCTGTGATCCTATCTTTATAGGCCAATGCTGCTGAAAAGCTTCTAACATGCATCTGCACTCGCTCATTTCAATTTTTTTTTTTTTTTTTTTTTTTTTGTGGGCCTCGGGCGATACCTACTAATTACCTTCCTTTTCTCAAACGCTTTTTTTATCGCTTACACACACAATCTGAAGGACCAGAGCTAATATACCGTGACCTATCACCTCATGGATCAGGGATCTAGCTCGAGTCCAGTTCATACAGTAACACCTGAACTGAGTAAATACTTTGATTTCTTTATATTTATTTCGTTATCCTAATCAGAACTTGTCACATAGCCATGGATGCTGGTGCATGAAACTGTTAGCTTAGAAGGGTGCCATGGATAAGGAACCCAATTAGAGACCAAGCAGGTTGAAAATCGCTTATAGGATTATGGAGCATAACTGCTACAAGATCCAACCCTAAAACTACGAAGCTCAATCATTATCGGATGATATTCATCGCCAAAACCTTATCCAAACCGTCTTTGCAATCAATGGATATTTATTGTCTGAATACAGATTAGAACAATGGAGCCTTTTATACTAACTGTGTAAGGACGCTGTGGGTGCATTTCCCCTTAGTCCTTTTGCTTGGTCAAACAAACCTCATCAGTACAGAGGTTGCGTCGCCTTTAGGCCCATACTTTGATCCCCTTGCACACAATGACAAATACCTGCTTATATTGATTCATCTCACTTTGCAAAGCCGGTTCGCTGGTAAGTGGTTAGAATAAAAGCGACGATAACTCCTTTTCTGGAAACATTTTCACCCTTTTCCTTAAATCATCTTCATCCTCAAATCGTCGCTTTTCCCGCTCGATCAGGGTTTTTTTATAGACTATCTCCTTAACTCCAGGAATATGCTTGATATGGTGCTCAGGTGCTGAATTGATGCACAGCCTGAAAGACGCTGTATAGCATGATAATAATATTATTGAAATATGTAAAATATTTAGAGTAACTGCGATAATATATATGCTTACCTGAGAATTGTGCACGACCTGCAAACGTATATCCATAGTATTTCCGGAAGTTCCCTCTGTGTATTATAAATGTATGAGAGTGAAGCTTCACTCCTGAAGAAGATTTAGATTGATTTGAAAAGATACCAAAGGCACATTCCAAGGACTGACATCGTTCCTTAAGAGTATCATTCACTTTGGCAATCTTTGTAATTTCCTCGTCAATTGTTGTTTGATCGATAACGTTATGTTCTTTTGAATCCTGTTCCTTGGTCCATTTCATTTGACAAGACAAACACAAAGACACAATATCTCCTCTGTTCTGTAAACGCAATTGCATAAAGCCGTCGGCTGGGGCTCCCTTGCATATCAAGAATAGCCTTTGCCAGTACAGGTGTCATGAGCTCCTCGTACTCCTCAAAAGGATAAAGCGTGTCTAACTCAGTTACCAGCTGCTGCATAACGACCACGATATCGACATTGCGCAGACATTCCGTAAGTTCCTCAGCCTGGCCAGGAATCTCCTTTGTTTTCTTTAAGTGAAACACAAAGAAAAGATAGAAATACTCAACAGCCCTCGCCATCCCACCAATGTCTGCGATACTACGGCGGAACAATATATCATTCCTCAGGTAATCTTCAGTCAGAGGCGGAATCTTGTCGTATATAGTCAGGTGTAGCTTAAGGCCAATTTCGACCACGTCGGCGTCAGTAAGAAGAGGAAGAGGTAGGAGTAGCATACGATATGATCCCATGGCCATGCTTTCGACGGGCCCTTGGATTGTACTCGCCATAATAGGAATACAAAAAGGCTCTGTGGTTCTACAGCTCAGTGCCCCGACAGCATGTACAGCTTGTCGAAGAGTGTCTGGGTAGCCTCTGTGTAAGTGATTCACCTCGTCGATGTTGATGACCAGCACAGAGAAACCGTTAGTGGATGTGCCGCGATTGATAATATCAGTACGAATAACCTCTATGGTGGTGTTCAATGTGAGTCGCTCGGCGCCTTTCTTTTGCAGTAAAGGCTTAAGCTGGGCTTTTTTGGCGAAGTTATCGGTACTGATAAAATATCCGTAGAGTAATCTAGCGGCGATAGATGCTTCACCTCCAATCCAGACATCGGACCCACTGGCAAGAGTGCCACTGCCATAGGTAATATTGATTGAGACCATATTGGGGAAGGCGCTTCTGATACTCTGATCACTGCAAGAGCTGACCTTTTCACGAAGCATTCCCCCAATTTCTCGGAGGAACCGGCTTTTGCCTGTACCTGGTTCACAGGCAAGTAATGGGATTGGGTGTAGGCCCTTGTTCCTATTGTTGCGGTTTTTAAATCGCTCAAAGATGCCATTGTAATAAGGAACTCCATTCCATAATACGTCAAGGGTTTCCTCTCGGCGGAGAAGCGGGAAACCTGAACCAAAGGTATAAACAAGCTATAATAAGTATAATAAGGAATCAGCACAAAATCTTCCATCACCTCACAATCTTTAATGATGTACACCCAAAGATGTAAACACAATAGACAACATACTTGATCTTGTTCAATGCCGACGGGTCGTTCATATTGCCTAATCCATGGCTTCCGTCCAGATGACAGCTGTGATTAAAAAAAAAAAAAAAAAAAAAAAAAAAAAGAAAGATGACTCAATGATCAATGATGTTATACACAAAACTTCGAGAACAAACAGCTAATCCCTTACCTGTCGATGGAAGCCGAGCAATGACGTGAATGGTTTTCTTTGGTAGTGCCGTTCCATAGGCCTCGGAGATTTTGCTTGTTATTTTGAGTAGCTTCTTTGATTCAACTTTGGTGAGATTGACTGTAGTGCCTTCATCGGGAACCGAGACACGGTAAAGGTTGAGCTCATATGCGGCAATATCGTCTCTGTTGTGGGTCCATGTGGGTTCACTGTTATAATAATCACGTATACTAATTATATACTCACCTTGGTTGACACGTAAAAAGATTAATTGGAGTTTTGGTAAACCCTGTTAATAGAAGGTGTGGCGGTGACCATCGCTCTTTGATTCTTTTATTTTCATTTTTTTTTTTTTTTTTTTTCCTTCATCCCTTACTTTTAAAGAGACTGTCAGCATTCTTCTCGGATTTTAAGAATAAAGAAGAGGACGATGGAGGAATGTTTTGTGGCCATTCTTTTATTACCTTTTGCTTTCTGCTTGAATTCCCATTTTTTTTTTTTTTTTTTTTTTTTTTTTTTTATATTCTATGAAAATAACTTTGCAAGATAGGCCCAATGTCCAGAAACAAGCTACAAGCACTTTTTTTTTATCAGCTCTAGAATGTAGACAGGGATTTAGCATTGCGTGATTGATGAAGGGGTAAGAATTTCGAATAAGGGGTATGTTGACGGGGGGTTCCTTAATCCATTGGACACAGATAATCCGTTTCCAAAAATGCACGGTATTGACTGGAAAATTGTAACCGAAGAAAGAAGAAAGTGAGGATTGAATGTGGATCACAATACCACATCGCTTGAATATTTATTAATTAACTTTTCTACATGCTGCGTTATGATCGGTAAGAATACTACGGCCGATAAGATGACATCTGCTATCATATGGTGTGATAATGTGCAATTTTTGCAACATTGGCTTTTCAACATGTATAAATATCTGGCTTCTTCTGCTGTCGAAATCAACCCCATTTCTACTGATTTCATTATCTTCTTTTTGTCCTTTATCCTCAATTCATCCGTACCCTATTATGAAAGGCCATAAGTCTCTGAGCTGTATCCTGAGATCACTATCCCAAACCTCGGGACAGTTAAAGGGATGTTTGACAAAATAGCCAAAACATTGGGAATTCACCATTTTTTTTTATTTTTATTTTTTTAAGGGGAGACGCACAGGCGGATTAATTATATCAATGTATCAGTGTATCAATTTGTAAAGAAATCCATCACATATCAATTGAAAACTACTCATTTTTGTAATGGTATAAAAAAAAATTGCAGAAAATATTACGCAATACAATGTTGCAAACATTTGCAAAGTATACATATAGCTTTAGCACTCATCTCGCTGAAAGTGAGATGAAGAGTCCTCGCCAAAAAGTCATAAACTGGATATATTTTTCAGGCTTTTAAATTGAATAGAATACTTCCATTTTTAAAATTCGTACAAACTTCAAAGTTTTAATTTTTACGGATCTGTTATCAACAAGATATTCCTCTATTCTCTTTCACAATCAAACATGCTTCCAGTATCTGGCGTAAGATCCACTGTTTCAACAGTACGAGTAAAGTAGGTTGGCAATGAGGATGAGGTTGTCCATTCCCAGCAAATTCTAGTATTTTTAATCAAGAACGACGATTGAATTGATGGCATCCAATCATTCATTCTATTCAAAAAGTATATGAATTTCTGTCTTGGTACGTAATTTTTTTGTTCTTCAAATTCTAATTCAAATTGAGTATTTTAAAATATATCCAGTTTATGACTTTTTGGCGAGGACTCTAGACAGTAGTCCCCGTCGTTTATTTAAATTGTATTATAAAAAAATATCGCGGTTAGAGACACAAAAAAAAAAAAAAAAAAAAAAGAGAATCTTCCTTTTTTCATTGGCTACAAGTGTTTCTAATAAATCGTTCGCACTGGGTTTCGTGTAGTAGGTATAATATGACTCGCTAACAACTGAGATATTTCAGATTCCCGATTAATCTTAAATCTGAGGTTAATAAAAACAAGAAAGAATGGAAGAAACACTTCTGGATCTGAAAAACAGGTACGGTGGGTCGACCTTGTCATTCTTTTGGTTGGTCCTTTTCAATTATAAAAATTTTTAAATAAACCATTTATATTTGAAGAAGTCTAAGTAAGACAAAGTCGATCCTCTGAGTTTAACCTCAGTACAAGATAGAGTTGAAAGCCCCATTCTTCTTCACAATTTGAACCCAAGCGCAGACTACGTAATAGCGCTCGCAAGATTGTGTGTGTCAGATACAAGGAACGATCTGAAACAACACGGGTTGAAAGGGTGGGGATGTCTATCCTCATACTCCACAGCGCAGTTGGTGATTGCCCTTCTTCCATCATTGTATAAGGGAACACCGTTCTATCACTGACACACTAACGGCACATCATATCATTCAATTCTAGTAGTGAAAAATCTGCGAAAAGCCTTGAGTGCGGGGTTATGGTCTATGGAATAATCTACGAAGGATGACTTATTCATACTGCTATAAGTATCATGGACGCATATATTTACATCCCGATCACGTCCCCCTTACGCTCGGGAAGTAGACCCAGATTAAAATCGGGATCCTTACCAGTAAAGTCTACTTTCCCTTATGTCTCAATGAAGGTGACACACAAATGGACATCATACTATAGACTATAGGCTCTTTAAAAACAGAGTTGAACAAAATAGTAACTTCAGCAAGACCCACGACCGCCGCGCATAGCTCTTTTTTTTTTTTTTTTTTTTTTTTTTTATGGTGATCTAATACCTTTGCCATCTGTCCAGATTTGTGCTATTTCTACACTCTCAAATCTTTTTTTCGTTTTTTGTTCTTTGTTTTTTTTTTTCTTCTTCAATTCTCACTCTATCTATGACTTATTATAACATACCACAGCTACTTGAGCTCAACCCTGAGATCACTATCCCAAACCTCGGAACAGTCAGAGGGAAACTTGACAGAACAGGCAAAGTAGCTAGGTTCTTGAATGTCCCTGTAGCCACTGTACCTGTAAGATGGCGACCTGCTGTCAAAGCACAGCCATGGCAAGGCGTTCATGATGCTACAAAGCCTGGGTAAGGAGTGCTATTCTGAATGAAGGAACCGATGGCATAGAAGTTGCTTGTTGCACGATTAATATACTGAGATCTAACGCATTATTGCTTAAATAAATAAATAAATAAATAATAGCCCATTGCCACCACAGCAAACGCGGTCTACTCAAAAGACATTTATCCTAACTGGGCAGCCACCAAAGCTCGACTACAATACTCATATGAGTGAATATGACTGCCTTGGCTGTAATATCTATATGCCTGCTATTGCTGTCGCTGATTGCGCGAACCTACCAGTGCTAGTGTGGGCATACGGAGGTGGCTTTAAGAATGGAGGAGCTTCATCTCCATTTTATGGTAATCTAGTGAATGGAATAGTCGATTAAGAGGAGAATGCTGTTACATGAAGGGGATCTTCACCGATACAATTTTACTAATATGGTTACATTATGGTCGTGTAGATTGTACTCCTATCGTTGCAAATTCGATTGAGTTGCAAAAGCCGGTTGTGGTGATAAGTCTCAGCTACCGTATCAACTACCTTGGCTTCCTTAGTTCCAAGGAGATGATGCTTGATGCTCAGGAGTATGCTTCTACCATCCCACCACAACATCGTACCTGGTATGATAGTTCCGTTGGCAACTGGGGACTCTTGGATCTGATCATGGGTCTCGAGTGGGTTCAAGAGCATATTAGCGCTTTCTCTGGTAATCCAAAGAGAGTGACTTGGATGGGTCAATCTGGGGGCGCAGTGGCCGCATCTTATATTAGTATAATCCCTCAATGTCATGGTCTGTACCAACGTATGATCATGCAATCTGGTGGAGCAACATTGGTGCCTCCTATACATCCTGAATATGAGGGTCAGTATGTGTTTGACCAGTTGTGCCGATCACTTCGGATGCCAGATGGTCTGGGACCACTAGAGAAAGTAGCATGGTTACGCACGGTGCCTGGAGAGGTGATCGCAGAGTTGATGAATGATTCTACTGTTATTACCTTCAGGCCTTCAATTGATGGTATTATCTGTAAAGGAAGTGCGCTCTTGGAGGTAAGCGACTTCAAGAGGTATGATCCAAACTTGGAATGGGTTATGACAGGAACTTGTAATGATGAAGGTGAGTGGGCACTCTTTTTTTTTTTTTTTGAATCGGGCCTCTATTCCATATAAGACCCCGTTGTCTGGGCTGGAACCTGTTGACCTCGTGCTCACCCTCTGCTTTATTTTTTATATTGTATTTTATTTTTATTTTATTATATTATACTATATATTTTTTTAAAACTACCAGCTTCTATGTTTGCGGATGTATGCGGCCCAACTAAGATGGAGGTTTTTCCGTACTACAGGGGACGCTCCTGTGCTCCAACCGATTACCATCTCTTTGATCAGCTATTTGGCACTCCCGCGACAAACAAAGAGGCCCGAGCAATCTCCAAACGTGCTCTAACATCTCAAATTTTTGAATATCCAGTTTATCAGACCTGTGAAGCCATTACTGCTCATCCATCATGTCGTCTAAGTCGATATTATTTCGAAAGGGGAATCGAAAAGCTGGACAAGATGATACCAGGCCTTGGTGTCTTCCATGGAGCAGACCTTTTTTACACATTTGGCAACAACTCATATACACAAAGCTTCCTCAATGAAGATGAAAAGGCATTTGCAAAGAAGGTTCAAGCAGTGTGGATCGAATTTGCAACTGCTAGATCCCCTAAGGAATCAGATTTGCCGAAAATAACTCGATCTACTCACTCTACTGCCTTTGGTACAACAACGATCCATAACGACCTTGGAAGAGAAAGGAAGAGTGAAGCCATCCTTTTTTCAAAGACATTAGAGATCACCAAGACCTCACATTCACCTATGACTAGAATGTCGGACAGTGAGATCAATTTCAATCAAAGAGCACTCGCTTTTGTCGCTGAGATGTCTCGATGTGGCAGGGGGATGGACTTTAGTGTCCCTCCGCTATATGATATCCGCACAATCGTAAAAGGTGATAATTCAATACCACGTGCACCAGCCCAATCTTTACCTTCTTCAGCACCATTACCAGTGTCATTCCCATCCTCTTCCTCTAAGGCGTATGCAGATAATAGGATCGCAATGAAGCGAATAGTATCACGAATTTGATGAACTCTAGTGATTCCGATACACCAGTAAAAAAAAAAGAAAAAATCATAATGACGCTAATAAAAAGTAGAAAGCTGTGTCGCAACGAAGATAGAAAGAAAGGATTATGGGAATATATATTGCACATTTCCTTGATTAGCATTTTATTAAAAGCCCCAAGCTGCGATTCACTGCACTAAGATTGGAGATGTTTAGCAAGTAATATTGAAAGAAAGGTGGAGAATCGCTAGATAGAAGGTTCAAAGAGTTAGATGTATTCGCTATTGCTGCTATTGATTACAGGCTGACATGTCACTCAAGGTGATGCCACTCGTTGAACTAGTTCTATGAAAAAAAAAGAGCTGTTTTGTCTAAAATATAAGCCGGCTCCCTAGCGTCCTTCTTGTCCCTTATTATGAATTTGAAAACAAGACATTTTTGTGACCAAAAATGGCCGCGATTCCAGGGTAAGGAACACTATACAAGTACTGATACTGGAGTTGGGTACTAAAATAGGAGAAAGTTATTTACACTGATACTAATACAGTTCACATATACAAGCACCATGTAAAGTGATATTAAAATCACTTTTATAATATTACTAAGCTATGGCCCGCACAATAACCTGCCGAAATTCCGCTTAAAATGAAGCTTATCCTCTTCGCAGTGCTTGCCTGAGTACAGCATGCTTACTAAACTCTTGGTATCTTTGACACCAGTTCTTGTAAAACGGATTTTAATATCAGAATTTTACGTTCATACCAGTATTCAAAAGACGAAGATAATAGCATTGCAAAGAGGCCAGTAAGATATTCAACTTCATTTAACAAAAAGTTCCGTTTTTCTAGACGACAGACAGTAGAACTCGTCCGAATGAGTAAAATAAATAAATAAATGTGTTCAGAGATCGCTCTTTTTCGATAGACCTTATCAATTACAAGAGTTATATTGAGTAAATCATTTATATTTGAAATAAAAATAAGTAAATATTCTCAATTCATTTCAAATTATTTTCCGGAAAGCGGAGTCTAACTTTTATTTTGAACACGGGCAGCACACAAAACGATTGAAAACGTGTGACAGCACGCCTCTTAAATTTCCTAAATTATGAAACAACGATGTGTTTTGCAATACGTGGTGTTGCATATCTCACAGAGCGCTTGGTCTCACCTTCCATTTGATTTCTGTCCCTTGGGTAAGTTACAAAAAAAAAAAAAAGGCTGCCACGTGGAAATAGCCAGGAGACCTTGTGGGACATAGTGTACTTGGTTCCACATCTGGATCAGTTACATATCATTCTCGAATAATACGAAAGAAAAGCATATTGTCCGATCTACAATGTCCCACCCACTGATTCCTTCTAGGTAATCCGATCCGGAGCTCAAAAAACGAAGATGGTGATCATACTTTCGGAGCACCATAGTTTTGCAGCACGGCCTTCTTTAGTCTTTCTGAACTTTCAGAAAAGAATAAAGAAAAGAAGTGACGCACTGTAGGTCGGTTCCTGCTGTCATAATGGGTATAATTATATTGAGTTTCCATTACAGCAATGAGCTCAGGGCAATCCATTTCAAAAAATGGATGAAATAAATTAAAAACTCTGTATTGACTTTTCAGCACATATAAATGTCTGGCTTCTTCTGTTCAAATCAACCATTATCTCCACTGTCTTCATTTATTTGTTTTTTCTTATATCCTCACTTCAACCATGACTTGTTATAACAAACCACAACTACTTGAGCTCAACCCTGAGATCACTATCCCAAACCTCGGAACAGTCAGAGGGACACTTGACAGAACAGGCAAAGTAGCTAGGTTCTTGAATGTCCCTGTAGCCACTGTACCTGTAAGATGGCGACCTGCTGTCAAAGCACAGCCATGGCAAGGCGTTCATGATGCTACAAAGCCTGGGTAAGGAGTGCTATTCTGAATGAAGGAACCGATGGCATAGAAGTTGCTTGTTGCACGATTAATATACTGAGATCTAACGCATTATTGCTTAAATAAATAAATAAATAAATAATAGCCCATTGCCACCACAGCAAACGCGGTCTACTCAAAAGACATTTATCCTAACTGGGCAGCCACCAAAGCTCGACTACAATACTCATATGAGTGAATATGACTGCCTTGGCTGTAATATCTACATGCCTGCTATTGCTGTCGCTGATTGTGCGGATCTGCCAGTACTCGTGTGGGTTTGTGCAGGCGGCTTTAAGAATGGAGGAGCTTCCTCTCCACTTTACGGTAATCTAGTGAATGGAATAGTCGATTAAGAGGAGAATGCTGTTACATGAAGGGGATCTTCACCGATACAATTTTACTAATATGGTTACATTATGGTCGTGTAGATTGTACTCCTATCGTTGCAAATTCGATTGAGTTGCAAAAGCCGGTTGTGGTGATAAGTCTCAGCTACCGTATCAACTACCTTGGCTTCTTTAGTTCCAAGGAGATGGTGCTTGATGCTCAGGAGTATGCTTCTACCATCCCACCACAACATCGTACCTGGTATGATAGTTCCGTTGGCAACTGGGGACTCTTGGATCTGATCATGGGTCTCGAGTGGGTTCAAGAGCATATTAGTGCTTTCTCTGGTAATCCAAAGAGAGTGACTCTGATGGGTCAGTCCGCGGGATCAACGGCTGCATCATATTTCAACAGGATCCCTCAATGTCATGGTCTCTACCAACGTGTAATCATGCAATCTGGTGCAGTATCATTGCAGCCTCCTATACATCCTGAATATGAGGGTCAGTATGTGTTTGACCAGTTGTGCCGATCACTTCGGATGCCAGATGGTCTGGGACCACTAGAGAAAGTAGCATGGTTACGTGCGGTGCCTGGAGAGACGATTGCAGAGCTGATGAATAATTGTCCTATCATCTCCTTCAGGCCTTCAATCGACGGTATTATCTGCAATGGAAGTGCACTCTTGGAGACAAGCGACTTCAAGAAGTATGATCCAAACTTGGAGTGGGTCATGACAGGGGCTGGGGTCGATGAAGGTGAGCAGAAACTTACTTTATTTCAAGTCTGATCTCCTAATGTCCATCTAATCTTTTATCCATACTGATCCCTGTTATGTCTTGTGCTCACCCTCTGCTTCGTTTTTATTTTTATTTTTATTTTATTTTTATTTTTTTTAAAAAAAAAAAAAAAAAAATGAATAGCCGGCTTATTCATACATGCATGCGCTGCAGCTACGCTAAAGGCTTTTCCGAGCTTCAAGAAACGTTGCTGTGCTCCGGACGATTATCATCTCTTTGATCAGCTATTTGGAATCCCAACGACAAACAAAGAGGCTTGGGAAATCTCCAAACGGATTCTGATATGCTACCTTGGTGAATATCCAATATACCAGACCTATGAAGCCATTACTGCTCATCCATCATGTCGTCTAAGTCGATATTTTTTCGAAAGAGAAGTCGAGAAAATGTACAAGGCGCTACCCGGCCTTGGTATCATCCATGGAACAGACCTCTTTTACACATTTGGCAACAACTCATATACACAAAGCTTCCTCAATGAAGATGAAAAGGCATTTGCAAAGAAGGTTCAAGCAGTGTGGATCGAATTTGCAACTGCTAGATCTCCTGAGGAATCAGATTTGCCGAAAATAACTCGATCTACTTACTCTACTGCCTTTGATACAACAGCAGTCCGTAACGATCTTGAAGAGGGAAGGAAGAGTGAAGCCATCTCGTTTGCAAGGTCATTAGAGGTCACTAGGACCTCACATTCACCTATAACCAGAATGTCGGACAGTGAGATCGATTTCTACCAAAGAACATATGCCTATGTTGCAGAGATGTCCCAGTGTGGCAGGGGAATGGACTTTGGTATTCCTCCGATCCTTGATATCCGTACAACCATAGCGGCTAATGAGCCTGTAGCACGCATTTGATGAACTCTAGATACCTTGAGATTGTAATAAAGAGAATAAAGCAGATGCGGAGGGTTGCATCGCAAAGAAGAGAGAGAAGACGAATTGAGATCTATGACCCGTTAATGATATGCCTTCCAGAGATGTACAGAAAACTGTAGAATGAATGTCGTTAGTTTCGCATATTTAGTTTGGCAAATATACAAATATACAGAGTTATTTTGAAGTAAGCACTGGTTTTCGCCGGGGGGGTGGTTTCCGCTTTTGAACTCGACTAGTGATGTATCTACGCCCCAATATAAATATATTGGTAAGTGTCCTTACTCTTCTATGTACTATTCCAGAAAGCTCTTGATAGTGAATGCTTTTTGAAGTATATATTATTAGGTGATCACTTTTAACAAGAAATGAATAGTCATCTCATACTGTCTTTAAATATGGAGAAGTACATTATAGCGGCGGTAAAAAAAAAAACTTGCCAATGGGAACCACTAGCAACATTACCCGGCTTCACATACGCACCTTGGTGATAATGGCACCAAAATATCTACAGTGGTAACGCATTGTTGTTGGTTGTGAAGTACATGTACGTGAATATGATGACTTACTGTTCAATTCTCATTTGTACCATCAACAGTGCTTCTAGAGGAAGAACCATGTAATTGTGGAATTAGCCCGGGAAATGCTCTAGATGACTCCTGAAAGAGGAAGCAATTAAACAAGAGCATGAAGATGAAGCCAAAGCCTTGACGCCACGAAAAGCTACCTTAGCCAATGAAAATGACGGAGTACAAAGCATATTTATGCATGCACTATAGTGCAGAGCACATTGGTGGCCAAACGGTGTCGTCTATCACATTTTCATTAAAAGGGCTTGCGGCTGCGCACTCGATGGGAATCCCCAATTGTACCTCGAGCGCCATCACATAGTCCATGTTTGGAGCTCAGATTACGATTATCAGTCCCATTTGGACAATAGTAATCTGTTAGGTGTATCCAGACTAGGATCATCAAAAACCAAGTTGGAAGAGGACGTGTCTTTATTCTTCGTATAGCAACTACAGCAGCTAATAATCAGTTTTCTCAGAGCATTGTATCATAGAACATTATGTCACCATTGGTACACTAGTGCTACATTACACCAGTCAAATGCGCTACTGAAGATCATTACAGTAACAAAGCATAGAGCCTCGAACACGCCTTCGCCGTAGGATTGTGGATCGTTTTTTAAAAAAATTAAGTTAATTTCACTTTTGCCATTGCCTGCCGCATTGCCAGGCAGGAAGCCACTGGACATATTATATATGAAATGACACGTCCTCGTTACATCCCGACATTACTGCTTATAAAAATCTTGTATCTTCCTCTTTCCAAACCAACATCAGTTCTCCTTCTTCATTCCTACTGTCTTCATTTATTTGTTTTTTCTTAAATCCTCATTTCATCCATGACTTGTTATAACAAACCACAGATGCCTAAGCTCAACCCTGAGATCACTATCCCAAACCTCGGAACAGTTAGAGGGACACTTGACAGAACAGGCAAAGTAGCTAGGTTCTTGAATGTTCCTGTAGCCACTGTACCTGTAAGATGGCGACCTGCTGTCAAAGCACAGCCATGGCAAGGTGTCCATGATGCTACAAAGCCTGGGTAAGGAGTGCTATTCTGAACGATGGAGTCCATGCCATAGAAGCTGCTTGTTGTGCGATTATAGAGACTAAAATTTAAAGTATAATTGCTTAAAAGTCGATTGCCACTACAGCAAACTAAGTCCTCTAAAAAGGTCCTTGTTTTAACTGGAAACCACCTGAATATCGATTACAATACACACATGAGTGAACACGATTGCCTTGGCTGTAATATCTATATGCCTGCCATTACTGCTGCAAATTGCGCGGACCTGCCAGTGATTGTGTGGGTATGCGGAGGCGCTTTTAAGCATGGAGGAGCTTCCTCTCCACTTTATGGTAATCTAGTGAATGGAATAGTCGATTAAGGAGAGAACGTTAGTACATGAAGAGAGCCTTTTTTTTTTTTTTTTTTAATACTAATATTACCACTTAATACCCATGTAGATTGTACTCCCATTGTTGCAAATTCGATTGAGTTGCAAAAGCCGGTTGTGGTAATAAGTCTCAGCTACCGTATCAACTACCTTGGCTTCTTTAGTTCCAAGGAGATGGTGCTTGATGCTCAGGAGTATGCTTCTACCATCCCACCACAACATCGTACCTGGTATGATAGTTCCGTTGGCAACTGGGGACTCTTGGATCTGATCATGGGTCTCGAGTGGGTTCAAGAGCATATTAGTGCTTTCTCTGGTAATCCAAAGAGAGTGACTTGGATGGGTCAATCTGGGGGCGCAGCAATTGCATCTTACTTCAATATGATCCCTCAATGTCATGGTCTGTACCAACGTGTGATCATGCAATCTGGTGGAGTACCATTGGTGCCTCCTATACATCCTGAATATGAGGGTCAGTATGTGTTTGACCAGTTGTGCCGATCACTTCGGATGCCAGATGGTCTGGGACCACTAGAGAAAGTAGCATGGTTACGTGCGGTGCCTGGAGAGACGATTGCAGAGCTGATGAATAACTGTCCGATCCTTGCCTTCAGGCCTTCAATTGATGGTATTATCTGTAAAGAAAGTGCACTCTTGGAGGTAAGCGACTTCAAGAAGTATGATCCAAACTTGGAATGGGTCATGATAGGGGACTGTGCCGATGAAGGTGATCATAAATTTGCTTTATTTCAAGTCTTATCTTCAATGTTGGCCTAATCTCTTGCAGGTTTTTGTTATGCCTTGTGCTCATCTTCTGCTTTTACTTCTATTTTATTCTTTTTTTTTTTTTTTTTTTTTTTTTTAAAAAAAAAAATTGACCAGGCTCCATCTTTGTAGGCAGAGGCTGTCCAGCTGATATGGAGGCTTTTCCGTATTACAGGGAACGCTCCTGTGCTCCGACAGATTATCACCTCTTTGATCAACTATTTGGCGTCCCCACGACAAACAAAGAGGTCCGAGCAATCTCCAGCCACATTCTGAAATATCAAACTTATGAATATTCAATTTACCAGCTCCATGCAGCCATAGCTAGTCTCCCATCATGTCATCTAAGTCGATATTATTTCGAAAGGGGAATCGAAAAGCTGGACAAGATGATACCAGGCCTTGGTGTCTTCCATGGAGCAGACCTTTTTTACACATTTGGCAACAACTCATATACACAAAGCTTCCTCAATGAAGATGAAAAGGCATTTGCAAAGAAGGTTCAAGCAGTGTGGATCGAATTTGCAACTGCTAGATCCCCTAAGGAATCAGATTTGCCGAAAATAACTCGATCTACTCACTCTACTGCCTTTGGTACAACAATGATCCATAACGGCCTTGGAGAAGAAAGGAAGAGTGAGGCCATCCTTTTTTCAAAGACATTAGAGGTCACTAGGACCTCACATTCACCTATAACCAGAATGTCGGACAGTGAGATCGGCTTCTACCAAAGAGCATCTGCCTTTCATATAGAGATGTCCCGATGTGGTAGGATGGACCTTTGTATTCATCCGTGGCTTGATATTCGTACATTCAAAGGAAGTAATGGATCCGTACCACGTACACCAGCCCAATCTTTACTATCATCATCTTCCTCCAAGATAAGGCCAGATAGTAGGATCTGAATGAAAGGGATAGTAGCACGCATTTGACGAACTCTACGCCCTCTGATTTACTCGCAAAAAAAAAGAGTAGTAGATGATAATGATACTAATAAAAAGTAGAAAGCTCTGTCGTAAGGAAATTGGAAAGTGGGGATTGTGGTGTAACATTATGTAATACATTTCCTTGATTTGCGATTTCATTAGGGTCCCTTACTGCATTTCGTTTACTGCACTAAGACCCGAGATATTAAGCAAACAATATCGAGGGAAAGAGGGTTATGCATCTGGAATGGGCGGCACTATTCCTTCGACCTCAGTCTCCTTGACATCAGTCATATTGAATGCATGGAGATAGATCTGAAGAAACGGGTTTATAAAATATCCGAGACGACCACAAATCTGTCATAAGCTGCGGGTATGAATATATCTTGGATAGTAGACAGATATATGTCTCAGCCGTGAATAGAGACAATGATTAGGAGAGATGTATTCATAACGCAGAGAATATTTGAACAGCCTCAGTCCACCAGGTTTCAAAACTGGAGTCAATCTGGCATTCTTAAGCTCAAAGTGTGAACTATGTAATGCTACTCGCATGGTTGTGCGAATGTTGATCCATCAAGGCTGGACTTAATTTTAAGGAAATTATGTCTCCGCTACTCTTGTCATATTCATCGATCTATTACCAAGACTATGTTAAATAAAAAACTACAGTATAATAATAAAGCATCCGAGTCTCTGATGGCTCATCCGTTAATTAGCACTAATACCTTAAAACTAACTTGTCCTGATCTTTAACCAAGTTTGGTACAGTGCTTGGAGTTGCCATCGATCTCTAGCTGTCACTTGTCTTGGACTCTCGGCTATATTTTTTCGCTTGACAAGCGCTCTTATCCGATCATACCCGGAATGATAAACATATGCTCGAAAGCGAAAGCTGGGCATGAAAAAGAACATTTGTCCTGGAACACCAACGGTAGTCCACACCGGTCAAGTTCATTGAATAGACAAAAATAAGATCAGGAATTTGGGCACACAAAAACATTTGGGACCGTAATCTGTTAATGTTGGAAGCTGTACTATTGAGGCGAAAGAGGATGGCCTAGTTGTGATGAGAAACTCACAATGGGGATCTCAAAGTAGTGGCACAGCGTGACATTGGATAAGATATTCTGAGACCTCAAGCCCCTGTTGTTGAGTTTGTTTTAAGGTTATTAAATAAAAAGAAAGACCAGTCATGTCAAAGAGAACACATGGATATAGCTAATTATCCCTGGAGATAACGCCATCCTTGAGAGGGGCAAGCAGGGTCTCTTTTTCCTCTCTACTTCGCACTTCGCACTTCACACCTCAACACTCCACACTACACAGTTTTAGCCCTATTCTCCAAACATCATTCAGTATTCACACTTGTCTTTCATTTGTTTTGTTCTGCCCTGAAACGCTCATTCACATTCACTTGCTCCCATCCTTTAAAACCCTCGTCTTTTTTTTTTTTTTTTTTTTTTTCAACTTCCTTTGGCCCTTATCAAACATGGCTAACAACAAGGCGAAAGGCCGATCCGATCCACTATCGTCTGCAGAACAGGGCCAAGGCCGGGGTTCGCTGGGCGAAAACAATGACAATCTGCCACAGGAATGGACTGCTCTGCTTAGCCAACAGCGTCGTGCCTCACAGAATAATGGAGATAAAAGCAATGGAAAACGTTCAACTAAACATGCATTGTCAGGTCATATGCGGAAGACCATCATTATTGCACTTACTTCGATCTCTGGTGTGCTTTTGGTGATTCTCGCAGTGACTTTAATTAATAAAATTGGTTCTGTACCAAGTAAGTGAAAGGCCCCAACATTCCCTCCCCCCCAAAAAAAAAAGAAAAAAAAAAAAAAAAAAAGAAACCTCCTCCTTTCTCTTTCTCCCCTCAACAAACTGGGTTTATAATGTAAAACGCCGTACTTATACTCTGACTTCAACTTGTTCCATAGCTTTTGAAAAGAGCACCCCTAGTCTAGTCAAGGCAAAGCACGGGGCTGTGGCCGCAGAGGAAATCCATTGCTCTGAAATTGGTGTGCAAGGTACATAGTTTTGTGATGTTTGCTTAATATGGTTCTTCCCCACACACTGCATGCATGAATATTTCTGTGTTGTATGCGTGAGAAAAATCAATAGACTGACAATACACACCACACCTTTCATTGTATCCGCCATTTAGTCCTGAAAGACGGTGGTAACGCAATGGATGCTGCGATTGCCTCTTGTCTCTGTATTGGTACTGTTAATATGTTTTCAGCGGGTATTGGTGGTGGTGGGTTCATGACAATTCGTCTGCCGAACGGGACAGTTGAAGTGATTGACTTTCGGGAGACAGCGCCTGCGGGGGCCAGACCAGATATGTACAAGAATAATCCTATCCTTGCGCAGAAGGGAGGCCTCTCTGTAGCCGTGCCTGGTGAAATTCGAGGCCTTGCTTTGGCTCACAGTCGTTATGGTAAACTGCCTTGGGAAAGATTGTTCGCACCATCAGTTAAGATGGCTAGAGAGGGCTGGGCTGTCGGACCGGAACTGGCGAGGCGTCTTCAGCTGTACAGGGTTTTGATGGAGACGGAGCCAGATTGGTCGGCCATCTTTGCGCCCAACGGTACTGTTCTTCGAGAGGGGCAGTGGATCAAACGTGAGGCGTTAGCAAATACACTGGAGACCATTGGCAAAGAGGGTGCCGACGCTTTTTACACCGGTCCCATCGCACAAAGCATGGTCGATCACATTAAGGCTAACGGTGGTATCTTGGACATGGCTGACTTGAAATCCTATAAGCCCTTAATCAAAAAGCCAATGATTGGCTATTATCAAGGACGAAAAATTTACACTACACCAGCACCAACGAGTGGACCTGTATTAATCAGCATCCTTAATATCCTGGAGCGATACGATTTGGGCCGATTCAAGGAGAATGCTAATGTGGAAGCTCACCGTCTTGTTGAAGCCATGAAATGTAAGCTTACTGTTTTTAAGACAAGGAGCTTTTATTCAGCATAAAATATAACTGCGCAGCAGCAAGCAATTAGTAATTAATTTTACTTTTCTCTATCTCCATGATAGTTGCCTACGCACAGAGGACAGAGCTTGGTGACCCCGATTTCACTGATCTAGAGGACAAGATCCAAAACATAATATCGAAAGACACTGCAGGCAAAATCCGTGCCAATATTTCAGATGATCGCACGTTCCCTGTGGAATACTACAATCCTCATTGGGGACCTATTGATAACCATGGAACGACACACTTGTCAGCAGTTGATCAGGATGATATGGCTGTGGCTCTGACTTCAACTGTGAACTTGATCTTTGGCTCAAAGCTGATGGATCCCAAGACAGGTATTATTCTCAACGATGAGATGGATGACTTTTCGATTCCTGGTACCCCTAATGCGTTTGGACTATATCCTTCACCTTTCAATTACCCCGAACCTGGTAAACGCCCGCTGTCCTCGTGCGTACCTACCATCGTTGAAAGAGATGGCAGCTTTGAGCTGGCTTTGGGAGGAAGTGGTGGCTCCAGAATTTTGACTTCTGTTCTTCAGGTAAAGGCTTTTTATTCTTTTATTTTGTAGTGCATCATCACAACCGAATTGTTCAACAAGCTGAACCTTTTATTTTATTTTATTTTATTTTATTTTATTTTTTTATTTTATTTTTTGGTCTATCAGATAATGCTGAACATCTATAATCACAGATATAATGTGATGGAAGCTATTGAGGCGCCGAGGGTTCACCACCAATTGATGCCCGATTTTCTAGATATTGAATCTGGATTCTCTTCATCCGACATTGAATTTTTGCGTGCACGAGGCCACAATGTCACTGTGTCGGATATTCGATTGGCCAAGGCTGAGGTGCAGGCTGTGCACCGATCAGAATTTGATGGGCTAATTCATGCGGCGAGTGATTCGAGGAAACATGGGATTGCAGCTGGCTACTAAGAGCATGTTGAATCAAATATTATAGACAAAATGCATGTGTCCAACTTCACACAAACATTCATCGTATCATAAATGTATATTTTTAGAGCTTAGTGCTGCTGCGTTTTAATAACAATAGTATAATATATTTATATAAATAAATACATATTCAAGGCATATTGTACTGTAGTTTAATTCATAAATATCTGCAGGTTTGAAAATGGATATTTGTTTTGTGAGCCAGGGTGCAATGGGCGTAACAGCAACAGGGGCCGTTTCCCGCACGTAAAAATCATGATCTATCAAAGCCCTGTGTCCCTTTCCCTTTTTTATGCTTTGGAATGGATGAGATTCGATGGGACAAACAGACCGAGACCAGTCTCTTTCTTCTCTTGATGCCTTTATAAGTAAGAGTATGTACGTGACGTGGGTGTGCATTGGTAAAAAGAATGTGAGAACGATCTACAATTGAATTCGCTTTGACCTCTTTACATCTTGTGTGGGCCATTGGGAATGTTCTCTTGCAAAGCATGAATGGGCAGATGTGGCGCTGAAGCAATTGTCGGACTATGCTCTCGTGTGAAGTGTATGGATTGGACATTTCTAATCCAAGGATCCAAAGATAAAAAATAAAAATCGTGAGTTTTAAATGATTGCATGTGTTTGTGTTGAAGTTGGAGCACATGTGTTGCTTTCGGATCAAATCAATTGTTGGCTATGGGTTTGTCCATGTTAGGGAGTAGAAAATGAAAAAGAAAGCCAACAACTTGTCCGATAGTTGCTCGGGATTCTTTTTTATTTTTCCCCTTCATCCTTTCTTCCGTTTGTCCCGTTCTTGGTTTTATTTCTTATTTTTTATTTTTTTTATGAATCTCACGATCTCAATTGCATCCTCGCTTGGACATTGATTGACGCATCAATTCGGTTATTCTCTCATTCCTTATCCTTTCCCCTTTCCGTCGTCCTTCACTTCCTCTCTTTTTCTCTCTTTCTTTCTATTCCTTTTTTTATTTTATTTATTGATTTCTCTGCTCTCTTCTCTCTCCTCTTCCTTTCTCAATCCCTGTCAAATCTATCGAGTTCTTTACTTTCTTTGCTTATATTCGCACCCAGACAGACAAACCAAAGGAAAAAAGTAAGCAAAGCACCGCAATGTGCTCTCACTTGGGTTGCACCATGTCCATATATACACACAAACAACAACAGCAATAGCAATCATAAATAAAATGACACTAATTCTATTCTTATGCATTCACTTTTTCACATTTCACAGACTTTGTTCAATTGCTTTATACATTACGGTTTCATCGCATTCCTCATCCTTTCTTTCAGTACATCTAGATCGCGTTTCTTCACCAACGAGGCGCGTCAAGAGCTTTTAGCCGCACCACTTTTTTTTTTTTTTTTTTTTTTTGCAATTTCGTTTTTACGGGATTGAGATACTCCTCCCGTTGGTTTGAATGGACAAGCCCATCAATGGCGACAAGTATGTTCGCACGCTTTCTCACTACTTTCGCCACAATCAAAAGCGTCTTGTCCCAGTAGATCCCGATGCCAGTAACGACACCAAAGGAATTACACAGGGTGCAAGAGAGAACAAGAGCAGCAGCAGCAACCACAGCAATAGTGTTGTAGGACAGAGTGTCCGCTCCATTATCACGCCTGCGGATCCCATGGCCGCTGCATATTCTGGCATGGTCAATTCGCTCTGGTCTGTGGGGAGTGCCGTCGTTGATTCATTAACTCCTTCGTCTACTCAGAGACCCCCAACAACGGCTCAGGATCGTGACTCGTATAGCGGAGCCTGGGATGGGACAGGGACAATTCCCGCAGACTCTAATCCGCGAGAACGACAGCTGTATCTTCAGGCCCAATTGAAAGCGCCGATCTTTCCTCTAGATTTATACTATCTCCTCTATTTGCTGGACCGATTTGAACTAGAGGGGATTGAAATTGAAGGATGGGAAGGGAGTGTCCCTCGAGCTGTCGGTGACTCGAAGCCACGTGTTCTGAATGCGAGCAATGGATCGACTTACTCGTCTTTCCCGCCCCCAAATGCTTCAACGCGTCCACAATCTATTCGGTCCTTCTCATCAACTGCTCTCTCAACCTTGACGCTCATCACAGGATGGAAACAATGGTCAAGTGCGGCGTCCTCGAACACAAACAACATGACCATCTCGGACGACGTTCACTTTATCCACAAGTTCTTGAAAAAGATTGCTGGTCTACGTCTCGTCGCAAAAATGGCTCCTGACCTTGATCCCGCTGGCAAGGGCAAGATTGAAGGCTATAATGCGCAAGAGATTTTAAATATACTGGCTGTCAACCCCTCAGACGACTCTTCTTCTTCTTCCTCGAGACGACAACAACAACAACGAGTCTTGCTCCCCTTGGCAGCCACATTCTCATCTCTGACTCATTTAGAGCTACATAAAATCCCACCAAAGTGTGTTGATGGATGGGAGACTTTGATGCGTCAATTAAAGTCACTGGTCATTATTCAAGCTGGGCTGGAGGATGTTCACGATGCGATCGTTACAGCAGTGGTTGAGAGTGAGAGGCGCCGTCGAGAACGAATCTCTAAAGAGAAGAACCGGGCTGTTTTGATTCGACAGGAGCAACGAGAGGCACTAAAAGATTCAACCTCAGTCACTATGGGCCGTCGTCATGGGCAAGGATCTTCTTCCGGATCATCCTCTTCTGGACCATCCTCACCCGAGAACTCTCAACCACCCTCACCATCGTTAGCTGTTGATTTAAGCGGAGACGAAGCAGTAATATTGAATTCTATCGAAATGTGGCCAGTCCTGCGACACTTGTCTGTTTCTGATAATGCCATCCCTACTTTGAAACACAACGACACATTCTTGTATGCTCAGGCGATTGTTACATTAGATCTCTCTCATAATCTGCTGATTGCGCCACCACATGCTCTCATTCATCTGCACAATTTACACTATCTCAATCTGTCTTACAATATGCTTTCAGGTGTTCAGGCGATCTACCAAATTCTGGGCAATATTGCAGTACTAGACCTGCGAGGCAATCGACTGGAGAGCCTGTGTGGTTTGGAGAGACTATGGAACTTGGAAAAGGTCGATGTTCGTGAGAACAACCTGGATGAAGCTGCAGAAGTGGGACGATTGGCAGCCCTCCCTTGCATTCGTGAAATCTGGGCAGAAATGAACCCATTTTGCACTATCCAGGTAAGATATAAAATCTATCATTCCTCTTTTGGAATGAGACTGTTTTTTTTTTTATTCTTTCTAATCCAAATTTTTCTTGTTCCTCTCCTCCTCTCTCTAGCCAAAGTACCGTCTTGAGATCCTGGCTGTATTCAAGGCGAATGGACATGAATTGCTTCTTGATGGGTCATTTGCCTCGTTTGCAGAGAAACGTACTCTTGCAAACATGAGCCCAACATCGTTTTCATCCACAATTTCGAGTATCAGTGTCGTTAATGTAGCTAATATACCCGCAGCGTCCGTCCCAACAGCTACTTTGGCTAAGGAGCTTGCGCCACCACCACCACGCATTACCAGACCAACTGATGCTACGAAACAAGAAACACATGGCAACATTAATGATGATAGTAGCACAGAGTTGGATACTACAGACAAGGATGGATTGGCTGCTGCATCGCCTGGCATCAACCCTTCGTCTCCTGTCAAACTTGTCAAGAAGAAGCTAGTCAGGTCGTCCAAGCGGGTTAAACGCATTGTGAACCTTGACAGTGATCATGACGACGACAGCCATGAGGAGGAAGGGGAGGAGGCGGAGATAGGCGAACATCATGATGTAGCTGAAGGAAATGCGGCAGTAGCTCATCCCAAGCCCTTGGACGCACGTGCTGCTAGCGTTAAAAAGAAGAGGTCAACCAAGAAGGCTGGTGCTAGTGTTGATGCTGAGAAAACAGGGAATGAAAGTGGGGAAGGTGTTCCAAAGAAGAGCAGAAAGAAGTCAACAAAGAAAAAGAGCTCTGGCCTTGTCAGTTTTGCTCCAGATAGTAACGGCAATAACAATGGAGCAGCAGATCTTGGCGAAGACTGCATTGATCATTCAGAGTGCAGAGACAACCATCACGTTCACCGCTTAGCACAACTGGAGCGCTCTTTGAACTCGATCCAGCTCAATAATAATAATAATAATCACCATGGTAATCAACATCAGGCGCGGCATAACCAGCCCTCACGGGGGATCCTCAAAAGGTCCTCAGGCGTGTTTGATCCGAATGACCCTGCGGGCATGAGGCCGTCTTCACCCAATGGATCTATGTGTTCATCCGATGATGGGGGTGCAGAAGCCTACAGACGCAAAATTGAAGCTATGCGTAACGAAGCTGGGTCCAATTGGCTAAAGGTCTTGGCAGAGATGGACAGCGAAAACACTGTGCCACAGAGAGATAGTGGCATGTAAAAAAAAAAAAAAGCAGACCTTTATTAAGAGAAGTAATAATATATCACACGTGATTTATACCGTCGTTGTGTCACTAAATTTGTCCACATGGACCTTATTTAGACTCAATTTTTTTAATAATAATAGGAATGAAAAAAATAGCATATTTCATTAGAGTTCAGAAAGTCGCTGACAAAACGATGATTGAATTGATTTGGTGGCTGATTGTCTGAAATGGAAGGTGAAAATATACTTATTGACGACTTTCCGATGAAGACTCTATCATAGACAGTGGCTCATTTTAACAAGATAGATGAACCATTTGTTATTGAACGTGATCTTGCCACACCACCGCTCGCCCTTCTACGCCTTATCTTTTCATGGATTGGCCATAGTTTTGAAACAGACATGCCTCACAAAGAATGCGACCAGGAGATAGAGAGGTTGGATCCAAATGTCTGCACAGCAGAAAACTTCTATTGGATCTCACCTCGAACTTCCGCGGTAGCTGTCGGGACTTTCAGAATCAAGGAGACTGTTTTGGTAAATCACATTGCTTTCCTTCGTTCGTATGAGGCACGGGATCCACTTCACCCTGAAATGGATGCGAGAGAAAAAGGTGATATGAAAGAAGAGGTCAGGAAGGGAATACGCAGGCACAACCACCATAAGCCGTCTTTACTTGACGCCTCCCAAAGCTAATAAAGGTCATATGGACAAGTAAACTAGAGATCATAGTAGACATAGTGATATGATAATGAAAAGTCAAAGACTGCTGCTATGAAGTAACTCGACGGCAGAGTCGAGAAAAGTGGAAGAAAAAATAAAAAGAATAAAATCAGGTTGTTTCTTTTTTTTTCCCCTCTTTTCTTTCCTTTATGCAAAATAAATAAAATATAAAAAATACATCAGCAATCCCCTATGATTTATAATAATGTGATAAAACTTGTGTCGCTGCAGTTTATAGACACAGATGTCTTCATAAAGATCATAAAAGGTCTGTACTCAGGTTGCCTGAGAAATCTTTCCTTTTCATCTGAAGGAATAGCACCACGCAAGGGGGCCTCCTTTCCTCAAATAAATCTTCTACGACAGAAAGCGGCGATTCCACAACCTGGAGTTGTCCCTGGTGAAGATGAGGATGATGGATAAAAAGCGAATAATGCTCCGTAGATGAAACTACAATGTTAGAAAGCTAAATGCTGATAATTATGACATGGACAGTGGAAATGTTTGTACTTCGAAGTTGAGCGTAGAAAGGAGTTAGATCATAGGGAAAAAGAAATAAAATAAAATAAAGCAAACGAATTGAAAAGGACGCAGTTCGCTCGTGTAAATAGATTGTATTTCGCTTCATTTATCTTAAATAATTTTGGACATGTCGTGGACATGCAGCGGACATGGCAGGACTCAAGCATTGGACATGTCCCACCATACCCAGAAAATTTCAGATGTGTCACTTACTAAGACGTTACCTGTATAAATGGCTCCCCTTACGTCTTCAAGTTGCACACAAAAGATGAAGGAATGAGAAGAAGCCACTTCGTTGAGAAAGATCCTAGACTATTTAAGCATAAGAATTGTAGATATCTCTTTGAGGTTCTTTTTCTTCCTTCACCACTCTCATCAACCAAACTCACCTCTATCAAATCCTTAAACTGCCCTAGTATTCGAAAACAATGAAAGCCCTAAAATCCTCATCTACCAATATCAAGGCTTGCAATTGGACCCTCCTCAAGCACCATGTCCTAATGGCCATTATTGCTATGGCTACGCTGGCTACTGTATCGGCAGGAGTCTGTCCTCATCCAAAACCGGAAGGCGAATTGGTTCTCGGTTTTCAATGTCCCGAACCGAATGGCATGTATAAAAACCCAAAGGACTGTCATTCCTTTTATATTTGCAGGGATGGTGTTGCAAGACTGGGGAAGTGCTCTGGTGGCTTCGAATGGAACGATGAGGATAAAATATGCGACTTTCCAGAAGATGCTAGATGTAAGATTAGTGGCTAGTATGGTCTCCGCTTTAGCCATTACAGCACATAGATTACCAAATAAAGATCATCATAGCAGAGATAACTGGCTTTTGGCAGCCAAACATTCATAACGATGCTGCATTTTGATCCTTTCGTGTTGGCCTTCATATATCTTACTGATGCAGAACACAGTAAGCGCTGGACTGCCTATCCATTAATAGGGGGCGTGAGCTGGATTAAGACTGTCGTGAGACAAGTTAGTTTTTGCCAAACTGATGAAATGTTTATTCCAATAGTAATTGAAGTTTGTACAAGAGAGACCATTCGTTCGGAATATTGGTATTTGAGGCCGACTGGACAGGTAATGGCCCGAAGCTCTCGTCCGTCGGACTATGGCTGGATGCCTCAAAGTCAGAATCCGTAGTTAGAACGCGACAATGATTTTTTTTTTCCGATTTTTTCTCCTCTATATTTAATACGAATAAGAGACTTTGACTTCAGAAGTATGCTATGCAGGGTGTAGAGAGATTTGTGTAGTGCTTGTTAATGTTGAAGCTGAATATCGGGAGAGACAGACCTACTGCAGACAACTTTTAGGCAACATGACATTGAAATTGTAAAGTAAATCAAGCCAGCAAAAAAGTAGTTGAGGCTGGGCACTTTGTTATTCAGATTTATTCGGAATAACAACATTAGAGGTGATGATGTTATCAGCTCGTAGCAAGCACATAAGTAAAGTAGTGTATATTGGCTCCTACATTCCATAGCTAATCCTCTTTGTAGCGCCTATTTCATTGCATTGTTCGTTAATGTGTTCAGTTAAGCTTGTTCCCTGTGGAAGGCCCCTCTAGCCTTCTCTTCAGTCGGCATTAGAAGGGCTTGAAGCTGTATGAGGCGAGAAGTTGACAGTGTCTGGAAAAATAAACAAAGAATATGAATAATGCATTAATTCAGTAAGGGTAGTGGATATATCCTTCTATGCATATAGTAGCCAGGATCATGTATTATGCATAAGTGTGGTTGACCCCATTGAAATTCAGGATAGAATATGATCGTGTACACAAGTGTACAACTGGAAATTGGAATAAACGCTCTGAACTTACATCTTTTGTCTCACCACCAAATATATTACCACAGCCGCTCAACACCAAATAGGCATAGGTGGGTGGAATATTGCCCCTCTTGAATAAAGACACTATAGTTGAGACACACACTAAGGTAATACAGGTGATCCAGATGATCCAGACGGTAACAAGAGTGACAAGGAAGGAGTGAAGAGATTTCAGGTCTGTACCAGGTTAGTGTATTGTCTTTAATAATTTTCAATGTGTTACTTATCTTATTTTACTTTTGTCTGCTTTCAGTGTATGGGAGAGATATGGGTCCTAAGCCTTTTACTGCAGATGTATGCTACAGTAGAAGCGCCAGTAGTTGCAAGGACAGCAGGATGAGCAGTCTCGTAACAAATAGATAAATAAATATCAGATATATATCCGGCTAAATAAAGTATCTGTAATCAAAGTGAGTTGTCGTGTTTCGTCTGAATAAGAGTTGCTTTCCGCCTTTCAGAGGAGAAATGTACCTCCCTTAGTTCAAAAAGAGTAACAAGTTAGAGTGGCCCTGGAAATGAGAGGATCTTTAGTTATATAGAGCGATCGAAACGCCATTTCAACAGAATATTGATGTAACCAATGTTGAGCAATCGTCTCAACATTTGATGGATATTTGTGCTTGCTTAAGGTAAAATAATAAAAAATAAAAAATAAAGCCTTGATACCAAGAGCCAGAAACCAATCCACCCATCATGTTTCTCATGCTGATATCAGAGCAGTGTCAAACCGAAGGTATCGCTTACATCACACTCGTCAAGAGATGATGACCGGTAACGGCATCGATCCTCTATTCCTACAGGCTTTGATTTGTGCGAGACGGTACTGTGCAGCAGCTGTAAAGGGGTCGCGTAGTTTGAAGAGAGCGTTAGATATTGCGTTATTCTAGGCATGAGATGTGCAAAGACTAAACCAAGGATAGCCTCAAAAAGAAGAAAAAGCATTTGGCACTCTATTCCGTATCGACCCACACTTTCAGATGGAGTTATTTTTTATTTATTGCACGCTGGGTGTCATATTTTGCTATAACTACGCCTATCCACAGGATCACATAGTAGGGTGTATAACTATAGCGTGCAGGTCAAAAAAGGTAACCAAGATCAAAGCCGAAGTTACTATCAACATCGAGATTGACGCCTTGCACCCGATCTGAATACCTCATCAAGTCAAGGAACTCATCTTTGATCCCAACATCTATGTCAATACCAAGACCGAGGTTCAAGTTAAAGACACTTGCTTTGGCTTTGATGAGATTGACGTCCGAATCAGCACCTATAGAGGTTGAAACTCCGGCAATGAACATATCGGCACTGACCTGTTCGATTGGCTCTCAGCTTGGCTTGATCGCATGCATAATGGGAGTTTTGGCTTCGGTTGTGCACGCCTTGAGGACAGGGCCTTCTGATTCTGCTGTTGCATTCACGCGTAGAAGGCTGTTGCTCCGTCCACTTCGTCTATAGTTTGAACCTTGAAGCCGAGTAGAGCTGCAAATACGCAATCGCAAGGATAATCGGGATGCAAAAGTATAGGTCAAGGGTCAAGGGCTATTGTTATTTATTCTGAGGAGTTTAGCTAAAACTATGGATATTATTATTTATACTATCTAACTTCTCAGCTAGAAATTGGGCAAAACAGGATTAGTGTAACAGGCCAATCCTAGCACGGGGCGTCAAGCGCCTGGAAAACACCGTCATTATTCATGATAACGTCTCTGAGATCGAAGCTATCCGTAACCCAGGAGCAATCTATCTTGCGGAGCTCCGCAGATAACACCGACTCGTTGAGCCTAGTTCCTTGCGCCGATTCCTGGAAGGACTTCCTCCCCCAGATGAACTTGCCGTCGGCGTTGCCGAGGGACATGTTGAGGTCGATAGAGGCATCGCACCACGAGCCGTTGCTTCGCTGTAGCTCAGCTCGCAGCACATTGGGGGTGTTGGCGTCGAGCCTAACATTCCGAGATGAGCCTATAAATGGCCTTGGCACGGCTTCTCCGGGCTTAGTGACGTGAACTTCGATTTTACCTGTGTCGGTAGACCTTGTCTTGATGTACGCTAGGTCAGGCCGCTCATGATGAGTGAAGTCCACCATTAGCCACCGCCCATTGTCCTCTGGATAAAAAGATGTGGCGACGTCGATCACACGGCTTTTCCATCCAGAACTCGCAGAGACGGCATGGACCTCAACCATTCCGCATTTAGTGTTCCTGGTCTTGATGTAGTAGAGGTCGGCAAAATCCCCGTCGCACTTTGGTGCGAGGCACCAGGTGCCGTTGTCTTCGACACCAAAGTCGGTTGCGACATGTTGCGTGAACTGTTGATAGTTTGTTGCTTTGCTAGCAACATGATACTCGATCATGTTTGAACCACAATTCCGAGTCTTGATAAAGACTAAATCACCTTTTCTAGACATAGTCCAGACTCCGTTGTCATCGCAGATGAAGCAAGTGCCGGTCCGGAGGACAAAGTTCTGATATCCAGAGGCAGCATCAGCGACGTGCACTTCCACTGTGTTAGTGCTAGTCTTGCGTGTCTGAATATATATCAAATCAGCCTTGCCATCGCCGGTCCAGTCCTGCATCAGCCATGTTCCGTTGTCCTCAAGGCCGAAAACGGTGTCAGTAGCCAGGTTGTGTTGCTGGAAACGGAATTGATTGAAGGATGCATGGACTTCGATCTTGCCAGTGCTGGTGTTTCTGGTCTTGATGTAAACGAGATCTTGGGAGCCATCGCCATTGATATCAGCCAACGACCAGACGCCATTGTCCTCCACGTAAAAAACAGTGCCCGTTGCAAGGAATCTATGTTGGTATGCCATGCCTGTACAATTTACTTTCTGGTGGCTTTAGGCGAGCGAAGATTGATGATTCGTGTGATAATTGGGACAGGGGCAAGATAGAAAAGGGGTCGGTTTCGTTGCGGAATGGTGTTTCCAATATTCTTTGCCTATGGTATTTATACTTTTCGGTCTTGCGCTGTAGCATTCCTCCACTACATTAACTATGTTGATCTCTCCCTTTGTTAGGGCAGCATTGGCGTGAGAATTACTGTGTGCAATTGTGAACAATGTGACTGCTTTAGAGTAAACAAAAAGGTCAGGCCTTGATTCTTGGCAAACAACCCTGTCCGCGGAGTCACATCCATTCCAGACACTATGGCAGCTGCAAGCAGCTCCATATATATATATATATATATATTATATGTACTTTGCCCTAAACGGCTTGAGTGCATGGACCTTGCCCGCGGAGCTTTGTTGCTTTGGATGCTTCACTAGATCATTGGCATTCGGTCCAGATAATATGATACTTTCAGAAACTCTACATCTACATTAATCCTGCCTGCCTTAAGCAGTCTAAGCACTTGGTTGGATCTTCCCCCTGGGAAACTGTTGGTCCGGATGCTTCTCAAGAGGTTTCATTTTTCACAAAGAATTTTCAGCGGGGATAATAACGTGAATAACACTTTTATATAAGAAGCGCCTTCTGTGTTATATAAAGCGGTAGTCTTGTATGGTCTAACAAACCGGGTCAATTGGTGAAAAATACAAACGTGTTTTTGCTCATTCACCTGTGCTATTTGCATACAGAGTATCACTGGAGACTTTTTATTGTTTTTTTTTTCTTTTTCTTTTTTTTTAATCTCGAATAATTGAGTACTCCGGGAAGGACCTGACAGTGCATAACACTCTCCTTTTTGACAGACAACCCAAATAGTGCATCATCTCCTGAGTTAGAGGCAAGGGCATGGCCGTCAACACTAATGAGTTTTCTCCATTAGTACTTGCTAATTGGACTGTGTACTCGCGTATCATATCCCATCTACCATTATTTATGTTAACAGGAACAGCAGCAGCAGAAGTGGCAACAAAGTTCTTTGATGTCAGCGCAGAAGATGAATATTCATGAGAGAGAACAGATGGTGGTGGACGAATCACAAAGGTCTGAAGTCGCGGGCATGCCTTCATGAACGCAGCTATGACGGAATACATTGAAGCTTGGTCTTCTATTCTCATACGATCTGCTTCTGCTTCTGCTTCGGTTAATTGAGGTTGCAAACTCGGGTGTGGTGACGATAAAGAGTAGGGAGGACAGTTTGAGGATTCCGCACCCTTGTTCCTTTTCTCGGGATCAGATGGAAGAGAATAATGCAATGCTGGTGCAAATGTCGACTTCGTGATATCACATAGGTCGTCATTGTCCAAATCAATTGTCTCTCCTGGCTCCATTTCAAATGGTGAATCTGAGCCTACAGGGTTACTTAGGAACATTGCTTTCTTGCATTGGATATTAAGATGCTTCAAACTTGTCAGATAAGAGCAAGGGATGGGCTTGAGAGGACATTCTTGGCCAACACTGGAGACAATGGGTGGTTGATAGACCTTAGAGATGAGTGTCTTGCTCAAATAGGAAAGCACAATGTGATCTGCATTTGCACTGTCAAACAAGCACTCTGCATTATTAGTTGCCTTAGAGCCATGGTATGCTTCTGTTCCTGTTCCACTACGGCCGCAAAAGAGTCCATTGCCCTCAAGCGAGTGCTTAGCCGACCTGAGGTTCTCCATATGATGCACATCCGGAGAGTTGGTACTCGACTCAACTTCGTGGCTATAACCCAGAAAGGCATAGATATCGGCTGCACGCCAAGGTATTAACCAGCCCTCAAGCTGCAAAACCTCAAGTTTGCATAGCATCCTCAATCGCTCATAGATGGATTCAATCTGCCAAGGCTTGCTGAACATGGGCAAGCTTGGCTGCTGAATCAGCTTTTCAGGGATTCTGGGTTTCCAACTCGGACGACGCCTGGGTGAGTGCAGTCGGAAGGCTCGTGCTTCTTCAAACTCATTTAGATACCCTTCCTGTTCATGCCAAAATGGGCGCTTGGGTTTGCTACCCCTGGCACTATTATTACCCATCTGTTTCTCCAATAGGCTTTGTTGCTGCTTCTGTTGTTCAAGCAATCGATAATATCGACGATGATGCCGATAGGGCTTATGAAGGTTTCGATCCCACGATTTCATGATCGACTCGTAGTTCTCAGCATAGAGTGGAGCTTGGACATGCATGGGTCGTCCATCTGCAAATCTCCAGGAGAGATCTAGAGACTCAAGAGAATTAGAGCAGGCCCATTTCCTCTTTACGACATCATTCCTGATCTTGGCACCGCATGTTAGCGACGATGAGTCTGTCAATCCGAGTTCCTCGTCCTCGAACACCGCCATGGTGAGGTTCAGCTCTGCCGCAGAGAGTTCCTTGAGAGATGAGCACATCATAAGGACATGTCGGATTGACTGGTCTGTCAAGAGTATGTTCTTGTCCACATTGAGGAATTGCAACGTTGCATGGGTTATATCCACAAACGCTATCAAATCCTGGTCTGTCAGATCTAGGGTGTTATATAGGCAGAGCGAGGATAGCTGGGTGGCTCTTAACGGACCTAGATCACGCAGATTCTGCATTATCCACGGAGTCTTTGAGTACATGGTTACTCTATTTCCATCCAGTCTCAGGCGTCTCAGTCCTTTCCAGGACCTTGTTGGCTCCTCGCAATCAGTAGTATAGTCAAGCTCTTCCCATGCCTTCAAACTGACATATAAAGATAGTGGACGCTTAAACCGATCATTGATTGCAATAGGAGCCTCTGGATGTATCCAAGTACGGTTTTGAGCTGCTCTATTCATATCTGATGACCGTGGGCGGGTATCAGATTCTTCGTTCGTCAGTCGAAGATCTGTAACCAAAGGACATGCTTCAGAAAGAGTCCAGATGTCAGGTTCGGAAAACCAGACGCCTCCGAGGTGGAGTCTTGTGAGCGGAGGTTTGAATTTCGCAAAGATTTTGAGAGACTCAAAGGTTGAGATCAGGCGAGGAGGATTTATGGGCTGACTGAAGGTCGTTCCTGTGAATAGAACCTGTGCTTGTGTCTGCCCTTGTGTGCCTTGTGTATCTTGTGTACCTTGTGTAAGTGGATGTGGATGTGGTTGGAGTGGTACAGATACTCGCCTGACGATCGTCAGCTCCGGGTCTAGGAAGTGGGGGGCAGGGATGATTTCTAGGTCTTGGAGATCTTGAGCACAGGCGCTTAACATCTCATCATATTGCAAGAAACAAGATTGGTGTGAAAGTAAACGATTGTGATGGAGTACAGTGCCAAAAAAACCCTGTTGCTGCTGCTGCTGCTGTTGTTGTAAAAAGGTTTGCATAAATGTGGACTCGCGCAAGTTTAGTTTGAGCTCTAGTCGTTTTAATCCACGCCCAATGCTCGATATTATTTTCGTACCCATGACGGGTTGATGTTCTGTATGAGAAAAATCGAGCTTGAGGGTATGGAGTTGTGCTAGGCTAATAGTGTCTTGATTGTTGTATTGTCCGGAAGAGGGCCCAATTCCCGTATTACTAGGAGGTGCTACTGGGATACCTTCCTTGGTACGATACACTTTCTTAGAAGCATAGTAATATACCAATAGATCCACTCCTCCGAATCTTAAGCATTCGTACGGCAACTTGAGAGACCGGACGTTAGGACAATGATGCGTGATCGCCTGAACAAACTGTCGGACCCATTGATCACTTGTGTTGATATCGCTCAGATGGGCGTCTGTTAGATCTAACTCAATGACATGTGTTCCATACCGATTCAACCTGGCCAAGATCACATCTGAATGTCGATTTTTGAAAATCGGAAAGAGCCGAAGAGGCTCCAGAGCAGCTCGATCCCAGTGACGAGATACTAAGCGCATCGAGGGTAACTGTGCACTCGATAGTAGACCAAGGATTCGTTCAAGTAACTCAGGGATTTGCAACGCGCGGTGGGCTGCAGATCCTTTGGCTGGAACTGCAAGGTCGATCTGGATCGAGGATGTGTCTTGTGGCGTAGACGGCATCGAACATGATTTCGTTATTGCCAATTGAGTATCTGCAGGCTCTATTTCTGCGTTGTAGTACATGCTGGACAGGTCGAATAACTCTGAAATAGAGGGGGAAAAAATAAAATAGGTCAAATTACTGAACTCTACTCAATGAGTCAAACAGCCATTACTTTAACCATTGACTTGCATGAGCAAATTGCTGTCCATGGAGTTATGTGCTTAGAACTTTAATTGTGCCATTTACCTCCCATTTCATTTGTCATTGTGTTTCTCTGAAAACAATTGTAGGTGCGAGGATGCAGAAAAAGAAAAAAAAGAACTGAAAAACCACTTCTCCTTATAAAGTCAAGTAATTTCACACACAAAGTGGCTAAGTGATTGACATGATGTGTGTAAATGAATATTGCTTCGCCTTGCGGCTTTATTAAACTACACGAGTCACACCATTACTGCCAATCCATGTTCTCAGCCTTCACCTGCACTTCTCCTGCATCGGACGTCGTACTATCAGGTGCCACTGATGACGAGGATGACAGCGGGGCTGCTATAGCTGTGGTTGCTGTGGTACTTGGATTACTATTGTTGCTGTTCTTGGATCCGGGTACTGGGAATCCTAAGAAAGGCTTGCCAATGCCTGGGAATGTCGCACTCGTATAAACACCATAACCACCTGGATGCATGCTCGGCAGATTTGCAGGAGGCGGTGTGCTTGTTGCACCGCCGGGTCCGGTCCCTCCTGGAGTGGTCATACCGCCATAAATATTGGCTTTCATATCTGCTTCAAGAATTTCCTGTTCTAGCTGCCGAATTGTTTCCATCTGTGGCGCCAGAATCCCTTCAGCCTTTTCAAGCAATACCATTGCCGCTTTAGTCCATGGTGAATGTTCTCCATTATATATCCATGAATTGTTGACCATGATCCGCATGTCGGTCAAAAATGCATCAACAGTGCGGTACGCATAGTAGTTTTTGTTGGCATCCCTCATACCCGACAAATCGCGCGGTTGCTTAATCACAATATCATAGCCAGGCGCAATCTTGGACGATACTGGGGAAATAAAAGCGGTAGCCTCTTGCATTGATAGGATTGTGGAAAGCACAGATTCGATAATATTGGCGAGCTCGACATCTGCTTTCTTTCGACGACCATATGATTTAACGGGCGGGAAGTAATCCATAAAGTCGTCTTCCGTGTGCTGGGTTGCAGATTCGCTTCGCTTCCTCTTGGGTGGTGTCGGCTCTATTATTAAAAAAAAAACCCCTCCCATATGCAATGTATTTTTAATAAGAAATATTATATGAGGGCTTTGTGAACGTAGGTGATATGCAGAAAAGCCACTTACGGAGCATTTTAGAGGGAAGTCGGACTACAAGAGCCTCTTTTTCCTCTTTCTCACGTTCCTTCTCCAGATCCGCAACACGGTCAATGACAGCTTTGGGAATCGAAATTTTGTTACTACTGACGCCGGAGGATTGTGGTGATCCTTGTCTAATAAAATCGCCTGTCATTGATCCGCCCCTAACCATTGGTGGTGGTGCACTAGGTGGCGCAAGAGGTGTTGGGCGTACTGGGACATGTGGTGGAGACATTATACTTCCAACGCCTCCTGCAGTCATGTATCCTGTGCCTGTCACACCCAAGTTGGGAAGTGCTCCTGAAGGGTCAACATATTTGGGACATTTTTTGTTGGTTTTCATGTGACCCAATGCACCACAGTTGCTACATTGACGAATCACCTTCTTTTTGAGGGTCGCAGTGGCAGGGTTAACAGGCAGATCCAAGCTCGTGTTACCGGCTTTGGCTGCTGCTCTAGCCATTCTACGCTCCTGATTCCTGTTAAGTCTGGCGATTTCCTCCAGAATGCGTTTCCTCATACGTTCATTCTTAGCCTCATCGTTTGTTGGCTCGAGTGCTTCAGTGCTGATCGAGTTTTCTTCAATTAGCTGACGTTGACGAATGTAAGCATTCATGACTGCAGGGTCACGAATAGTTTCAGATTTCCATGTGGTCTCGCCGTTCTCCAGACGGATAAGTCGCTTGATGATCAAGCATTTGTTTCGAGACGATCCAAAGTTGCCAACACTGGTACGCGAGCTAATACTACCAGCAACTGAGACATTGTCATCATCCATGTCATTGTCTCGGTCACGATCACGGTCTCCACCGCGATCAGCACTATCACGATATCGGCCAAACAATGACGGCGAGGGTGAGACACGACTACGGTCTACAGTAGACATTTCACGCCTCTGTCGATTGAGATTTTCTTCTTCTTCTTCGTTCCCAATGACATCGTCGTTACCATCAATTTCTTCAGTATTGCTCAGCGCCTGATGTTGCATGTTCCAAATACGTGTAATCTCCTCCTTGTAAACCTGCTGCTGCTCTGCAACATTGTAGCGATGCGTACTCTTTGGAAGAAGTTCGATCTGCGCTAATCTCTCCTCAAGAGACTCCCCTTGTCTCAAGAAAATATCTTTCATGCTAATGCGGACAAAACTAAAGCCTTCACCGCGACCCGTTGGATCACCAGCTCCCCAAAGTTTCAACATGGCCTTGCCCTGGGTTGCGTTGATAAAGTTGCGTGTTGTAATCCACGGTGCGAGCTGCTCTTCAATGTCCATATTGGACTCATAATCCTCGTTTCCATCATCCTCGCCATCCGCTGCTTTACCATAACCAGCATCCTGCAAATACCGCTGACCAACTAACATACTCTCATATAAGCACACCATCTCTGGTGTTACCAGTTTACGGATCTCCTCTTCGCTTGGTAGTGGCGTGCTCGCTTTCAATTTCCAAAAGCCTGTATTGTTGCCCTTCCGTTGGAATTCTGCAAACTCCTTAAGTCTCTGACGAATCTGAATTTCCGAATACTCAGGGTAGGCCTTGACGAGTTTGGCAAACCGTAGGCGATTGTATGGATCCTTGCGAATAAATCTAAATGCTGAGATTTGGAGGCGATTCTTGACCATGGTTGTGATCTTCCTTGAATGAGGGCCGGGGACGTCCTGGACAGGATATGTTTGACCGACAACGTAGAGATGTGGGATATGTCTGATATAATACTTGGTCTCGCCCTTATAGGTCGTCCTAATGACTAGAAAATCTGTGTTTCTTGCTGGTTGCTCGAATACAGGTGCTCTGATCAGGTTGTTATAAAGTGCGCTGATAGTCTGTCCTGGCTCCACATTTCCAAAACCCAGAAATGGCGAGGCATCGGCAACATCCAAAACAAAGGGTTCTCCGATTTCCTTTTGGGGTATGTGGGTATCGTCAATATTCTCCTTACGGTAATAATTTATCAAGAAGCTTCCCATGCCTACATTTTGAATAATTGCTGGATGTTCCTCCGAATACTCCAGTAGAACAAAGTTGGTGTTGTCACGCAACGTCAAATCCTTTGAGCCTCTCATGACTTCGCCCAGCTCCTTGCGTTTTTGTTTCTTCTTTTTGCTACCTTTTACGCGCGAAAATGTAATGTCAACATTGAGTGGTAGTTGAAGCTGCGGTCTGTGGAATGACCGTTGTTCTGATTTTGTCAACTTGTTCTTGTACCATGGCTTCATCAACTTGACGGCAGGAAGAGCGTGCTGAACAACCAGCTGTCCAAATGTCTGACGTACCCTATGGAAACGCCCCTCCTTGTGGGCTTCGTAAAACCGATCGTTTGATAAGTTGAAGCGATCAATTTGAAGTTTTCTGTGCGTTTCTTCCTCTGAAGGGTCATTTGTTTTGGTTACTACACGATATGCTGGCAATATGGCCTTCTTCCCACGTTTGACTAATGATTAAGGATGTAATAGAGTTGCTGCATTAGCTATATGATCCGCAATGCGACTTGCAGTGCAAAAAGAGTTCATGAAGTGAATCGAAGAGATAACAACATACCTCTGAATCCCTCTCCCATTGTCTTGGAATCCATTGAAGTAAGGTCAAATAAAACATTGGCATCATTCATGTTGAAACTGATCTGAGTGAATGGTTTAAAGGGCTTGTTTTCGTCCCAAATAATCGATTCTTCCCAATCACCGTTCTCTAGTTCATAGTTACGAATAGCGAAGATTTCCTTTGAGCTGTCTTCAGTATTTTCAGTAGTTGTGCTGCCAGCGCTAATTATTCGCAAAAATGCTGGTTAGGTTTCTCTTCTGACCAAAAAAAAAAAAAAAAAAAAAAAAGTCTTGTCATTCCAGACTATGTCCTTACCCGCTTGTTTCTGAGGTTTTCAATGGGACTACTGCATCGTCCCAAATAATTTTATCCTCCCATTCTTCGAGCTGTACAGAGTAGAGATCTTTGGTGTCCGGTACTTTCCATTGCAAGCTATTTGCCCATTCTTTGTCAACTAAATTCTAATTAGATCATAAACAAGAGACGTTGATAACATTTCAGTTCAGTTGCTCTCGATACAAAATGAGCAAATAAAGAATAGCTAAAAAAAAAAAATAAAAAATAAAAAATAAAAAAAATAAAAAAAGTACCTCATATGCATCATAGGGATCAACATCCTGATCTTCAACGGATATTGGATCCTCTGGTTGGTCAAATATTTTCCGTTGATCATATTCGCGAGTAAATTTATTGATAGTTGGGAAGTCGGCAGGCTTCACTTTTGAGTGTGGGAAGCGCTTCAGTCGTTTGATATTGAACAGCTCCGAAAATTTGAGGATCTTGTTCTTCTCGAACGCAGGGTATAGTGCATGTACATCAATGGGCTCTACAGGTGCAGAAGGTCCAGCGGTCGTTCCTGAGAGGGGTGGCAAAGTAGAAGGTGGAAGAGCGACTTTGCTTCCTGCACTGCCCGCTGCAGTCTGATTCAACTTTTGCTGTTCTTCTAGAAGGTAAAGTTGTTGTTGCTGAAGTAACGATAGTGCTGATTTTGGGGCTGTTGTGATGTTTGATGCTGTTGAAGAAGATGGTGGCAATGATAAGCTTGTTGTCGGGGCTCTCTCCTCGTCTGCACCATCAGCATCATAATCTTCATCCATACTGTCAAGCCTTGACTTGCCCCTGTTACCGCTAGCGCTCTTTGCTAAATTACTTTTCATCGCTGTTGAGGCCATCGTGGAGAGTCCTTTTTGTAGATACTGGTTACTGAACATCTGTTCTGAATTATCCACAGCGAGGTCATTGATTTCTGAAAAGTCAACAGCATCCTTGTCATGTTCAAAAGTAGATTTGATAGTAGCAAAGTTGACCTCGCCATCTTGGTCTTCTTCATCGTCCTCGTCATTGTCAACTCCACCAGATGCATCTGGACCTTGAGGTTGGACCTCACTCTCATCGACGCCCAATGTCTTTGCGGAGAAGAGGTGCGTAAGCTGTTCACTGTTCTCTAAACTCTCCAAAGCCTCACGGAATTCCTACACAAGTAATCAATGCTTTGTTTAGATGAGCCACTGGTGTACTGAATGATTTTGCAAAAAAAGTGTTTATTGTTGCTAAAAAATCGCTCTTTTGAATAGAAATGTACCTCCGGTAGGTCTTCGACCTTGCCTGATTTGTCAACGTTTCCGAAGAAGTAGCCGGCGAAAGACATGGTGTGGTTGGTTAGGTATTAATGAATAGGGATCAGCTCATGGAGACAAATGAAAAATGAGCAATGTTTTCCAAATGCGTATGAACGCGCAGCAGAAAGGATAGACAGTCACAGGTTTTTTTTTTTTTTTTTTTTTTTTTCAGTCCAGCCAAAAAGGTTTATGTTCAGGTAAGTAGGGCACTTTGGCAGAGAAGATCTCAATAAACTGTCAAAGCAATAGCAAAATAAAAGAGATCAGAATAAGGCACTCAGGGAAAGGAGACTACCATTTAGGTGTACAAGTATGTATTAGGATGCATATATCCTTTAGTTCATGGTATTTACCTCTTGATCAGCAAGAACTTTGCTTCCTGCAAACCGTCGGTATTCATCAAATATGGATGTCATTGACCAATTCTGGATCTTGCGAAGGCACCCAATCAAACATCCAATCCGGTGCTTAAAATGAAGAAAGCATAAAAGTTATAAGAATATTATGGTATTGTCAATGCTCCTGATGTACAAATCCATGAAACCTATGGACCTCCACGAAAAGTAAGATTTTTTTAACGGATATAACGTACTTTCCCTTTTGCACAATGAATCAACATAGGATGATTCCTTGCATCTATTTGAAAAAAAATATTACAGATATAGAAATAAATAATTCAAATTTTTTCTATGTTCAATCTCTACACACCACACACCACTAAACTATAGCGTTATACGTTACCTAGAATGTTAACCAGAGCGCTACTTATTACTCCCTCATCAATCTCAATGAAGGGCTCCTGAAAGCTCAATCAAATGACGATTAGTTAGTTCGTATATTTCTTTGAGTCTGATTGCATTTCGCTTTATGGTGTCATTATCAGGTATCACTCACCTTGTTACCCTCAATCTTGTAGTGAATCCTTCGAATGTCTTCTCGTTTTAAAAACTCCTCCAAATCAGGCGCATAAGGCTCTTCGCTCATCTGTCTATAGAAACAAAAACAAAACAAAACAAAAAAAAAAAATACAGGCTGATCAGCCAAATCGAACACATTGCTTCGATTCCCATTTTCACAGACAGTACAAAACAACAAAAATCCCTTTTTACACAATCACTTTTAAGCCAAGTTTGCGCATGAATGGAAAATTGTGCTTGTTAGGATGCCCAGATCGATAGACTCCTGGTGCGACCATTGCGAAATTGAGGGGCGGTACTAATACAGCATTTGCACTTTCGTAATGAAGCTCTCTCTGTCGTTGCTGTTGATGCTGCTGCTGTTGTTGCTGCTGATGCTGTGTTTGTTGCTCTGAGGATGGGTAAGGTGAAACTGACCTTGAGGATGTTCCTGATAACGCCGCACCTACCGATGCAGATCCTGCCAAATCCATGAGTGTATTCTGGATATTGAGGTTTTGACCATTACTACTATTGCGGCTTTGATCGCTATTCTCATTATTGAGACATATTGGGTCTTGTTGTATCGTTCCTGCAAGAATTCCATTTTCAAACACTCTAGTCATGATCACAGTAGAAGCTGTGGGAGTAATGCTGCCATCCTCTGCTACAATGGCATTAGAAATGGAAGTGGCAACTTGAATATTTTCTGAGAATGTATGGCTCTGACTTTGCGATCCATTTGTTGTTGTGCTTGTGGTATTGTCATTACTGCTGCTACTCCGCGCTCCGGGAGTAATGATGGTGTCCATGGTAAAGTCAAGCTGCTCGGCAAAAAAAACAAAATGAAATGTCGCAGGTGAAACAATTGAGGTAAAATGAAATACATGCTCTAGTCAAATAAGAAGTTGTATTATTTTATTCATTTGACTTGGGTATACTCGCTGTCTATCTAAATGATAGGTGCTTTAATGGCCTCTTCATCGTCAGCGTTTCTCCACATGTACCATGATGCGATGGTGCGATAAGGTCTCCAACGCTCCGCCATCCGCTCCATATCCTCACAAGTCATCTCTCCATTCTTGGCTTTACCTTTACCTCTGGCCCCGCTCTTCTTCTTGGTAACAACCTTTGTAATGACTTGACTACTAGATCCTCTAGTATCCATATCAGCCTCAGTTATCTCTACTTCTTCAGTAATAGAACCCCAGACACCATTTTTATAGTCCTTTCTAAAATGCTTTTCCATCCCTCTTCGAATTCCCAAATCGAGAGTAGGCAAAACATCCAAGCGCTCCAGCGAATCCATCATAAACATATCCACAGTCCACGGTCCAATACCTCGAACACACAGCAATTGTGATGCCACTTCCTCATCTGTCATAGATTGCAGTGCGGCCTTGTCTGTAAATGTGATCTTTCCCTCCGCAAAATGACGTGCCAGATCTTGGACATAGGACGCTTTTCGTTCTGACAGTCCGCGTTGGCGAAGAATATCCATAGAAGTTGCTAGGACTTGTTCCGGAGACGGGAATCTCTTGTCACCGGCATCTAGCGACTCCAAAGTTACTTGGTCAGGGAAATAGTAAGAAACAAATTTGTAGATGATGGATCGTGCAGCCTTCCAATGAATCTGCTGTCCAAGAATTGTGCGTGTGAGAACACTAGCGCAACGTATAAAGAAAATGATACAAAATTAGATTTGAATAGAAAGTCGATTATTGGATTCAACTTGGTTGGAAAATATGTGAATATCATACCGAAAGTAATTGGTATCATGATCAGAATAAATAGAATAGGGGTATTTGGCAATCAAAGGCGCCAGCGCAGGGTCTGCTTTACAAAGGTGAGCAAGGGCTTCCTCAGCATAAGAAGGTATATGCTTAGGTCTCTTGGTCCAAGGATCAACTTCAGGAACGTTGGGCTTTGAATCCTTGGCTGTTGCGACTGCTGCAATCGTAGCGTTAGTGTTGGCTGCAGTTTTTGTGGAGTCAATTTCCATCGGCTCCGATGGCGGAGAGGCATCCTTACGGCCGCGACGCGTTTTGGTGGTCTGCGAAGATACAAGGGCAGTGTCGATGCCATCGCTCTCAATCAAAGTAACCAGTGGCTACATAATAAATAAAAAGGACTGATTAAAACAATTGTTTCGTCTTGTTTTAGATTTATTCAGAAAAAGAGTGTTAGAGGTTCGTACCTTTGATACTCGAGTTCGCACTGATGTAGCAGTTGTCTTCTAGTAACAGCGTAAATAACGAATAGAATTGTTAAGGTTTATACATTGCTGCGAGGCAAAACAGGAGGCCAATCACATCATTGCACTCACGGCAACAGTAGTTCTCGATGAAGTTCTAAAATATCAGATATTCAAATTTAGTGGCGTTAATGTTCAGTTGAATTGCACTGAGTAGATATGCAAAATTTGAAGTGGACTTGTTACCTCGCTTTGGAGCTCTTGAACACAGTCGAAAGAGTTGGCTTCAGGGCTGCATTGTCAAGTGCAGCTTGTGCAAGTGCGCGTCGTGTCTGCATGAGGAAGATGTAAAAATGTAAAAACGTAAGAATGTAAGAAGTTGATGTTCAAGGCAAACAAAAGAAGAGAAAGAAACAAAAGTGGAAATAGTCAAATGGATGGTTGAGAAACCAAAAAGGAAATTTTCAGTTGACCTGTATTTCCTGCTTTTCTGTGATATATTTTAATGAATAATTTATCACTCCATCCCATCATGATAAAAATGAGCGCAGCCAATAAACGAACGCAATCCTTGCCAGCACATTCAGTTTCATCTAAGAAGACGCGTTCATCCTTCTCTCTCTCTTCTTTTTTTCCACGTCCAATCCTGTTAATTTCATCTCATCCATGGCGAATTTCAGGCTATTTTTGTTTATCATCTTTCTAACTTCGCTCTCTACGGTCTTGGCAGAGTCATGGAAAGTGAATGACATCAATCTCCAGATCGTCTCACGGGACGGTACAAAGAAGGCTAAGCACGAGTAAGGAGCCATGGAACAAATAAATATTAAAATCATTAGGAAACAAGTTTTTAAGGAGTAAAAGCAGGACTCTATTGTGCAAAGTTATATAAAGATCATCAGGAAAATTGGATCATCGTCAGTCACCCCTATCCATTAGAATGAATGTCTATCACTCCTCTCCTGATATCGATCGACCAACTCTAATCTTCTGTCCCCTCATATCCCTTATTTATCTTTATGGTTTTCAGACTGGAATATCCAAATACTGTCGAGAACCTGACTGCCGATTCAACGGACTTGCTCAAGTTCTCGTTCAAGATTGAGAATAGCGAACGTCCACATCAAGCTATGGTCGTCTTCCAGAGTCAGGATGAGTTCCAGGATGAGATTATGGTCGCTGCTTCCGTCAGATCATCAGGAAAGGGACGGTTCGAGCTTGTAAGACATGAAGAACAACATCCATGGGTTTATTCTCCATTATTCTCAGGACAATGTTTTAATGGCTCACAACGAAAATATTTACAAGTCCATTTGCATTATTATTTTTCGGTATACTTCAATTTTGTATTCAGAACTTTGCAAAAGCAGATCGCAAATTCAAGTATGGTACACGTAAATACTCTATGACTTTCTTACTCGGAGGTTTCACAATTGATGAGCCTTTCAAGTACACCCTTGGCGAGATCGAGGTTCAAGCTCCTACCGTTAACCCAGCAACACGTCCAAGTCGTGTTGAATACAAGTCTCAGCCCGAAATCCACCATCAATTCCGTCCTGACCAAAAATTGATCAATAAGGCTATCTCAGGCGCATTCACTTTGCTTGTCCTTACCCCATTTGCCGCTCTGTTCATCATTGTATGTCAAAGCGCACAAGTGTGGACCATTACCGATGTATATTCTGTAATACAGCCAACAGTGTGGGAATATTTCTAACACTTACTTTTACTCTTTACTTTTTTCTATAGTGGTCCCAATTAGGCATAAAGTTCGAACCTCTCAAGTCTCTTGTCCGAAAACCTCTGGATTTAGTTGCTGCGATCGTGTTCTTTGCTTCATTGATAGGTATCGAGTACGTTTTCTACTCGTACTGGACCCATGTCACATTGTTCCCAGTACTTCGATATCTCAGTGTCCTCTCCCTTGTGGCCATCGTATCAGGACGCTCAGTTCTTACTTTAGTTCAAGCACGTCGACTTCAACGTACGGCTGGCTCCGCGAAGAAACAGTCATAAAAGCAGATAGAAAACAGAGCAAGACATTCTTGCAAAGTTGAGTCTTATAAACAAATAAATATGTTTTTTCCTTATCTATTTTTTTTTTTTTTTTTTTTTTTTTTTTGGTGCTAATTGTGTCAGTATTTAAGATGCTGCATTGTCATGGTCTTCACTTTTCTTGGGTTTCTTTCTGTCCGAATCTTCGGAGCCTTCAGATTGACTAATCGGTCGCTTATTAACAAAATTCTGGCTGACTGACTCATCCTCAAGACTAACTCCGCTACCAATGACATCCACAACTCCTGCTTCTGCAGTCTCGAGTCGTTGATTGCGTTTCATCAATGCTGCTTCGACCAAGATCTGCGTTTGATGCTTCTCATTTGTACGTACAGGCTCAACACCAAAGTGCAGTTCGAATTCTTTCGTGTACTGATTAAGAGTACCTGATGCAATAGCCTCACGGATCGCATCGAAGAATATCGAATATTGATATAAATTATGACTGAAAAAAAAAAGGATGAAAAAGATGAAGAAGGATTAGACTTGTATATACCTCCATGACAACACCATCGATGTGGGTAGGATCTCAGTAAGAGATGTTCGTGAACAAAGACTTTTTCTTGTACCTCATGAGAAGTACAGTAGCAAGCATTTCGTGTGCCTTTAAGAGATGATTAATGTAGGCTCGAGTGTGCCGGTTATCCTTGCAGGCATAGCATCCACAACCCTCTAAAATAGGTATGAATTTATCGCTATGCCCTTCATCCCATAGATTAAGCCAGCGATTATTGCTTCCTACTGCTCCCCTCATCATCTTTGATGATGATAATGATCCATTGGGTCCAAAAAAGTACAGTGATGCTTTGCCGTCTTCTGTCAATTGGTATGGGTATGACGTATCAAAAAGGTCAACTCCTAGCGCTACAGCTTTCAGAATATCCTCTGTTATAGCAGATAAAAAAGAAAGAAAGAAAGAAAAATTAATATCACAATACGGTCTAAAATACACCAGAGTAAAGAAATAGCTTGGTTTCAATTCGATATTTACCAGGTGCGTGGATTCCATAAGCCATCTTAGGTTTCTCTTTAGGAAGATACTTTAGAGATATTTGGATAAATTTAAACATATCTTCTTTTTCTTTTTCAGAACCCGCGTTAGACATGGAACCCACATCCATGATGAATCCATCCACCTCTATTCTCTCACTCGTCTCCTTCGCACTCCTGATTCGTTCATCCTCAAATTGTCCGCCTTGGACATGAGCAAACACTGAAACATCCATCCAAGGCTCTGTTTGTATTTCAGAAACCTCAATGGGCGAATTAGTTCCACTATCTTGACACTGTTTCCCTTGCATTGGCTCTTGCCTTTGTTCTTGTCCTTGTCCTTGCTCTTGTTCTTCTTTGGCTAAAGTACGTCGCTTTTCACGCTTCTCTCTTTTACGCCTCTTTTCCTCTTCAATTTTCCGATCCTCTATCATCCCATCCTTGCCTTGACGCTCCAACAAGATTTGGTCTAGCCACTTTAACGTCCTGTTAATGCTCTTTTGAACCCTCTTTTTCTTTTGATCTGGCTCCTCATTGCTAGATTTACTGCCTTTAATATCAGTCTTGTTGTTTGCCTGAAAATTATCTGCCATCGCCACCACGATATCTGGGCGATATTGTCGAACCACTCGGAGATAGTCTTCTAATGTCAAGGGACGAACACCTTTAGGAGTCGAGAGAAAAACATGTCGATCTGTGTTAGATCCGATTCTTTTCGTCGAGGCATCATTAGTAGATGTAGTAGGGGAAAGTGAAGGATAAGTGTAGGATGGATCGCGTGAATCACAGAGTAAAATCAGATCCTGCAAATAGAGGTAGTTAGCTAATGTGTACTCCTTAGATGGCCACTTGGAGAAGGATGCAGGTTGATCTGGCTGCCTATTTTTTTTAATAAAAAAAAAAAAAAAAAAAGGTTACAAAGAGCTCACTGGAAGTAGTCCTTGCGTACAAACTGCAAAAAAAAAAAAAAAAAGCTCCACTCACAAAAGCTGTTCCAGAAAGACGTTAATGCCCCCGTATCTCTGTTGGCGCATCATATCTGGTGTCAAGTGGGGTACAGACCCTTTGGTCGAAAACATGAAACAGCCAGGTGTTTGTATTGTTCGTTTCGAAGATTCCTGACCTCCAATGACATCGCCCTGATTAATCTCCGTGTTAAGCACTAAAAGCTCGCCAGTGCGTGCAGCCGAATCAGCATGCAGTGAGGATGGTTGAATCTTGAATCTTAATGGCGACGACATCAATGCTCTTTTTAATGACACCTTTGCGAATGAGAGCATTTCACCTCATTACCAACACCAAGTACATGTACAAGTGAACATTTAGTGGCTTGTCGTAGCACCAGCGCGTAAAACATTCTGTTGGTGGCAACAATTTAGGGTATCAAACTTTATTCAGATACATCAACAGTGCGCTGAGCTTTACGAAACAAAATCGAGGCACCCGAGATAGCCTCATTCCAAGGATGTACCAGGTCATGGTCATAAAAGAGAAGGCCTTGCATTCTTTTCTTTTCTTTTCTTTTCTTTTTTTACTTTGTCTCTCAACACACTCCATTTTACCTCACCCACTGATGAAATGTTGTTGCAATAGTAATTGAACTTAGTACGAGAGGAACCGTTCATTCGGATAATTGGTATTTGGGCCTGCCTGAACAGGCAATGGCCCGAAGCTATCATCTGTTGGATTATGGCTGAACGCCTCTAAGCTAGAGTCCATGCCAGAACGCGACGATTACTCTCTTTTCCGATAATTAGTTGAATACGAATAGAGCTTCGGTTCCTGAATCATGCTACGCGGGACCATCATGCAGGGCGGAGAGGTCTTGTGTAGTGCCTGCTAATGTTAATTTCAAATATTGGAAGAGATAAGCCCACAATTCAGACGACTTTAATTGAACGGGGACTGTAGGCTGTAGAGTAGCCTTGTTGCTACGATCAGCTGAGATTAAGCCCACTGTTCTACAGATTTGTTTGAAAGAACAGCAGCTCTCCTCTTCTCTTTATTTATCTTTTATTTTATTTTAGGATGCATGCTCAAGGAGTGTGTTTGAATAAACAAGATGGATTTGAATTTGTTTCCCTACCGTTATTCTGTCATATGCGTGTACGACATGAAACAAAAAAAATGAGAACGCATCTTCGAAACAAAGAGAGAAAGATCGGCACAAATTGTTGAGTTAGAGGATAATTAGAAAATATTGAGCGGAGGAAGACTGAGAAGAACGAAAAAAAAATTGGAGACTACTACCAGATCCCAGAGCATTAGAATTTTAGAATCAGGCTGGATAGCGTACGGTCCCAATTATTTCACAAAACACTTTTGAACATAGAAAATACGAGTCGGAGACCGCGAAGCCATGGTCGGCTCTTATCCCGTTAGAAAATTTATTGCTTTGCTTCATGAAGACAATAAAAAAAAACGTAGTGTAATGGCTGGTTTCGAAAATAAAGGCACTACCATACAACGAGGAAGAGCCGGCATCGAAGGATCAAAAAGCAACATCGCTATGAACGCTGGCTGCCACAAGCCAGTTATTATACCCAATGTTGCACTTTTTACATCTCTGCTCAGCAGGGACGACATTGTGTGTGAACTATAATACTAACATAGATGGTGGGATTAATGTCTGTTTCGTTTACTCCCTGTTAACAAGTAATCGCGCTCTAGATAAATTATATTGCCTGAACTATGAAACAAATGAAACACTCAATGTTCGCACGGATTCGTTGGGCTCGTCACCAGCCTGAGGACGAGCCTGTGGATTCGTATCAATTAACTACAAGCCATAATATTGGGTCTCCATGTGACTGCCGGGTGTATTTACACACCCACCGTTTTTATTCACAAAAGCTTTCTCGTCATCACTGTCTTCCTCTACTCATATTTTTTCTCATCAAAGCTTTTTTTTTTTTTCCTTTTCTTTCTCATCACTATCTTTAATATCAACTTTTCTTTGTACATTATTTACGATCTCCATTTCTTCCTTTATTCGTTCATTTCAATCCTTAAGCGCGTTACATCTGACTTGCCATCATATATTCTTCCTAATTTTCTTTATTAATTCTTACGCGCGTTGGCCTCTCTCTCTCTCTCTCATACTACATCTGCTTAAATATTTTCAGCATCTCAACTCTAGGTTAAAAGGAATGTAGCTCAATAAGAGTTTTTACCCTAACTGAGAAACTTTGTCATACGTGGCCCCGCTTCTTTTGTTCCAGCAGATATACCGCCAGCAGATACACCGCCAGCAGATACACTGCGGCTTTCCTTGCCGCCGGCTCTGCCGTGGACTCTGCCGTGGACTCTGCCGAATGGAAGGAGTGGTCGCGACATAGTGGTACTTAGGCGGGTTCGATAATGCTCTTTGGGCATGTGTTGCACAATAAACACAATGTCATATGTGGCCCTGCTTCATTTATTCCAGCAGATATACCGCCAGCAGATACACCGCCAGCAGATACACTGCGGCTTTCCTTGCCGCCGGCTCTGCCGTGGACTCTGCCGTGGACTCTGCCGAATGGAAGGAGTGGTCGCGACATAGTGGTACTTAGGCGGGTTCGATAATGCTCTTTGGGCATGTGTTGCACAATAAACACAATGTCATATGTGGCCCTGCTTCATTTATTCCAGCAGATATACCGCCAGCAGATACACCGCCAGCAGATACACTGCGGCTTTCCTTGCCGCCGGCTCTGCCGTGGACTCTGCCGAATGGAAGGAGTGGTCACGACATTGTGAATTCAGTCGTCTTGTTATTTTTTCCAGGCACAGTTTAAGACCTTACTTATCATTATATTAATTTATTGATTCAATCTAAAATGCCATCTTACTAATAGCCATGCCAACTCAATCACATATACAATGGGCGGAAGCGAAACACACAGGCACGGAGCATGTCTCCTTTGAAAACTTTGTGCGAAAGTTTAACTTAAGTGACCGGGAGTCAGCCACGAACGACTATAAACATCTTATCAAATCAAAACGTTTACGTGAAACCAGACGAGAGAGTCTAGAGAAATCTTTTGTGAAGTTTCAATGTCATCACGAAGATATTTTTTGGGCACAACGCAAAGTGGAAATATCTCGGATAAAACTGCAACTCAGTTCTGATTCCACGTCTAATGACGCAGTCGTAGATTTGCAAGAGGCTGCTGTCAAAAAATCACAAGAGGGGTATTTAGGATTAAAGGATAGACCTGGTAAATACATTTTTACTTGGTACTTTTCTTTTATAGTTATTATTATTATTATTATTTGTTTCTGATCCCCTCCTTTACTTCACAGATGGCCAATTACTTGCAAATCATTCAAATTTACCGTCAGAGCGGCTACGAACTCCCTCATGGGGCTCAGAATCAAGTGTAAGATCCGTACTGTGTTGTAAGATTATCGAATTCCTTGAAAAATTCAACTGACAGCTGAATTTTCTATTTCTCAGAACAGCTCCACTGGCCCAGTACCATTCCCTACACATGCATTAGGACTATTGACTGAAAGCAACGCGACTAAAACAGGTATTATTTTACGGAGATGTACTATAATAGTGACTGTCCTCTTCAGGAAATGCTCTAAACTGTGCTCATTTTGATGGATTGAATAGGAGGAAAACCACAAACTACTAAATCGTCTAATGTTATTGAATCGTTTTCGGGAGACGAGTGTGGCTATGATAATATTGAGTTCCCAGGTAGGACAATGTATTAGATTCGATATAATGTGTTGAGATAGTACTCTATTCTAAGCTTCTACTCAACCTGATAGACCCAACAAGAAGTCTTGTGCATTTTGAGGTTCTGAATCAAGCAACTTCGTGGGTATGTGAAGGCACCGATATTGTTGCCATATTTCGTGAGTTCAGAACAAAAAATCTGCAGCCATTTTCGCTTGTTCGTGATGGAATTGCCGATTTAACTCCGGGCTCTACATTCTTGGAGGGACTGGCACCAGGCGCCTCGTCAGCCGCTAGGAGAGTAGCCACAACTCCTGATATCTATACCAAGTGGCCAACTCTCCAAGAGATAATGAAGCGAGTTTTCGTATCAAGCAGCTATGATGATGTATCAAAGGCCATTAAAAAAGAAAATATGGAGGATCCGATTGCAGCGTACATGTTCGCGGTTATTATGTCTTAGTGAGTTTTTGTACAAAGCGCATTCAAATAATTATGTTTGCTCTCTTTTCTATTAGTAAATGTACTTACATGTATTTCTATAATGCCATAATAGCAATCACTATTTTAAATTTCATTCTATGATACCCGGCGATCTCAATGAACGTGAGGGATTCACTGATTTAACATGGGGATTCATCCGTGGGGCATTAACACTAACTGGAATTGAATCCCGTCATCTTGAAGTGCAGACAACTGGAGTCCAGGAAAGGAAGAACGTTGACAAGGACCCGCTCTCGGACATCTTGGAGCCTGGGCAGTATAGTGACGGCCTAGCGTTCAGTGGGGACAATCAAATCTATTTAGCAGAGACATCGCTGGTCCGTAATCCAAAAGCGGAGAAAAGACGTCAGGACGAGTTTAAGCTGGCTCGTGGAATGAGAGACTCATGGGTGAGTCAGATAAGATCTATCTGCCGTGAATCTACTCCTCCTCGCAACTTTAGTGTATTTGGCTCGGCTACTTATAAAGATGAAACCAGGCTCTGGCAGATGGACTTCCAAGGAGTATTTCGGTTGCGCCAGTTTGACTCGTTCCTCATTCCTTTAGAAAAGAAAGAATTTGGACGGAGGATGGAGATGGCAGTTTGTGTTTGTCTACAACTGGCTGCTCGCATTGAAATGGAGATTGAAAGTCGGGCCAATACTATACCTGCATCATATGACCAGCGAAATTTGCTATCTAATGCACTCCAAAAGATCTTTACTACGTCGACAACACCAAAAAAGCAACGAAAAAGAAAAGACGCTGTTATTTCCAAAGATGATGTACCAGTATCTCGAAAAAAGAAAACATTGGCAAACTCTTTTACAACATTATAGTTAAGAAGGCCAATTAATTTTTCAATTCCTGTCTGATTTGCTATTAAATCAACGAGCACTCTTTTATTCATATCTACATTGGTACGTACCAGCAATAAATTACATTCATTCCTCATTCTCCTTTTCCTTTTCTAATGAGTTTCTTGTATCATTGTGTCTTTCTTGTTTCTCTTTATGTTTATTAGGGGGGGTTTTACGTGTACCTTTTGTTGACTCTTTGAAAATATGCCGAAATGATAAATGTGGGCCTCTCGGAAGGCTCTCTTAATTCTCCAAATGTACTTTCTTGCGTCTTATATACTGTATCGGCAGGAGTCATTCGGCATATGCCTTCCCAAGTTCCGATGTCCCAAGCTGGATGGATTGTATAAAAATCCAAAGGACTGTCATTCCTTTTATCTTTGCAAGGATGGCGTTGCATACCTGAAAGAGTGCCCTGCTGACCTCCTTTGGAAAGATTCACTTAAAGTATGCGACTTCCCAAATAATGCTGGATGTAAATGGTAGTGGCTAGTGCGGGCTCCCTGCTTTACCCACTACAGCCACAAGGCCGCATAGGCTACTAAATAAACATCATAGTTATTGAATACGAACGGTGATTTTCACCAGTGAATCTTTTTTTTTTTTTTTTTTTTTTTTTTTGTCCGGTGCAGTACACCACCATTCAGAACATTTTCACCGGCAGTGGCCCCCGGTATGGTATACCAAGGGCGCACCAAGCTATTTTTTGTATTACAATACCTCATATTGCTACTTGTAGACTAGCGCACATCGCACCAATCAAGTCCACTGGTGGGGATAATGCATCAGTGGGAATCACTGCTTGTACAGATACTAGTCTGTACGCCAAATCGTTTGTTCGTTTCACTAAACCCTTGTCAAAGCGTGAGAGAGCGAGTTTGATCGCTTGCGGTATGTAGGATCAAAAAGGACTGAATAGGAGCGGCTTTAGTGGAGTTATCCCGACGAAGAGAGTCGAATGCCTTTATAGGTATACCAAGAGAGATTCGACTCCGTTAGCTGTCATCACAAGTATGATTTGCCACCCATGTATGTTTACAGGTAACGGGTCCCTTCCTAAATCCCGTATACCGTTATTTGTAATTAAATGAGTTTTTAGCTCTCCTTATTTAGCATTTCTATGCAGAGAGTCGTAGGCGTCAACAAAGCACTAGCTTTAAGGCCAACATTGCCTCTACTCCTCCTGTGGAACCAGCATATTAAGATAGACAAACGAAAGATCAACAGGAACAACTTTTATGCCATAACATTGGGAACATACTCTATCTGATTGTGAAACAGATTCAGGAACTGGTCTGTATTTTATAGTATTTTGTAGGACCGAAACTGGAATAATGCTGCTCCCTCAATATCGCTCTTTCGAACAAATCTATACATCAAAATGCCTAGCCTCAACTAGTTTCTTGTCGGCTTGACTTGATACAGTAGCCAGAACTGTCATGCCAATAGTGGCCATTGGGATGAAATACTTGAGGAGGACGCAGTTGTAAGCCTTGGTGTCGGCAGATGAGATTTTTGGGAAAGTACGATATTTCAATAAGACTTAGTATTTACTAGGGTTCAATGAAATCGAAGGATTGAGAAAGCAACATCCTATGGATGCTTCGGTGCCATGAACTAGATATTATTGTTACTACCATTACATAATACCATCTGCGATACGTTGTGGCACATGTACCCAGTGAAGCTCCTCTTCATCACTGTTTCTTGGGTCCAAAAAAAAAAATAAAAATAAAAATGAAATAAAAAAAATAAAAATGAAAGAAGTGATTTTGGGTCTTATTGAACGATACTCAATGTTTATATTATGTTTACGTCTTTTGATACCCGCTTCTGTGGTCAAAGGTACAGGTAATGCGTATGGCGGTATTAAATGATGGTAAGTGCTTGGCAGCCGAACATGTTGTGTTGATTGACGCGTTCATCACCGAGGCTCTCATGTTTATCTTTTTTTTTTTTTTTTTTTTTTTTTCGATGAATCGTAAGGCTTAACGAAAGTCAGAATCCGAGGTAGGAGGGGATTGATGTAGAGTTGTGTTTCAAAAAAAAAAAAAAAAAAAAAAAAAAAAAAAAAAAAAAAAAAAAAACTGATTGTGACAAGATAAGGACAGCTCTGAGAGAGAGGATTCAACAAGCTTAGAGCCTTGCATGGTGACATCAGTATCAAACACCCTTGAATTGGAAAACGGACGCCCAAGCATGGTTTTGGATGATGGAAAAACTTCAACGTGAGACAGATAAACTGGAAGACGAGTATACCAAGATGGCTGCAGGTAATACTTCCCTAATTTCAAAGGCAAAGCATTCTACTTGCAGTGTTTCTGTATAACATCTACTCGCAAGCACAAATCGCACATACGAATAGCAAATAAAATATAAAAAATAAAAAATCTCACAAAGTGGTACAATATCCATTGACTTTTTTTTTTTTTTTTTTTTTTTTTATAACAGAGAGAAGGGAGACGATGCTATCCATCCAGTCTTTACAGAAATTAGAGGCATAAAGATTCCTGATTTGGGGCAAAGTTCAAATTCGTTCGATGGTTTCCAAAACGGAATACACGTCAAGCAAGCACCAAGCATCAATAGCTAGATAATTCATACACAAAAAAAAAATAAAAATAAAAATAAAAAATAAAAATAAAAAATAAAAATAAAAAATAAAAATAAAAATTATTATAAATAAATAAAATACAAAGAATAAAATATGTAGATAAATATAAAATCCATCTGTAGTGTCAAGGATTACTTTACCTGCATATAATTCCTGCTCTTCCTTCAATGGACGTTGCTCCCAGTGGCTGATTCGACATGTCTTATCTAACTGATATCCACACAATCCCTTCAACATGCCTGAGAGTCCTCCCGGAATGCAATTCATGCCTTGCTCTGCAGGGTATAACGCCCATTTCTCATACTCTGTAACTTCTCCTCCTCTCCTTACTTCTCTTCCTTGTTCATCATATTGTTCTCGTTCTGGTCCTGGATTCTCTTCTAGCTTGCTATGGGTTACTGTTGTTGATGAGGATGGTAGAGAACATGAAGACATTGTAGGCGATCCAGGCATTGATGTTGACGCTGAGCGTGAGGAGAATTCTTCTGCCTCTGTTGTTGTTGTCCCTGGTGTTTGAGAGGAAGCACTTTTCAAATGGCCAACATTGCTATTGATTACGTTACCATGCTTTCTGATGCCGAAGAGGCTGCTCATGCTTCTGTCACTGCCGCCACTTCTGTTGCCATTGCCATGGATGCTGCTATTGACACTATTGCTGTCGCTGGAATCACCATTGCTATTGCTGTTGCTGCCAGCATCGCCATTGCTATTAGAGGAGCTCTTAATCCAGACATGCTTGAGATCGAGAAAGTTACGAGGGCGAAAATGCTCCTGATGTAGGCTTGGGAATGTCTCAATCAATAGTTCATGATCACCGTCCCAGTCGTATGCTTTGGTGAGTAACAGTAAACAATGGTAGCAATCAGATGGACCAGTATATATATGTATATATATACATCATATGTGAAAAAAAAAAAAAAAAAAAAAAAAAAAAAAAGAGGATCGCAGCCCAGCGCCAATAATTAGGAAATCAAGTGCATTTTCAAATGATACATCGATAATCACTACAAGAATTACTCGGGAAACATTTTCTTTTTTTCTTTCTTTCTTTTTTTTCTTTTCTTTCTTGGATATCACGCAAGCGCAAGCATTTACCTAATTTGAGGGTTTTAGGATTGTTGAAGAACTCGCCTATGACCTGCACAAGTTGCTCTCCGAAATCAGGACTATTCAAGAATGCAACAGTGTCGACAATGTAGACTGTCGAATCCGCATTACAGGCCAGCTGCATAATCGCAGTCCGCGTCCCTGGTCGAAGCCCCCGATATTGCTTCACATTGGGAAGCCATTCAGTGTCCATGCCAACAATAGTGGAATTCTTGAGTGAAAATGCCAACTCTCCAAGCTGCTCATCCGAATCTACCATGATGATCTGAACATCACTGGGTAGCTTATAGAAAGGATAGGGCCGTTTCTGAAGCACAGGTTGGGCTGGAAAAGAAGGAGGTGGTGGAAGGGTAGAAGGAGTACTCAAAGTTCGCAACGTTGGAACATGCGAATCCTTTGTCGTTTTGATCCCTTTGTTGGTATTCATGCTTCCCGAAGCGGCAAAGTTAGATCTGGATGACCATGAGGGGTCAGACCCAGAATCTTCATCATCATTTTCTAAATATTCGAAAATCACCACAGAAGATTCACGGAATAGCCCACGCTTGTAAAGCTGACGAGCAAGAGACCATCCATATGTTTCTCCTTCGCCGTCTTTGATGGGCTTCCGCAGGCTGGCTCTCATCTTCAAGATATCCAGCACAGCAAACACCTGCAACAAATTATTCCCGCCCGGAATTTCATCTAGTAATTTGCCGCGATGTCTCTGCTGAATTAACCCCGGTTCTTCTTCCTCTTCTTCCTCTTTTTCCTCTTCTTCTGCTTTTGCTTCCCGGGCATTCTCCACTACCAGGGTTTCCACCGGTTCGATATTATCCACGCGATGTTCCTTTTCCAGTATTTTTTCCTTCACTGTTGTATCTCCTTTATCTGCCTCTGTTCCATCATCCTTCTTTGTCTGATCATGCTGTGAGGATACTCTTCTTGTAGAACATAGGTTGCTGTTACCCACATCTAGTAAATCATGCATGTCTGGAGAGGAATCCTCCTCCTCCTGCTTTTCGAATGTTTGCTCTTGTTCATTAACATATTTCCTCGTCTCTTCCAATTTCATCAAGTCAACTTTGTCGGCTTTGCTTTCATTCATGCCAAATTCGTTGTCGTCGGTTAATAGATCCAATTTTTTATTATTCTTGTCGACATCCCTGAAGGGAGGTAATAGGCTTGGTACAGAGGCGGAGCTAGGTGATTTTACCGGTCTCGTCGTATCAAAGTCTGTCAAACTAATCAGATCCTTTACAACAGGCTTTAGCACAGCAACTTGAAGTAAACTAGGTGATGGTGCAATCAGATCATCGTCAAGGAGACTGGTGTTGGATGAAGATCCTGTTTGCTGCGGTTGGATAGATCGTAACTGGAGAGTAGAGGGAATGGTTCCTGCTGTGTCGAGTCTATCGTCGTCTAGTATGATCAAGTCTATTTCCGGTCCTATCAGGTCTATTTCTGGATGGTGGGGGTACGAGGATGGGATGGGATCGTCGTCATCCAGAAGAAATCCAGGTGCCATCGCGGTAGAAGCAAATGACTGTGAGGATGTTTTGGAGTGTGATGTAGAACCAGTAACAGTAACTGTTGTTGATTTAACAGCCATGGCCCATTCTTCTGCATGATCATGATACCATTCAAGGAATTGTTGTAGAACTAGGACGAAGAATTCGGAAACAGCGAGCTCAAAGACCGGGTCCAGATTTTTGAATCCTGCTACAGTTCCGACAGTGATGAGGGCGTTGACGATGAACATGACAGGGTCAGGATGAGTCTGGAGGGCCGTGGCCATGGTTTCCGAGATGATGCCAACACTGCCTCGTTCCTGACCACGTCTGAAGGTTTCAAGATCCTTGTAGGCTGTGAGCAAATTTTGCCCAAGTAGAAATGCATTGTTGCTTGCAATAGCCTGTGCTATGACTAGAGGGGACAATACAGAGCCTTTTAGATCATTTTTGGAGAACACCTGAACAAACTCAAAGATCACTCTTTGTTTTTCCTTAGGACCTTACCTTCGGATGATAGTTGAGCTGCCGGTCTCTTTGAACCTCCCCTGACACCATGACGTTTTTCATCTGGCAACGACCTAGTTGATGTTGTTGATGAGGATGGATAGGTATCATTCAAGTGTGCAAGAAACTGTCCAAATCCGTAGTGTTGCTGCGGCTGCGGCTGTTGCTGCAAATGTTTCGTCTGAGGATTTGGGACAAAAGGTCTAGCGTTACCACTCAAAGTACTTTTGGAATGTGTCATTACTACAGAGGATCGAGGAGTCATGAGCTCATTCCTGAGCTGGAGTTGTAATTGATTGGGCAAATGAAGAAAAAGGGATCTGATAAAAGTGAAAAAGGATGAATGGACGAATGTATGAATTGTGGCAATTAAGACAATGTTAAACACAGAAAAGAAGAGGAAAAGAGAGAGAGAGAGAGAAAGAGGGAGCAAATAAAAATCAATTGGTCATACACATATCCCTCTTCCACAATGATAATCCACACACACATTCTCTCTTTCTTTTTATCTCCTTTATACTCCTTTAACGCCCCTACAACGTGCCTTTTGTGTATTTGTTTAGTAGAATACATGTGCACAGCAGAAACCAATGAACTCGTGCCTTTCTGAATATCACAACACATTTTATTCTCTACAACGGCTCTCCTTCCATTGGATTTCTTTTATTTCAGGGACTCTTTTACACCACCGCACAGACAATTTTTTTCTTTCTTTCAATATAAAAAAAAGCATGCATGTATAATTGTGTAATTGAAACATGGACTACATATGCAGACTAACCAAATGCTTACAGCTCTATTCATCCTCCTCTTCCTCTTCCTCTTCCTCATCATCGTCGCCATCCTCTTCTTCTTCTTCTTCTTCATCATCATCATTATCTTCTTCTTCATCCTCATCCTCATCATCCTCAGCATCATTACTTGTTGCAAAGTGTTCTGCAAAGTCATAAGGCGCATCTTCATCCTCCTCTTCCTCTTCCTCCACCTCATCCTCCGGTTCCTTGGCAGTCTTCTTGGATACCATTGTCTTACTCTTCTTGGACGCTGGTGATCCCTCTGTTGACGCTGCTGCTGCTGCTGCCTTACGCTTAGCAGCCTTTGAAAGAACACCTTCTGTTACTGTATTATTCTTTGCTCTTGCTGTTCCCTCTGCCTTTGTCTTTTTACTATTATCGTTATTGCTATTGCTATTGTTGTTATTGTTATTATTCTTGGCCTTGTTAGCTTTACGAGCCTTCTCAGCCGCTTTCCTACGAGCCTCCTTTGCCTTCTCCTTTTCTTCCTGTGCTTTCAATTTTTGATCCGCAATCTGTTGAAGAATTTGTTCCTTGAATGGAAAGTTGTTGGGAATGCCTGGATCCTTCTTACTCTCTAGAAGTAAAAAAAGTCATGAGAAATTAGAATTACTTTTTTTTTTTTTTTTTCCTCAAGGGCCAAAGAAAAGTAACACAGCCAATATGCTAGTACTTTTCAATCGTATCATTCACACTGAAGAAGAAGAAAAAAAAAAAAAAAAAAAAAAAAGAACAAAATCATAAAAAAAAAAAAAAGACCTACTGTGTGAGGCTCTTGGATTTTTCTTGGCTTCCTTGCGTATCTTGCGATGGTGATCTTTAACGCGCTTCTCAATCTTGTACCTGTGATTAGCAGGTACTCGTTTTGACGTGATCTCTGCAGAGTAAAGAAATAACAGTAGTAGTTATAATAATATTATTATTAATGAAAGGTTGAGTTTTTTAGTGTAAAGCCCGAATAAAAAAAATCATAATGAAAATAAAAGCTCATATAGGTTCTCGAGATAGAAAGAAAGAAAGAAAAAAAAAATAAAAAAAAAAGTTCTTTATCTCTATGATGCAAGCCCATTATGCTCATTTGAACTTACTCCTACGGACCATGATGAATATATGTGTATTAGAAAGGTAAAAAAATGTGAATGGAGCAATGCCAAAGGGTTGGGTTGGTTAGGGAGTAAGAAAAGAGGAATGCTGCAATGCATGTCTTTTGTTGACTGACAAAAAAAAAAAAAATGCAAATAAGCAAACATGAGACTGCTTCCAGGAATCTTTGATCAAAATGAAGTACACGTGATGTTTTTTTATTTTTATTTTTTTATTTTACAAAATATCAAATTAGCAATTTACAATTATTATCAAGTTAACTCATACTGAAACCCAGTCTCTTGGTGCTTTCAGGACCTCCATCAATTTACTATGTGCCTGAACATCAGGTTCATGCATATACTCCCACCGGGCTGTCAATGGCATCGACATCATGATACTCTCAATCCGAGCACCCGGAGTCAACAAACCAAACTTGGTTCCACGATCGTATACAAGGTTGAATTCAACATATCGACCCCGTCGTACCTGTTGCCATTGCTTATCCTCGTCTGTGAAAGTCATGTTCTTACGCTTCTCCACAATGGGCACATACTGGTCCAAGAAGGCCTTACCACAGGTCTTCACAAACGCAAATAGCTCATCTGGTGACTTGTCATCTAGATCATCAAAAAAGATGCCGCCAACACCTCGTCGCTCTCCACGATGTTGGATATGGAAGTAATCATCACACCACTTCTTAAAGTCCTTGTAGTACCGTGGATCGTGCTTGTCACAGGCTTGTTTGATGACTTTGTGGAAATGGACTGCGTCCTCTTCATAGAGGATCGTGGGTGTCAAATCACATCCACCCCCAAACCACCAAGAGATCGGCTCATCTCCATCTGTGCCGCCAAGCTCAAAGTATCGGTAGTTGAAGTGAACGGTTGGTGCGTTGGGATTATGTGGGTGGATCACACAGGAGATGCCTGTGGCGAAAAAGGGGAGGGGCTCATCGGTCTTACTAATGTTAGGGTGCTGCGCTCGCATCTGTGCTACTGCTGCAGGTGGGAGCATTCCATAAACGACTGATACGCCCACGCCGGCCTTTTCAAACACCTCTCCATCCTGTAACACCATGGAGATGCCATCCCCTCCCTCTGCACGTGTCCAACGGTCGACCTTGAATTTGGCCTGACCATCTACTTTTTCGAGTCCTGCAGTGATCTCTTGTTGTATCTGTTTGACAAACTCTTCCATTCGAAGACGCATGGGTGAGTCTTCGGTCAAGCCCTCTAGTTTCTAGAGGTATTGATCGAAAGGAAAAAAAAAAAATTAGGTTTTAATTTTTTCTTTTGCCGCTCATTGGGCTGTTTGCTTCTCTTCTTTCCACGCTACACAAAGTAATAATAATAAAATAAAATAAAAACAATTGTCCTTACACGTTTGCTATCGGCTTGAGCTGTCATGGTAGGCGATTTTGTTATGGGTTGTTTCGGTGCTTCACATTCGACCTTTGGCTATAAACATTTTTTTTTTTTTAAAAGTGTTTTTGTATTTGTGTGTTGTATTTACAGATATTTACAGATATTTACAAAAGAATGTTTTTTTTTTTTTTTTTTTTTTTTTTAAGGAATATCGGGTTTAGAGATAGAGATGGAGTAAATAATCTACTTCTTGTTCAGTCGAGATCAAATGTGTGGAATGCACGTGCAGGAGGTGCAGATCGCTTACAGCAGTTGATGCCTGACTCCAGTAGGCTGCAGCGGCTGCACCAGCACCAAGGGTGGTAAATGCGGCGATGGATGAAGGGGAGCGTATCGAGGCAGTCCGTGCAATAGAAGTATATGTGCGTGTATTAAATCGCGACCATTGTCTATTGAATGTATATATATTTAAAAAAATAAAAAAATAAAATAAAAAAAAAGATGTGTAGAAGAATAAGTATCCAGAAATGGATCAGCTGACATCGGAGCTCCGGTTTCGGCTTCGACTTCGGCTTCAGCTTCGACTTCGGATTTGATATCAGTTCCGGATTTAACTTTGGAATCAATAACGGCACAGATCTTGGCTTCAAGATCGGCTATGAATAAATAATAAAGTAAATAAATATTTCACTTACGATCCACAGGTCGAGAGTTGTGCTAAGAAAAGAAAAAGGACAATGAAAGAATTGATTTGGAATATTTGTTAGCTCGGTCTAGTGGATAGGGAAGAGAAAACTAGAGGAACTTTACTTACCAGCCTTTGTTAGTGTGCGTGTTGATGTCCGTGCGAGGTATGCCATGAATGAGAATGTGGAAATGAATGCAAATGAAGAGAGATTACAGAAGGAGTTTTTATTTTTATTTTTTTTGGGCTGAAAAGGTACAAGATTTAAGAAAGAAGAGGAATGAGAAAGAAGGGAAGAAGGGTCTTTTTATGAAGGAAGAGGAAAAAGTAACGCTTTGTGTTGAGTAGAGGGGCCAAGGAGAGGAATGGCCTGGCCCTGGACAAAAAAAGAGATTGGAGAAGAAGGCGAGGGAATGTGCCCAAACTTGGATCAGCTCCGATGCTTCGATGCTGGGTAAGGAAACACGAAGCCGAGAACTGTTTCACTTTATCGTCCTGCCTGCTATTCACTTTTGTATTTATTTTATTTAAATGTGTAAATATATAAATTATTTAGTCAACAACATGTGCATGTATATAAATGTATCCTACGCCTCCTCACTTTAAATTCATCCACTGACATTTAAACATTTTCCGGTTGTGCATCTTATGCATATTTGGAGTAAACAAACCCACTCACACATTCCCACAGTCCTACCACGCACATTTTTTTTCTAATGTGCACACGGTCCTTCGTCAAAGGGAGAAAGCCACTGTCCATCTGACCTACATTTGTTCTTACTAATTCTTTTTTTTTTTTTTTTCCTCCACTCCGCCTTGGCACCAACACTATCTGAAGAAAGCTTCAGCCTGCATTCCAGGGCGATTTCTATATAGCGGGCTTCTCCTTCAGCCTCCTCCAATGAATTTCAGAATGCTTGCTCCGAGGGATGCTGCACCTATCAGCTCAGCAGTTTCCTCACTGGCCCAACTCCAATATCACACAGGCAAACCCCCTCCGCCCCCTCTCTCTTTTTCGCCTTGGTCCAAAGATTTCCTTATTTATTAGACTCTTCCATGTTATCAAGCTTGATGACAATGAGTCAAACCTCACATACGATGCTCGCATTAACTACTTGAAATGATTCAATGACAATAACTTCGGCTCTCCCAGTGGTCAAAAACAAGACAGTGAAAGCTACATTCATTGGTATTGTATTGATTCATGCTCTCTCTCTCTCCCAGGTATTGTAAAGAAGGATCTGTCGAGATCCTTGATCTCTCTCTCAGCTGAAAAAAAGCTTAATCACAACACGACACGACACGACACGATCGGACATGACGCGGTCTCGCTTCACATTTCTCCATCTTGTTGTTGCTGTTGTTGCTGTTGAGATAAGAGATTTGTACATGTATATACAATACATGTACTAAATGATCTGATATTGAATACAACTGTTCAGATCTTCTGCATCCTTCATATGAACGTAAGATGGGAAGTTTATTTTATTTTTGTTTTTTTGGCCTTATTGAGAGTTAATCAAATCAAAAAAGCATCTCTAAATTTTAGGTTGGAGCAGATGTTGGCACTGGTCTTATTAAGAGAGATGGATCTCCGTCTTGGATTGGATCTAGTACCTTCAAAAAAAAAAAAAAAAACAATAAAAACTCTTCTCTTTCAATCCTCTTAAATAGAAAGCTTCGTATAAGAGCTTGACAGGAGCTGATTGACTGGCAACGCCGGTTAGTAGGTAGTCGAGGAGTAAACTCTCGTAGATTTTTCACTGTTCCAAAGACACTTTGTAATAAGTGACTGCTGGCATTTGCCCGCTAAAGAGGTACCAAGAGCACATGTTCAACTTTTCTTTTTTGATTCACTAACAGTCAAGGCATTAGTCTTTAATTGAATTCATGACTTAGAATAAAAATAAAAATAAATCTTGCCACAGTGTACCACAATCATCATTACAGCAAGCACATTATCCACTGAAAAAGAAATCACGCTGATCAACAAGAGAATCTTAATCCTTTCACCTAACCTGAAAAAAAGAAAAAAAAATAAAAGTAAAAAAAAAAAAAAATAAAGCCTCAATTGAACGCCCTCTTATCTCATTCATAATATTAAAGATATGGCTCAGGAATCACCCAAGGAATGGACCCTCGAGGAAGAGAACGAGCTACGTCTTGAGATTGACTTTGGCATTAAAGTCAAGCTCCGTGTAAGAAAAAAAAAAAGAGAGACATATTTGATGATGGAGAAAGAAAACTCCTAACTTGATAAAAAAAAATTGACTTTTTTTTTTTTTTTTTTTTTCCATTCTCTGCTTTAGCTTCTCAATGGAACAGCTGAAATATTCGGAACAGAACTTGCACAGAATATCGACTATGAATTCTCGGGACGAAAAATTGCTGTCTTTACGTGGCATGGATGCAAACTTCAGATCCAAGGCAACTGTAGTGTTGAATATATTGCAAATGAGACCCCAATGATGGCCTACCTAAACATGCACATGGCTCTGGAGCAGCGTCGTGTTCTTGCCACACAAAACAATGGACAAGGACCAAAGGTAATTTGTCGCTCAAAAGTTTTTGTTTTCATGTAATAGCTTTAAATCAAGGTCGCTTACATTAGATATGTGGTTATCTTCTTTTCTTAAAACAATATATATATATATATATATATATATATGCAGGTGCTGATTGTAGGACCAAATGATGTAGGAAAAACATCACTATCAAAGATGCTGCTCAGCTATGCATTGAGACAGGATCGCCAACCAATCTATGTTGATCTGGACTGTAGTGAAGGATCGATCACCATGCCTGGCTGTTTGACTGCTACCCCATTAACAGAGATGATTGATGTGGAGGAAGGCTTTGGCTCCTCTGCCACCTCTGCTCCAACCGCTGGTTCTGCAGTGATGCCTCTAGCCTATTACTATGGACTTCCATCGCCCAAGGATAATGTCAAGTTGTATAACATGTTAATGGCACGACTTGCTCAATCAGTAGACAAAAGGCTTCAAGAGGATCAAGCAGCACGGAGATCAGGCATTGTGATCGATACAAATGGACTGATCGATGCGACTGGATACGAAATCATTGCGAACTGCATCAAAGCATTTTCAGGTAAGTTATGATATTGATATTTATCATGGTATTTGTGTGCCCTTGGCTTCTTTACTCCATTTTCTTCCTCCAACATGTCATATCTCTCACATTCCCCTGGCTCATTTAATGCTATCTTCAAATAGTCGATGTGATCATTGTCCTTGGTCATGAAAGGCTCTACAGTGATATGAGAAGACTCCATCAAAAGACAGATGTCTCTGTCATCAAGCTGACCAAATCTGGAGGTGTTGTCGAGCGCGATCATGCTTTCCGACGTCAGACACAGAACCAAAAGATACGCGAGTATTTCTATGGCACTTCCAAGTCAGAACTGGCTCCTTACTCAACCATGGTCAATTATCATGATATCGAGATCTTGCAAGTCGGAGAAGGATCTTTGGCTCCATCCTCTGCTCTTCCTATTGGTGAGGATCGTAAAGTGTCAGAGACACATGTGGTCAAGGTCGAACCAGGTGAACATCTCTTGCACTCCATCCTCGCTGTTTCCAATGCGGACAAAATGAAGGAACAAGAAATCTTGGAAACAAACATTGCAGGGTTTGTCTATATCTCTGAGATTCATGATGTCAGGAAAAAGATGACCGTGCTCTCGCCTTGTCCTGGCAGAATACCCAAGAGGTTTTGGTGGCTCGGGAGCCTCAAGTGGGCTGAAGATTAGAATAGAAAGCAGAGTATAGCTAATATTTTTTATTATAAAAAAAAAAAAAAAAAGTTTAAAAAAATGTCATGTCATGTCGTATGTCACCAACTTTGATTTAATATCTGCTTGAGCATGGTATTGCCAGAGTCTCAACGGATACTACTAGAGCATTGCCAGAATCTGAAGTATCTTCACAGAAACAAGTATAGTGGATGTTACAGAGTCTTCGCTTCAGTAGCGAGTTCGCTACATTCACAACAACCCCTCAAAAGAAAAGAGAGCAATAGTAAATAAAAAAGCACTAGCCGGTACTTTTGACAGCTTCCGCAACTGCATTGGGCCCAATGCCCAGCGCTGAAATCAGCTTTCTCGGCTGCATTGAAACTATCTAAATACTGAATTGCATTATGCCAGCCGACGCAGCTTGTTTCATCCTATTGATTATATACGACGACTTGCAAGCTAACGATTTCCAGTACCGTCAGTGGAGTAAATAAGTGAATGAATGAAAAGTAATGCAAATAAAAAAAATAATAATAATAAAAATATAAAAGGTGGCGGTGTGGTTTGTAGAGACGAAAGTTTGAGCTGTTCGTGCTGTTCGTACTGTTAGTGCTGCTGGTGCTGCCTACAGTCAAGGAAATCCCTGTTTGTTACAATCAATAGGGGCGAAGCTCTTGACCTGCATCAAAACAAAAAGATGATCGGCATGGAATGTTTGTAAACACATATTATATTTATTTAACTTTTTTCCTTCCCCCAATCAGAGCCCAACTCAGAGCTTTTAGGCCGATGGTGAAAACAACAGTTTAATTAACGGAAAACTTTTATGAACACAGCACAGCGGCAGCGGTCTAAAATATAAAAAGGTCCTTACAACGTTACCCTCTCTCACTTTTGCTTTATTGTCTGCAAATCCACAAAGCATATACTCAAAAATGGCTATCAAGACTTATACCATCTACCCCTCCAACAAATACAATCTCCCACCTCCGCCATCAACCATTATACTTAATGGCTTTGATCTTCTCCAGCCTCCTGCACTGATTCAAAACCGCCGGTTCTTTCACCCCTCAACCAGGCCTTTTTCTGAAGTGATCGAGAGACTGACATCCTCTCTTGCTGAAGCGCTCGAGCTGTATCCACCAGTTACAGGAACGGTCCGTGCCGATGAAGAGAAGGATGAGGTCTACATCGCACTGGATCCTGCAAATATTCAAGGCACACCTTTTCTGATCGAAACAAAAGATACTCCATTTGCTGGCGATGCGGATGATATAGCTCCTCGAAATGATCAGATTCTTCCTCCACTTGCAAGTATACTTGCTGTGAAAGTAACCCAGGTAATATATATGAAAAAAAAAAAAAAAAAAAAAGGCCCATGCTTAGCTCTACATAGTATGTCATCTTGTCACTCAACCTTCAGCATGTTAATTTTTTCTATGGGAATTAGTTTTCCTGCGGAACCATAGCCGTAGCCTCCTCCATAAACCATCAAGTAGCTGATCTACGAGGCTTTCTCGATTTCCTTGAACTCTGGGCTCAAATTGCTCGAGGTGAAGCCATCGATTTTAAAGAGATCCCGAGTGATTGGTCTCGTAATCCCGGTCGATATTTCTCTGGCCTGGTCAAAGAACCAACAGCCGCAACCCTTCCTCCTCCTCCTCTATTCGAGGTTGTTCCTGTTCAGGAAGCCAAAGTTTGCCCGTTTCTCTTCCAGCCATCATTTGTTTCACGATGGAAATTCACCAAAAGCTCACTGGAACAATTAAAGAGCGATTTCTCACCCGCTTCCGGTGATATGTGGATCTCAACAGGTGATGCATTGGTTTCTCTTATTTGTGGTGTCATCACCCGTGCTCGCGAAAAGACAAACGTTGAAAGACTGGAGGGAAGATCTAGCTCTGAGTGCCAGAATGAGAAAGTATCGATGTCTGCTAATGGCCGAGATAGGGCTCCACAAAGAAACATGACAAAACAATACTTTGGGAACTTCAACACCTTATGGGGTGCAACCATGTCTCGCTCTGATCTACTCTCCCCGACTTGCGAGGCAGCTTCTCGTGTCGCTGTCGCCATTCGAACCGCCTTGAATGCTCAGCTTTCACCAGAAGCCATTGCCAACAAAATTGCATTTTTCGAAGACCCTAAAAACAGCAAGCTTCCCAATCGTATTATTTGGAAAGCTGATATGCCATTGACGAGCTGGTGCCAATTTGATCTGAAAGGTCCCAAGTTAGATTTTGGATGGGGAAAACCCTTTGATGCAACAGCCGGTAGTGGTGGGTTCTATCCACCTGGCTACGGCATCTTGATACAGGAGCATGATACAGGAGATATTTTTATTATGCTAGGCGTAGAGACAGCAGGTGCAGAGGAGTTGAAAGCTGACCCATTGTTGAACAAGTATGCAACGATGACCCCAGCTTAATGATCGTAGATCCTATAATTATATATATAAATAATAAGTAGCAATAAACTTTTTTTTTTTTTCTTTAATTTGTTCTTACCAACTTACCGATCCGCCCTGAGGATTCAACAAAACTCTGACTACTTCGCCCAAATCCTAGGTCACTCCTCTTTTTTCTCCATAATAAAATCAAATTCAGCTTACAACGCCCTGAATGTGGACCAGAGTTGGATGTGAAAGCACTTCCATCAAACAGAGTCCCTGAAGATTTAATATATGGCCACGTGGACCTGCTCAAAGATGAGCTCATGCATCCCTTTTCCTTTTTATTTTATTTTATTTTTTTTTCCTTGGATGACATATTGCGCTCTTCCTGAACGCTGTACACGAATAGTAATATTACTGCACATGTTCACAAGTAATGTCTAACAAATATAACCCAAGTTTTCAGCCCGGAGAAAGACTTGAAAGAAAAAAAAATGTCAAACTTTACTTTGTTCTTGGCGTCGCTTCACTCCATTCAATACACAGCATGCTCATCCGAAAGAAGTAAAAGAGCCCTACTATGAGTGTATCCAATTCCAAGCATATGGGATTAGGCTTTTGCAGATTAATTAAAATAAAAAATTGTGAACACAGCACCACAGCGGCTTAAAATATAAAAAAGTCTTCGCTATATTTCTCCGCTTGCTCAACTCCCGATTCCTCCTCACTTTGCTTTATTGTCTGCAAATTCATAAAGTATATACTCAAAAATGGCTATCCAGACTTACTCCATCTACCCCTCCAACAAATATAATCGTCCACCTCCGCCATCAACTCTTGTCCTTCATGGTCTTGATCTTCTCCAGCCTGCAATAATCCAAAACCATCGGTTCTTTCACCCCTCAACCAGCTCTTTTTCTGAAGTGATCGAGAAACTGACATCCTCTCTTGCTGAAGCGCTCGAGCTGTATCCACCAGTTACAGGAACGGTCCGTACCAATGAAGAGAAGGATGAGGTCTACATCGCATTGGATCCTGCAAATATCCAGGGTACACCTTTTCTGGTCGAAACAAAAGATACTCCATTTATTGGCAATACGGATGATATAGCTTCTCGAAATGACCAATTTCTCCCTCCATTTGCAAGTATACTTGCTGTGAAAGTGACTCAGGTATAATATATAAAGGGAAAAAAAAAAAAAAAAAAAAAAAAAGCTCCATGCTCTGCTCTACATGGTACACTCAATGTAATCCTGCCACTCAACCTTTTAGCATGTTAATTTTTTCTGTGGAAATTAGTTTTCCTGCGGAACCATAGCCGTAGCCTCCTCCATAAACCATCAAGTAGCTGATCTACGAGGCTTTCTCGATTTCCTTGAACTCTGGGCTCAAATTGCTCGAGGTGAAGCCATCGATTTTAAAGAGATCCCGAGTGATTGGTCTCGTAATCCCGGTCGATATTTCTCTGGCCTGGTCAAAGAACCAACAGCCGCAACCCTTCCTCCTCCTCCTCCACTCGAGGTTGTTCCTGCCCAAGAGGCCGGAATATCCCAGTATCTCTTGCAACCATCGTTTGCTTCACGATGGAAATTCACCAAAAGCTCACTGGAACAATTAAAGAGCGATCTCTCACCCGCTTCCGGTGATATGTGGATCTCAACAGGTGATGCAATGGCTTCTCTTATTTCTAGCGTCATCACGCGCGCTCGCGAAAAGACAAACGTTGAAAGACTGGGAGGAAGATCTAGCTCCGAGTCTCAGATCGAGCATTTAGCAATGGTAGCTAATGTTCGAGAAAGAGCTCCACAAAAAAACATGTCAAAACAATACTTTGGGAACTTCTATATCTTATGGGATGTTACCATTCCTCGCTCCGACCTACTCTCCCCGACTTGCGAGGCAGCTTCTCGTATCGCTGTCGCCATTCGAACTGCTTTGAACGTTCAACTCTCATCAGAAGCCATTGCCAATGAAATTGCATTTTTCGAAGACCCCAGAAACACTAAGCTTCCCAATCGTATTGTTTGGAAATCTGATATAGTTTTGACGAACTGGTGTCAATTTGATTTGAAAGGCCCCAAGTTAGATTTTGGATGGGGGGAAGCTTTTGATGCAGCAGGTGGTACTGGAGGGTTCTATCCACCTGGATACAGCATGTTGATACAAGATAAGAATTCAGGAGATATTTTTGCTATGTTGGCAGTGGAAATAGCAGGTGCAGAGGAGTTGAAAGCTGATCCATTACTGAACAAGTATGCAACGATGCTCCCAGCTTAATGATCATCTCTCTCATAATAAATAGCATGCTTACACAGATTGTATATAGTACAAGTTTTTGTTTTTACAGGCCCCAGTACCTCCATCACAAGCCCATATGACCACTTGCTTCATATCTTATCCCTCAAAGCATTATAGAGGGTTCATGACTAGATTGGCTCCGTAGCCGCGGGTATAGTTTTATCAAGCACTGTATCCAAACAAAGTTTGTCCACGCTTCTTGATCTAAAACTTGGACCTTGGCTTTCTTCCCAGACATAGAGCGTAGCACTTATTGCAGTGGAAGTAGTAACAACAGTTGGATCACAGCCCTTTACAACCTTTCTCTCTTATATCCTCGAAGCTGAATCCTTAATGATGCAAGCGTCAACCATATTCTGTGGAAAACCGAGCTGAGAATCAAACTGTTCGTTTTGAGTGTCCCGTCTCCTCTTAAACTCACAAAGGATTTTCTAGCGGTGACCTTTTACACCCTTTTTTTTCTCAACATGAACATGTCTTATTGGAATAGACTAATTGCTCTGTCTTTCATAATCTGTGAATATTTTGCCCTTTTATCATTCTAATTATAATAAATAAATTGAGTTGGTACTTTCCACAGTTTCCGCAGGGGTATTGAATCCGAATGCTGCAGTCAATTTCCGCCGTTGCATTAAACCCAATGCCCAATGCCGAAATCAGCTTTCGCAGTTCATCTAGACAATCTAAATGCTGAATTAAATAATGCCAGCCGACACAGTCTGTCTTGTCCTCTTAATCGCAAATCTATCCAATTCCATCGCCTTTCACCAAATAGAGGAGAGTTGAATGGAGTGAATGGAGTAAGTGGAGTGAATGGAGAATGAGCGGGTGAGTGAGTGAGTGGGAGAGTGAGTGGCTTGCAGAGACAGAATGTTGACTCTAAATTGTCCACGATCAGTATGATCATGAACAGATAGGTCTGAACACAGCTTCTGCATATCAATTGGATGCAAGCTCTTGATCTGCTTTGGAAAGAAATATATTCATGGTCAATACAGATAATATAAATATACAATGATTCTCGCACCATGAAAGTGACACAGGAAAAATTGGTTATGACGCTAAAGATCTACTCGCAGATTTCCCGCAGCAGAGGAATTTAAATAAAAAGGCCTTCACTACTTTTTGCTTGACCAAATCTACCCTTGATCCATCCCACTGACTTTACTGTCTACTAATTCACAAGCATATTAAAGAAAAATAAAAATAAAAATAAAAAATGACTGTCAAGACTTATACCATCTACCCCACCACCAAATACAATCGCCCACCTCCACCATCAACCATTGCACTTCATGGTTTGGATTTCTCTCCTCCTATACAAATTCAAAACCGCCGGTTCTTTCATCCTCCAACCAGCTCTTTTTCTGATGTAATCGAGAAATTGAAATCTTCTCTTGCTGAAGCACTCGAGTTGTACCCGCCAGTTACAGGAACGGTCCGTACCAATGAAGAAAAGAACGAGATCTACATCGCATTGGATCCTGCAAATATCCAGGGTACACCTTTTCTGGTCGAAACAAAAGATGTTCCATTTGCTGGCGATACGGATGATATAGCTCCTCGAAATGATCAGGTTCTTCCTCCATTTGCAAATATATTTGCGGTGAAAGTAACTCAGGTAATATACAGGAAAGAAAAAAAAAATGGTCCCATGCTTAGCTCTACATTGTACACTTAATATCATCTCAACCTTCAGCATGTTAATTTTTTCTATGGAATATAGTTTTCATGCGGAACCATTGCGGTAGCCTCCTCCATAAACCATCAAGTAACTGATCTACGAGGCTTTCTTGATTTCCTTGAACTCTGGGCTCAAATTGCTCGAGGTGAAACCATCGATTTCAAGGAGATTCCGAATGATTGGTCCCATAATCCTGGCCAATATTTCTCTGGCCTGGTCAAGGAATCAACAGCAGCAACCCTGCCACCACCTCCTCCATTCGAGATTATTTCTGCTCAGGAGCCCGTACTACCTGCATTTTTCTCTCAACCATCATTTGCTTCACGATGGAAATTCACTAGAAGCTCTCTTGAACAGCTAAAGAGCGATTTCTCACCCACTTCTGGTGATCTGTGGATCTCAACAGGTGATGCATTGGCTTCTCTTATTTGTGGTGTCATCACCCGTGCTCGCGAAAAGACAAACGTTGAAAGACTGGAGGGAAGGTCTAGCTCCGAGTCTCAGCTCGAGCTAGTGGCAATGGCAGCTAATGGCCGAGAGAGGGCTCCACAGAGAAACATGTCAAAACAATACTTTGGGAACTTCAACACCTTATGGGGTACAACCATCTCTCGTCCTGATCTACTTTCCCCGACATTCGAGGCAGCTTCTCGTGTTGCTGTTGCCATTCGAACTGCTTTGAATGTTCAACTTTCACCAGAAGCCATTGCCAACAAAATTGCATTTTTCGAAGACCCTAAAAACAGCAAGCTACCCAATCGTATTGTTTGGAAAGGGGATATAATATTGACGAACTGGTGCCAATTTGACTTGAAAGGTCCCAAGTTAGATTTCGGATGGGGAAAACCTTTTGAATCGACAGCCGGTAGTGGTGGGCTCTATCCACCTGGATATAGCATCATGATACAGGAGAAGGATACAGGAGATATTTTTGTTATACTGGCAGTGGAAATAGCAGGTGCAGAGGAGTTGAAAGCTGATCCATTACTGAACAAGTACGCAGCGATGCTCCCAGCTTAATGATCATCTCTCTCATAATAAATAGTATGCTTGCACAGATTGTGTGTAGACTAATTTAGGTCTCAGTCTTTACTCGCCCCCAATAAGCGAATACATCAATTGTGTTGTCTTTCTCGCGAATGCATCCTCATACTCTTGTCTCTGCTACTTGTTGTGTTGCACTGCTGAGCTCTTACAACACCCTTGTGGCGCTTTTCTTTTACGATTTGATAAATTCCAACTACTTCGCCTAAATCCTCTGTTGCCTCCATTGTAAAAAAAAAAAAAAAAAAAAAAAACAAATTGCTCCGATCAGATTTCTCTGAACAAAATTACTGTTACACAGATTCCTCCCAAAGATTGTCTGCCCTAAGGTTGCACTTTGAAAATAGCACTGTGTGCTTGTGATACAGTCATGAATTTATAAAAAAAAAAAAAGGGTCCTGCAGAGCGTAAACAAAAAGGTAAACCACCAGATTTAGCGATTCAAAGGGCTACTTGGAGGAGAAAGGAATTTTTATTCTACACTATTTTTTTTTCATGACAAATAAAAGATTTGGAAGCGAGTGCATTTGGATATGGAAAGAATGCTTGCGGTTTGTAAAATGATGTACGGTATATATATAATATATATATACAGCTGGGGGCTAAGATATAGATATACCATTACATTGAAATTTATACCTTTCTGCGACCACATTTTGGGTGCTTCCTAAAAGACCTACGAATTTACATCTCCGCACCACGCCGGCTCTAATCAAATAGGAGGGAAACAGGCTCGAACGTTTGTGTACATACGGTACTGGGTGACAAATTTAACTTTTTCTTCCCAGCTGCCAGCCTTGAGTTAGAGCCCAAACTAAGAGTGCTTCCAAACGTTGCGTCCTATTTCCCAAAATACAAAAATGCACAATGTATAGATATAAATATTCATGTACATGTACATGGGTTTTATTTCTAAGTTTGTGGAGACTTGAAGATGACACTCGCATCTACAGTTGAAGGACATTGTATAAAAAGGTCTTCGCTATTTTGCTTGGCCAAATCAACCCTTGATCCATCGCACTTTTCTTTACTGTCTACTAATTATCCACAAAGTTATATACTCAAAAAAATGACTGTCAAGACTTATACCATCTTCCCCTCCAACAAATACAACCTCCCACCTCCACCATCGGTCATTGTACTTCATGGCTTGGATCTTATGAATCCACCCTCACAAATTCAAAACCGCCGGTTCTTTCACCCCTCAACCAGGCCTTTTTCTGAAGTGATCGAGAAACTGACATCCTCTCTTGCTGAAGCGCTCGAGCTGTATCCACCAGTTACAGGAACGGTCCGTACCAATGAAGGAAAGGATGAGATCTACATCGCACTGGATCCTGCAAATATCCAGGGTACACCTTTTCTGGTCGAAACAAAAGATACTCCGTTTGTCGGCGATACGGACGATGTATCTCCCCGAAATGACCAGATTCTCCTTCCATTAGCAAAGATTTTGATGGTGAAAGTAACTCAGGTAATGCTCTATGCTCCACTCAACATAGTATACTCAATGCCATCCTGCCACTCAATCTCACCATTATATATATATATATATATATATATATATATATATTTCCTCTGTCAAAAACAGTTTTCATGTGGAACCATAGCCGTAGCTTCCTCCATAAATCATGAAGTTACTGATTTACGCGGCTTTCTCGATTTCCTTGAACTTTGGGCTCAAATTGCTCGAGGCGAACCCATCGATTTTAAAGATATTCCAAATGATTGGTCTCATAATCCTGGTCAATATTTCTCTGGCCTGTTCAAGAATTCAACAGGAAAGACGCTTCCATCTCCTCCTCCTCCACTCAAGGTTGTTCCTGCTCAGGAGGCGGGAATATGTCCGTTTTTCTTCCAACCATCATTTGTTTCACGATGGAGATTCACCAAAAACACTCTTGAACAGCTAAAGAGCGACTTCTCACCCACTTCTGGTGATCTATGGATCTCAACAGGTGATGCATTATCTTCCCTTATTTCTGGTGTCATCACCCGTGCTCGCGAAAAGACAATCGTTGAAAGACTGGAGGGAAGGTCTAGCTCCGAGTCCCAGATCGAGCAAGTGGCGATGGCAGCTAATGGTCGAGAAAGAGCTCCTCAAGGAAACATGTCAAAACAATACTTTGGGAACTTCAACACCTTATGGAGTGCTGCTGTCTCTCGTCCTGATCTACTCTCCCCGACATTCGAGGCAGCTTCTCGTGTTGCTGTCGCCATTCGAACTGCCTTGAATGTTCAACTCTCAGCAGAAGCCATTGCCAACAAAATTGCATTTTTCGAAGACCCTAAAAACAGTAAGCTCCCTAATCGTATTGTCTGGGTCGCAGATATGGTATTGACGAGCTGGTGCCAATTTGACTTGAAGGGGCCGAAATTAGATTTTGGATGGGGAAAACCTTTTGCTGCAACAGCCGGTAATGGTGCATACTTTCCGCCTGGATACAGTGTCATGATACAGGAGAAGGATACAGGAGATATTTATGTTGTACTAGGCGTAGAAACAGCAGGTGCAGAAGAGCTGAAGGCTGACCAGTTACTAAACAAATATGCAACGATGCTCCCAGCTTAATAATAGTCCATCTCATCACATAATAAATAACAATAAATTTAGAATATGTATATATTATAAATCTTGTCTAAAGCTTTGTTCAAAATCTCCAGGAGGGAATATCGCCTGTTGGTTTTATCTCCTTTGAATAATATCCCCCTCACTATGTATGGCTCTATTAATGTACTCTTTTCCCCCTTTCGCAGTTATGCGCCATCTCCTTGTCAATGTCGTCGTTAAATACTGTTCATTGTCAAGCTCGAACCCCCATAATCTTGCATGTTGAGAAAAGAAAAAGAAAAAGAAAAGAAAAAGAAAGTCGCCGTCATTATATTCGTTGGTTGTTAGTGAACATAATGCTCAAGCCATAAGCTTAAACGGTTTTCAGGTCACTTTTCTTGTTTTTATCTTATGCCACGAAAACCCTCCCCTACCCCCCCCCCTTTTGAATAAAACCAAGACGCGTCTTTATATGTTTATATAAATTTACTAATTTATCGCTGCAAAATTAAATTATACTTATTCGTTATATTTTACAAAGCATTAAACGATCAAGGTTCGCTCATCTTTAACCAAGCTGAGCGTAGATAATGAAGATAAAATATAATCATAACAACCTCAGAGGCCCCAAGGAGATGGTGGGTTGTTTAAAAGAGTAACCGGTTATAGTAATAACAATAGCAATAATAAAAAATAAAAATAAAAAAAAATAAAAAAAAAAAAAAAGGCGGGATGATCCATTGCAAGACACTTTCTTATCATTCTTCATGTGATAAATAAAAAATGAAATGAAATACATAAATCGGGTGATAGGAGGTGGGCCCCATTTTGGACTAAAAGAGAAAAAGGTTTTTTTATAGCGTTCTACTAACGTGTTATAGATCATAAATGAACTGATAGCATGGGGACTGGGTAGGTGTGATACTCACGTCATCTTGCACCTTGCTCCTAGGGAGGAGGAACCCGGTCCATAATTGACACTAAAAAAATTAATCTGGTACATGTATCTTGCCCATAGTGACTGCTTCATATCACAAGCGTGACTCAAAATCACTCCGAAAGGTTTTTTTAATTTCCCAGGAACTTTGAGGAAGTCTTCTCCCCTTCTAGCATCTCTCCTCCTTCTTCTTGTTATATACCTGTTCCTCCACATTTTTTTTTTTTTTTTTATATTTCGAAAAAATAAACATGGACAGACTCACAGAAATCGCTTCCCACGCTCGCGACGCAGCCAATGTTCTCCAAACCCTTTCCACCCGTCAAAAATCCGCCTTCTTATTAGCGATCCATAAACATCTGACCTTGGCCAAATCTCAGATCCTGGCCAGCAATCGTTTAGATAAAGATCAAGCTCAGCCTCAAGTCGAAGCTGGGAAATTATCTGCTTCATTGTTCAAACGATTGGATTTGGAAGGACCCGGGAAATTCGAGACCATGTTGCAGGGAATCAAGGATATTGAACAATTAGAGGACCCTGTCAACAAGGTTCTCATGGCCTCTAAACTCGATACAGGATTAGAACTCTACAAGGTCTCCTGCCCTGTAGGTGTCCTCTTGGTCATCTTTGAGGCCAGACCCGAAGTCGTGGCGAATATTGCAGCTTTGGCCATCAAATCCGGAAACGCTGCCATCTTGAAAGGTGGTAAGGAGAGTTTCCATACCTGTGAAGCTGTCTCGAAAGCCATTCAAGAAGCCATGCAGGAAGTGGCTGCCACAATGGCGGCAGAGCCATCTAATAATAATGATCATCAGGGGGGAGGAGCCGATAACAGTGCCGCTAATTCTATCGCTGCTTTGAAGAATGCTATCCAAGTTGTGGAATCTAGAGAGGATATCGATGGCTTACTCAAACAGGACAAGTATATCGACCTGGTCATTCCTCGTGGCAGCAATGCTCTTGTAAAATACATTCAATGGAACACAAGGTAAAAAAGGAAAAGAAAAATAAAGAGTTGAGTCATTATTTTATTTATTTGTATCATCCAATAACTAATCGAACTTATGACCTCTCTCTCTCTCTCTCTCTCTCTCTTTTTCACTTCTTTTTTCAGAATCCCTGTTCTTGGACATGCTGATGGACTATGCTCAACTTATGTTGCAGAATCTGCCAAATTCGATCTTGCTCAAAAGGTGGTAGTGGATGCAAAGACATCCTATCCAGCTGCTTGTAACTCAACCGAGACTTTAATCGTCCATGCATCTCATCTCAAGGATTCATTCTTTCTCAACCTTGCAAAGACTCTGGTGGCTGACAACAACATTACTCTCAAATTGGATCAAGCTTCTTTGAAATCTCTCCAAAGAGAGCAAGGGGAGGAATCGTCATCATGGGTCAAAGATCATCAAGACAAGATTCAACCTGCTAATGAAGAAGAGGACTTTGATACTGAATTTTTGGATTTGACCTTGGCTGTCAAGACCGTCGAATCAGTGGAAGAAGCAATTCGACATATTAATGAACATGGATCGAAACATACAGATGCTATCTTGACAGAAGATGAATTAGAGGCGAAACGATTCATGGCAGGTGTTGATGCTGCAGGCGTCTATTGGAATGCCAGTACACGATTTGCAGATGGATTCCGATATGGTTTCGGGGCTGAAGTAGGGGTGAGCACAAACAAGACACATGCTCGAGGACCCGTAGGTTTAGAAGGTCTCGTCATTTATAAATATCAGTTGCATGGCCATGGACAGGCTTCCAAGGATTATGGAACGGAACAAGAGGGCAAACGTGTTTATTTGCATGAGCGTATCGATGTCAAGGCACGAGGAGAGAACCTGACTGACTTCTTGGCCAACAAGCGTCAGCGATTGGACTAATTAAAAAAAATAACTCTTTCTCGCATCTATTCATTATATATACATGCATAATAATAAAGCACACTCTCCTTCCTCTCTCTCACGAAACAAAATACTAAGAAGAAAAAACTCAACCCAGATATTTTTTTTAAAAAAAAGTTTATTGAGACAAAAAAAAAAAAAAAAAAAAAAAAATTGACAGTAATGTTGTTGCTTAATCTGATGCTGTTGTACAAGTTAAAAGTAACAATGAGTGGTACAATAATGATGAAAAAACTAAGCGATATAAATTAGGAGTTATTATAGTAGGGATGCATGTTATTAGTGGGTAGTGGGTAATAGTGGGTAATAGTGGGTGATAATGGAAAATGATGAGTAACAAATAATTAGTAGATACGCATTAAAAAACAAAAACAAGAAATTAATGAAATAAAAATAAAAATAAAAGATAAAAGATAAAAACAAGGATCCGATTACGAAGGGCGTGAACCTCCACCTCGCAAGAGCGCAAGTGCGCTGCCAAGTTGAGCACTGAGGCTATCCCTTGAGGAGGAAGAAGATAAGGAGGTGGAGGAAGAAGAGGTGATGGAAGAGGAGGATAAAAAGCTTGCTGTACTCGAGGTAGATGATGGGCGCGATGCTCGTGACGCACGACGTTTTGAACGCTTCGCATGGGCTGCAGCTGTGGCGGCGGCCTGTCTCTTGGCTCGGAGCTTGACTTCCTCATTCTGCAGATGAGCTTCACGGAAATGTCCAAAGAACTCATGGAGCAAAGCAAAAATCTCCTCTGGTGGTTTTCGTGGGCCTGTCTGTAATCGGTTGAACATTTGTTGTTGTTGCAGTTCCGATGACCGAGTCAACCCCATGTTTGTACCAAGAACATCGGCCGCAGTCTTCTCACCAAAGTAGATTGCAGTCGCTTTCCAGCTGAGATCAAATGTCTCCACCAGATCAACCAAATCCTCATATTTGGTCTGGGCTTCATCAAGGAATGCGTCCAACTTGGCTACCACCTGCTTGGCCATCAGCAATTCCTCTCGTCGTTGTTTATCTTCTTCGTCGTCTTCCTGACCTTGATAATCATCTTCTTCGTCTTCCTGTTCTTGATCCTTGTTTTGGTCATCCTTCTCGTCGTCGTCACAAGTACTCTGCTCTTCACTACTTTCATCCTCACTATCATCAAGAGGTCCTCTTCCTTGATGCCTTTGACTAGGAGTCATAACAGTGGCCTTTGCTCTAGCCTTTGCTTTTGCCTTCATTTTGAGGCCCATAGTGATCACTTCAATCTTGCCTTGCAGCCTCTGTCGGAATGTCCTCATCTTCCGAAGGGATTTCTGGTGCTCCAGAACTTGCTCCAGAATTTCTCGAGTCTTGTACTGTTCCAGCTTCGAAAGAACTGCGAATTCTTCCGGTAGATTCAAGATCTCCGGATTGGTTTGGGCCACCATATTGGCGAGATAGTGCATAAGGTTCGACTTGCCATCCAAACTCCTCACATCACGAAGCTTGAGTAAGCTATGTAACCGGAATCCTGCAGCTCCATTTTGTTGATCCTGGGATTGCATTGATGCTTGCAAAGAATTCTGACCCTGGTTCTGCTGAGAGGGCATTGGTGGGGGTGGGGGTGGTGGCGGCGGTGGCGGTGGTGGCGGAGGAGCACCAGAAGGTGGTGGCGGTGCAGCGGCAAGAGGAGCTGGATGAGATGAAGAAGGTGAAGAGGCCTTGAATGAGCCTTTCAAGTTAGGCATGGACTTTGCAAGATGAAGTGACCTCGGCCGTGGTTGTGGTTGCTGTTGCGGTTGCTGTTGCTGTTGCTGTTGCTGTGGTTGCTGCTGCGGTTGCTGTGGCTGCTGTGGCTGAGCTGGCTGTGTGGATGCCTGAGGTGGATGGTATTGCTGTTGCCATGATGGTTTTTTGCGACCATACACTGTGTTGAGCATATTTCCGACTTTCAACACGCCTAAAAAGAGAGTTTTCAAATCCTCATTCATCCGGAGCGCATCGCAACCTTTAATAAGCTCCTTGATCTGCTCTGAAGTTGAAGCCAGATCCGAGTCATAGCGTAGCATACAGATCGCTGCAAACAGGTAATCTTCCATCGTCAATGGATCCTCATCCACACAGTTTGCTGATGACCCAGCAAGCGAAGATAATAAACCTGATCCAGACTTATTCTTGAGGTTCAAAGATGAGAACCCACCCTTGAACATGACGGATGGTGCTTTAGCCCACTGTAAAGCCACCGAGTCGGATCCCGAGATGGGGATACCAGGAACGGGTGTCAAGATAGGTTTGCACATCGCATACATGAAGCGCTCTGAAAGACCTAATTTTTGGATTGCCTCGGACTCGTTATTCAAAAACTCTGCTTTATGTTGGCGCTGATAGACTTCAAGAGCTGAGCGCTCCTTCTCAGTTGGCAAAAGGGGCTGCAGCGTCAACAAGTCATCTAGGGTCAGATGATTCTGGTATGCAGCAGGTGTCGAGGAGCGTGAACTGAATGAGGCATTATCAGTGCCAATGGAAAGAAGGGACGAGCTTGATCCTGAGCTAGCAAAAAGTGGGTGAGCAGCAAGTGGCATGGGCATCATCGTCTTTGGAATAGCCGGTAGTGGTGGAGGAGTTGGAGGGCCAAACAACTGGAACAAACTGGGCTTGGTTAGCGACGAAGATGACCTGGAGCGCGTGCCAAGAGATGGGTTTGAGCTGTTGGAATAAATCGGTGCGCCAGATCGGATCGGCCCAGGAGTACGTCCTGCAGTTGCAGTTGTGGGACTGGATAATGATTTCTTATCTGGATCAAGATTATTCAAAGATGAAACCATAAGTGCTAGAGATCGTCGTCTTGAGACAGCTGCAGCAGCGGCGAGATCAAATGGATTATTATCAGCAACTGGCGGGGAAGTTAAGGCGCTAGCGGCAAGAGGAGTGGCTGTAATATTGAGGGACAACACCAGAGAGCGAAGCGTTTCGAATGACTTGTATCGCTTCATCAATCGCGAGAGACCGATTGATACGTTAGTTGCTCTACGAACGTCCAGCAATGTGACTTCCTTGGGTTTCGCACTAATCAATACAAATTGATGAGTAGGACATTAGTGAGAGAAGACAATGACATTTCGATATGACACGTAACAACAGAAAGGATGAAAATAGAAGAAGAAAGGAAAGGAATAAAAGAAACAGAACATACTTGGCTTGTTGAATCGTCTCCTTGGCTTTGAGTCGTTTCTGTTCCTCGACAGGATCAATACAAAAAAGCTCTAATCGTAATAATAAAAAGGAAGAAAAAAAAAATTAACATCCATGCCATTCAAGTTGCTCTAGTATAATCCCATGTACTTTATTCTACACACGGTTTCTTACCTTCAAACTTTTGAATATCCATCTCAATCGTAGTCGGAACTTCTACAGGCCCTAAAGTCTCTTCCTTGTCAACCGCATGAAGTGAGCTATCTGGACTAATAATATGACCCTCCCTTGGGCCAGGAATTTCTTGAGGGGGACCTTCAGGCTGACCTATCTGATTATCAGTGGTAATCCTCTCTTGTGCATCAAGTGAACACCCTGCGAGCGCTTCAGTGGCCCCTTTTAAGACACCATCTGTTGCTTCATGATTAAACCCGAAGCTGGGTCCAAAGCCTTCTCCAGGACCATATGCATGAAACTTTGCAGAGGAACCTGCAGGGTGACCTGGCGTAGTAGTCCGATTCAGATGGCCGTTGATACCACTTTTGCACTTTTGACCTGTTCGAGGATGCAAGCTATGGAAGCGATGATACTGGCGATGATGGGGCTTAGTATCGAAAACAGTCTGTGAGATATCGTTATGAGAAAGCGCATCCCAACGCAAGATGTGACGAGCCACAATATTTCGACCTTGAGTAGTGGAAGGAGTAGCTACACCCTGCTGGGAATTGCCCACATTCGAGGTCAAGATATGAAGTGGTGTCCTCGTAGTCTGCAGACCTTTTGCTGGTGGTGGTGGTGGCGGCGGTGGTGGTGGTGGTGGAGGTGGCGGAGGAGGAGGAGGAGGGGCAGTTGAGGTCGATGGCGGTGCGGGGATCGATGTTGCACTCGATGGTGGCAGTGGTGTGGCCGCTGGAGCATCAAGGACTTCTGGCGAGGGATGTGCAAGAGACCGTGGCATAGGTGTGGGAGAAGGTGATAGTGATCGGTCGATCGGTCCTGTTCCTGCCTCTTTGGCTGTTGAGATCAGCTCTGGTGATAAATCCGTCATCGTTACACTCCGAGTTGGTCTAGCCAAGTCAGATGAGCTCGAGAAGAATCTTCTTGTGAGAGGACGGTCCTCAAGTTGGAATTTACGGGACCCGGGGATGCTCCCTGGCGTCTCAGAAGACTCGGCATTTGAAATGACTGCTGCCAAAGAAGGACGAACTTTGTCGGACGGGGACGATGCAGGCAACGAAGTTCTTTTTGCGTTCTCGTTCAATTGTCGTTGAACTTCTGCCGATATAGCCTTGAGTGCTTTTCTCGAGAGTCGCCTACTGAGAGGACTATCCTTTTTCTCCGACTCTGCAGTTCTACTGGCCGTTACATCGTTAGTTGATTCTGCAGACTCGTCAAGGACACTCAGCATTGACTGAGGTCGACTTTGAGTTCGACAATCCATATTGCTCTGGATGGTATGAGATGCATATGAGGAGTCAGCTGACTCATTTATGCTTTGAGAATTAGCTGCATCAGGCTCATCGGATTGAAGAGCCGGAGCAGAGCCACGGCGGATAAGGATAGAACTTTCGCGAGCCTTTAACGAAAGGCTATGTTTCAAGGAAGGGGGCAGACCTGTTGCTGGAGATGAAACACTGTTGTTGGTTCCCTCCTTGTCTTCCTCCTCATCCTTATCCTCATCCTCATCCTCATTCTTATTTCTTAGTGTTTCACAAACAGGGTTATTAACAAGCAAGATTGACAGGCGATTCTTCCTTCTAATTCGCCTCTTTTTTGATTTTGACATTGTGCGTTCCATCGATTGCTCTGTAGATGATGGTTCTGGGATTTGACTAGCTGAGGTGGATGGAGTCGCTACTGGGTCGGCCAGCGATGCCACAGTCTGCGACTCGTTGTTCATGAGGCAGTTGTCGATGCTTTCAAAGCTACGACGGGGTGCGGTATGGACGTGGTGAAGTGGAGAGAGTGGTCGTGATGGTGCTACGGATGATGATCGTGATGAGATTGGGGTATGATTGTGGAATACAGCACCTGAATCCGAGGGCGATGTGGGGAAGCTGAAGGGTCTGGGGGAGAATTCTGGTCTCTCTATCAAATCCTGTGATGGTAAGTCATTTTGGGGCTTCTTTTTGACGACTCTACTGACACGTCCTCGACGAACTCGAGCAGACCTCGCTGAGGAGGAATGCTGAGAGACTGAAGAGAGGTAGTCACTCTCACAACCATCACTGTCCATTGGTTGTGAAAGATGTTGTGGGTGTGAACGAGAGTTGGCTGAGGAGAGAGAGTGGAAGCGAGGATGAGAGTAAGTGGGAGTGGGAGAGGTTGGGGAAGGTGGAATGCAGGCATAGGTAGGGGGTGATTTGGGAACTGTATCAACAGAGAAGCTGTTGTCATCATCATGACCATTTTTTTGATCAAGAGTGTTGCGTCTGTTGTGCCGTCTACCTCGTTTGTATCTCCTTGACCGTTTGATCGCTGCTGCAGATGTAGATTCAGCAGAGGCAGTGGATGAAATAGTTGCGGGAGTGAAGGTGGAAATATTAGATGTGGTGGCGGCAGTTGTTGATGGTGTCAAGGTTGCTGATGTAAATGTCGACTCCTTCACTGGACGGATGGACCGTTGCCCGGTCTTTTTCTGACTGGGTCTATGGTGAAGGGTGGATGTTTTGTTGGTGTTCATTGACAGTCGCAGATCAGGTGGATAAGAGGGTCTTCTAGCACGAGCAGGAGTCGACCTGCTGTGCGCCTCGAACATGGCAAGTAGAGCAACGTTGTGAGGAGAAGGGTAGGGGAGAAGGAGAGGTGAAGGGAGGGAGAGGGAAGAGAAGGTGAAGATTTGGAGGAGGGAAAGTGGAAAGAGAATAAATGAAGGCAAGAGAGCAAAAGAGAAATAGAAAGAGAGAGAAAAGAATAGGCATGTATGGTTAATTAGGATCACTAAACTGTAAGTGGGAGCACAAAAAAAAGCTCTCATCATTTGAAAATCGAATTCCAAGTCATGGTGTACCATGGGTAACCATGGCCTGATGGTAAAGAAACAAAAACAGAGAAAAATGAAAGGACCCATGGCCAAAAAAACTATGCCAAGGCTCACTTTTTTTTTTTTAAATATCGTTTTCACGTTGTCCCCACTCTTGTGCAACACGTATTCATTACAACCTCACTCTCTATTTTTTTGGTGTATTAATTTATCTATTTTTTGTCCTTACGAATGATCGGAGAATGCTCTCACTCCGTCTAAAGCAGTATTAGTACTTCTGCAAGAGATGCTATTGTTACTGGCGCTGTTGCTGTTGCTATCGTTTATGTAGTTGCTGCGGTAGAAGTTGTCGCTGTTATTGTGGCTGCTGTCACGGTGTGGTCGAATAGGCCCAGTGTGACCATTGCTGACCATCAGCAAATCCTCTAGTAATTAGCTGTTGATGGCTTTACGAAAGTTGAACTAGGTGGATCTTTCTCTTTTTTGATATGACAGAAAGTCTAATATCAGGACAAGTAATAAAAAAAAAGAAAAAGAAAAAGAAAAAGAAAAGAAAAAGAGACGAAACGTATTATTACCAGCAAAACAGTAAAGAGAATAAAAAACAACAGGGGCTTTTCGAGTAAAAAGGGATATCAAAGGTCGAGGGTGCAAAAAGGGAAAAGGATGAATCTATTGATAGGCAATGAAAAAAAGTGCCTTTGGGGGTAGAAATAAATTTGTTTTGTGAGAGAGTAGGGCGCGAATGAGATGTGGATGGTATATATATATTGTGTGTCTGAGTGAATGAGATGTGTCTGTGCGTTGCCAGCTTGCGATAGGTTCGGAGTGGTCGTTGTGCTGTAATCGTCGTTGCCGTAGTACAGAGTTACAGGAGATCAAAATATAAACAAGACGGGAAGATGGTGCAACGATGGAGACGGAAGAACAAAAAAAGGTCAACGCCTCTCCTTCCCCCTCCCCAACAAACAAATAGCACATACACCTAGTCTTTAACAGCCAATGAATTATTCCTGTCTGTTGTCTTTCAGTAAGCTTTTTGTTCGTGAAAGAAAAAAGAAAAGATTAAAAAGAGGGATTAGAATAATTCAACAGAATGGAAGGCAATGGAATGCCAATGGAGTTTGATTGGAAAAGATGAAATGTGAGAATGAATGAGAATGAATGCGATGAATGAATAAATGTGATGAATGCAATGGACCCGATGAATCAAGCAGTGCAAAGTGAGAAGAAGAAGAAGAGAGAGAGAGAGAGCTAAGGAGAGATTGAGCGAGTGAGCGAGAGGAAAGAGTGAGAGAAAATGCGGGGGAGTGGGAGAGAATGAAGAAGAATAAGAGTTACCGCGAGAGAGAAAGAGAGAGGAGATAGAACAGAACAGCAGAAACAAGACAGCCACACCCAATGACCACATGAACAAGGTATTTTACAGAAAACTCTCTTTTACAAAAAAAAACAAACAAACAGATACGGAGACAAAGCACATGTAAAACGTCTATGGGGTTCACAGTCCAACAGCCGATGTGGATGTGAATGCCAAGGCACATGAGCACTGCTGTGCTTCTGCTTTTTTAAGTCTGTAGTACTGGAAAAAACAGGACAAGGAGGGACTTTTGAAGGACAGAAAGACATGTCCAAAGACAAACAAGGACAATTGCAACATCATGTCGTTTTCTATCAGACTTTCTTTCACCTGTACTCATTTCAATAACAGAACAATACTAAAAAAAGTTCATTCCAAATCGTAGACATTGACGTGTGTTTCTGTTGAGGAAAAGCTGGTACAACATTTTGCCTATCTTGACATTTCTCCAACATTCCCATTGTACTTGTCTGACGCGTAAAAAAAAAAAAAAAAAAGGGTATTCAAGTCCATCCAGACGCGCCATTGGAACCATCTTTTTACAAGTAAAAAAATGAAAGAAAGAGACGGATCAAAAGGGATAGAGAATAGGGCTCAGGATGACAATGCAACAGCAGGAGCAGGAGTGCTCTTTGTTCCTCTCTGGCTTTCTTGCCTCTTACTGCGAGACAGGAGGTATAAAAACGGGGCTTCAGAAAAGATGCAACCCAAAAAAACACAACATGCACCACAATGCATGCTAAAAATTGAAAAAAAAAAAAAAAAAAAAAAATAGGAGGTTCAAGTAATCACAGCTACCCTTACTGTATACCACTTTTTATGTCTTCGTTAGTACGGATTGTTACTGAATAGATTCTATATTGTATAAAGTATTGTAAATAGTCGTTCCTATTCAATGCTTTGGTTGCTGGCGAGATTTGCCTTTCTCTCTTTATCTTTTTCTGGACCTGGGTGATTTCTTGTCTTCTCTACTTTCCAACATGTTTATTGAGGGCTCTGAATCTTTGACTGCATGTGTCAACAGCACAGCACAGACTTGATCCTAACCATTGTCACCATCGATCCATTTATTAAAAACGCCACGTTGCGTTGATGGTAAATTTGATCCGTGGTATGTACAGCGACAGTTTTTTACTCTTTTTGGTCCTTTATCTCATTTGTAATTAGAGTGATGACGGAAGTAGAGAGTCTTTTTTTTAGATGGATGTTTAAGAACTTTCGCTTGAAAAAATACAACCCTTGACTTTAAAAAAGAAAAGATTTTTTTGAAGTCGAAAGGACTTTATGTTTTCAACTCGAGCCATAAACTAAATACCTGTTGCCCCTCTTTTGAACGATAACATGCAAGTGTGCATGGATGGGGGGTTGGAAAGAAATATTAGAAAACCCATCATGGTCAAAGAGACAATGTCATGCGCAGAGAGAGTAGCTTTTGATTTATTTAACATCTATTTTATTTTAACGACAAAGATGGAGGTTGTGAACGATCCAAAACGTCTTTCTAACGATGCCTCAATGCTCCTGAGGAGACAAAGACGCAATGAATAAAAATTAGAAACATTCTCTCCTTGAAAGCCAACGTGGTGTCTCTGACCCTTTTTTTCTTATTGCCATGGCTGTATGGTTATGGTTGTGATTGCCTATTATTTATTTTATTATATACTATTATGGCTATTTTATTTTATCCCACGAAACAGAATCCCCCTCTTTCAGCTGGGACGGCACTTTGTATCACGTTCCAGGAGTGAGTTTATTTTGCTGCATGATTTTTCTCTCTCTCTCTCTCTGACATGCAGTATACATGTACTGTACACAGTTACTGTACAACTCTATACATACGCCACGGTATTCGGTATTTTCTTCCCCTCTCTTCCCAATTGCTTTTTTTTTTATTGCTTTACATGCCCAAACAACAGATCGACCACTTTGAAAATTTGGGTTGGTACGTGGTTTTGATCATGGTGACAGTCTTGGTGTCACTGATTTGAAATCAATGGAACAAGTTTAAAATAGGAACACCTTGTATAACATTTACAGTAGCTATCATTGAATACATATATTTGCATGAATATACTGATATAAAAAAAAAAAAACTCGTATGATTTTCAAAAAAAAAAAAAAAAAAAAAAAAGAGGGCTCGAATAGACTACACCATGCTTGTCATCTTTCTATTGTTTTAGTCGCTATACTCATGTGTTATAAATATAGAGACCTTGGGAGCAGACATTCTGTCAAATCAGGAGAGGATCGCTAAGCAAACAAAGTCATATCACTGGTCCAGGGTGAGTTCAAATGTCAACCGTGCGTCAAGGATATTGAAAGAGTAAGCAATGCTCGCAAGATCTCTCGGCTCTTTTTTTTTTAAACAATTTTGCTGTTGTTTGACTTATTAGACTTTTCTGGTCAAAGAAATAAGAAATAATAGATAGAAGAGAGGCTAAAAAGTGCTGTTAGTCATTCTATATTTGTCTTTATCATGGAGTTATTCGGTTGGTTTATAAACGTAGCGTATACACATATCATTCATATCGTATACATGTATATCCTACATATATACATGTATATATATATAATAAATTTAGACATAAACCATCAACTTTTCTTATACATCATCCTTATTCCGCAGCAATTCTAGAATTCTATGAAGCGTTGCCTCGTGAAACACATGACACATTTCTACAAGGAAAGAAATCTTCTGCTGTGAAGAAAGGATGCCAGTCTATATGAAATTAAAAAAAATAAGGTGTCTATCCATCCGCCCTTGCGCAATCTGCAATAAATTTGCTCCATGGCTCCATATCAGATATATTTTATCGGCCACTTTTTATGCATTCTACATTCTGCATTAAAAAACAAATGCTTTTAAGAGGGAAAGCCGGGGCGAAAGAGCCACGTCGAAACTCTTTCACTCTACCCGGTTATTTTTATCTTTAAACATCCTTTTTTTTCATGCAATATATAGATAGTTTAGTTTACACATGGAATGGGCGAAGAGTAAGTAAAAAGAGGAGAGAGAGGGCGTTTGTGCTCATTAAAAAAAAAAAAAAAAAAAAAAATGAAATACAATACAATACATATTCATATCCACTTCCGCTTCCTTCGTTCGCACCGTACAGTACATGTACATGTATAAAATGAAAACCATGTTTTTGGTCAAAGTCAAAGCGTTCTTGTTGACTGAAGCTATGCAGTACTGAAAATTCATACAATCAATATTAGCCAGCCGACTACAGGGCTTAATCTTATATCTTGTTGTTCCTGCGTTTGCGTTATTGTAGGGCAGCACATGTCGCACGTTGCCATGGATGTGCCAAAATGGAAGAAAAAAATAAATAAATAAAAATAAATAAAAAATAGGAAATAGACAACTTGACTAGACTAAGCAATTGAGGCAGTCGTAGTCAATTCGTCGTGCCGCTCTAGACTTCTTGAGGCGTCGAAGTCACATACCCAAATTACAATCCAGGAACAAAAAATCCAATGTCACTGACGAGGTCAAACGTGGCAAATACTAAAGCTTTGCTTTCTATGTCTGTTGGTTCGAAATCCCTTACCTTCCATACATCTGAGAGAGAACGGCAGTTAATTGATCTCTCAATTACAGGTGGACTAATACAGTACAACTATACTGTTCATATCATTAGCTTGAGGCGTATTTCTTTACGGGTTCAATTCTCTATTAATCTTCTCAATCATATCCTCAAGCGTTGTGGGAAGAGTAAAGTATCGTGTCTACTCATAATCGATGCAACATCCATCCGAAAGCATTCTCCTTCCCAAGAATGACAAATAGTGTCCTTTAGATGAAAATAGATCAGTACATCTGGCAGGGTTTTCAAGGAACAAGCGAAAAGGAAGAGGGAAAAAAAAAAAAAAAAAAAAAAAGATCGACGCATCGCTTGGAAATGAGGAAATATTTCATCACCCATTATAATGACAAAACAAACAGTGACAATTCCAAAAGACCGACATCGCAAAGGCAATGACAGTTCGTCTTGCTTTGCGTGCTCGCAAGACATTCGAGAAGTGTTTCTGGATGCATTGTGATTCAAGTAAGATGGGAATCCCATTTCATTCCTTTATGTAGATTCTAGTGGAAATAAATGTATTGCTCTCAATTTGACATTAGAATCAAACCACCGCGCATTACATTCTATCCCGACAAGGTCTTGGATGCCATTACAAGACTACCATAGTTCTGTAACTGCGACGGCACCAGCTACAGTTATCACCGACAGCAACGCTGTCCTCAATTCCCAACATCGAGAAAGTCAGCAAACCTGATCTCTTCTCGGAATCCTCTTTTATCATTATCACATTGGTTCAACCTTTCAACCAATCCCTTAATACTTGCAACTACACACAAAACGAGATGACCAGCTCTAACATTAAAAAGATTTTAGAGTTGCTGTCCGAAGCCAAAGATAAGGATAACAAGTTGGCTAGCTCATTGCAGCAGGTCAAAGAGAAGGAGAAAAATGTTGACTAGCCTGCTGCGGGAAGTCGAAAAGGGCAAAATGTCTGATCTGCAACTGGTGGCAATAAAAATGTTTGAACTATAAAGCCAAGCCCTGCTATTTTTCAAAAATTCAAATACATGTTAATGCTATCCTTGTCGAAAAAAAGAACAGAAAGTGTTTGAAAATCTAGCGGAGGCGAACGGAGGCAAATATGACTCGTGCCTTGGTCAAGTGGCTACCATACTGGGATCCAAAACCAAAGCTGGAGAATCCTTCGACAATGCAAGATGTGTTTATGAAATGTCACATTTGATTGGAATTGGACCAAAACTGAACTTGAAGAAGCACTAAAAAGAAGTCAAGTGTATCGATTCTTGAACTTAAGCTTAGATGGCCTCAAAGAAACCATTACCAAGAAATTATTTTCAACATCCACGCGATATGGAATACCTGTTCATATCATAGAGCTGGGTAACATGAAGATTATACATATTACTCTATCCTCAGATATCATTATTTCCGATCTACAGTCTAAAGAAATCGCCACATTTCCAGTGGAGAATCATGGGTACAAGAACAGACGCCTGAATAGACCAGCTCTATCAGAGCAATTATATAATCTGGATACCCAGTAAAGATGCAGTCCCTAACAGTGTGAACGACCAGAAATTTCGACGGCTGGTTGCGTGGATGCAAAGGCAAGCTAAGGAATAGTCTCAAAAGATGTTATAATATGAAATAGTAATAAGAAAAAAGAAAGGAATCTTACTCAGAGCTTCGTTAGAAACAAGGAGTCAGCGGTAGTTTGATGCCGCGCCTACGCACCCCAAACTCGGCATAAAATCTAGCTGCATCAGGTACATCCAAAGCGTGTTGGTTGGCATGCGATATTGTTTGGCGCGTGTCAATCATTAGCGCTACCGTTGTCCTGCCGAAGCTGTTCCCATTTCATTTTCATGCCGGGAGAGGAAGAGGCCTTATTCTTTCTTTCATCATCTTTCACCGCTTTTATAGCGTCGACAATGTAATCCACCATTGACTTTCTACTGGTGTTTATCGGCGGTGGTGCCAAAGAAGTAAAGGAGATGTGACTAAGGGGCAATGGTCTGTTCCTTTCATCTTTGTTTCCTCCTTTCCATTTTAAGGAGGCTGGGAAGCAAATTACCGATTCAAATGTTCAACTCGTCACAAGCTACTCTCTTTTTCATGTCTTCCAGTGACGCCGCTTGCGCCTGCACCAATGTTACAGCTGAATACCACTGTGGTTAGTCCCCTCTGTTCAGTGGGTGCAAATCCAATAATCTTTATCAATGTAATGGCATCTATGGCAGCCCGGCCTATGAGCGCAAGCATTGCTGGAACAATGAGTGGCTTGGTAGGAGTCAGTGCAGGTCTTAAACTTGTTCATATCGCACCTATGCAAAGGTTACTTCGAATATTGGTAAAAAGGTTTGGACTTGATATTTCTGGTTCCTTTCGCCTCAGCTGACATTTGTTTTTTATATACCATTCTATTTTTTTGACTTTCGATGCAGCACACACTGCATCCTGGCACCCTCCATCGCTTTATCCGAACCAACGGCAGCGCATTTGATCGAAAGGGCGATCAATGCCTTTGCATTTTGCATCCAAGCAATGTTCATAGTGAACTTAAGGTTACAAATGTGTCGTCACTCTTAGAGCAGTAACAATCTCTATATTATTTTTCCTAGGGGTGACTGTACGCCATGCACTAGTGAACATCTGCCTCATCCTTTTGGAAAAGAGCATAAACTGTAGTACTGTCGCATGAACTTGCCAGAAATGCAAATTGGCTTCTTTCTACAGACATCTGCTTTCAAAGAGAATAATTAACCGCGCCTGCTGCATCTGGTAATGAAGTCTCTTTAATTCGTCTTGTCAGTTACCACAGTCATGCGCAGGTCAATTTCATAGACGATACGTCAGTTCCGCAAGCCTACAGTACTGCTATCAGGCCCATTGGTGTTAAGAAGGGGAATATAAATGATGGCTGTTCATTCGAAAGGACATATAGGACAATGAGCCAGATTTGATATCTGCAAATATACCTTATTCAGCAAATGTTATCTGCGTTGGATATATCTTTCATATCTGAACCTGCACTTGAAGGGGTCATGAAAAAGGGTTAAGTCAGCAATAGATTGGTGTGCCGGCATAACCTAACCCCGGCGCTAAGGGCATCAACTACATCCAAAAATAGACCAGCATGTTAATGAATGTGCTATTGGCATGCGTCAATAGTACCGCCGTTATCCTGTTAAAGTTAGCCACATTTCATTTTCACACACCTTCCCTCATTACCTTCAATGGATTTAAAGGCATTGCCAAAGCCGTAAAAGATGTAGAGATAGGGAGCAATGATCTGTTTTTCCACCAATAGGCTTCTTTAGCTTTTTTCTTTTTTTACTATAAGAAGGCTTTGGATCAGACTATCGACTCACATTCCCTCAACTAATCATAAATCCCAATATCCTCCGGCTCCTCTCCCGTCTGCCACATAATGAAGGCCTTCCAGATTTCCCTTGCCGTCACCTTAGCAGTTCTCTTTTTCTTGTCTTCCAGTGATGCCGCCTGCATCTGCAACACCTCTACCCCTGGAACATATTGCGGTCAGTCTTCTTACGTCACTGGATGCATTCACGAAGTCGTTTATAAATGCAATGGCGTCTATGGGAGCCAAGGCTATTACTATGCGCGTTGCAGGAGAGGTTGCGTCCATGGGTCGATGTCTAACGACCACTGTCTGCGCTAAATTTACCTATAAATAAACCATGAAGTTTTCATTTTACTTTTTGCAAAAGGTAATTTCGGATGTTTGGACTACAAATTAAGTGGCAAACGTTAACTTAAAAGCGTGCGACATCCCTAGTTTCTTTCACTTAAGTTGAAATTGCTCTTTAATACATTCGTCCTTTTTCCTTTATTTTTTTTTTTTTTCCTTTATTTTTTCGATGTAAAGCATGGGGTGTACCGCCATAACTTTCATTGTTCTGTTCAAATCAACGGTGGCGCAATTGACTTAGCCCCCGGACGCAGGGAGAGTCAACTCCATAGTGGCTCCCTTTAGTGAGTGTTCATAGTGAGACCATAGTTATTAATGAGTCATCACTCTTTTTGCTTAAGCAAGTAAACTACTCTTTCTCTGGAAATGTAATTACTTTTGAAGTCCCAACTAGCGCGTTTTCTTTTGAACATCTGGTTCGCCTGTGTAAGAGGAATGCAATTCGTCTTTTCCCTCTCCCCTTGATGGAGTATATAGCTCAATCGCATCTGATGCATCCAACAGTAACGCCTCTTTGAGTTATCACGCCGGTCTTTGTAGTCATACGCAAACCGCCGCAAGACTACAGCAATACCACTAGCAGCCCCATAGAAGTTAAAGAAGATCTGCTTGTGGAGAGTATCACACTTAAAAAGAGTACTTTATGGCTTTTACTTTGTAGTTTTAATTTGCTAGTTGAATTATATGTTATTTGCTGTTTGAAAGTATTCTACAGCTTGACACGCAATCAGCGAACGGTTAAGAGGGATGTCGAGTTGGCATGCCTGAGTCAGAAAGATTGAGACGACTACAAGCTTGACATAGGACCGTATATGAGCGACCTTAAGGAGCATTGAGCCTTGCTAGTCTTCATTGACGGACTTGACTAGAGAGGATTGAATGACCAATGGTCATCAGTTGCAACAGGAAGGTCTTGGGTATTGCAAATGTATAGAGTGCATTCTATCATTAGCACTTACTCTCGCAATCTGAAGCAAAACGCTCTGATTCTGGTGGCGCGCATTAAACCTCGGGCAGTAAGCCAAACAGATGCTTACAAATAATGAAACATTACTTGCAAGCCAGTAGAGGCTTTCATCAGCTGCATCGTCGCTCCAAACGAAGGATAACGCAGCTTCGATAGCGGTGTCCCTACTTTGACTGTAGTTGGCCGAGCCGAACACTCCTGAGGATGCATGCAAAACAAAATACCTCATCGACTGTGTTGTTTGCTCTAAATGAAGGAGCACATAGTACAACAGCGACGTCTCTGCTTTTAGCATCACAGCCAAAGGACGCACTCATGAGCATTCAGCAAACAAAAAAACAAAAATATAACTGAATTGCTACTCCAAATGAAGGATCACACAGCAATAGCGACATTTCTTGCTTTTTTACTGCCCAAGGACCGAAGCGAGTGAGGGAAGAGAACTTTTAGGAGTCTATGATCTATTAAACCATAGACTAGAAGACCGGCATTAGTGTATGTACATTAAGAAGTAAATCATCAAGGTAGAGAAAGTGAAGCACGCACCTTTGCAATTGTCCTTATGATCGCTATTTCCCGACACAGTAAAGGCCTTAAAACCAAACCTCAAGAAGTGAATGAAAGCATATCTCAAGAATGCCATGCGTGCTTTAGACTCCGTGAGACGCGTCTAGACAAACCCTACTAAAGGCTCAAACCCACTTTTAAACGTCAATATTGGCTGGGGCTGCGGATCACTAATGGTTACCACGAGTAAAACAAGGATCATTATGTGCTCATATGTCAACAGATCTTTCAAAAGAAAAAAAAGAACCTTGTAAAAATAAGTCTTAGTTTATAGCTGCAAGTAGCGGCAAGCATCCATTGCACGAGCTTGAGTTAGGCGGAATACGAGAGTGCTCTAACACTCTTTGCTCTGATATTCTGCTTGTCTTCACTCTTTGAACTCATGCGTAAGAAGGATTAGTTGAGGAAGATATCTCCTTTGGATCCCTTGTATTATCCCTTTGGTCAGTTTAGTGTGCTTATATTTTTAGGAAATTAGCTTAAGTTGCTAGAAGATTCGCTTAAATAAATCCCAACTCCACTTAACATGTCAACCAAATGTGCTCACTTTTAAATCATTTTAACTCGTAACTGTTTGTTGATATATATCTAGACACACTCAACACATCTATCGACATATACACCATTCAATGGATACATGCCTCAACACATACACCCAAGTCTCCAAGCGCCAAGGGTAATAGTAATGGACAATGTCAAGTTCCGCAAAAGCCCAGAGATCAAAAAAGTAATTGAAAGCCATGGTCTTACATTCTTGTTCCTACCCCCATATACCCCTCGCTTCAATACGACTGAATGGGTCTTTGGTCATGTTAAGGCCGATGTAAGGATCCAAGAGTTAGATAGATAAGCAAGAAATGTTAACAGAGCACGTTGAGGCAAGTCTTCGAAATATGATACTGTATTACCCCCTCAATGTGCTGTGGGTGGATGCGTGAGGTCAATAGGAACATATCAATAGCACTCAGAGGTGAACCTCTGGGTCGATATTACAGTTGAATAAAACTTAAGCGAATTTGGTTTGAAAGTTAAGTAAAATTGGTAAGCCACTTGGCTCAGTTGGTTGGTAAAATAGCACCAATGATATATAAAATAGCACACTCAATTGGTCAAAGTATTATTTATTTACATAAATCACAATAAAGACGAATGCAATTATACATTCTAAAGACGTCCACTGTTCTTTATCTTAAAATCATTGATAAGCTGCAGCACGCTTTGTATGCCACATCGATCACCATATCACCTTGATATATCTTATTGCGGTTGGACATTTAAACATATCGCTCTCTTCAATATCGTGACAATGTAAAGACCCCTCCACTGACTCTACTAAGACCATTCCAATGCTCAATATAGTGCTGATCATAGCTGGAGATGAAAGGGGATAGGATGTTGAAGTCCTTCGCCTCTTATCCACCTGAACTTCGACAGCCCTTGAACTCGATCTGCAGGGCTTTGTAAACGGCACTTGTAAGTAAATCGAGATGTCCCATTTGCGAAAGCCAACTCAGAATATTTTGTCCAGACTTTATCAACTAGAGCCTACCATTGATATTCGGCCTCGTCGATAGTGATGCTTAAAGGCTTCTTAACGTTAAAAAGACAGGCATCATATTGGAGTTGAGAAAGGGAATGTGAAGGGGTTGAATTTAGTAAAGAAACATTGTTTTATTTTTTACCTTTCCATTGGCATAAAACTTTAAATGGTACCATCAGATATTCACATTTACACAACACCTGGGATGGCACGAATATGATATGCAACAATGCCTCAATATAAAACAGTGGAAGTCTTTAGAATGTATAATTGCAATTATATATAGAGTAGGGTTGCAATTGTGGAAGGAGACTTCAGTCACGGTCCGGGCTTTAAACACACCCGTTTTTTCTACTAGAACATAAAAAAAAATAGACGTTAAGAAGCGTCCAGAGGAATTTCTCCTTTACAAAACATTATTTTGTGAATTAAGTGAAGATGGTCGCGTTTTTATTACAATAACATGCCAATATTCTTAATTTCATTGACGTCGTGCTCTCCAGTCGCCTCCCAATTCCTCAACGATTCTTTCATAGCCAGTGTTTCTCGAATTCGCGAATGTTCGCATTCGCACAATATAAGATCATAGTAAAATCATATAAATCATATTCGCAATTGAGAAGTACTATTCATAGCTCTGTAGAAGGATTAAGAGCCACTTGCTTCTCTCGATTCATAATAACCAACCAACCTGTTAGTCTCTTCAAATCCTTCCCCCTTGTATTTGATACGATAGTTGATTCAGTTAATTCGACGAACCTATCAAGTCTGATAAAAATAGGGCATTAGAGTCATGCGACATCTAAATAAGACACATTTTCTATCCCATTCGAAACTCAGGATCGCCAATGAAGACAAAGTGAAAGGCCATCGGTTTAAGCTGCAAGTAAATCTAACAGCACCACGAAACACCACCGTAACAATCTCTTGTCATTAACGAGAGAGTCATGGCTATGGGAGGATCAGAGATAATGGCAGAGTTGCAACTAAGCTTACACTCCTTTATGTTCCCCCAAGAAGCGTGGCTGCCGACTTATATAGCACGTAGCTATATAAGGCACCTTCACAAAGTACCACCATCGAAAAGACCACTGGCGATGGAGGACAGTGTCATGTCTTCAATGCAAGATAATAAATGCAAAAGAAAGTGGAAGGCCATCGGTTTAAGCTGCAAGTAAATCTAACAGCACCACGAAACACCACCATAACAATCTCTTGTCATTAACGAGAGAGTCATGGCTATGGGAGGATCAGAGATAATGGCAGAGTTGCAACTAAGCTTACACTCCTTTATGTTCCCCCAAGAAGCGTGGCTGCCGACTTATATAGCACGTAGCTATATAAGGTACCTCCACAAAGTACCACCATCGAAAAGACCACTGGCGATGGAGGACAGTGTCATCCCTGTACATGCATTTGTAATCGCCGATTCAAAGTTCTATACCCAATAGTAGTCTTACCACTAAGAAGTTGAGTAGCAGTAAAAATGAAGAATTAGTACAGAGATTAATCAAGCTTCCAAAAAATACATCACAATACCGGTATTTCTGCAAAGCTTAATTACCACTACGTTTTAAGAGCTGCTTTTCCATTCTTATGTGGTGATATTGCTGTTGCTGGTGTTGGTATATTCTGCAAATAGGAGCAAGTAAATTGACGGGAGCAAAACTGGAGGGAAATATGAAAAAGTGAAAAAAGGATAAAGAAGAGCGAGTGAAGTAAAGATTGTTCCTTTATTTCACACTGCGGAATTTTTTATTTTTTTCAAATCAATCACATGCCATTTTCTTGATCATTGTGTCGTAAAAGCCAGTCACTATCTTTAAGGAAAGAGAGTACCCATAAACGGTGCGCGAAGAATCCACTATCATCAAGACACTACGCAAGCGGCTTGCTGCTATCTCACTCGAACCAGATACAAATGATGATCTTGAAACATCACAGGCACAACTTAAGCGCACCATATCCTGTCTTTCTGAAACTCAACTTTAGCTGAAGAACACTAAGGATGCTCTTGCCAATTGAGAGTGTTACACGCTGTACCATATAGACTCATGTAGCGTATACAATGATTTAAAATACCACTCACATGGTACAAAAGATATTGTCTGTCCAGAAATAAAGACCCAGAAAAAAAAGAAGAGAGCCAAGATTAGACCTTTTCATATTTGATTTTTTTTTTTTTATTTTTTTTATTTTTTTTTTTTATGTGCGTGAAAGAAGAGAAGGAACGAGTAAGTGATCAGATTTCAAGGCGCGATTGGAGGAAGAAAAATTTCATGGGTGGAGGTGGGAAGAACATTAATAATATTCCATCCTCAAAGGTATGCAGGGCCATACATACAGCAGCCTGCCTGTCCACAAACAAGAGCACGAGCCACATTGCTCTCTTTGTATGGCGTACAACAAAGAAAGAAAACAGTGAGCAACAACTGGAGTAAAGGACGAGATTCAGAGCACAAGCTTGTTAAAACTCACATATACCGGTTTTCACCAACTTAGTAACAGGGCCTATCAGGCACTTATCAGCCAAGTTTGCTATTCGACTCTCTTCTCCCATTCTCTCTCTTCATCCCTAACAAGGAATAGGATAGACTATGAGAACTGTGCTGCGGCAGTTTTTGTCGGAACACACATTTTTTCCTTTTTCCTTTTTCCTTTTTCAAACGCCAAAGAAGTATGACATGTCATTTCATTGGACACAGATAAACGTTGATACTTTGTTTCCTCATTTTCATATGAGATATGACAGATGACATCAAAGACACGTATGTATTTTTATTTTGTTGTTTATATTTTATTGGTCGCTCTTGAGCGTACAGCAAGCAAGGTACTTAGTATCGCCAATTTTATTTGGTCACGATACCTTATATTTTTAATCTAAAAACGATGATTGAATTGTTCTGGTGGCATCTCACTACGTGACGGACTTGCAACAATACTCGTAACAAGCGAGCTAATTGGCTGCCAATACACTCGAAAGTATTCAAAAAATATAAGGTATCGCGACCAAATGAAACGGGCTATATCCTTGCCTTGAAAATTGACGAATGATATTACACGTACGCAGATTATCCATTTCAATTCCCGCTACGCCGCTTTCTTTCTTATTTGAATAGACTCAAAGTGCTGAATATATATTCGTTATTCAGTCAATACTTTGAAATCGCAAATTGGTTTCACTTACAATTTCCCTGAGTGATTCCACCACCCATCCTTTCTCCAGGGTTGCAGTCAGCCACAGGGTCCAGGTTTGATACACATAATACATAAAAAAGAAGTCTTTCTCATCTTCTCACTTTCTTCTTTCCACAATTTATTTTATTTTAAGCATTTTACGGATTATACACATCATTCTTCCCCACTTTCTTGCATGCCTTGATGCTATTCTCTTTACATTCTTTCTACGTGTTAATTTTTTTATTTTATAAGTAGAGCCACATCTCCATCAACTTTTAATTCATATATAGTTTTTCTCGATTCACTGTTTTTTACTTATCATCAATGAACAGCCAACAGCAGACATACTTATTGCAAACTAGAGGAAAGGAGATCTCTCTGAAGGATTGGGCAATACTCAATGATGATCTCAATGTGGAGGAGCTGGAGAATTGTTGGGTAGCCAATGCTCTTCCATTACTGAGAAAGTCCAGAAGTCAGCATCAACGAGAAGCATGCAACCGTCTTTCTGGATATTCAAAGGAGGCCAGGGCGAAGATATTTAGACATGTGGTCAGCGAAGTATGTTTTTCAACAATTTTTCTGTGCTCAAAATAGCAACGGCTTTTTACTTGTATAGTCCAATATTAATATGAACTTTAGCGCCACAAGATTGACTTTTTACGTCCCTTAGCAACAAAACAAGAGCAAGCAGTTGCTGTTTTGAACACAGAAGAAATATTGAGAAACATCAGATATAAGGGAGCAGCAGTAGCCACCAGAAATGAACGGCCATTAAAGAAAGGTAATCAGGATTGAGGGATTCTTTTATTATTATTATTATTATTATTGTTGTTGTTGTTGTTGTTGTTGTTGTTGTTGTTGTTAACGCATTTCATTCCTTTGTCAAATCGTCCGCCTTGTTCATGTAATTTATACGATACACAAATAGAAGCTACGCTGCCAGGTAGGAAGCACCCCCGGCCAGATGAGGACCTCCCTCTGCAGTCCTCCCAGAGTTTTTCAAAACAGTCAAGGAGAGGTAAGAGACTAGCAATATATACGAATTTTGTATTTTATCAGTCTCTCTCTCTTTTATGCTAACTCTTCTGGTAATTATTGTTGTCGTTTTTCTCTCCAGTATCTTTTGGCAAACTGTGGTTAAAGAAAATTGTGAGTAGTCTCTTTATTCACTAGATCCAGCTGTGGAGCTATTAATTGATATTAACTGTTATATTCTTTCTATGTCCTTGTAAATTAATCTAAAAGCAGTACCCGGAATACTCTCCAAGATTAGTAAGAATCTTGATGGGTTCCTCAAAAGAGATTCTAAAACTATTGTCCATGCATGGTTGACTTGCTGCTGTTGATCTACTTGCGGCGTTCCGAAGCTTTGTAGAAACTCCCTCTTCCGTTCCTCTAACTCCAGCTCCGCCACTTTCCGCTGCATGCCTTCCAGCCTCTCCATCTCCATGTTATGGTTCAGTTGAAATGACTCTGCTAAATTTTGATGAACCCTTGATATTAACTGTGCCCGTGGCTGTTGACCCTGTGGTGCTCGCCTCGTCAGTGGTTCTGAATCTTGCCATGCCAGTGGTTCTGGAGCTTGTGGTAGTAGCTCTTGCAGCGGTGACTGTTGAAGTCGATTTCGCACTGACGGAGCTTCTAGTAGCAGCTTTAAAAAATGTTGCAATGATTGGACTTCCCTTGGCTGTGTTAGATGAAGGCTTGGATTCCGATGTAACTGCATCATTAATTGTTGCAATATTTGTTCCTCGGACATCTGGTGACCATTTGGCTGCTGCTTAAGCTAAGCAAATGAAAAATGTGGTAACAAATCTATGTAACTAAACGTGCTTAACCTACAAGGCTACTCTACAGCTTACAATACCCCGCTCAATTAAAGTTATCTGAAATGGATTTATCTCTTCCAATATTTGAAATTAATTTGAACAGTTCCACGAGCGCTCTAAAGGCTGCATTGCATAAAGGGTGGGATAAAACTATTCTGTCTCTCTAAAGGTAAAAAAGGCCAAGGCCTCTGAATTCCTCAGCGAACAACTCGGAAGAACGATCCAAGAGCGTTGAAGCAACGGCACTATAAAATCGTTTATGGCCCAGCTCGCTTTGTATGTTGTTTATGTAGAAGTCTCTGGCTTCCTTATAAAAATCCACCGTTCGGTTTTCTTCAAACTTCTTGAAAGCCTTCTTAATGGGTAAGTTTTGATTCCGTTCAATACAAGCTGACAATTACATCAGCTCTCGTGGCACACAGTTCGCGATATCCAGTATATCTTCGTAGGTCGCAGGGTCGAGGTTAGGGACTTGCTCCAGCGGCTTCTTGAAAACGTTCTCCAACAAAGGACCGATGTAAAGATCGCGTTTGAGGTGATCAAATTCACTGCATCATTCAGCGGGAAATGCATCCCAAAAGCGCCTCGCCTGAACTGTTTACGTTTTAATCGAAAGTAATTATGGCTGTTTTTAATTAATCGGATGGGCTTAGATGACTTGTTCTATGCGACGCGAAGTGCACCATACATCTTTATCCATTCTGTGGCACGCTCTTCATCAGAGTCTCTTGCTTGGCCGCTAATGATTGCGACTGGCCAGGCCAGGAGAGACCGTGCACTCGCCTCAATTGCGCGTTTGTTGTGGACCATTTTTCATATGACTGAGTGCAGTGAGTATGCTTTTTGAACCTGGCTACTCCATCCTTTCGTGTGTTTCTCTTAGTATCTCAGCCGAAATGTCTGCAGGGAAAAAAAAGTAATGAGACTCAGCTCTCTCTTCGCCAACAGACCGAAAATGTCTGTCAAACCTTGTTTGTATGGTCTATATGCTTTCTTTGATTTCTCCTGCTTGATAGTCGTCTCGCCATCGATCCATGCATCATCCTCGATTTTTCGCCAGCGTCCTCCTCATGCGTTCTAAATGTTATTTGTGCTTATGCCAGATCCGTATGCTATCTTTGATCTCTTGCATCCAATAACCGCCCCATCTTCAACGAGCCTCGGCCTTGGACAGCGGCCTCCACGGGTTTTCTATAACCATCTCTGTGTGTGTATAGAAAAAAAAAAAAAAAAAAAAAAAAAAAAAGACATGGCAGACAGTGTGGTCAGGCAAGAGTAATAAATTACATTCAGCAGTCACACGGTGAACTTGGTAGGAGATAGTGCTCCTTGGTAAGGGAAAAAAGAAACCAGCCTGCAGTGGACAGGAGCATGTGTGTCAACACATCACTTCATCCTTCTTATTTCATCAATATTGTTTCCTTGCAACCCTGAGGAGCCCACCCGTTAACATTATATGATAGTGGCCCCTTCTGTAAGCTCAATGAGCACACATTCCATATACTAATGCTGGCCTTCTTTAACAGATCATCAACTCCTCCACTCCACTTGCTTTGGTCCTCGGGCAGTAAGAAAGCAAGAAATGTCACTATTGCTCTCTGATCCTTCATTTGGAGCAGGCATTCTGTTGAATGTTTTTCTGTTTTTTTTTTTTTGTTTTGCTGAAAGTTCATGAGTACCTCTCTTGGCTTGATGCTAAGCCTGAAACACGTTCGATATCTCTTGAAGAGTTCTTCTCATCATCTTTCCTGCAACAACTACAGGGAGTGAGAGCGGAAGAGAATGAGAAGGGAAAAAAAAAAAAAAAAAAAAAAGAATAGAGCGAGAGGAAGCACTTGCTGAATTGTCCAGACAGAATAGTAAACGAAATGATGGACGCGTGGAAGAGATTGTCGCTTCGCAAATCCACACAATATAGTTTTTGCACAAAAATCAATAAAGCCCTGTCACTGCTTTTTGAGAGATGTTAGTTTGTCCTGCACCCTTTTTCAATTTTAATTGGCAGCGTCATCTGGGCCACCATTGTGCTTGTTATTTTTGACTGTCCTGTCTCTGCAATGTCCCTTTTTATTTTCTCTCTCGCTATCTCTCAAATACACATTCTTTAATCCTCCATTCTTTCTTTCCTCCTGTGTATTCTCCATTATTATTATTATTTCTCTTGTTTAATTCAGGGGCTGCAAAACTTTTTAAACTAGGATTGATTTTTTTTTTTATTTTATTTATTTTTTTATTATCTTGCAAAGAAGAAAAAAAAAGTAAGATTGCGGCGAATCTTTTTAGTGTTTCTCGTATCGTCGTGGGAAAATGGAGCATGCTTCTTTATCATGATTGCTTTGTACTGAGCTGGCTTACAAGAGTTCGTTTGTTGGTAGAAAGGAGCTTGCGTAAGCTCATACTTCTCTAGGTCGCCGTAGATGGACTCGATGCAAGGTTGGATGCATTGAGTGACTGCCTGCGCCACCACATTATATAGAATAGATTGATATTTGTTTTCTCCTATCTTGGTTACACTTAGTGAAGAGGTCAAGGATTACTTTGTCTCTAAATCGACTCAGCCCCATTGGCAGAAAGATATATTCATAGAGTTCACTGGACGATTGACCGGAGCATCTGGTGACTTTTTTTTTTTTTCTTTAAACATTGATAGAGCGCATCAAAGTCGCAATGGTTCCTCCTCCTTCATACACTGGAACGACTACTGTCCTTCCTACGAATACTAATACCCACCTCTATTTCCGAACTACCAAGGTATCGGAGTGGAGGCTGGAGGACTTCATCGTCTCCACAGGGCTGACTGAACGGCCTTTCATAATGTACTTGAAGGGTATCGCTCTACGAAAGGATTTACCCGTTGAGGTCCAAGATTTCGCCAAATTATTGAAAGACTACTATGGCGGAGCTTTCCGGGAAGAGTTTGGGGTCACCGAGGGCGATGCCCACAGAGCTGCCAATCATACTCTTTTAAGTGGCAAAGAGGGCTTGCTGCTACAGAACCATGTAGATAATACCATTGAAAGTGATAAGGTAAATGATTAAAAACTAAAGTTAGTATAGACTTGAACAACTCAAAGGTCCATGATGCTGCCAAAGTTTTTTTTATTTTATTTTTTATTTGTTTATTTATTTATTTACATGATTGCCTTCAAGCGCATGTTGAGCGTTGGAAGGTCTTCACAACCTTTATTAGGGGACAAAGAATCAGAAGGCCCAGAAGGATCATCGGATTCGATGTCATCGCAAACAAAAGGTGCAAATGATAGTCATAATGAAGAAGGTGTACGAGTCTTTTGAATGGCTTTAACGTCTTTTATGTTGAAATTATAATCTAACTATTTATTATTAATATTATTATTATTATTATTATTATTATTATTATTATTTGACGATGGCAAATAGTTTCTTTGCTTGACACTCTTGATCAGGTATATGGCATTACAGGGCATTCATGATGCACTTTTTGATAGATCAAAGCTAATACGAGGCGGCCACTAACTTGCTCCCATTATTATGACTGTTTTATAATCATCTCTCTGGTTTAAAGCCTTTGCCTATATACATCTCAAGCGCATCATTCCAGGAGCCAGTGTCCATCCACACTTTCTTCTTTGACAATCCGGTCTCCTCATGGAGTGATACCCGCGCATTTTGTCATCAGCTCCTAAACAAGAACTTCAAAGTCTCTTGCAAAAGCGTGTTTCATTCATACGTGCAGAGCCTATCAGAGATCGCCAAGAACGAGGCGATCGAACATGATGTCAGAGAGTCGGCCAAAGAACTCTTCACGATAAGCGAAGCATGTTTCCGAACTGATTTCAAAAGGGAACAGGAGGTACTGGGGGCCACCATTGCCCGTAAACGCTTGTTGGAGCTGTTGAATGCACACCATTCAAAGCGCTTGCGCACGGATTCAGTTACCGACCGAGGAGCTGTACAACATAATAAACAGTTGAATGAAGACCAACAGTTGAATGAAGACCAACAGTTGGATAATGCCGATCAACCCCATGGGATGCTATCACGTGGAGGTACTGTGCTGCCTGATCCAATTGAGTGCGACAGGCCATTCTGTGATCCGGAATCGCGAGAGGACTTTCAGGATGGCGAGGACTTTAGTGGAGAAATATCAGAGTCCTCTACTGTGGATTGCCTTGCTGGCTTAGGTACAGTTTCAAGTATGTTATCGAGCGATCCTATGAGCCGATTACGTGTGGGCGATCTAGACATAACCAAAAAGATCATGAAGTACCGACAGATAAAAGTGATCCAACAACGGTCCGAAGAAGCAGACGATATCTTGTAAGCAAATGGTTCTTGAGTGTAAAATACTGGAAAGCATTTACCTTGCTTGAGTAGAAATATGTGTATTTACTTATTTATTTATTTTATTTTTACTTGTCATAGGTTGATAAATTTTATCGTAACAAGGCCGCTACTCTTGGCCATCTTTGAACCTGCTGTGGTGGAAGAGGTGTTCCCGGCTCATGAGCCCGTAACGGTTGAGGCCTCGGATTCAGAACTGGTTGTGCGACTCAGTGCCCTTGCAACCGTTGCTTCATTTGAGGATCTGTTGTCTTTTCTGAACGATGAGCTCAAATTGACCTCAACATCGATTGTCAGGCGAGCGTTGCTGAACTACTTCTTGGAGGCATGTCTATGGAGGGAGGCAGACTGGTTCAGCAAGGCCAATGACGATAGTGAAGACACATTTATCACCCATCTCTTTAAACCCCTCCTTGTTGCAGCTTTTGGCGGTTTTGTGGGCTGTGATTTTAAATGGTAGGCGCAGTCCAAATTTTGCTTGGTCTATTTTATTTTATTTTTTATTTAATGTAATTGCACGTCTTCTAGGTTCCGAGAACGACTGGTCACAAAGACGAGTGAGCAGAATGGACGTCATGAAGTACCCGACTATCAAGTATCATTCAATCAATATGCACTAGTATTAGGCAGATTCAAGGCACCGACTGCGACCTTAGAGCAGATCGAGATAGATAGGAAGAAGCTGTTTGTAATGGGCAAGCGTTCTGTAGATAGAATGTATGGCGATAGTTTTGCTCTACCCGTCATCCTCATCCACGGACGTGGGCTGCACGTGGATGTCTATGACCTGCGTCTCGTTGGTGAGGCTCTGTACTACCCCAAGCCATTGGGGACGCTTCGCATCCCAGCAAGTCCTCATGATTTCCCACAACTACTTGGCTTGGGGCCACTTTTATCAGCGCAGGTATGTTATAGTTGCAATTTTTTTTATTTTTATTTTTATTTACTTTTGAAGATCGAACGAGGGCTGACTAGGCCTCTCTCCCTCCATTCTTCATAGGCTATAGCTAGTTCAACATTTCGTGCTCTGAAGTCTCGAAGAAAGGACGATGTCAACTTGAACTGGACTCGTGGAACGTTTGGTGTACAGGGTGTAAATATTCCAAATTAAACAAACAAACAAACAAAAAAATGACTCCTTGCATTCTTGTAAAATCAATACCGATGTTTTGGAAGTTGATACAGATTCTATATAATAATAATGGTGAACTGGTTGGATACGTATTTCATATTATTCATTGGGCTATGTGTGATTGAGAGGGCCATGAGTTGAATAAAAAGGATATTGGGACATTCTTACCTGCGAAGGATCTTTATATTTTTCCCTTGATCCGAGATCAACAGCCTTTTGGCTTGTAAAGTATGGATTGTTTTTTTTTTTTTTTTCTTAGCGAGGAGGATCGCGCAGTAACCCTTGATCTTGGTATGTAAGTTCTCGGTGCAGTTTCCCAAAGGTTCTTAAAGGTTCTTTGCGGGAGAAGCTGTGCCTTATCTTTACACCGGCTTTTGGACAACTTTTCCGAATAAAAAGAAAAGGGAAAAAAAAGAAGAATTGAGTGTCCGATCGGCAATGAGAAGGAAAAAAATGCTCAATGCCCACGCCACATCCCTTTTGGTCTTCACAGATTCTGACACAGGGCTCTCTCTGTGCACTGCACTACACACAATCAATAAATTTGTACATGCACATGTACGCCCACGCCACGAACGACTTCGGATTTTTTTTATTTATTGATTTATTTCTCAACGACTTTTTTTTTTTTTTTTTTTTTTTTTTCCAACTTCCCACCTCCATTGCTCATATCCATCAACGAGGTTTACACTCTTTAGAAGCTCGGTTCATCCACATAGACAAACTCATTGATACATACTTTGACATCAAATCACCCTCACAATGATTTATACTACTGCCGACCTCACTAAACATAACACCAAGGAGAGTCTTTTCTTGGCCATGCACGGCAAGGTCTATGATGTTACCGAATTCCTTGATGAGGTATATATTTCTTAAATATTCATGTATATATGCATATATCATTTTGTAAAAAAAAAGAAAAAGAAAAAAGAGAATGAACCATTGGGAAATCATTCATTCCGAGAGGAGAGCCTCGGAGCTCATCGTCCGAAATATATATATATTTTTCTTTTGATTGGCATTCAACTCTCGGCTCGGTCTTTTTGTGGCCCGTGTATGGGTCGGAGGCAACATCTCTTTGCCTTGATGAAAAGCTTTTTTTTTTTTTTTTTTTTGTTGGAAATCACATCATCATCATCCATGTTCATCTCTACATGTGGCAATGAGATGAGAAATGAAACATTAAAAGAAAAAAAAAAGCCTGTATACTGAAGAAATAGGAGACACTCATCAATTCTTTTTTTTTTTTTTCTTTTTTTTTCTCCTTTTCTTTTCTTTAATAGCATCCCGGTGGAGAAGAAGTGATGCTGGATGAGGCTGGTCATGATGCCACCGATGCCTTTGATGATATTGGACATTCGGATGAGGCTCGTGAATTGATGGCCAAGTATTGTATCGGAGAACTCGAGAGCGATGTAAGTCTTTTTTTAAAAAAAAACATGCTTAGTATGGAGGGAGAGAGTTGGCATATAAATGCATATAAACGTATATCAAGCACATAGCCGATCAATCCACTTTTGCCGAAGCTTGGCAACCATTTGCAATTGGGGGAAAGACATAAAAAAAATAATCCCTTTTAAAGTAAACATTGATGTGAAAATAACATGTGAAGTAACTTTTTTTTTTTATTTACTTTTTCCAGGGTTCTGAACCAAAGCCCAAGCCCTACAGAGCCCCTCCCAAGCCCAAGAATGTTCCTGCACCAGCCGATTCAAGCAGGTAAGAAGTCAAAAACAGGACAAAAAAAAAATTTTTTTTTTTTCTTTTTCTTTTTGGTTGTTTGTCCGAGCCGTTGCATGTTACAAATATATCGTTCGGTTTGCTGGGATATCTTTTATATTTTTCTTGGTGTCCATCAGTGGGTGGGTGGGTGGGGGACCCACAACGTGGCACATCAGGACACGACAGCCCAAAATATTTATTCTTCGCCCCCAACCTTAAAAGAGCTGGTCCATTTATTGGCATATATTATATACCTATAACTTGTTAACACGCTGATGACGGCTCAATCGACGTTGTTACAAGCGAAATGTTTTTATTCTATCGTGGCACGTTGCACCGTATTCTCTGTTCAAACCAGTTTTTTTATTAACCTGATCAATTTTTTTTTTTTTTTTTTTTTTTTTAAAAAAAAATTTAGTAAAATTCAATATGTCCTCGCGTTGGCTGTTGTTGCTGGATGTGTTGTCTGGAAAGTCTTGATGTAAAGGAAAGAAGAAAAAAAAACAATAGAAAGAAAACCAGGTTGCAACAAGGCAGTGTATTCACTAAATTTGTTTCACCACCCATGTAGTCATGTAGTTATTTCCTGCAATTCCTCCCAACAAAAAAAGATAAAAAAAAGATAAAAAAAAATAAAATAAAATAAAGGTTGTATACAAGACAAAAGAGATAATCAATTTAAACTTTTCCGAGATTCAGAGAGTTCTTCGTCATCCATACCAAGGAGGACTTGAACAAGGTCCGAAGTACGGACTACATGTTAAATTCTTTTGTACTGTTATTTGTTTAATGTTTGTACGTAAAGCATCATCTTCCGAAATTAGAAAGCAATCAATTCAATTCAGGGCACCAAAACAAGAAACAAAAAGTGTGAATTGTTTAATGTTCATTAAAGGAAAACAAAGAAGAAAGACAAGTTTAAGATAACAAGTCTATTGTTACGGTTGTTATTAATGTATATATTAATATTAATGCGATGATTGATGATTGATGACTATTATAGATGATTGACATTGTTTCCGTGTGTTTCCGAATCCTTCATCCCTTGAATGATGTCCACGTTGCTCGTTCCTGTGATATCTATGTCCATGTCACCTGTCACTTTCCGAAATTATCCTCCTGTACTTTTTTTTTTTTTTTTTTTTTTTCCCTTTTTGCTCGGAAGGGAAAAGGCTCCAGAGAAAAAAAAAACAAGGAATCCTAGATGGGATCAAAAGCACAGAAGAGAAAAAATGAGAAAGAAAGAGAAAGAAAAAGAAAAAGAAAAAAAAACCCCCTTTCTTCCTCCTCGTCTTCTTCTTCTTCTTCTTCTTCTTCCTCATTCTTGTTCTCATGCACCCTGCCAGAGTTTAGATTCACTTTCGATAATCATAGAGAAACGCTCCTCCTATACAAATAAATCGAATCAGATAAAAAAAAAAAAAAAAAGATTTTAGAAACTTTTTGATGTTTCAAAAAAAAAGAAATGAAAATCGCAAGTTGGATCTATTAACTGTCCCGAACCTTTTTCTTGATCTTGAGCGCTTCGAGTAAATAGGCTGTCCCGACTACAACGCCCACAACAACAGCAGCACGCTTGCTAGATTTCCGAACAAAGGGGTGCATTGTTGGCTGTTTATTCTTTGTTTTCTTTCGAATAAATGTCTTGATTTGTTCTGTATGAGTAATGTAGTGTAGGATAATGGGAGTAATCGAGAGCAATGGAGAGTGATGGACAGTAGAGTGATGTGGAGTAATGTATATGGATGTAAATGTATGTAGTATATGAATAGAATGATTAACAAAAGGAAAGGATCATTGGCTAGGAATTGCGATGCAGAGTCGAATGGGACGAGGGAAAAAGTGTGGAGCTCAGAAACGTGACTCTGTTTTTAGCGATTTATTTTTGACAGTTACAGTTCCAAGGGTCCAAAATAACGACCCCTAAAAAGAGTCTTTCACCATATCAAGACATATCATACCACACCATGCCAAAAGACATATTCGTATACGAAAAAGAAACTCCCACTTTTTTGAGAAGCATATTGACAGGAGTAAAATGAGTCGGTTGTGAAGATTACTTTGGCATTTTGAGTAAATAGAACACAGGGTCACTTCAAGCGGCTATTGTCTATAGCAGTGCGAGTTCCGAACGCAAGGTAGAACACTTTAGAACTCTTTATGCTTTTATTCCAGCGTAATAGCTCTTACGTATGCATTTGATAAGGGTCAAGTAATAATGCGAAACAGGTTAAAAAGAAAATAAAAAAATAAAAAAGCGATCGTATTAGCTTTCAAGCACTAGAGAGGCTATGCTTAAAAGAAAATAATAGTAATAATAATAGTAAACTCACCAAGTTTTTTGTAATCTCCAATGGAGAAAGTCTGATTACTTCTTGTTTGGCGACTGTTCGGTGCTTACTGGTTCTCCAAGTCTGTCCTGATTTAACCGTATTAGCAGAATTGGTTAGCATCCCTTGAACAGCTGCCGTCCAGAGAGGCTACTTAGAATGGACAGGATTCACTATGCACCAAATAGACTCACATGGTACAGACGATACCTTAGAGTATATAAGATATCGTCTATTCAGATATAAAGACCTCTCTTTGTCCTATTGAACTTCAGCTCCATAATACATAGTAAGTTATATTAATTAGGATAAAACATTGCAAGCACATAGAGTAAATGTCATTTTATATTAAAGCGTGGGGGTGTAATGGTTCAACAACCTTTGGCAAAATCGACAGTGAGACACATAGTAAAAAAGGTGAATTCCGATATGATTTTGACTTCAATTTTTGGAGAATCCAATAAGCAATCAACCTAAGATGGTCACAAATTGCAATACGCGTTTGTCCTCACGTGAGCTTCAACCTCGGACCGGTGAACTGGTGGCGAGACTGAAACAATTTATTATCATGGTGATATAAAACGTCATCCTTGCTTCGCGCATACAACTTTTTATTTTCTTTCCTCTATCACAACTTCAAAACTTTGAACCATCCTGCTACTACAATTAAATCCTTTAATATTCCTATCTAATATCCCTATTCTCTGCTCTCTGTCCATTTTCCTTTGTTTTAACAAGTTTCGAGATCACAATGGGAAACAGCGAAACATCATCACTACTTCCAAATACTCAAAATAAACCGTATGGAAAGAAAGAAGAAAGAAAAGGAGAAGCGAACGAAGGGTCTTCAAGCACTAATGAGCCCAAAATCCCCAAGCCAACCAAGCATGAGCCCAAAATCCCCGAGCCAGCCAAGCCAACAATACATTGCATTGCTGAGAGGAAAGCAAGATCTTTTGCCGTAAATATCTCTCCCGGTTGTTCAGATAAGTTGGACGTGATGACCAGCCGAACGGCATCTGTTATTGGCAAGCAGGCGCCGCAAGGTATGTATTTAGCTCTTGGTGAACTGATGATTATGTTTTCAACTGATGAAACTTATTCCTGTCCCAACACGGTCATGTGGTATCTCCTCTCTTTTTTATGTTGTTGAGATGTATCTCGGCTTAACTATTTAACTGGGGCGACTTTGGATTTCTTCTCTATAAAAGAATTTAAAAAGTCTCCCCCATGGCCGTACACATCCTCAGACTCCCACTGCTATTTTTTTCGTCCTTTCACAGCGTTGTTTTTTTTTTTTTTTTTTTTTTTGTTCGTGGTTCGGGTTCATTTACGTCCATCAGCTGTAGGTGCTGGTTTGATCAAATGATTATTAGAATTTTCAATTCGCGAATTGCACTCTCGACGGACTGGTTGTTGATATTTTCAGTTGATGAAGCATGTGGCAACATGATCATTGGATAGTGTATTACATCGTCATAGCTTTTATCAAAGCCCCATATCTAACTATCCTCTTGTTTATTATTCTATGGATATTAAACAGCCCCGAGATGCCCAAAAAGGGACCTAGAAGACGTAGGAGACGAGAGTTCAAGAGGTGAGTTGATCACTCCGACTATATCTATGGTTTGATAATTCTTGAGGATGCTCGTTTATTACATACTCACGCCATCCCACTATTCTTATATACTCAAAGAGCGCTATTCGAAACGCCGTCGCCCCTCGATACCCAAAGGACCGTTGTATACTTTAGCCAATGGGGAGACAGTATATTTGCCCAAGCTCATGACAGACATGCTCAATAGTACCTGGTGCCAGCCGAAAAGTCGCTTGAGCTTCTCATCACTGAAGAATGTTAGGGTTGGCGATCAAGTTGAGACAGAAAGACTTGTTCAACGCCCAACAACGCTTCCTAGATCTCAATAAGGATATCTTGACTGCAAAAGAGCTCTCCACCATGGCAAATTGTGGGAGTGTGGAAGCTATTGCCGAGTACATATTAGGAGACTTACTCCAACAACAAGGGAAAAAGACTCTCTTCATTGTCGATGAGCATGGTGCTTTGTTTCCCGACAACGTACCTTCAGCAACAAGTAGGCTTCCTGTCCTGCGTTCTCTGGGTTGCTTCAGCACTTGGACGAGTGGTGTAAATAGTGGAGTGTGTGTTGTGTTCACGAGCACTGCAAAGTTTGAAAGGTCCGTCCTCAGGAATCCAGATTATGTCGTTGATGTCGGGCCTTTGTCGCAAGACACGTTCGAAAAACTGTTTAAAATTGCCATTGCTCGTTTCACTTTGACAACCCAAAGGACTCTCGACAGTCGTAAGGACGCTGTTATTAAGGTCACCAACCGAGTACCAGGTGATTTGACCAGCTTGGATCAGTTAATACAAGGACGACATCTCATAGTGGAGCAGATCGACCGCGGTTTAGAAGTATACGACAAAGAACACTACGATCTGTATTCCAAAAACGCAGGGGATTACTTCAACAAGCTCGAAGGACTCGTGAGGGAGCAAACTATTGAAGCGCTGATAAAAGTGCTCTTACCTGGGCTCCAGGGCCCACAACAAGGAATTTTTGAATGGGAATTCCTTGATTTAGGGTTGGTTTGTCCAGAGACTCATACCGATACCATTTTTGGTTAGTCCGTTATCAATTACAAAAGGTTTATTAAGTAGTAGACTTATAATTGACAAAGACCTCTCTAAAAGAGAGATCGGTATGAGCCTCTAGTTTATACAGTACCATTATGGAGTCCGAACAGTCGCCTTTATTCATGGAAATCAGGAGCTATCAAATATTGATTATGAAAAACTTGATGAAGCTGGACCAGGTTTTGCAAAACCAAGTCCTGAAAATCCAATTCAGTAAGGGGTAAGATGATGTGGTAAATGATATATAGACATAAAGAATTGCAAGTAACGAGTGATAAACTAGGATTGCGCTCTTCCTGAACACCTAATGGATTTCGCCTCAAAAACAAACAGCTTCTACAGTCTTCATCCAACAAGCCGTAAATTTTTTACGGATTTGTGGATTTTCAATAAATATATCAAACTTTATTTCTTCTCATTCATTCATTTTCACTCATTCTGATTCACTTCATGTCATTCAGTAAATCGCGATATTCGTTAAATAGCTCCAATTGCCTTTGAGCTGCAACCCAGCGTTTCAATAGCAGAGGGTCATCGATTTTGCCCCAAGCATCCATAAATCGCTGAAAGTTTTCTTGTAGCTCCATTTATCGTCGGACTGGATGGAGGTGACTCGAGCTCGTCTGATAGCCCTTGGGGATCTGAGTCAAGAACACTGGATTCGTAGTCAACACCATCTTCGTCATCGTCTAGATTATCGTCCTCGTAGACAATATCATCTTCATTGTATGGGACGAAGCGATGCTTGTGCTTTTCAGATGTCGTTATCATCTTAACAGCGTCGAGGATCGACTCTGTAGGCCCTTCACAGTAGTTCATAGTGAGGTAATTGAGGACCCCGATATCCTTTTGCTTGGTGATTTCTGCCATTCCTCGCAAGCGGTTATCAGTCACATTGAGATCTATTAAAACACACAAGGTAAAATGGTTTTTTTCTTTTTCCTTTTCCTTTTTTTCTCTCTAGAATGATAGAGATGCCGCCTTACCGAGGTCTCTTTCAGCAGCGAACCACTCCAGCAAAGCATTTTCCGCGGGTTCCATGTTTCGATCGAACTTGCGTTTGACTGCATGACTAGCTAGGAGGGGTAGCGAATTCACGTCTTGAATATACTCATTTTTTCGACGTTAAATGTCTATTGCCGTCGAAGGGCTCATGCCAAACCTGCTCCAATGGAAGAAACAGAGACTTTGAACCCTTTTGCTCGTAGTTCATCGACGGCTTCAATGAATTTCACTTTGTCGGCTAAGGAATAAGACTTGTGCAGCCTGTGCTTCTTGAGTGCATGTCTCGATCGAGAAGACTGGTTTCTAGGCTTTGTTGGGTTCATTTTTCGAAGCATAAGGATGGATGTGGGAAGTGAATGTGAAAAAAAAAAAGTGGTTACGCAAGAACATCGTATAAAAAAAAAAAAAAAAAAAGTTTGATATATTTATTGAATTGATATGAATAGAAGTGAAAATCCACAAATCCGTAAAAAATTTACAGCTTGTTGGATGAAGACTGTACTAATCAACAGGAGGAGATCAGCATGGAGCTGTAATGTTACTGCATGTGTTCATGGGTAAAGTGTGACAAATTCCCAAATAAAATCTGACTTTTAATTTTGTTTGCACAGATTCCTTTCATTCCATGCACAGCATGCTCTTCCTAATGAAATAAAAGAGCCCTACTATGAATGCTTCCAAGCATATGAGATTAGGTTTGTGGTGTGGAATTAAAATAAAACCTTCAAGAACACAGCAGTTTAAAATATAAAAAGGTCTTCATTATGTTACTCTGCTTGATTAACTCTCGCTTCCTCCTCACTTTGCTTTATTGTCTGCAAATTCACAAAGTATATACTTAAAAATGGCCATCAAGACTTACTCCATCTATCCCTCTGACAAATACAATCGCCCACCTCCGCCTTCAACTATTGTACTCCATGGCTTGGATCTTCTCAATCCTCCTGCAATAATCCAAAACCATCGGTTCTTTCCCCCTTCTACCGCTTCTTTTTCCGATGTAATCGAGAAACTGACATCCTCTCTTGCTGAAGCACTCGAGTTATATCCGCCAGTCACAGGAACGGTTCATACCGATGAAGAAAAGGATGAGATCTACATCGCACTGGATTCTGCAAATATCCAGGGTACACCTTTTCTGGTTGAAACGAAAGATACTCCGTTTGCTGGCGATACGAATGATATAGCTCCTCGAAATGACCAGATTCTTCCTCCATTTGCAAGTATACTTGCTGTGAAAGCAACTCAGGTAATACAAAAAAAAAAAAAAAAAAAAAAAAAAAAAGCTTTATACTCTTCATTTTACATTCAATGTCATCCTGTTACTCAACCCTTCAGCACGTTAATTATTTCTGTGGAAAATAGTTTTCATGCGGAACCATTGCGGTAGCCTCCTCCATAAATCATCAAGTAGCTGATCTACGAGGCTTTCTCGATTTCCTTGAACTCTGGGCTCAACTTGCCAGAGGCGAACCCATCGATTTTAAAGAGATTCCGAATGATTGGTCTCGTAATCCTAGTCGATTTTTCCCTAAACTGAGCGAGGGATCAACAGAATCAGTACTTCCACCCCCTTCCCTGTTTAAAGTTGTTCCTGCTCAGGAAGCCTCATTACCTGCATATTTCTTTCAATCACCATTTGTTTCACGCTGGAGATTCAACAAAACCTCATTGGAACAATTGAAGAGCGATTTCTCACCTCCTTCGGATGATTTGTGGATCTCGACTGGTGATGCTCTGACTGCTATTCTAACTGGCGCAATCACGCGTGCTCGCGAAAAGACAAATGCGAAAAGATTAGGAGGAAGGTCTAGCTCCGAGTCCCAGATCGAGTATTTGGCGATGGCAGCTAATGGTCGAGAAAGAGCTCCACAAAGGAACATGTCTAAACAATACTTTGGAAACTTCAATACCTTTGGGGATATTACCATTCCTCGCTCCGACCTACTCTCTCCGACCTGTGAGGCAGCTTCTCGTATAGCTCTAGCCCTTCGAACTGCTTTGAATATTCAACATTCACCAGAAGGCATTGCCAACAAGCTTTCTTTTCTCGAAAATCCCAAAAACACAAAACTTCCCAATCGCATTGTTTGGCCATCAGACATGATCTTATCAAACTGGTGCCAATTTGATCTGAACGGCCCCAAGTTAGATTTTGGGTGGGGAAAACCTTTTGATACAACAGCTGGTAGTGGTGGGTTCTATCCACCTGGATACAGCAACTTGATACAGGAGAAGGATTCAGGGGATATTTTTGCTTTGTTGTCAGTGGAAATAGCAGGTGCGGATGTGTTGAAAGCTGACCCATTGTTGAACAAGTATGCAACGATGCTCCCAGCTTAATGCTTATCGATATCATAATAAAATAGCATACTTCCACATATTGTGTATAATAAAAGCTCTTCTTTTTACTGACCCCAGTAGCCAGGTGCCAGTCCTTGCAGAAGGCCCAAGGAGCCTAAGAATATCCGCTACCTCAGCTCAAAGAACCAGAAAAAGGGGGAAATGAAGCTTCTAGCGTTGTGAGAGAGTCTAACCTTACAAAGCTAAAAAGGAATACAAAACGGCTTCCCGTACCATTTTTTGACCTTGAAAAGTCGGAAACCCATATAGATGGACAATAACTAGTTCAGTCGAGAGATAGAGAACAGATTAATGGAGGTATCTAAAATGCGCGATATGGAGGCATAGGTGAAACAGAGACAGCCCGCTCTGACGAAGAACCAAACCCATGCTTAAAATAAATTTGCAAACTATCATTTGCGCTATAGTCGACTAGAAAAATGTCGCGTTCTCATCTTTGGTAGGATCAATAGCTAACATTTCTATTCCGTCTTTTAGGATCCATCTATATAGACTCGATTCTGAATATACTTGACACAAATAAGGCTCCTGTCGTCACTGATCTCATTAATGCGTATGGTTCTTTCAGCTTGCTCCCTAATCGATACAACGCTTTATATTTATTTTTTTATTTCAAGTTGGGTAAAATATTAAGCAAAACCCCTTTTTACTAAATAACTAAATTACATGAGCAACATATCCGTGTCTTATGGTAATAGAGAAGAGATTCAGATGCCTTCTTCTATAATCCAACTAAAGGTCCTCATTCTTGTCTGGGTACTTTTCAAGTTCTCTGTCAAATTTATTATCAGATTTGGTTTTACATAAAATGGAGTTGATCTCTCTATGGACCTGGGCTAAACCCCCCCCCAAAAAAAAATCACAGCTTGATTTGAATAGAACCATAAAAGGTATGACCAGCACAGTGGGTAATTTTTTTTTTTTTTTTTTTTTTTTTTTTGTATATTTTCATCGAAAATATAAATGGGAAGGATCGAATATTAATGATGTTTAGCTAAGAAATCAGAGTTGTCGTGCTTTTTTTTAAAAATCGGTTTTCTTTTTTGCCACTTGTTTCAGAGTTCTAATATATTACCTTTTTTGCATGAAGTCAGGCTTTTTTTTTAAGACTTGCAATGATCCTGGCCATCCGGATTATAGACGCAGCCTTTCTTACAACTTACAACTGACTGGGCCACACTGCCATAGACACCATCACATTTGTAGACGGTGTAGGGCTCGCATCCACTGAGCAAAGGAGACCGACCGCAATGGTGTTTTCTACTTATAGTAGTCATGCAGATGCAGGCGGCATCACTGGAAGACATAAAAAAGAGAGCAACCAAGGTGATAGTAAGGAAGAGCTGAAAGGCCTTCATTTCCTGTGGCAGATAAGAGAAGTCAGAAGTGGAGCAGATGCTTGTAAGGCTTTTGGATAAGTTGAGAATGCAAATCAATAATTTGGTCTTCAACTTTTTTATAGTGGAAGAAAAAAAAAAGAGCTTGAATTGATACACTCCTCAGCTCATGTGCCAACAATGCGGTTTATGCACCAGCTGAAGACTCTTTTTTCACAAAGTGAAGCTTGATTGGCGTTCGTTAGGGCGCATGCATAACAGTAGATTGATCAAGTCATTGAAATTAACTTTTCGGGAAATAAAATCCAATGCCCACAAGCAAAGAAACACTTTTTACTGCTTTTGGGACGATAATATGTTAAGAGCTATTGGGTTCGCTATAAACATTAGCAGGGAAGAAACACACATATGGGGCTGAACTCATTTTGGACTTGGGTCGAAACCCTAAATGTGTCGTGGTTTGCTAGAGCAATGAAAATATGGATAGTACGGCGCATTTTTTTTTTATCTTCATTGAAAACAAGAAAAAAAAAAGGTGATTGTAAGAAACCAAAGTGCCATTTATTTCAGAGCTCTAACATTTCGAAAAGCTCGCAATTGGCTTTTAGCTTAGAAGACTGCGACATAAGCTTTTTTTTTTTTTTTTTTAAGGCCTGCAATGATCCCAGCCGCCCGGGTTATAGACGCAACCTTCCTTGCAATATAAAACTTTTTGGGCCTTGCTACCATAGACGCCATCGCAGCTGTACACGATAGAGGGATTGCATCCACTGAGTAATGGAGACCAACCGCAATGCGTTTGATCCTTGGTATTGTTGCAAATGCAGGCGGCATCACTGGAGGACATGAAAAATAGAGCAGCCAAGATGATGGCATGGGAAACCTGGAAGACTTTCATTTCCGTAGAAGGCAAAAGACGTTCGAAGTGGAGGATGTACTGAGACTTGTGGGTAAGTTGAGAATGTCCATCGATAGTTTGGTTTCCAACCTTTTTATAGTGGAAAAAAAAAAAAAAAAAAAAAAAAAAAAAGGCGCAGGGGCTTTATCAGTGGGTATAACGAATTATCGTCCTTTTCCCCATCACCTTTTACTATTTTACCATTGGCATTGGCGGGGCGTCAAAGTAGTAAAAAGATATCGGTAGGAGGGAGAATATATATCCATATGGAGATATATATATATTTATATATGAGACATCCTTAGCAGGTGAATGGTAGACCGACTTGCTATGCAATTATGCATGCCATTCGGTCACATAATGCTTGGGCGTATTATGCACCTATTGTCGACTCCCTTTTACCATTTTTTTTTTTTTTTTTTTTTTTTAAGCAGGAGTAGATGACTGGAGGTTTCGCCTATTCTGTGGACTGATTTTCACCCTTAATCGAGTCTTTCTGATGATCAAAGGTTCCAAGGTTATTTCATACTGGGATTTCGCTGGTGCACAACACTACATAGTTCCCCCGCAGATTGACCACACTAGGAGCCTCCCGATAGTAAGGGTGTTCTGAAAATAATGAGAAAAAGATAGATAAATCAATTTGCAGATAACTTTTCGATGCCTCATTGGCGTTGGAAGCTGCAAAGTAGCCTTTAGCTGCGAACAGGCTAGCTGTGCATGTGAACACTTCAAGGCTAGAGCAGAAATTTGAAAAGGGACTAAAGAGTCTCTATCTTTAGTAAAAAAAAAAAAAAAGAAAAAATATATTGATGGACTTCCATCCTAAGAAAAATACTATATCCTGTACACCAGCTGAAGACAACTCTTTCATAAAGCAAATCTTGATTGATATTCATTAGTTCCCATACATAGCAGTAGACTGTTCGAGTCACTGACACATTCTTCCGAATCTGATTTTTTCAAAAAAAGTAGTTTTTTATTGCCTTCACTATAAACAATGACAGGAGGGATCCACAATGGAGTTAAATGCCCCTTGAGCCTGACCAAAAGCCGAATGCACCAAGTTTGTTTCGAGCAAGTAATGAAGGGTACAGACAATAACGGTGCATGGGTGCTTTTCATCGGGAATAATAATAATAATAATAATAATAATAATAATAGTTAACGAGGGTTAAAGTAAATCAGAGTTTGACGCATCTTAAAATCGACGCTTATTTAGGAGCTCATATATCTCGAATATTACTTTTTGCAACTGCCAGGTTAAGCATGTTCCTTGCAATGACCCTTGCCGCCCCTATCAGTGACGCAGCCATATCTGCATCTTTTATAAACAGTAGCATAGCCATGGCCATTGCATTGGTAAAGGACATTGGGAAGGCACCCATGGAGCAAATGCGAATTACCGCAGTATAGTCCAACGACGTGTTGATTGCAGACGCAGACGGCATCACCGGATGAGATCAAAAAGAGAGCAGCCATGGCGATGGCAACAAAGATCTGGTAGAGCTTCATTTTTTTGTGGCAGATGAGAGAAGTTGGAGAAGATGTTGTGAATTTTTGGATGACTAGGCTGGTAGTTGGGTTTCAAGCTTTTTTTATAGTGGAGGAGGGAAGCTACTAAACCATATCAATGCAAGGATGAATCAGAATCAATATTTCAACTTTTAAGATCCTTTGCTACTTTGCTGTCCACAAATGCCAAGTAGTATAAAGATGATGAGAGAAGGCAAAGTTTCTGTTTTCAGCAGGATAAAGGCAGTCAAACAAAAATGAACGCCAGTCGACAGCACATTATTAATTTATGTATGTATTATTGCTTGAACCTAGTACTGCTACGCTTCATGCCAGATCTAGGTTGCTGGTACGCTTCCAATCTATTGGCGGTTCCCCCTCGCCATCAAGAGTCTGAGCTGGATACAGATTTATACTTGGGAAAGCTCTTTTTGTATGTAATCAGGCCCAAGTTTGACGTCCTGAGGTTTGTAAAAAGTACGCAGCGCGAGCGGACGTACATAATGGAAGGGGAACGCACAGACATCTGAAAATAATTTTTTTAATCGCTGAGGCAAACAAGCTCATCACACACAGACTTTACTAATCAACATGAAAACTTAGACATTGCTAAAGAGGTCAATGCGGCTATTCGATATAGCATAAAGTAAAAATGAAAAAAAGAAGAGATCAAAGGCAATTACTTCTTTCTTCAATCCCAGTAACCCATTTTCTGATGACTGCTCGTTGATAATCACTCCTCTTCTTTCAAGATGATATGGAACAATGACTGACTTGCGATGTTGCTTTTGATCTTTTGATATGCTTGTCTCTCCATATTTGAGGAAAATCTGATTAGCATCTAGAACGTTCGTTTTCATCCTTTAGCTAGTAATATATAATCGCATATTTGTATCATGCAGAATATCACATTCTCTCACCAAACAAAAGTCAATGTGCTGGTAACTCAAAATCAGTCATCGATTCTATTGCTCTCGATTCAATCATGTTCTTAGTCAATTGCATACGTATTGCTCAAATCTCTCGCTGCTACATATTATACATTATTTATATTAGTACCGGCTCTCACGTCGCTATCAATCAGTATAAATGATCAGCACCATCGCACCATCGTAGCAATGCTAGACTCCAGACAATAAACACCCTCTGACTTCCCCCCTAGACTTATCTTCACTTGTTACTATTTACGCAAATGAAGAAGGCATCACTGATAGTGAATTAATGGTAAGCTATGGTTGTACATGGGAGAAGCATCGCCAAGAGCACACATCCTAGGTTGCTAGGGCACAGCAAGTCTGGCCAGATTCAGAAAGATCACGTGTGCTTGATTAATTTGTTTTCATCCTTCTCATTCATTGTTCTGTCTGTCAAGCCAAGTCTCTTCGGAGTTCTTAGTTCTTCTAGGTTCCTAGGACAACAGCAGACCAATGTCCATGGTCTACACCGCGAAGGAACCTTGAAATAAGATTGCGCCACACCAGATATCTTTCTTTCTAATATTTGGATCTCAGATGTGAAATTAACTCAACTATAGCCCGTTTCATTTGGTCATGATCTCTTATATTTTTTGAATAGCCTCGAATGTATTGACAGCCAATGAGTTTGCTTGTTGCAAGTCCGGCGAAATACCACCGACTCAATTCAATGAATGGACAATGTTCGTTGTAGTCTATTCAATCAATTCAAAATTATAAGGTATCGTGACCAAGTGTAATGGGCTGTGTCATAATTCAGAATATGGTCTACTGAATGGTCTACGAAGGACGACCTATTCACATTGTCATAGGTACCATGGACGTATGTGTGTCACCTTTCTTCATTGAAAATCCGACGAGAAATAAAGAAAAATAAACTAAATAAAAAGATCCCTCTGCCCTGCAACTCTGATCTACATCTACTTCTCGAGCCAAAAAGGGGTGGTGTGGGTGGGACATACGTCCATGGTACCTATGACAATGTGAATAGGTCGTCCTTCGTAGACCATTCAGTAGACCATTGTCTACGGTACCATGTCCGTATGTGGCTCCAGAGGGATCGCCAAAGAGAACTAAACTAAAACAAAACTAAAACTAAAAGAAAACTGAACGAAATGAACAACTAACTAAAGAAAATCTAGCCTAGAGTGCTCATGGACATGTTGTTGGAGGTGGCACTCGACAAACGGTAGTGCTTCTCGAAGACTTTCGGGGACGACCAATTCCCCTGCACCATGATATCAGCCACTGGTACGCCTGCTATAGCCGCGAGCGTAGAACCTAAGGCTCGGAGCTTAGGAGCTTTCTTGTCTCCTAAATCCATCAGCGAAGAAATCCTACTCATGTGGGAGCCAATAGTAGTCGCACGCGCCGGCTGGGTGTGGTCTTTCACAAATCTAATCAAAGGTACAATGCTTCTTGTTGGGTCCTTCGGATGAGGAGAGGTAGTGGAAGGACAAGACAGCCTGTCCAGGTAAGCGGTGTATGCGTCGACAGGGCATAGCTTCTTGTCAAAGTGAGAACCAATGGTCACATGCTTAATGATACGTTGCCCATCACTCTTCTCTTTTGGGAAAACAACAACAAGCTGAAGCTTCCCTAACACAATCTTGGAGAGACTGACATCTACACATCTGATGTCGTCTGGTCTCATGAAGCCACAGACGCCTAAGAGCCAACACAGCTTCCATGTAAGCTCCTCAAAAGGCAACTCCATATTTGCTGATGACTGCCGAAAATGGTCCAAAACAGGTGTGATGTCAAAGTGACCAGACCTGGACTCAACGACACCTTCTTGCTTTCCAGCCTTGAGGAACTGGCGGTAGTATTCATCTGATCGTACTCTCTCTGGGTCACGAAATAGGGCGAGGACAGCCGACTTCATGGTCATCAGCGTGGACCACTTCAAATTGCGAGCGACCCGCACGTAGTGTAGCCAGTTCACTACTGGGATCGCGGGGTTAATCCCTTGTTCGAACGAGCCCTCTTTCAGCCAAGTGACGAATTCAGCTTGATGCTTTTCGTACTCTCGCTTGGTGCTCTTGGATCCTTTGTGAGCACAGATAAACTCAGTCACCGCTGGCGAGAGGCCATCTATGAGCATCCTCGTCCTCTTACTCTCCACGCGGTAAGGCCCCAGTGTGGATTCTTGAGCAGGATGTGCGCGTCGCTTCCTGGTGGAGGGAGAACACATGTTCGTGGAATCGGTAAAGGGGGTTGGGTCGCCATTGCCTGTATCTTCGGGAACCAAATCGCCGATGGCCAAAATGGAGTAATTATGGTCGCTTCCAGGCCTTCCTGGTCTAGCTTCTGCAGGATCCTTGGAAGTAAGTTCCATGGAGGACAGATGTAAAGGTTGCCCAAGTGGCTCCACTTGTGTCTCAGCGCATCGAAGTCCACTGCCAAAGGATGAGGTTTCCATGTCATGAACTGAGGAAGCTGGTTGTTGCTGGGCGATGCAAAGAGGTCTATCCGATGAGGCCCCCACTGCTGGTCTAGACGACGGAAAAATGACGGGTCCAGCCTCCATTCGAGCTGCGCTTGCATCCGGCGTGATGGTGCATCTGCTGGATTGAATACTGAAGGTACATATGTGGTCCTGAGTCTTGTGCCTGTTGCTAGACAATGCTTCCATATTTTGTCCGCCAGGTCCATCAGAGGTTGTGAACGAGTTCCGCCGAACCGGTTGATGTAAGCGATGGTGGTTGTGTTGTCGATTACTAGGTTGAGCATCCTCCCTTGTGTTTGCGGTAGAGTGACTGCGTAGTACACGGTTAGTAACTCTTTTAAATTGATGTGTTGGTGGCGTATGTTTGGTGGCCATAGCCCTGTCCAAGTGCGCTGCCCTATGACGATCCCCCAGCCTTGGTCGGAGGCGTCTGTGTACACGTCCATCTGAGTTGGCGACTGAATCCATGACGTCCCGTTCCACTCCTTGAGTTGGTGTGTCCACCAATCCAGATCGGCTCGAGCTCTGTCGTCCAGTGAGATCGTCGCTTCCCAAGATGACCCCTGATGGCTGAGCGCTCTGTTCTTCAATGCCAGAAGATGCCGCGTCATTAGACGAGCTGGAAATACTGCTGCTGTCGTCGCCATGGCTTTCCCTATGAACGTAGCCAAGTTGCGAACCGTCGTCCATCCCTTGCTGAGCATCTTCGCTGCTTCTCGCCGTATGTCCCTGACCTTGGACTTCGGTACCGAGAGGGTCATGTCGGTGGTGTTGATGGTGAAACCCAGATGATCTAGACATTTCGTTGGCATCAGAGAGGATTTCTCCTTGTTGATGAGGAATCCAAGAGACTTGAGTTTGTCCAGGACAAGATTCGTGTGCTCTTCTGCTTGGGCTTTGGAGTTGGCCATGATCAACAGATCGTCGATGTAAGCTGTCAGCCGTATTCCTCGACGCCTCGCCCATCTCAACACCGGGCGTAGGACCTTCGTGAAGACTAACGGCGACAGTGACATCCCGAAAGGTAGAGTGCGAAACTGATACAGCTGACCCTTCCACTGAAACTGAAGGTAAGGACGAAAATGTGGATGAATCAGCACATGAAGGAAAGCATCTTTGAGATCGATGCTCGTCAAATAATCGTTCTTCTGAAGGGTATTGCATACTACCTGAATCGTCTCCATCTTGAACGAGTCTGTGATGATAAATTGATTGAGAGGACGTAGGTTGAGGACAGGCCGGAGGTCCCCTGTCTTCTTGGGGATAGTAAACAAACGACTCTGGAAACCAGGTCCCGAAGCGTGCTCTATGGCTTTTTTGGCCAGAAGTGCGATCACTTCGTTCTCTATCGCCAGTGTCTCCTCCTTGGATAGATGCGGGGAAAGGGCTCTTGATGTGTGTGTTATTGGAGGTTGTCTGTGGAAGGGAATCTGAAAACCGTTTCCAATCACGGAGCGGACCCACCTGTCGTCCGTGAGGAGCCTCCAAGCCCTCGAGTAGAGGTGCAGACGGCCCCCTACTGGCTCTTGTTGGCGCTGCCGCGTCCCCGTCCACGGCTGCCTCTGTAAAAATACTGTCCCTGCTGGTTGTTATGCATGGGCTCTCCATACCCGTAAGTG